ACAGCCATGCACCATGACATCTCATATCATCTCTTCCCTGCAGCTTCCTTTCATCCTATCCTCCAGTCCAGCCTCCAGTCCAGCCAATCCAACCTAGTCCATCTTCCAACCCAACCTCTAATCCACCCTCCAATTCAATCTTCTCAACCTTCAACCCCTTTTCCAGCCTCTCCTTGTAAATCCCTTTGGAAAGTTCTCAAAGTACAATCCATCCCAGTAAGTTTTCAGTAAGTTTCTCTTCCCCGTATCAACTTGCTTCTTGTCAATCCCTTTCCAACCCTTCCTTTCCCTTTATCCTCCTTTCCACCGCACCCCCCCTTTTCTGGCCACCATCGTCGTCGCCTCGTCGTTCGCGGGTTGGACTTGTTGATGGGCTCATACCACCCTCTTCCACTCCTCTTCAACCCCATATCTCCTCCACCAACCCCCTGCCACCTTCTCCATCATGGAGCCCATCACAACACCTTCAGCACCACCTTCCCCCTTGCACGTCTGCTCTCCACCTTGTCGGTAGCCTCTTGAAACTTTTCCAATGGGTAAACGCTGTCCAGCAGTGGAGTACACTTTTCCTGTTCCACCAAGCCTGTAATCTTCTGCAATTGATCTCCCCTGGGCTCCATGATGAAGAAGTGGCTCTTCACGTCCTTCACCTCCATCCCCGCTGGCTTAGCCTCCTCTGGTGATCCAACCATGCTAATCAGCACACCTCCATCTTTCACACAACCCCAAGCATCCACCAAACTCTTCCCTCCAAAACAGTCAATCACCAAATCCACCTTCCTCCCTTCCTTCTCTGCCGCCCACTCAGTCAATGAGGTTTTCTTGTAGTTGACTGCCTCGGTCGCCCCCTTTGATAGCACAAACTCCTCGTTCCCGTCTCCACACGTCCCAATAACCGCCTCGAACCCAGCTATCTTTGCAATCTGCAGAATCCACATACCCACAGCTCCCGATGCTGCAGTAACAGCAATCCTCTTTCCCTTAGCTCTGTCGTCCTCCGGTCCACTCCACAAGCCAGACTGGTCGAAGAGTGCTTGCCAGGCTGTGAGTGCTGACAGGGGCACCGCTGCAGCTTCCTCCCAACTCAAATTCTTCGGTTTACGCGCCAACTCGCCGGTAAGCACGATAGTGTGGTCTCTGGCAGCTCCGGGGCGAGAATATGGGATGCGAGCGTAAACTTGGTCGCCTGGCTGAAAAGGTGAGGAAGGAGGCGCCAACACCACTGTTCCTGCAACGTCTGGTCCCGGAACCGTTTCCTCCTTCTTAAAAGTGACGTACGTGTGCCAGATCAGTTCTCCAGCACAAAGGGCAGTCGTGTGGACGCGGATGAGGTGTTCCGCCCGCGTCGAAGTGGGGACGGGCGTAGGACGCGTCTGTAGCGTCAGGTCGATGCCGGCACGTCCTGGTTGACTGAACGTCCAGTTGGGGGTATAGATGCTGCTGAAGCCATATTTTTGGGTATAACCTCCGTTTCTTTGCTTTTCGTCTTCAGTATACCAAGATCAAGTCGTGTCGTCTTGTCCAGGAGTATGTATATAAACCTGTGAAGTGATGGTCAATAGATATCACTGTAAAGAATAAAAGAGGGGGAGAGGAGGTCTTTTTATATAGTCACTATCAGCCCCTGCTGGCTGGCCATATCATCTCGCTAAGCAAATACGAGCTCGCCGCGTCCATGTGCTTGTGGTGTGTTGTTTGGTGATGGAACACAAAGTGAGACTGAGAAATCTAGAAGTTCGTTTTGTTGATTTTCATGTTTTGTTTTTCTTGTTTAAAGTTAAGATTTGGAAGGCTCGATCGGCGATTACATCATAGGCTGGATATTACATAATCCCGAACCGGCGAAACGGAAACTTTTTTTTTTAGATCGGGGAGTCGGGAGTATATAAAGCAGATATAAGAAGAGACGATAGGATAAGTAATGGAAGAGAATAGGATAGTTGATGGTAAAAGGCTATCTATCGCCAGGTGTCTCTCTTGGTTGAGCCCGACACGCCGCATGTCTGAGGCACAGTGTACTTCCGGTTGGGATCCTGCTCCCAGACGACTTCTCCTCCCCTCTTGCGGATGAACTTATATTCGAATGCCACGGCAGTCGGGAGTTCGACGTCGGCATACCATTGGTGGCAGTTGTCAGCATAAATGTCTGAGTTAAGAGGGACAGCCTTTTTGACGTCCCATGAGCCTAGCTCCTTGATAGACCCGACCAGGAAGACGTCTTCGCCGAACTGCGTCGTAGCGAGCAGCTTGAAGCGGACGTTGTTCTTTGTCGGCAGAGCAGTCGGACAGGGAGATGGTTCTGCCGTGGGTGTAAGGTTTGGGGGCCAGTAGGTTATTGTTGCTGCTTGGTAAGGGCCTCTTGCGGATGATGGCATGCAGATAGAGGGTAGCTCTCGGGCGTTCTTTTCGCCCCAGGAAGATGGGACAACAGAGTTACGTCGGGCCATCACGGTCAGATATGATGCATAAGACCAGGTGAGATCTGATACAGATAGTGGGAGCCCGTTATCCCTGGAAAACTGTTCTGAAAGCATCCCCGTGCACGGGGTGTATTTTTTCTAACAGCACGATAGTCAATACTTGGGATACACCAAAAGGCGAAGAAGAGAGAACAATCTGGTAAGGGAATACTTACCGCGACCTCGATATACCCTTCAGCATAACCCTTCACGACAGAAATGATATTACCGAATTCCGAACTGGACGACTGGTGTGTGCCCATCTGCACCTGCGGATATATGTCTTTGAAGAAAGGCATCGACACCTCCGTGACCGTGATTTTACCCACCTTGTTCCACTGGTGAATGGCATCATACAACTGCTCGGCTGCCGCATATGTGGCCACATACCACGGGTTCCCATTAAAGTACACGTCTTCAGGATACCTTCCAACAGCCACTGCTTGGCCCTGCTTGATACCACCGTTGATTTTGTAGATGGTCCGGAAAGAATCGGTGACTGCCTTGTGGTTTGCCAATGCTCGTGCAGAGCAAGGCTGGAAGGTAGTATCGTCACACTCTCCTTCGGGGTCGAATGTGTGAATGGAACCGAGAATGGAGGCCACATCCAGGCCGGAGCGACCTTGGCCATAGTTCGATCGAACGGCTGTTCCGGTCCAGTATGACTGCAGATAACAAAGTACTTGAGGTGCCTGGGACTCACAGTGAGGGCAAGTTTCATCAAGTGCGCGCGCCATATTACCGCCTTCCACAAGAGCACGGTGTTGGACTATGGTGGTGAAAAAGGAGGGCCCATTGACCTCTTCCCATAGGTCTATTACATTGTTTATCATTAGTTATACATACCTTCAAGCAAGGGAAGAATAACATACCAAAGGCCGAAGTATTCCAACGTTCACTGATATATGAAAGGTCATTTTTGACCACCGGCCACACGATCGACTTGGCAACATCATAGTATCCGTTTGCCTAGATTAGTTGAATGGTGAGAAATGCGACACTTGGTTATATTAGGAGACTTTGTATCCTTACAAGAAGCCATCTCGCATATTCAATCATCGCAGTAGCCCTAAGAGCTGGTCCATCAGCCTGGGGACGACCCCAGTCCTCCATATACGGCGTTTCATCCACTTGGTACTTCGGTTCTCCCAGCCCTCCGCTCGAGAGGCCACCAGAGCGGGTGTTCAGCAGTTGGATGCGTGCTTGAGATGAGATGTATTCCTGGATCGCCCCTTGTAGACCAGTGTTTCCCGCAGCGAAGGCATCGACGATATACTTGAGCACCAAGGCAGAGTCTCGAGTCCAGGTGAAGAAGTCTATACGAAGGGTCAGCTTATTCGATAATGTCAAGCATATTTGAAGCCTCACAGTCTGGATCTCTCCTGCTCGGGCTCGCAATGACAAGACCAGGTCTCGTATCCCATGCATTTGAACCGTTTAGCCCGATGTTATCGAGCATGCTCTGCAGTGTGCCATCGTCCACGGTATCGAGGACGAACTCCGCAGGTGTACGAAACCTGGCCTGAAATGCTATAACAGCAGGGAAAACAAGGAGAGAAGACCATAATCGACTAGTTAACCGCATCGTGAAGTGTCTCGTGAGCTACAATTGTAACTCAGCAAACGTCTTCTGCCACGGTACTTTTATATACTCCCTCCACGCAGAGAAAAAAAGAGACTGAAAAACGAGAAGCCGGTTTTGTGCGACGCCGAGGGTCAGCTTCCTTACTGGCTCTTATATAGAGACGTGCCTATGCCTCGGAACGAGGATGACGAGAGGCGAAGAAGAACTCCTCCAGGCCAGTTTCCAAGTCCAGGATCAAAATCTGTCGTCCTATATGGGGCATATAGAAAAAGTTGACAACATCACGCGAGACGGTATGAGAGAACAAGGCCGCTAGGTTCCACTATCTCCGCATCGATGTCATGGCAGGGAACAGAAAGCGGTTCTCTGGTTCGTTAAGATGGGCTTTTTGAGGGGAAACAGGGTTGATTTCACGCAGATGGTTACTTGATGCAGTGAAACATTTAATGTATAAGATGTTTACTATTATCATAGAACTCCATATATTCACATGTTTGGAAGACGAGATGTGTTTCTATGTGTCAATTTTATATTCAGATGCAGGGATACTTCAATTGCCGGGATATAAGACAAGCACTATGCACCAGGTATATATATAGAAAGGCTGCTTCATTGGAACGAGAAACGGTATCTAGGTATATATTTTCTGGTTTACTCTCTCTACAGTAGCTCCGTTGAAAGGAGAAGTCCACCCCCAGATGCATGTGATCAAACCCCCTATAACAGTGAGATGCTGGGCCCGCAGATCGACCCATCACCAAGAAAAGGAATACGAACAATAACAAGGGCTTGATGATCCCGGTTCGAGAGACCGGTGTCTCTATGTATTAACTTTTAACATCAACTCGTGGGAAACGTGATAAACAGCAGGACAACTAAAAGACACCGGTTGATCATAGGATTGTGCCGAATCTAGAAGCAAATGTTGTTATTAGTATTACAGATCAAACGGTATGCAAAGGAAGAGAGTGGAATAACTTACCCAAAAGTCTGCTTGATGCTACGAACGTAGTATCCATCCCAATTGTGTTTAACGACATCTTCCTGTCCAACTGGCACACCATCCCATCTCACGTTCAAGACAGTGACGCCGTCAACGTCGTTTTGAACAAACTTGATCTCCTGGGTACTGTAGTGTCCTTCAGGCCACTGCGCCAGTCGCCATTTCTGGACGATAAGGCCAGGTTTCTCAAGAGTGACATACTCGCCATCGACGTTTCCGTCAAATATGCTAAACTGTCCACCGACCTTGGCACCGTCGAATCGACGAGGAGCTCCGCGCGTGAAAGCTGCGAGACGCTCAGGGTCGGTGAAGGTAGTATACAGCTGTTCAGCAGTGGTACGGAACTCGTCAGAGGCGTTTACGGAAACGGTGTTGACAGAAGATTTGCCAGTTGAAGTGGTAGTGGTAGTAGTGGTAGTGGCTGCCGTGTCAGCGGCCTTTGTAGCTGGCTGGGGAGTGGAAGACTTAAGGGTAGTAGGCGTAGAGAAGCCGCTGGATGGGTTGGAGCCAGGGGCATGTTGGATGTCCTTTCCATGCTCCTTGATCAGAGCCGGGGCGAGTTTGACGAGTGCAGCGCGCAGCTGGGGGACTATCTTCGAGCGAACAAGGTCTTTCACGGGCTGCTTCTTCGCGGTCTCGGAATATATGCTCGTGTCAAACTGTTGAGAGTCGTCTTTGGTTACAAAAAACTGCTATATCCTACATGGGGGGGAATGCTTCGTCCAAAAGAGGGATCACATACTACGTACTCATCTGCCTCAGTGTCATGCGCAACCTCGGGGATTTTAATCGAACCAGTGACATCCTCTTTCTCACTCGTGGTTCCTGATAAAAGAAAAGAAAAACACTTTAGCCAGAGCTCAACCATGACAAACGTCGATATGAATGCATGCATTGCTATCTAGAAGAACAAGTTATGGGTAGGTAGGCATATCCACAAACCTTCATAGTCAAGCTGTAATTTGACATCGAAGAGGGTTATAACTTTTCCTTTCCGCTGGCTGACGTCCACGTCGCCATCCATGCGGACAAGTTTATTAATCTTAGCCGTCACACCATTCTCCTCGGCGGAGATTCCAACAAGGTTCTCCTCTAGATAGGCCTTCGCCCAGCTAGTGACATTCTTATTCACCCAGTGCCAGTTGTTGGGGTTATGGAGAACCATTTTGAGAATAGATTCGAGCTGTAAAGAGGGTTAGTCCGAAAGAAATATAGAGGACGGCTGCTCTGCTTTAAAATGTCCTTTTTATCTGTATTTGCACCAGTAAATATTAGCCACACAGCTCAATGAAGGCAACATATTGAAATAAATGGCGATGAAAGGGTTTTTTCAGATGGGCTTTTTCTTAGCCCGGGTTAAGCATTCCGCATCAAACAGAGTACAAATCTTGCTAGGACTGGTGCCAGCTCATGGGTATCATCATAAAAACTTGTGATGAATGGTGGTAATAGATATCAAGCGAGGGGCTGGGAATTCTTACATCAATGGTAGTCAAGAGGCAAACAGACGCTGCGAGAAGTGAGTGGTCAGCCAGCCCGAGGATTGAAGAGATTGAAGAGAGAGAGAGAGAGAACAAGAGCAAATATATCACTACGTTTGGAGCAAAAGCGGTTTTCTCTTCTGCTTCTTCTTCTGCTTTTCTTTTCTTCCTGGTTGAAGTCTTAGAAAGCTCTAGAAAGAAAAAGTTGAGGTTTTATCAAGGTTTTAGAAGCATCACGTGATGAAGCTTGACCTAGACGTTTTAAGGGGCGAAACGAGATGGAAGACGAGAATGTTAGTATTATTTTATTAGGGAGGATATAGGTGGCAAAGGACAGCGGGTTATCCTTGAAGATGCAAACGGGATACGGGGTAAAGCAAACGAAGCAGTAAGCACTAGATTATCCATTCTATACATAGAATACCTCGTCGAATAAAGTCATCAACGCCATTTCATATTCATCAGCGCCTCTTCTAAACCAGCTAATTACTCGGAGACCATAAAAACAAAATGTACAAGCGAACGTAGATGGGTATCAAGCATTATTAGAGTAAGAACACATAGAGAAGAAGCAATATAAAAAAAATAAAACAAAGAAACTGCATCTTCACGCATACTATACCCGGGTAGGCACGGGAAAAGAAGATATAAAGAGCAGATAGAGCCTCTTTTTCAAGTTTGTTCCATCTGCTCCATTTCTTCCCATCCACCTTCACTGGCAAGGCGGTGGCGGACACGTTCCTTGACGCCATCCAACTGCTGGCCTAAGGCTTCAGCCCACTGGCCTTCGACCATGCCGACCTTCTCCTTCAGGTCCAGAGTCAGGATCCTCTCTTCTTCGGACCGAGACTCGTGCATCTCAAGGCGTACATCCTCCTCTGCCTCACCGGATATAATCCGCTGGACCTCCATAAACTTGCAGTTGGCGTTCATCAGGCCGAACTTGATCTCATGCAGGAGGCAGAGGAGGTTTGTCTGAGACTCGATGAACTGGTACGTTGATTTTCCGGCATGGGTGACCAGCGAGTAAAGGTATTGCAGCGGGAACTGGTAATAGCTTGGGTTCTCGTCATATTCCTTCTGTGGAATGCGAACGGAGAATCCTTCAAGGCTCTGGGGGATTTCCTGCAGGATTGTTACGATGGGGGGAGCGATGTCCCAAAAGGCAGAGAGTTGAGTTTCGACGCCTCGGCTGACGTTTGCTTCGATGACGTCCATGAACGTCTCGAAGCGTTTAAGAGTCCCCGCTACGAAGGCTAGTTTTCGATCTTGTGCATCACGGATGAAGAAGTTGTCAGTTTCTGTGAGCTTTTCGGTATTGTTGGCCTGGCGGTATGGTAGAGATACCACGGCCCTGAAGTGTTCATTGCGCTCACTCAGGATATCGTACTCCTCGCGAAACAGGTTCTCGCGGCCTTCGAATAGCCACTTGAGCTGTGTCAACTTCTCTACCAGCTCCGGCTCCTCGTCACCTTCCTCCTGCGTCTGGTCAGGCGTTTGATGCTGTGCTGAATCGAAGAGTTTCCCTCGCAGCTCATCGATGCAGGCGGTGGCAATCTTGATTCTATCCTTCAAGATGCTCTGCATCGGCTCCAGAACATCGACCTGATACATATCAAACTCGCTCTGAACTATGTCACGCTCTTTCTCATCTGCCTGTGCCTGTCGACCGGCCTCTGCATCGGCTGCTTCGGCATAAGATATTGCGCCAGTTTCGATACCCTGATTCACCCGTGCCCTGAACCCGCGAAGTTCCTCCTGAGACTCCTTCTGGTGTTTCTCACGAAGGGCTTTTATTTTCTTTTCGTAACTCGCTTTGGTGGTGTGGACCTCAGACAAATCGCTTATCGTCCGGACTGTGGTTCGATAAAATGCCATATCCGGGTGATTGTTATTTACGCCCGGATAGTGCCTTGGGTAGGGGGGAGGTAGAGTAACTAATCTTGAGATATCCAACTTCCGAGCTTCACGATTGATCGCCGATAACGTACGCGAGGGTCCTGGAGGCCGGGGAGTATCAGGCTCATTCCAGCTGACTTTCTCCGGAGGGTATTCGTCTGGCCCGTAGTTTGCAAAAGAATTCTGTTCACCAGAATACTGCTGGTCATAGGCAGTTTGTGTCGGGGTCAAATGGTCCATTTGCATTGCTTCACGCATTTCTCGCGGTAAACCCATATACTTTGTTTCCCGTTTCGTGCGCGACACTTTACCACCGGCATCTCCACTATCACTGCCAGTCTGGGATTCCCACCACCGGCTAGGAGCTCGGCCTCGGGAGCTTTCCTCGTTGCTCATACTCATGCTCGCGATAGGCGACAAGGCTGGCTTATATCCATTCCCAATGCCGGATTCAATTACAGAAGGCCGTCTCTTGGGGGTGGTTCTACAGGGAGTCTGTGGAGGCTCGGATGGGCCAACAGACCTATCCCTGGCTTCAGCCTTCAGTGGGTTCCTGGTGAGGTCGAATAACTTGTCAACAACCGTCTTGGGGTCGAAAGTCAAGTCTCCCCAATCCGAGCCATACTGCTGACGACGGATACCAGATTCCGCAATTATAAAACCGCAAAATACCTGCAGAGCATCGGTAGCATTTGTTGCTTCTGACTCTTTCCTAAGGTATTCGTGATATCGACGTTCAGCGTCCTGGATGAATTTGCCATCAATAGGAGTATAGGGCGCGGCCTTGGGCGAGGGGCGCCGAGAAGGGATCCTGCTTGGGACAAGAGGCTGTGCTTCCAATGGCGAAACATCGACAGGAAGATGTAAAAGGTGTGATATTGGCCTGTCCGAGCCCGCACTCCGTGGCTCCAGCCCAAGCAAAGCCGCATCCTGCTGTTGTGCTGGGGGAGGGGTTGGTAGGGCTTTAGGAGGTAAATTCAGCGACTCAGGCTGCTGCATTGGCGATTTCTGCTCCCTTCCGGGAGAGAATGGAGGAGTTTGACCCCGGTTTGCCAACGGCTCGTGCGGAAACGTTTGCAATCTAGGTGTGGCAGAGTATGGAGAGCTGATGCTATTTATTTTATTGCTGAAAGGCGAGCTGGCTGATTTAGCGCTGTGTAGAGGCTCCTCTCCTGGATTACTACGAGCACTGCGGGGAGTGGCCCTGGTGTGGGTGCGACGACGAACCAGGCCGCCTGACGTAGGGGAATTGAGGACGAGGTCCGTAGGCCATGACATGTCGTTACTTTCGTCTTTTGACTCCTGTCCAGCAGCGCCGCTTTCAGTTCTGTTATGCCTGCTTTGGATGCGGCGCTCACGAATCCCTTTTTGACTCGGGGCCCTGGTGGAAGACGGTGCTGGCTGGGTTGGCGCATCATGACGGGGGTTTGGCACGGCGTTGGACAAGCTTGGAGAGGCAGGCACCGACCTTTGCTGCGCATGGGGGGATGCTGATGTCCGTCCAGGCACGGCTGAAGCGTTAACCTGGTCAGGCACCCAGCCAAGCGGAGTTGCAGGTATGGTTGGAAGACTTGGTTCTATCGACGATGAGCCAGAACCCGAGCCCGATCGCAGTCTCTCTTCTCTACTCTGTGATGAGCCGTTTCTCTCTACAGCAGACTGGGCTGAGAAGGACGTCCTTCGTGGAGCGTTCGCCGGAGGGGGTCCTGGAGGAGGAGGCGGGAGCGGCATCCCAGGCTCCCATCTACTGACCCTTGAGGAGGAATGGCCATCTACCTGCGTGCTGGCCCTGTTTGATCTTCTGTTTTGGGGTATGTCACCAGTAGACACCGCTCTCCTTGATGCTGGGGGTACGGATTGTAAAACGGTCTGAGACGAGCCGGACGACGACGGCTCGGTGCTACCAATCACAGAACCCACTCCATAATGGCTCTGCAGACGAGACGAGCCATCGTTTACTGAGGGTTGAGGGTGCGTTGAACGGGAAGGCATGAAAGAGGCCCGACGGTCAGGGTGTGACTGTTCAAGCTCATGGCTACTTACGGGTGATGGGCCGGGGCGGGGAACGGAATAGTGATACCCTGGAGATTCTCTCTGACGAGACTGCGAAGGGGCTGCCTGTTGAATAGGCGCAGATATAGGACTTGGACTGCTGGCGACTGGGTAGCCAACCTGTGGAGATTGGGGTCGCTGTCCCCGAAAGGTTGCCCTGGGGGGCGAGTACGGAGGCGGCGGAGGAGAAGCTATACATTGATCCCTCGCGTTAATGTTCCAAACAACTTTTGCGATATATACATATTACGCGAAGATAGTAGTTATACCTGTCACTGAAGTCGAGGAAGCTGAGGCCTGATGTACCATCCCCGTTGCGGCAACGGGCGATGTACCACCAGAGATGGGTCCCCATTCCTGTGGATTATAGCGCGAGTTAAAGGACCGTGGCCGTGCGGAGATGGCCATGGGCGACGTGGTAGCCGTCACACCGCTCAGCATACCGGATGAGAGGTATGGCGAAGTCATCGATACTGGAGTGAACGAGAGGCCGCCGGCAGAGGGTAAGCCGGGGGGACCTGGAAACTGGAGCCCACTCAACGACGTCGTGAGAGCAGGAGGCTGGACAACATTCTCTCGACGGCGCGGGGGGTGTGTAGGCAGAGAGAACGGGGCTGAATGAGGAGGTACCGGTATGTAATGGTGAGAAGACGATGTCTCCAAGCTATCCGGCGTCCAATCCAACGGGCTATTTTACAAGCGCAGAGAAAAAGGGGAAGAGAACCAGGTCAGCCCGAATGATACTCTCTTGAGCCCGCCAGAACCCCAGTCCGCAATTCCGCTGTAGAAGAGAAAGGAGAGGAGGAGGGGAGGAAGAAGGACTTGACGGGGGAAAAGAAGACGTTGGATGTATTATTAAATGAGGATTTGCCACACCTGTTCATCTTATACCAGAAGCTCGATATCAGACCAGGTCAAAGATGCGGTTGCAGCAACGCGGGCCAACAAAGGCACAAGGGTATGTCGTGCGTTGACTCGCTGTCCGGCGCCGTTTTTTTCTGGCTTCACCAGCCTAAAAGAGCCAAAATCACACCAACGAGAGCGACGTGGATGCCACCAGCGCGTGGACGGTTCACCGGGAACGAATGCATTGGCTAACCTGAAGGCCTGTCCAGGTCTAAAACGGCCAGGGAAGCGGAAGCTATTTTTTTTTTCCTCTCTGCCTTTTTTGGGGGCCAGGACGAAGTTCGGTGGTTGGAGGTTGTGAGTCGTCCAGGACGAGCGAATCGACGGCTTGCTGGGTTAAAAATAACCCAGACCCTGTCGAGCAGCGCTTTGTACACAGCAGGATGCAGGCTAAGCAGCGATATTAATAAAGTAGCGATATTAATAGCATCTTAATCAACGCTAAGAAGTGGGCGTTAGTCAAGATAACCACGATCAAAGGGACGGTCGAGACGGAAAAAGCAACGTAATTTACTCCATATTCTCAAGATGGCCTACATAGTATTCTTCCAGACGAGAGATCACTTGTAGTCCAGCTCCCACCGACTTGCTGGCTCTGGATGCCTTGGGGGATCATGGTGCGTACTCCGTCCTCTGCTGTATGTAGGTGCCGGCGTAACTACAGAGTACCATGTCAGCCAACACGTTATCCTCGAGACTGTGTAATCACACTTACTGCAAGCTTAGCACTGGCATCGATGCGTGCATGAAGCGTCCCTCCTTGTCTCTTCCTGCAAGGCGGGCGGTTAACCCATCGCTCCATTCGCTGGGTGGGAGGAGAAGCAGCCAACGTGATGTCCTCACTGGCTGCCACCGACACTCTCTGGCCGGGGTGACCCTGGAGGCAGCCTTTGCTCCAATAAGACTTGGTAGTGCTGTGAAGTCACCAGTTAGTACCAACACGGAGAGTGTATGCAGAGTCACTCTTACTTATCTATTCGCCTAGTTATATTCACATCCATCGCGGAATCCGTAGACCATCTCTGGCCTTTATATACCTGTTGCATCGTTCCCTGCTGGACATCCTCCCATAACTGTTACCCTGAGTCTTTCCATCACGGTGTTAGGCACGGACAAGCCATAGAAGAGACCATGAGACTGCCCCCTAGCAAAATCGTAGCTTGGAACTTCCGAGATGACCAAGGGGGCGGTTGTGTACTGTTGAGCACCGCCAGCCAGGTCGGGAACAGTTATGAGACGAAGTGGTGGGAGCCATCTCTTTGGCTCTATTCCAGACGGACATAGACCTGGACTTCGCATACCCCCAGGAAACCCCACGGTTCAGGATTTAAAAGCAGCTATGAGGAAAGACTGGGAGTATTCCAATGCCTCAACCTGCTCCTAGTAATAGGACTGGACAACTCGCAACGCAGACGAGCAAGTGTTTTAGCTATATCTGGTCCAGACGGTCGGACGCCTCTTGGATGGCTCTACCTCTATCTTCTCCCTCTTCTTTCAACGTGTTCAGTCTTCTTCTTCTCTAGGGAAGAATTAATATCCTGTCGACGAGTGGCTCAAATATAGTAAAATACTTTCATTCATAGCTCACCTAGAAACAGTCCTAGTTGGGGAGTAACTGAAGAGTAAATATAGAACTTCGAGCTGTTTCTCTTTTGCTACTAAGTAATCAACTACCGCCATCATATACTACTATTCAACCGCATATACATCTATGGATGTTATTAACCGTATATTCCTCTCCATTATACACTGGTCGATTGGATGCAGAGTGCCACAGTGCAGCAGTATGTGAGCCCAGGGTAGGACGTCGTGGGACGTGCAGAGGAAGACAATAGAGGAAGACGATGAAACTGGTGAATCATCTCGTTGCTGCCTACGTATGGAGTGAGCTCCTCATGAGATTTTTAGAGGAGTTTGTCAAGATGAGGCTGAAGTTGATGGAAATAAGTTGTATGGAAGGTTTTATGTGACTTTCCATGGGTTATCGAAGTGTAAAGAATAAGGATGAAGAGCTGGATAAGAATAATTGGTTGATTATTATTAACCAAGTATGGTTCGTTAGATTAAGATTGATATTGATATACGTTCGACCAGTTTTTACACCTAACTAGCTACTCGTATATTGCATTACCATTCCTATTCCACGACCCAATTGAGGCCCCGTTGGCCACAGCCAGGGTGATGTTGCACAGTAACTACTCACTGTATGATGTGGGAAACCCTATGAAGGACCTATGCTGCATTAAAATTAGCCCAGTGCCTCGGACATCAAGAAATGCAAAAGAAAAGCGTAATGTGTAGTGTCAGATCAATGCCCTGTCACAGGCTGTGGTCATCAATGTATAGACTATGTTGACCGTCGTGATAAAAGAGTAAATCATCATATAGAACGGGTAGGATGGAAGATGTAACGGGGAAAATACACGGACAGCCACGTACCATTGCGCAGACTTTAGCCCGACGGTGTCATGTTGAAGCAACTGCATGTCTGAGACACCGGTTAGCCGCCGTCACCATGTGCTTCCAACTGGTATAGGCTCGGGAACGGGTGTTCAGGGAAGTTGACATTCTCGTCTTTGCTAGCGAAGCTAGCTTGGACATATGCTTGTCTTTGTGTCGTAATTGTCTCATCATGTGGAAAGGTGGAGAGTGGGCCAACAGGCACAAACGTACCGTTAGAAAGTGGCAGCCTATGTACAGATCATGTTAGTATGATGAGCCATGCAGTGCATTATGTGGGTGATATCATGGTAAAGGCACATGTTCAGTTTGGCATGAATGGTTATTTGAAATATTTGTGTCTGCATCGAGAATTCGAATAAGACTCGTCATCAAGATGTCATCACAATGTGGGAGTGCTAGCTGAATATAGTGCAAGAGCGAACTAACCATCTGACAAATCTACGTCATAGTGATGCAGTAGCAACTCCTGCGGTTTATGCAGTTAGCTAGGGCAAAATTCAAGTCATGGTATACAGCATTTTGTATAAGCCACAGATCAGTGGGCGAGGTTTTCTAGGCCTGCCGCAATGGGGCATGTCTATCATGACCGGCTTTGCCGTCAGAGCCCAGTGCCATTCATCCTTCTGTGTCCTTGGAGAGGCGAGTTGAGAAGACGGTGACGCCTTACATGGGTACTTATACCTTGGAAGGTATGTATTAGGGTGGACCTATTTAGCCCTTCTAACAGTTAGCTTGATATCCAACCAGATAATGCAAGAGTCAATGGTAGAGAGAAAGCCGAATCAGAAACAGCCATTTATAGTAACGTCAACAACCCGAAGGTCTCAGTCGGTATTTCCAGCGTATATTATAATAAAAATAATCATCATGTAAGGCAGCGAAGGGAAGTTCAAGTAGATATCTTACCTATTCATCTCAGAAAGCTACATCGAATGGCCTGTGCCTAATACTAGACAAAACACGTTAGCATCAAGCAGCAAAGAACGCGAGGTCTTCAAATCAATGGCAAGTGGCCAAGTACACTTCAGACTGACGTGTGCAATTATGGAGTTTCATGTCTTCCGAAGAAGATCAAAGACTCTAGTTTAGCGGTTATACAAATCATCACCCAGGACAGAACACAGCACAAAAAAGAAAACAAAAGGAAACCAGCACTGTTCAAGGCCAACTTACCCAGAAGAACAGCCATGGAAGCGGTCCAGAGAGCTAGAGATGGTTAGTCAACGGGTCATCCTGACTGAAATGTTCGCTGCTTGCTTGCAGCTACTTTGCTGTTTTGATATCGCACAGTGAAAGAACGAGAGAAAATTCAAGCTCGTAAAAAAGTTTTGAAGCTTTTTCTAGTTAAGGCAACGCCAAGGCCCTTTACCGTAAATAGATAGATACTCCGCTCTACCACCAAAGTTATCCCGGTCGGAGAATCTCTTGCTGAGTCATCATCCTGATCGACTTTGCAGCGACTTTTTTCTTTTCTTCGAGTTCTTTTTTTTTCAACCTTCTTATGTACTTTTCTTCTCTTTGATTAGATGGCTAGCAAGGTCGTCTCTCGCATCCTCTCCTTGCGCTTCTTCCCCCTGAACCCTTGCAGTTAGGTTCCGGCCATGCGAATATAAATGGGGAGCAAGGTCACGTTGGTCGCAGAAACCTCGCGAAAATAAGCCGGAGAGGGGCATTCTCGAGGGGCAGAGAAGAAGTATCAGGTACTTCTGTTTACCGCTAGCTATACGCTGTTAACAAGTACCAGTGACTTGAGGCCTCGCGGCTGTTCACGGGAAGAAAAACTCCCGCGGCTTCTTCTCCTTGCGAGGTCCAGTGACTTGTCGTGACGTCTTCCGTTTCGGGCGTTTTCATGGCCAGGCGTTTGTTTTGAGGGGAAAGCAAATATTAACCAACCCCTCTGGCTTTTGCTCTTCAGGTTTCTCTTCTCCCAGTTTGAACCATCTCGAGTGCTCTCCCGGCCTGTGAATTCCTAGTTGTCCATCTTTCTTCACGTCTTCCTATCATACACGGCTATCCAGCATGGGAGATAGCAGCAACAGTAACGGCACTGGTGCCGTTGGGCACGAGAACATCAACACCGACATCATCACCCTCACCCGGTTCCTGACCGAGGAGCAGAGCAAACACCCAGAAGCTACTGGTGACTTCACGTACGAGCTCCCCTCCAACTCAATTGCAGTGTGCCATGTCATAGATATATTCTGACCGTCTTGTTTAGACTCCTTTGCCATGCTCTCCAATTCTCCTTCAAGTCCATCGCCTACTACATCCGTCGTGCCACCCTGATCAACCTCACCGGTCTGGCTGGCTCCTCCAACACCACTGGTGACGATCAAAAGAAGCTCGACGTGATTGGCAATGATGTCTTCGTCGCTGCCATGCGAGGATCGGGAAAGTGCCGTCTCCTTGTCTCTGAAGAAGAAGAGCAGGCCATCATCTTCGATGAGAGCCCTAATGCTCGCTATGCCGTCGTCTGTGACCCCATTGACGGATCTTCCAACCTCGACGCTGGTGTCTCTGTCGGCACCATCTTCGGTATCTTCCAGCTCCCTGAAGAGATCCTCGGAACCGGCAAGACGGTCACAGCCAAGGATATCCTCCTCCCAGGAACTCAGCAGGTCGCCTCTGGTTTCACCATGTACGGTGCCTCGGCACAGCTTGTCATGACCGTGAAAACAGGAACGGTCAACGGCTTCACCCTCGACAACGCCCTGGGTGAATTTATCCTCACTCACCCTAACATGCGTATCCCCCCTAGTCGCTCCATCTACTCTGTCAACGAGGGAAACTCGATGTACTGGCCCGAGTGGGTCAAGAAGTACTTTGAGGAGCTCAAGTACCCAGAGCCTGGCAAGAAGCCATACAGCTCGCGATACATCGGTAGCATGGTTGCCGACGCCTACCGAACACTGCTGTACGGAGGTATCTTTGCATACCCTGCCGACTCGAAGAGCCCCAAGGGCAAGCTTCGTATCCTGTACGAGTGTGCGCCCATGGGTCTCATCTTTGAGAACGCGGGTGGTCTCGCCATCAACTCGAAGATGGAGAGATTGTTGGACGTGGTGCCAGAACATATTCATGATAGGAGTGGAATCTTCATGGGCAGCAAGAACGAGGTCCAGAAGGTTATTGATGTTCAGAAACGATTTGAAGCTGCTGGTTCTAACTAAATGTTAGCATGGCATTTGATATGTATGTAAGTGGATGAAATGGAACATATACTTCACAGCGAGGGAGTTTCTTTATTGTTATCACCCTGTTAGTTATCAAGTAACATAATGAAAAAAAGAATCATTGAAATAAATATTTGATTATCGTGTTCATTATATGCTCTAATGCTGACCCGTGTATTCTCATGCAATGCTATAATCTCACTCTTGCCCCCCTCCATATTCCTAACTCCCTAACAAGAAATCAAACGCCTTTTATATGCACCATACGATCTGAAAAAAAAGTAGACCACCGAGTATCACTGAACTTATAGCATCTGATAAGCCGAAGTCGGAGGTCGAACAGCCTCCGAACAAGGAGACACAACGTTCACACTGCCCCGTGCCACCGACTCACGTATGACTGGCATTGGCGTCCTGGGCGGGAGTAAAGTCGTCTGTATCGGCCTAAGTGGTCTAGGTACCTGCGACGAGTGTGGTCGATGAATCGAGTTTGATCGAACAGCCTCCGTGCGCTGGGGCCGGGTATGTAGTCGCGAAAGAAGATATTTATACTGTAGCTGCGCGCTGGCAGACTGGAATGGCTCTGGAGGAGCATGTGTTGGTTTGTTGGAAGGGTTTGCAGTGGCGCTGGGCCTGGTGATGGACTGAAGCACTGGAGGCGATGGTGTAGTGGGATTGACGTTTGTGTTGATTCGCAGTGCTGGGTGGAGGAGCAGCTCCTTATCGGATGCTAGTGCTGGTGATGAAGTCCGAGACGTTGTAGTAGTAGTAGGAATGGGAGATGCTTCTAGTTGAGATGTTAGTATCTACACAACTGTAACTCTTGTTTAACGTGCGGGACGTACCGATATCCCGTGGCGTTGTTTCTTTCTTCTCTTTATATCGAACGATGAGGATGCGATATAGAACAACCAGCAGCCCCAGTAGAACCAGGAAGCTCAACACCTCAGCTACTATAATCAGCAGCACAGTTGTCTGTTGTGAAAGCATCTTAACGGAGAAGTGATACTCTAGAGATGGATGGGAGAGTGTCTGATAACTGGGAGTTTGATGTCAATTGCCTACTACATCGACGAGGAACGGTACCTCTCTTTATCTATACATCGACATCTCCTAGCCTCATGGCGATGAGCCCCTCAAGCTTCTATCAATAACCTGCCTACCCTTGATCATGGCCCGTATATAATTCTCTTGCTAACCAGTATACGCCCCCGTGCATATGTATAGGCCAGGGATGAGATTTCCCCTCTTCCGCTCTAAACAAGTGAGGGGACTGAGTAAAACAACCCACCCTGCCGCATTATTCACATCGCATTTGCTAGGGGGTTGCGGCCAGTGACATCGCGTCCTGCGTCTATGGCGTGCATATCGGTGGCCTATTTTTACCTTCCGGCCCATGCCGCGGCGGGTGGCAGTGCGACCAAACCAGCAAACGCAGGGTTCTTTTTTGGCTGTTCTATTTTGGCCAGCGGCCCCCTTCGACCCCCTGTTGTTGGTTGCAGAACATGATGAGTGACCTTAGCTGGCCAGAGTAACGCGCTAGACTGCGGAACCGTTTTATCAAGTCTGTATTGTAGGTGCATCCCGCATCGCCTTTCGATGTTTGTTGTCGGTGTTCGACTTTTTACAGAGTGAAGTAAGCTCTTGCTTAGTCATACTCTAAAATCAACGCCAAGACAAGAAGCGACAGTTCGCTTTTTATCAAAGGATGACAGCAACTTCGTCCGCTTCGGCTTTTAGCAGAAGTTATGCTCTTGTTTTCCGGGGAGAGTGTTTGTCTGGCGTGCTATCACTATGGCTGGGACTGGCACGGCGAATTCTACGCTCATGGAGGTTAAAAATAATGATGTGACGCCCAGCGCCGTAGTGGCAAAGCCATGCCACAATTGCAGACGCCGAAGACTCAGATGCGATCGTTCCTTGCCGTCTTGTCAAAAGTGCATTAAAAAGGGTGAAAAGTGCCTTGGGTATGGCAAGCTGCTTGTCTGGAACCGAGGCGTGGCAAGTCGTGGGAAGATGATGGGCAAGTCGTTCGATGTGCCTGCGGTTCCGGCCCAGGAACAAGCTACGGCTTCAGCAACGCCCGGACACCAGGAACTTTCCCTGCCCCGGAAGTACCGGTTTGTACCGAGCAATGTGTCGGAGAGCGATGCTGTCAACGACGACGAAACCGAGGTGTCCATAAGCCCCTGCCTGGTTGATCCGCTCTTCCAAGATCTCGATCGTACATCCCGATTCTACATCTCGCACTGTAAACAATAGCCTGGCTTTCTCTTTGCTTCACGTATATTCATCGTGCTGACTACTAGTTCTAGTTACGGACCAGATGTGCCGTGATCTTGTAACATATGACGTTCCCAGGCACAACCCTTATCGTGGCATTGTTCCACTGATTCGGGACCATGCACTCTTGCTTCACGTCATCATTGCGAATTCTGCAATTCATATCTCCAACGTGCAGTCGAAAGGCTCGGCCCAGTTAAATGGACTTCCCCGCCAACATCCTCATCATGATGCACTGATGGCTAAGCAGAAAACACTCCAGCTTCTCAACAAGGCCATGAATGATATAAATGCAGTAGATCCAGAGGTGATACTCACGGCCATACTCCTCTCCATCAACTATGAGCTCGTGAGCTCAGGAAAGGATGACTGGAAGGTGCATGTGGAGGGTGCTCAGAAACTCATAGATTACTTTGGCATGTCGAGACGCTCCGACTTATCCTCCGCGATGAGTGCGTTGCGCGATCATGTCGTATCCGATTGCCTCATGTAAGTTCAGACTGCTATCCAAGAGCTACTTTTGTAATAACAAGGAACGAAAAAAAAACGTTTAACCGTCAAACAAACTAGCTATTACATACTCGGCTCTACCTTCTCGGCTCGAAGACCGAATATGGGGACCGCAAGTTACCCGTTTCTTGATGTATTGCCATTGCTCGAGCGTGCAGAGGCAAACAGTTACATGTCATGCCCTGCATTTCTCCTACAGATAATGCTTTCGGCCTCCCATCTGTCTAGCCTGGATAAGGTGACGGCTTTTGAGCAAGAGCAGGCTCTCAACCTCATAGAGAAGGCTAGAGGCTTTGATATCAATGCTTGGGCAGCTTCCGTGCAAGGAATTTCATCCACCAATGATTTCGAAAGCCGTGTTCATGTAGCATCGGCACATAAATTAGCGGTGTGTCTCTATATTCACCAGGCTGTTCCTTCTGCGCGCTTGATGGATAAACACAGCAGCAAGGCCACTGTTGAAGATATCATTGGTCATCTTTCTTTTATCCTTCCTGGAAACCTGCTTCTCAAGGGCACTTCTTGGCCCACTTTCATAGCTGGTGCTGAAACTCACGATCCAACTCACCGGGCCTGGATTGTGGCGCGTCTTCATGCCTTATGGGAGATGTTGCCATGGGGCTATGTCCACACTGCAATCGAGATGCTGAAAACGATATGGTCAATGGAAGACTTGGCTACGGACACAACTGGTGGATGGCTCCAGAAGCTGAAGGCCTTGGGAAATGACTGGATTGTTGTTTGATCAGTTTCCTTCCGGTCATCCTTTCGAGTCGGGCTTCTGCGGCGTTAAAGAGCTTTATCTTGCCAAGCTTTTATGGTGCTACTTGGCATTATTACCTAAAACGGAAGCTTGGCGACACTTTATGCATGGTGATGGTACCTTATTTTTAAGACGAACTCACTATACAGAAACCAGCTTGCTATATAAGCTAGCAGTCGATTGCCGTTTGCTCTTCAGGATGGGGGACTTTGTCTGTGTTTCACTACATCTTAGCTATGCTAGAGGTTCAGCTCCCTGACCAAGGCGTGGGCCAATCCCAATGGCCTCTATCACGGCCTGCCCATAACCTTCTGCACGAAGGTGTTGTTGAGGAGATAGGATCCAATCCAAAGCACGGTTTGACTAGTTCAGAGGCCCAAAGACGCCTAGAGCAGTATGGGAGGAATGATCTAGGTAATACCGAGTCTGTCCAGCCGGCGAAGATGTTGCTTCGGCAGGTTGCAAACGCTATGACCTTGGTATGGCCAATTATCACCTTTGGTAAATGATGGAAAAATTACCTGCAAGCTAATTACGCAAGTAGATCCTCGCTATAGCTATGGCAGTGAGCTTTGGTATCAATGCTTGGATTGAGGGAGGCGTGCTAGCAGCAGTTATCCTTATAAATATCGGCATAGGCTTCATCCAGGAATTTCAGGCAGAAAAGACTATGGGCTCACTTCGGTCATTGAGCTCCCCGACTGCCTGTGTTGTACGTGACGGGCGCCAAATTACTATTCCGACTGCAGACGTTGTACCAGGTGACATAGTAGAAATGAAGACCGGTGACACCGTTCCAGCAGATATCAGGTAACGATTATACGATACATATTGTAGACTTGTTGTTATACTAACTTGGCAAAGACTCATAGAGGCCATAAACTTTGAAACGGATGAAGCCTTACTTACAGGAGAATCCTTACCACTGCGCAAAGATGCGAATGCCACTTTCAGTGATGATACCGGCCCTGGTGACCGGCTTAATGTCTGCTTCAGCTCATCTATTGTGACCAAGGGCCGAGCTAGAGGTGTTGTCTTTTCCACAGGGGTATATACGGAAATCGGGTCTATTGCAACCGCGCTTCGCGCAAAGAGTACGAGATATAGGCCGGTAAAACGTAAGCCAGACGGCTCTGCGGGCATCCATCGCTATGCTCAAGCATGGGCTCTAACGATCTATGATGCTGCTGGCGAAATTTTGGGCCTTAACGTTGGTACACCGCTGCAGAAGAAACTTTCTAAGCTTGCGCTTCTTCTCCTCGGGACTGCTGTCATTTGTGCCATCATTGTGCTTGCTGCCAATAAATTTAGCAATCATCAGGAGGTTATTGTTTATGCTGTAGCCACTGGGCTAAGTATGATACCGTCATCCCTGGTAGTAGTTTTAACCATCACAATGACGGTCGGTACAAAACGAATGGTGAAAAGACATGTTATTGTACGCAATTTGAACTCGTTGGAGGCGCTTGGGGCGGTTACAGGTATGAAATTCTCCATAATCTAATGCCGGCTGAATCTAACACCGGGAAGACATTTGTTCGGACAAAACAGGTACTCTCACTCAAGGAAAGATGGTAGCCCACAAAGCCTGGGTGCCTGCGCGAGGGACATACTCGGTCGGACAATCAAGCGAACCGTTTAACCCTAGGGCAGGCAAATTGTACTTCGATCCTAAGCAACCGCGCGATATTGATTTTACGGGCCTAAAAGACGACTCTCAAACCGAATATATCAAAACCGGGGGTGATTGCCATCTCGATAAGTTTCTCAAGGTTGCCTCCTTGGCCAATCTTGCGGTTGTTCGTGAGACTTCTACGGGAGACTGGGAAGTTCATGGTGACCCAACTGAAGTTGCAATCCAGATCTTTGCATCACGCTTCGATTGGAACCGTTACTGGCTGACGTCTGGAGATCAACCTGCGTGGAAGCAGGTGGCTGAATTTCCATTTGACTCGGATGTCAAGAAAATGTCAGTTGTTTTTGAGGCAGCGGCAGGAGATATGTATGTTTTCACCAAAGGAGCCGTTGAGCGAGTTTTATCATCATGCTCTTCAATTGAAATGGGGGATGGTTTAGAATATAACGCACTCACGCCGGGGGTCCAGGCTGATATTCTAGCTAATGTGGAAGCATTTGCGGCACACGGCCTACGTGTTCTTGCGTTGGCTAGCAAATCACTTCCAGCGTCTTTGGACTCGAAAAATGGAAAGATTAACCGCAACGACGTCGAAAATGACTTGATTTTCCGTGGCTTGATTGGCATTTATGATCCACCCCGTCCCGAATCCGCTCCCTCTGTGCGTCGTTGCCATGAAGCTGGTATTTCCGTTCACATGTTGACGGGCGATCACCCCAGCACAGCGCGATCTATTGCGACAGAAGTGGGGATACTTCCAGCAGATACTAACTTGCTAAGTAAAGGCACCATTGATTCCATGGTTATGACGGCTCAACAGTTTGATAAACTTTCAGACAAAGAGATCGATGCACTCCCTGAGCTTCCATTGGTAGTAGCGCGGTGTGCACCTAATACAAAAGTTCGAATGATTAATGCTCTACATAGGCGTAAGAAATTTGCTGCTATGGTAAGGCTGGCCCTGCCCATCCGTTACGGAACAATATGAAAACTAATTATACCAGACTGGTGACGGGGTTAATGACTCTCCCTCACTGAAGAACGCCGATGTTGGCATTGCCATGGGCCTGGCTGGATCTGATGTCGCAAAGGATGCATCGGACATTATCTTAACCGACGATAATTTTGCTTCAATCCTTAATGCCATTGAAGAGGGTCGGCGCATATTCGATAATATCCAAAAGTTTATATTACACGTTCTATCTCAAAATTTTGCACAGGCTATAGTTCTACTTGTCGGTCTTGTATTCAAAGATGCAGACAATCTATCGGTTTTCCCACTAAGCCCGGTTGAGATCATTTGGCTTGTAATGATAACCTCAGGGCTTCCAGATATGGGGTTAGGATTTGAGCAGGCGACAATGGATATTATGAGGCGGCCTCCGCATCGAGTGAGTATTTCGGCTTATCCTTACCTATTTCATAATTTTTTTCGTTTTGGTATACACTGGTTTGATATACTTCATTGCTTACTTTTACGATTAAGGGTGGTATTTTCACTACGGAGATAATGTTGGATATGGTTGTATACGGAACCTGGGTTGCTACATTGTGCCTAGGAGCTTTCACGCTTGTACTTTCGGCTTCGGGGATGGCTCACTTGGAAGCAATTGCAACAAAACTTACGAGGGGTGTGAACTGGTATTTCGAGCGCGAGCCACAACCTTTGCTTGTTTGACATGGTTTGTTCTCTTCCTAGCCTGGGAGATGGTTGACATGCGCCGCTCATTCTTCAATATGCGGCCATCTTCTCCCTCATCCACTATTTTCCCAAGATGGTGCCGCGACATCTGGCAGAATCGGTTTTTGTTTTGGGCAAATATTTCAGGGTTTATCATGGTGTTCCCTTTGATATATATTCCTGTGATAAACAGGAAGGTCTTCCGCCATTCTGGCATATCATGGGAATGGGGTATTGTTCTGGTTGGTACAGTCTTGTTTTTTGCTGGAGCAGAGACATGGAAGTTGGCGAAGAGGGTATACTTTAGACGAAAAGCAAGCTCAGTACTTGGATGTGGCAAGCAAAAATCTGACCCTGAGAGCAGCACGTTCGAATATCAGAAGCAAATATAGGGTGCAATCGTGCTCAACATTTATAGATGTAACTAGAACAAGAACAAACCAACGCTTCTATATTTTTCACCAATCTTGTGGGTATATTTATCATAAACCAGGCCCAAACCCATTACTCTATTATTCCCTTTGCGCCTATTCAATAGTACATTGATTATTGTGATAAGTGTAGTCAAGTGCCTTTAGGAGCCCGACCAAATGTATACACATCCCCACAGCAACGATAGTATGGAAAATGGTATGAGAATGGCCCCATATATCAAATTTCCCAGGATACCATCGCTCAGGAATTTGCCGCTATTAAACATTTTATTAGTCTAGGAACAAAAGTAACAAATGGATGTATTGACGGGAAGGCTGAAGCTAATCAATCGCGCAGAGAACTTAGAAGCTTAACCAGCATGACATTAACTCACCTCGTAAATGAACGCTGAGAAAGCTATTATGATCCCCTCGGTGAGGTAATAAGGAAGTCCAACATGTATACTACTCTCAAGTCCATGGAGCAATAGGGCGTGTGTAATGGGGGCGAAGGCAGAAAGACCAGTGCAGACAAATGTTGCCACCCGAAAACCTCGCCATTTTGGATCTTGAAATTGAGATGACAGGAATAATAGTCGCCGTCAAGGAACCCAAGGACAACAATCTGGGCAGTTTTTGTTTTTGTTAGTTCGACAATATATTCACTATGTAAAAGTAGAATAAAGGCCTCTCTGCAAACACACCATGGTCCAGTATAACCGCTGAAGGTAAGGTTCACAGTAAAACCCAAAATATATGCCACTGATAAAGCAACCTTGAATGAGGGTGATGATTCCCATATAATCGCATAATAGCCACCGTCTTGCTATTGATGCGGAATGGTTTAAGAAGGTATGGTACAGGGAAGACGCTCCCAGGCATAAGACGACGGTTGAAAGAAAAAGGGAGAGGATGAGCTCATCACCTTTGCTAAGTGTTTGATATCGGGATGGAAGATAGGAGCTGAATAGATACCAGTGCAGAGCAAGGTAAAGAACCGCGGGCAAGAAGTGGGAATAGATGTTGCAGGACTCGTTATGAAGATAAGTCCAGCTTTGCAGGGAACGAATCGCCGATCGAGACTCATAGCGATAGCCTGTGAGAATAAACCGGTTCCCCTCGAACCAGTCTGGAGTCTCTTCAAATTTAAGAAGACGTCTATATTGAAACGGCGACTCGAGCCGTGGTGGTGGTGTTGGAGGCGCCGACTCTGTCAATTTTTTTCGCGCCATGAGGAGGGAAAAATTTGCCGGTAGAGACAAACAGATATATGTGTATCCAGACAAGAAAGATCTGAGATTCAACAGCGTACTAGGCAGATATGTACAGTCGTTTATCTGTATTTTCCACTTTCAAGAGCAGTTCAGATATGCGCCTTTTTAAAAGGGGCTAAATGAGCGCGGCTGATCATATGCTATTCACAAGCGGGGGCACTAAAATAGCTTGACAAGCTTAACTCGCTGCGGAGCCAAAAGAGCCATGGATTTCACTGTGAGATTTCCACAAGTATGGTAGTTAATATCATCAATGGGGTGTTTGTCCTCGCATGGCCATGTTGGATAGACAATGCGTGCTATCATCGTCTTGACCTAGCTGGACAGCAGTGTCTACACTCAATCCCGGGCATTCTTGCCCAGGCGCACTCAAATTTTGTCAGGTGTTACCTTGCGTGACTGGAATAACGGGATTAACAAAAGAAGTACGGAGTATTGCACCGGGTCCCACCGGATTTCTCGAAATAATTGGCTACACGGAGCTCATATCTTGTATGTAGAAAGTGAATATATGTAATCTGAGTTGGGCACATTTTGAAGACAAACCCGCGAGATTCCTCTCTTGTCCGTCGAAGGTAGACTTGAACCATACTGTGGAAGAATATAGCCATAATTATCTTCATTCAACAACCGTTTATTCAAGTATTTATCCAGCCGCCGTCGTGATATTCTTTTGTAGGCCCCTTTTTTTAGCCGTTTGAAGGGAAAACTGGCCCCCTGATGACATAATAAAATTTTTATATTTGTATTTAGGTATATCACGTGATGTATAATCAACTAAACTCTATATAATTGGCTGTTGGAGATATTTTAACCTCACGTTAGACTATACTGTGTGAAAATGACGATTACTAAGCTTTCTCACCCTTTGTCTGTTCTCAAAACGGCTAAATTTTGCGTTGAAGATTGTATCAACTATTCGCCACGCCTTGTCTCTAAGGGCCTCAGGACGGGGAAGAAAAATTTTCAAGATGATAACCCAGCTAAATAGTCAGCAAATCTCTCTACGGCGCAGATTTTTAGATACCTGTCCGGGATAGCAGCCGTTACGACAGCCGGAGGAAGAACCGAACCTTCAAGGAGATTCTCCGGCCATCACACATCGGATGTAAGGATCCACATCACGCTTGATTCAACCGATCTGGGGAAGCCATTAACATTTGCTCTAACATTTCCGGCAGCTCGAAGAACATTTGACGGGGATTGATTGCTCGCCTTCAATACAAAATACCCCGAGATCCAGAAGCCCAACCCGTCACAAACTTCAATGGGCGTGGAGAAGAGCACAGGCAGATTTTTTATTGGTGAAATCTCTTTCGCTTGATAGGCGTTACGCCGTTTAATATTAATAAAGGCATTGTGGGTTAAGAGTCGGGATCTATATTTGGCCATGGGGACGGTAACCGAGGTCGAAGAATCGGATGACCACCCTCAATTAGATACAGACAGTCTTTCCGCCCAAGACAGCAGTATCTTCCGACGTAAGTGAGAGAAAACCAGCCTGATACTTGTGCGTGTGATCGCAAGAAATAATAACTGATTGAGTCTTCTAGCCGAATCTAAGCTTGCAGCTTATATACCAGGGGGTTACTCTCCTTCAAGATGCATGAAGCTCAGTGGCCTGCCAATGGTGTATGCCGTTTTTGCATATGCCGGCTGTGCAATAATGTTTTTCGGATATGACACGGCCGTAATGTCCCAGGTTAATATAAACCAGGATTATCTCCATGTTATGGGGGTTGCCGGTGGTACGGATCGTGATGCGGCGGCAATTGGTGGACTGGTTAGTTTGTGGTTTGGCGGCTTTGCAATTGGTATGCGGTATTTTTTCCCCTTCAATCATCATATATATGTTTTAAACTAACTCATCCAATAAGGGGCAATGATGGTCGGATATACAGCAGATAGGGTTGGGCGCCTAAAAACTATACAAATTGGATGTGTCTGGGGAATCCTTGGAGCCATCCTTCTTGCCACGGCCCAAAACGTTTCTTGGTTTGCGTTTGCGCGAGTTATCAGCGGGATAGGATGTGGTTATTTGAACACCATTGTTCCAATTTGGACTTCCGAACTGGCTCCCGCTAACATGAGAGGAGCATTTGTTGCTGTCCAATTCACTCTTGCTATGGTTGGATCTGCCTTGTATGGAACCACTTTCAGCCTTCCCCAATTTGACGTCTATGTACTAACTTTTAGCCTTAGGGTTTATTGGGTGGAATACGCATGTGTCAAGACACGGTCTCTCTCTTTTGCTTGGAGGTTCCCCAACGCTTTCCAAGTCATATTTCTCATTATTCTACTCGTCTTCGGACCCTTCTATCCAGAGTCTCCTCGATATCTGGCTAAAATCGGAAAAACTGACCAAGCAAAAGCGATCCTAGACAAGTGTCGCGTAAACCATGACGAGGAGAAGATTGAAGCGGAGATGGGAGAAATTCTTAATGCCATCAAAATCGAATCTTCAGGCTCAAATGCAAGTTTTTACGGTATGCTTTTCACTGCGGACAAACTTCACACTCGCCGCCGAGTCTTTCTAGGCGCTGGGGTCCAAATAATGCAGAAATTCACCGGCATCGACTTCATTGCCGTTTACGCTCCTAATATTTTTGCCTTCTCAGGGTTCAAAGGAGATACACCGGCGTTGCTCGCAGGAGGTAACTGGTTTGGATACATTCTCGCTCTTGCCCTGTCAATATATCTATGTGACCATGTCGGTCGCCGGAAGATGATGTTGTCTGGCTGTATTCTCATGGGAGTTGTTCTCATAGTTGGAGGGATCCTAGCTCACGAGACCTTAAAGTACGCCGAACTAGACCCGGGAAGGGCTAATAAGTATGGTGCTGGAGTTGCTTCTATTTTATACATTTATACCTTCATATACGGCTCGACTTGGTTGACTACTTGGTAAGTTTACCTATCCTTGTATCTTGAAATGAGTTTATTAACCCACCTAATAGCTGGGTATATCCTACGGAAGTGTTCCCGCTAGCAACTAGAAGCAAAGGCACGGCAATTGCTACGTTTGCTTTCTCAGTCGCTGGTGGCACTATCAACATGATTATTCCATACCTGATCAATGCAATAGGTTTTTGGGTCTTCATTTTATTCGCTCTTATCAACTTGGCAATGCTGGTACCCATTTATCTTTTCTACATTGGTAAGCCGTCAACCTAACTGCCCTGCCAGACAGATACCAATTCTAACATCATATACAGAGACCGCAAATAGGCATTTGGAGGACCTGGACCTTCTTTTCGCAAGTAAAAGCTGTTTTGTCTGGCGTGCAGAGAAAGAGTTTGCTGAAGCCAAAACTTCCCAAGTCCACCATGCAACCGGCTGACACGCAAATCGGAAAGGAACCTCATGGGAGGCATCTAGTGTATTATTAGGAGGTACAAGGGGGTGGAATGTAGAATAGAGCGAAGAGATTTCATCAGTTGTACATGACTAGTAATGAACTTCGTTTACTCTCTCGGGTCCAACGACCGCAATAGCCGCCATCAACCTATGCTAGATTAGCACTGATACTACTAAATGACATACAGAATATTCATTTACTGTCAACAATTTTCAGTTGACGTAGGAACTGGCCGCACTTGCAAGAAAACCCGCAGGGTCTTTCATATCATCAGGAGTCACCTATCGTCCAGCAGGAATTCCCGGGTTTTTATAACTTTCAGGCTTTCACTATCTCACTTAGAACGTGTTCCTTATTCATATCAGTTGCAATATACCTAGAAGGCATCGGGCAACGCATTCACATTTATGCTCTTTGACGCTCATTCGTTGGCCGATTGCCGTGGACCATTCAATACCACGGGTGCCTCCTATCGAACAACGAGAATGCCATATTTCAAAAGGGATTCGTGAAGAATATAGCAAATAAGCTTGTTATGCTGTTGGTAGAATGAAGGTGCTTTAATAGGCTGTAAAGGTCGAGACGGTCTGGTAATTAACGACTATTTACTAAAAATCTGGCCGAGGTTCTGAGCATGGGTTTTGGATAACTTCAACAGATCGAGATATATTTATCTTAGAGATATAATATGATGTGTATATATAGTACATCGCACTGTAGAGATGACAAAGGAACGGTCGTTTCTCCAAGGAACGAAGATATTATAGAGAATTGGCAATATGTTGAAGACAAGATAAACCGGAAATAGGATACAAAAAGAAAAAGAAAACGGGAAATTAGTCTACTGGATCCTCCTGCAATATGGCTTCGAAGCTGAAAGGCGTAAATGGTATGCCGTCACCAATGAAATGCTTGCTCATTGCTTCAACCCAGTGAAGACGGAGGGAGTGAAGCATAGCACTGGTTCCTTCCATGACACAGAGAATCGAGATCGTAAGTACAAACCAGAGGTAGAATGTGATGACAGTCATGATCACTCGGAGAGTGGGAGAAGTTTGGAGGAATGCATTCCCGAGGGTCATGCTCCATAGTACAGAGGAAAGCTGTTGATGAGCAAGGGAGAGGGCCCAAAGTCGGAGGTAGGATGCGGTGTGGGATACACAGTTGAGACAGAATTCTAAAGTTTTGTAAGTTAGTGGTTGTCTGGTTTATGGGGAAAATATGCAGGGCAATAAATAAGGGGAAGAGATGACATACCAATAGTGTGGATGACTTGGTGTATCATTTCCTCTGAAAATTCGAACTCGTGGTGCTCTTCACCTTCACTCATATCTTGGGTGACCATGCCAATACCCTCTCCCTCGTCCATGCTATCGCGCTGCCCGCCAGAAATCAGGGTTTGTTGTTCATTGTCATCATCCACAGCGCTGGCGTGGGCAGCTTCGTTGAGACCTCTATAACCAAGGCCGCGTGCACGGTTATGTTCCCAGCGGAGATATAGAGGTTTGAGAAGAAGAAGTATCGGGACTTGGATAAGGGCTATAAAGAGCAGAATCTTTTGGACAGTTGCCTGACCAGGGTATAGCTCATCATCAACACGGCCAGGTTGAAGGAACATAAAGATAAGCATGTTCAGGAGACCGGGCGCTGGAAGGCCAAGGCCGTTCCAGTCAACAGACCATTTATAGATTATGGTAAAGACGAGGTACCCGAAGATAGATTGGAAGAAGATCATTCCAGGAATGAAATTTCCCCAAATTTCAATGGGTTTCTTGAAGTGACGTGCGTTAACAAAGGACTGGCAGAGCGAGTATGTCATCTAACAGCAGCGTTAACATTTCAAAACTTTCTGTAGGGGGAAAGGTAAACAACACTTACATGTGACCAACCAAGAATGATACTCAACTTCATCTTGTAACTGTTGGTGAATAGCAGATTGTTATCAGCTCCGTGCCATCCCCAATCCAAACCAAATGGATATCTATATGAGCCCTTTAGCTCAGCAAAGACGGTTTCATTTTCATTAAAGTCTTCTGGCCAAGCCCAAGCACTCTGGAAGATGTCCATCGACTTCGAAAAGATATCGTTGTAAATCAATCCGGTGTACATGGCAAATATTCCCATCATAAGCATAATATATCGACCAGAGAACGCCATGGAGCTCAGCTCATCCAGCTTGGTCTTCCCAAGTTTTCTTTCGAATAAAATCAGGGTGATCGCAAGCATTGTCATGAGCATAGCATGGCCGAAATCACCAAACATGACGGCGAAGAAGAATGGGAAAGTAACAATAGTTGGGAGACCGGGATTGACTTCTTGATATTTGGAGGTACCATAGGCGTCGACGATAAGCTGGAATGACTGGGTAAACTTGTTGGTCTTCATGTAAGTGGGCGGCGTCTTATTAGTGCGAATCTGGTTGACAATCGTCGGAACCGAGAGACCAGCATGATCGTTGACATCTTGTAGAGTCGACTTGATAAGACCAAGCGAGTTTGTAGGGCACCATGCCTCCGCAATCAGGGTCTTTCTGGCTTGATCATAGGAAAATTTGTTCAGAGCATGGTAAACCGCCTTTTCCTTCTTAACAATGATCATCCACGCAGCGAGAGAGCGAGCGATTTGCGTCAACTCGGCATCAAGTGCGTTCTTCGTGTTGCGAAGAACATTACCCACATCGGTTAAGCGAGTATTGACATCGTGGATCTGATCTCTTCGAAGCTCGCTATTCTCATCCACAGCATGTAGGTTGGCGCCTAAAGACTCAGAAATCTTTCGGATCTTGGCGATGATTTCTTTTCCATGAGCAAAGATAACAAAGACGTTCTTGTGTATCTCCTCATTAGTTGAAGGATCGACAATAGGGTCCGGGATTTCAGACTGGTTCATGTAAAGGTTGCCACGGAGAGTTCGCCAGAGAATCCGCTCAAAGGCACCGATTCGATCCCTAGGAATTACTCCCGCGACAAAACCAATGTCCATAACCGAAAATGATGCGTGCTGGCCATCTCCGTTCTGAGCCCTTGGCGGCTGCTGTTCCATATCTCTCAAGAGGGGAGCTTCATCGTTATCAAAGGACTGTCTGATTTCGTCGGTTTGTCCGTGTGCCTAGATGTTACGTTAGTGCTGTAAGAACAGAATAATGGGGTAGTTTTATATGAGTGTAATATACCCGGTCGAAGAAACCACCGGCTTCCCTCAGGACCCAACGTCGCTCTATGAGCTCAACTTCACGTCTTTTCAAGGCTTCATAGCTCTCGTTCAGCGACGAAACACGCTGTTCGAGGCTTTCACTGCGTTCAGCGAGCTCATCAATCTCTGAGGCCATGGGAGCCGCCAGGTTATTTGGGAATTCCTCCGATGGACGCATCTCAATATCGGCCTTGTCCATCTGAGAATGGAAGTATCCTATTTAAAAAAAGAATCGTTAGAGTCCTTGTATATATATACCGGTCATCTTTATGAAAAGGCCGCGCATACGAAGTTGCCTTTCCACATTGTCCAATCGTCGAATCTCACTCGTAAACGTCTTTTGGAATGCAGTTGTCTCTTCATTCAGCTGTAACAAAACGCTTCATATTAGCACCACTGCATCATCAACATATATAGCCAAGAACAAAGTGTTTGTATCCTCACATCTCTAAACTGAACCTGCCCAAGCTCTCCAAGAGCGCTAACGACTTCACGTCCGATTTCGTTCGCAATATAGAGCTGGGTAAGGCACATGTCCGCCGAGCGGAACAGGGTGTCCTGCGTAGGGCTCATCATTACGGGCAACGGTGGGCTCTACGCCCTATCCAGCAGCTAGCCCAAGTATTAAACACTGCTTCTATATCAAAAGCAGAGTAAACAATAGAAAAACGAATAACGCAAAAGAAAAAGATGACTTTGTTGCTGCTTGTGAGCTTAACGTTCTGCCTACCGCATCGGGTTGATCACGTGTAATATGACTAATATATGACTAATAACATTAAGGATGACATAATAATATGATCCTTAACGTCAACGGCCAAAGTCTCGATAGTTTTGGAGGATGGAAGTATATAAATATAAATGAGGGGTATGTACATATATACGATATGTACTTATGGCCAGATGACCCCTCGTTTGATTTCTGCAAAGCCAGTTGAACATCTCTATACTTGAAAAGACCCTGGATGGTTATATCAACATGTCGGTTCTCAGCGTATCTGTCTCGGGGGGCCATGATTTCTCCAAAACTCCTGCATCGAACATCACCCTAGTTCAAAACTTGGGAGTCAAGGGTGATGCTCATTTTGGAACGCACGTACAACACCGTTCTAGGCTCCATATCAAGCCACCACCCCAAAACCTGCGTCAAGTCCATCTTATGCCCTATGAAATCCTCTCCGCCGTCGGCGTCCAACCTGGCCAGCTGGGTGAAAACGTTACTACAAAGGGTGTAGACCTTCTAACTCTGGGCAAGGGGACAAAACTTCGTTTTGTGGATCGGAATTCATCGACTGCCAACGGTCCAGTGGTGACTGTGACGGGGCTGAGAAACCCGTGTCCTCAGATTGACAAATTCAGGAATGGGTTACAGGAACACTTCGTAGTCCGGGATGCTAACCGAGCTATCGTTGATCGAAAGGCTGGGATCATGGGAGTCGTGGAGGCTGGTGGTGATATTCGGCCCGGGATGACCATCGTTGTGGAACCGCCAGCGGTTTTTGAGAGGTTGGAATGTGTTTGATGATCAGGTAAGAGTCTTAAGTAAAGCATGAAGCGCCGGCAATTCTAATGCTCTCTCTGTAGCCCTCTGGCACCGAATTATCTTTTTTGTAGTCAGTCTTCTGTCTCATGAGGGATGTGGGTCTTGATATTGATACTTGGTTTCTTCCAATGTCCGTTGGGCACCCAAGAGGTCCAAGGATAAAGTCGTAGGTAGTGTTGACTGGACTAATAATGTTACTAACATTGAATTAATATCCCTAAGTGCTTGATATTGGTGGATACAGTAGAAATGTATAATTAAGATACTAAGCTTTTTGCCTAACGTAATATCCAGACTCCTGACCTTCCAATCCATGTAATAAGTAATAAAACGGAACAAGTATTAAATAAGATATAATCTAAACCCAATTCTCTTTCTCCCTACTGCCGGCTTAGAAACAGGAACACGTGTGTAGGAGCATTTTCTTGGACTCTCAACCAAGAACTCTCTACCCTAAGCAAAGTAGCTTTTCCACAAGACACCGGCTAGATCTTCAATCTGGTCTGGTTTAAAGGCCTGAAAAAGAAAAAGAATATGTTAGCAAGAGGTTTACTGATGTTAGGAGTTTTTTTTTTTTTCATATACTTACCTTGACATCTATGTGCCAGGTATCCTGCCTAGTCTTCTTGAAGTCACTGATAATAGATTTCACACTCTGTCCAACAACACCAGGGTCGCCGCCTGCCTTTGTGCTAAGTGTCGTCAATGCATCAGGCATCCAGCTCGGTGGAGGGCTAGTGTACGGGAAGGCTTGGATAAGAGCCCCTAAGCCCAGGACAGCGGCGTGGCGTGTGATAATAAGCCTGGTATGTTCTGGAGTAGGGGTGCTTGCGCCTGTAGATGTGGCGGATGAGAATCCAGATGAAATGATTCTACGCTTCTTAGGCAAGGGGTGTTGGATAAGGGAGGTCGTGAATCGATCGAGCAGTTTAATGACCATATCTTGCCGTAGTGCCACAGGCGAACATCGGATCATTCCAGACAGCGTTGCCGCGGCGCCCGCCCTAACTTCATGCTGCTGGTCTGAAAGCATACTGGCAACGCATTCAAATAAATTCTCGCGATCAGTGGCGGACAAGAGGAATAGTCTCCTGAAGTAGATTATTTGCATATTAATCATGACACGGAGACGTTGATGCCATGAAGGGGAGGTGCGGCCAATTCGGATAAGTGTATTGATAAAGTCGGAGTCTTCGCCACTAAGATGTGGAACGTTGGGAAGATGACGGAAAACGTGGTATGCCAGGGATTGCAGTTCAGGATCCTCTTTAACATCCATCATATGCAGGAGCTGTTCGGTAAATAAGGTGGAGAAGAACTGTACAAGCTGAGTGCATTCAAATGAGTACAGCATTGAATCAAGCCATAGCAGCACTGTCTTACTACCAGACGTATAAGAAGATGGGGTCTGTTGGCCTGGCTTCCTCTCCAGTCGCCACTTCTCAATCCTATTAAAGACGTCGGTAATCGTAGTTACGAACTCCTCGCTAGGCTGATAGGCACGGCTACCGACCGATGATACTTTCTTCTGCTGTTCGATCAATTGCCCAACATCCGCGTATGATTCATGGTATCGTGTCCGGTAGATGGAAGCAAGCGTATTACCCATAGCTTCACGAACCCCTTTGTATGGATGGTCAAGGTGAGCTAAGAAATCCTCAAGAATAGGTTTCTCAAGCTGAAAATGCCAACCAGAGTCTGAGATACATCGGTGGAGTAAGTTGATTTTTGAACTCTCCTTGAAAGCAGCATTGGAAGTCATATCTAGACGGAAACTAGACAGCCAATCCACCAGTGGCCATGACCGACGAGGATCCCTACAGTGCAAGATCATGTGAAGGCATTGAGACCAATAATCGCAGTTTTCAGGCGTGAGCCCATCAGAAAATGTTTTTTGAATGATTGGGAATGCATATTCCCATACTTCGGTGCGCTTCTCCACATTGAGATCAATCACAGAAATTATAAGACCGCCCAGTATTTCGGCCGTAGCGCGATGTTGATGTTTATCACTTCCGTCTTCGTAAACGAGCTCTATCTCCTTCTTAACCTCCGGGAAAGTTACGGCTGTGAGTCCATCGCGCAGTAGTAGTTGAAACACGTGAACCAGCATAGTGGAGATTGACATTCGGAACTTATCAGCAGAGGCATCCCTTGGTTCCTGTTTCAGGTACTTGAAAAAGGTCGAAATCCATTCTCGGGTAATCAGCTTGCCAATATATTTGCGGATATTCCATTCAAGGGAATCATAATCAACATCCGTGTCGACATTAGCTTTGTATGCTGGCATGGTCTTATCCCAAACTAGGAACCCTGGGTGATCATGGTCGATGTAGTATTCCGCTTCAGGATGAGCAAAGCTCTCAAGGTAGGAAGCTGTCCAGTTTGGATCTTGTGGATTCGTAGTAACCTGTATTTTTGATGGGAGCAAATAGTTTCCAAGAATGTAGTCTTTGTAGTTATGGTGACACATCGCCCTGATATCGATCATAGTGAAGAGGGCAACAAATGTTTGCGCATACATCCATCGTAAGCCGGGATGAGAGTCTATAGAACCTGTAATGATAAGTTCGATCAAATTTTCACTGGCTACGTGGTCAAATCGTAGCCCCATAGTAAAGAGAATTGCCGAAGTTCGAATGGTTCTCTTCCAATGGGATGTTCTGGCCAAGTTTGCGAGCTCGTCCGCCATTTCTGACTTTCTTTTCTCAATAGAAACCCATTTCTTTTGAATGGACTCCCGTTTCGCTTCAATCTTGGAAGCCATGGACTCGTCAGCGGGAGCGATGGATCTTATGACATCCTGGTCCAGAATGGCCATTCTGCTCGATGGGTGTCCATAATCTACAACTTGGAATAGAGCACCACCGCAGAGCTTCTGAATTGATGGTTTGTCGACGGTAGTGGCTTCAATAAATGCCCTGATGAGAGCGGGGGTGTACTTCCAATGCCGACCCAGCGGCTTGGCTAAACTAGAATACATCAGAGCATATATCGCACCTTTGATACGAGGGTGTTCGTTTGCTTTTACGGCTCTTTGTAACGCTTTGATCAAAGGCCGTATGAGAAGAAGCCGTGAGCCCCATATAGACCGAAGCGCAGACTCCGCAGCTGACTGGGCATTTCGCCTAACATCAGTGTATAGCGATACACTAGACTCGGCTAAGTCAAGTAAAAGAACTGTGTCAAGCTTCGAGCGTGGTCGGGGCGCTGCGTTATGGCGGAGCCGTTGTAAGTGGTACACATATGCTCGGCGTACAAGTAACGGACGGGGATAATCTTTCCTTATGCCACTCATCTTATACGGGTGTATATCAGCGGAATACAATTTCGAAACACGATCTAGTAAGTGAGCAGATCGTTCAATACCGACATCGATGAACCAGCAACGATAGGCGGTGTATAACGAGGAAAAGCAGGACACATCGTCTTCCTGCTTATCAACTAGGAATCTGTGAGTCTTGTGTAGCATATGCCCGATACGTTCTCTGATTTCGTGGATAGCAATATACAAAGGATCACCCTCTGTCAACAGGTATCCAGCTGGATATTGATAAGAGGGTCTGATGGTAGACTCTTCCGAAAGGTCCAAAGGAGAATCAGCATCCTCGATTTCGGATTCCTCATCGACGGACATGTTTGCATCTGGGTGGAAGTGTGCACCATTTTGGCTAGGAACGTCTTCTTCGTAGCATTTTGAAGCTGCTTTGTTGTCAAATAGTGCAGATATCCCAGCTATGATTAGTCTGAGGAGTACTATGTTTCTCGTTACTTCATCTGACCAATCCTTGCCGCTTCCATCACGTTTAATGCTTGGTGTATCGCTTATCAGAGATGTTAATGAAGTCAATGCTGCTTCCACCTGAGAGGTAAAGAGTTCGACAGCGAACTCTATTTCTTCCCTCTGAGGGACATGCCAGTTGACGGTAAGGTCTTTTGGATTCTGTCTCTGACCCCATTGCTCAATCTGAATTCCCTTGGGGTATAGGTGAGGTTCGTACATAGTATAGTCCACAATGGTAGTCATAGTGAGGTTAAGCAAAAGGTGGTGTATAAAGTTCGAAATATGTATAGTAGGGATACCCTTGCACTTCTGCTGCATGTATAATGCAATATCGAGGAGTTCCTGTTTATATTTCAAAACAGTTCCGCCGACATGGACTACGCACATGCTCAGCATACTGATATTCCATACCAGGCCGCGGTCGCGTGGCAAAACGTCACTACCAGTTGTTCTGGTAGAAGCGGCGCCATTTTCATCGATCTCGGTGCGAATGTTTCGAATAAGCAATGGAATGAGGCGCTTTAGCGACTTTTCGGGGTTAACCTTGCAGAGGGAATTACAAATAAAGGCCATCGCATCTCTCGCTTGATGGATAACCCGGTCGGATATAAAGTCCACAATCTTATTCAGAGCTATATCATATAACTCTGGTGAAAGGGTAGACAAAAGAGGCAGGAAAGTGGCGGGCAAGGTATTTAGGACATTTTCTTCTGGCGAGCCGCTACGTACTCGCGCAGCATCAGGCAGGTTCTCTAAAAGGGTGAAAACTCTGCCTAAAAATGAGATCAAAAATTCGCCAAATTCTGTGGTGGATGAGCGTAGTATTTTTTCTTCATCTTCATCGGAGAGATCAGTGTCGTAATTCATTTCGACAGAGGCACCTTGCTCTTCCATGCGTTCTAGCTCCCCGGTGACCCATTCCACAGCAATCATGTTTCCATTGACATCGTCACGACCCTTTGTGAGGTCTTCAAAGGGTATGTTGTAGCACACAGCTTGAATAAATGAAAGAGAATGCAGTGATTTGCCCAGATCATTGGCATCTATGCCGGGTAGAGCCAGGCCTAGGAGAGTGGTAATATGACAACGGAACCCTTTCGTCCGCACCATGATTCTTGACAAGACCTGTAATGAACGGAGAGACGAGGCGGTTCTGTGTACCTCTACCAGACCTTGCATGGATGGATAGATTCGTTGCAGAGCTCCCGGGAGAATGAGATTTGGTTCCAAATATGCCAGGGATTGAAGAGTCGAGAGAGAAAAGTTCATGGCTGTATTACTCTTAGCGTAAATACCCATGAATATCACATCTCGCAGGCATAATACAAATCGGCGTTTTATTGCATCAGTCAACCGCCTCTCTGGAGGGACCTCCATTTCCCCATTCCGTTCCCGGTTCCATCGCATGACAAAGAAGTCTGCAAGGTAATTAACCAACTCGGAGAGGGTTCTTGTCCACGATCCTGAGTTGGAAGGATGGAAAAATGTTTCGACAGCTTGTATCAGTCCCTCTAACCGGCTAAGAAGCGAGTCTTTGGTACCTTCGCAGGTTGGAGAAAGGGACATCACTGTCCATCTAGCAATGTCGTGTGTGACTGGATGATTCCTTGAATCCCGGTCGAGCATTACGGCCAATCCAGCACACACGTCAACTACTTCGCTGTACGTAGACGTCGCCTGTCCGACCGGAATCTCAAGCAACCTCAGGATAGCTGTGAAAATAAGGGAGGTTTGTTCCTCGGTGAAGATTCCGAATTCAGAAAACGGAATATGTTTAGCAGGGAGAGAATCGCGAGCTAATCGCGATAAAATATCTAGAAAGTTCATATCAAACGTCCTAGAGCGGCTTACCATGGACCAGAGATGGAAGTATGTTGGGAGATAATGCTGTGGAACTAAATCGGGCCTCTCTGGGGGAGCTGGTGCAGTGGGGACGAACAAGTTCATAAGACCAGCTACAATGAAGGCTCCTTCGGCGAATGATGTTGAAAAATAGGGGAGAAACTCTTGAAGCATATTAGGAAGCTCAAGGGGATCAAAATAGAACTGTGCAAAAGTACAAAGTTTTATCAAAGTTTTGATATTGCGTTTGGTGGTCATTGAGTGTACGAGCCCAGCCTCCGATGGAAGGACGAACACCTTTAATTCTCTGTACAGCGGCCTCCAGTCAAGGATCATGTCCTTGATCGGGCGAAGGTAATGCTTCCTCCTTTTTAAAGAGTTAGTGATGGAGGAATTGTGAAGCATGATATGAGGGTAATACTCACTTGGTGAGAACCATAAACATGCTCGAAAAGCGATCAGCCACCGCAGGATCGATGCCCGGAGCAAGAGCAAGCTCGTAATAAAGCCTTACCAACTTCGCCCGCTGTTCTCTCGTGAGGTCAAACTTGAGAGATAGCCACCCTCGAAGCTCTCGAGTCCAGTGAACTGCACCAGAGTTGAAATCTCCCGACTCAATAGCCACATAGAGGTGCTTGAGAATCTCGTCAAAGTTATGTTGTCGTAAATCATCATCCTCTAGCTGGTACGGAGAGTGGTCGAAGTAGGGGTAGGTCCGCGGCCGGCTACGAGCCTTTTTTGAACGGTCTTCCAGCACTGCACCGTTAAGCTGTGCCGACTCGCCGCCAGGAGAGGTAGCACGAGAGACCTCATTACCACCAACAACCAAGTTGGCCGTCATCACATCTGGGAATCGATGGGCATTCATTTTTTCTGAGAGTATGACTAGCGAGGATGTAGCGGATAAGAGGGTGATGATACTTGCTGGAATGTAAAGTAGTGTTAGAGACAAAATGCTGTAAATAAAGCCTTCTAGTTTATGATAGCTGTGGAAGCAGGGAGAGGAAAGACTTCTGGCAGGGTTTCTTTTAAACAGCAGGCACTCTTACTGATTCCTTGACTGAGTGCTCGAAACTATTCACGGTTCGATGAAATTTTCGACGTTGCCTTCTCGAGCCCTGTGGCGTATCACCCTTCGTGTCTAGTTAGAGATATCAAGAGTCGTGTGTGCAACTGTTGGTGACAAACAACCAACAACGACAATGGTTCGTTCACAGCGGCAACGTCGAACGAAAGACAACCAAACCGCAGAACGAAGCTGTCAGTAAACCCTGAAGCTCATCCGCTTCACAAGTGACTCGTGGCGATGGTTTGTCGTTTTGAAGCTCTAAAGCGACTTTTTTGAAGCTTCGTCTTTTTTGTTGACGGAGCGCGCCAAGACACGTGACATAATAGACAGCGGCTCAACAAGACATCAAAAGCTATTAATAAGGAGAGGAGAGGGAAAAAGGAGAAGTAGGCGGGATTATTGTTGAGTGGAAGGGTCTTATATAGACACTGGGGTTTTAGTCATGGGAAGAAACCTGGCCTTGGGTTAGGCAGAACCACTACGCAATTATTTAATGATAGATACATGGCTAATCCTGAAGCTGGAGGAGCCTTCGTCAGCTTGGTTGCCTGGGCTAGTTTGCTCATGCTGGGGGAAGAAAGGAAGCGAACAGACAGCCCTGGATCAGCGCGTACATTATCATCACACGCAGTATTGCGTGACAGGTGATCCATGGAGGCAGGATGGAGGAGCTTCTCTTCTCCCGCACCAAGCACGAAGCCAGAAACCAGTACCACAGCGGGTAGCCTGACGATATCCGGTTGACTATTTGGATGTGATAGTGGGTGACGGCTAGAACAGCGAGCACGACCTGGGGCAAGGCAAGCCTGGCCTCATAGCTTACACTGTAGCTTAAGTTAGAGTCTGTCTTTTCTACTCCTGGTGCAGTGATAATCGGTAGCAGTCTCGCCCATGCTCGTACACCTGAATACACTAGTGCACATATCATAGGAGTCGCTATACAGATTAGAGGAGCGTTCGAGAAAGTCCAGTATTTTAGAAAGCCCACGTTCCTTGTAGAGAGAAGTTAGCTTTCCTGATCTCTTTCCAATGTGCAGCCAGGATGCAAACAACTCACCAGTAACAGGACTGAACCCATGTGTAGATACTTGGAAATAGACGATTGCACCACGGACGCGGGTCTTCTGCCAGGCAAAAGTCCTTATATGCCACATATTGCGGCCCAACGACCCCTATCAAAATCAGGCTTCCACCTACACCCACCATGGCGAGACGTCGCAGGACATGCCACGACAAGCCGTGTGTGATTATCTGCTGCAGTCCAAACACCGCATCGTAGACGAACAGCAGGCCGCTGAGCAACCCATTGCTCCGTACAGTGGTAGCAGCGGCAAAGAGTGCTCCTGCAGACAGGAGCTTCAGGTCACGTAGACAATAGCTGCCTTGACGCTCATCGTTGAGCCCTGTAATAAAGGTATAGTAACCTAGAAAGTTAAGAAACGAAAATGGTGCTTCTCCGTTGGGTGCAGAGAGGAAAGCCCCAGCAGGAGTGATGATATGTAGTGCCGATGCCAGGAAGGGCAATGCATTGGAATTACTTCTATCACTCTTGAAGGTGGCCTGTGAGAGCTTGTAAAGCACCAGGACTGATAGATAATGGCATAGATGAGAGAGAATAACCCCAGCCACAGCAAGATGTTGTAGGCTCTTTAAGGATCCTGATATGGTCTATTAACATCTGCAGTCCACAGTAAATATGCTGAATATTTCACTGACCAGGAAGTAAAAATGATAGGAACCTCGTATATCCATATCCAAACGCCCATTCCTGCTCAAACACATACCCTCTCTGCGCGAGTTTCAAGAAGTAAATCGAGTCCCATCTCGCCAGCCGGTATCCAACACGGGATATCATCCAGGCCACGCTTCCTGCTGAGTGACGGACATGTTCTCCTTCGGGGGAAAGAAGCAGTGCCGTTGACGTGTCGTATCCTAATCCTGGGCTAGCGAGGACGACCAGCAGCAGGATCATCTTCCACAGGCAGAAGCATTTTGTCAAGGTGTAGATTGGCTGGTCCAGGGCGCCAATGCTGTCAATTGCCCTCGTCGTCATCCGTGGTGAAGGCATCACAGTTGTCTATTTTCATAGACGGATTGCTAACCATCAAGCTTCCTCGTATTCAGCCAAGTGCGGAGTAGACAAGCAAGTAGTTAGATATCACTGCTCCTACTTGTGGGTGTCAACTATGCCGACATTTTTGCTTGACTGTATATCGCAAGATCGCGTTTGCATCTTTTTGGTTTAACGGGTTTTCATTGGTTGTGATTCCCCAACGTATTATTTTTATTTTATTGTTTATTTATTTATTCTGCGACTTGCAAAGACAAGAGAATAGACATGGCTATACATAGTACACAGCGGTTACTATACGGCTAGCACTGCAAGAGTGGCTGTTTATTGAAAATGGTGGAATATTTTCAGGGAAGTAAATTTTTCTGGCGGGAACCATCTTTCACCAAGGCAGCTACTTTTTTCACTAGACGATAATTCGTCTATTACATAGTACGTCCGTACGCCGTACGGACGGAGGATTTTGCTATCCGAGCAGAATGTCTTCGTCAAACACTTCTTCTCTTCGGATACGAGCAAATGGGGATCTTGCGGCTACACCGTCTCGACAACCCCTGTGATGACAACCACACCGTGCAAGATGCATGACTTTAGTACGTCAGTTTTGTCAATGTTGCCAGTTCAATAACTTCGCCTCTCAGGGATAGAGAGACACCGCCAAGTCTGGCCGTGTGCCGATGCCATCCAACGGAGGATTTGAATCAAATGGCTCCGACAACCTTTGGCGAATTCTTCGACCCAGGTGATGTAGTGGAGCAAGTGTCGACTGCCGAGACCAATGCACTGGACACGCTATGAACCGCTTAATTCGAGCATTCGATCCGGTTTATGTGGTAAGCTCGATATATACATCTTGCGCTGATTGGCCCCGGAATATGTAGTTCTGTGCTTACCAGCACCGTTTTGCCATGCAAGAATCCTTCGTTTCTGCTGAGAACTTGCTCTGCATGGGGGAACGCTGTTCCACCCAGCCTTATATGTGAGTTATATACCAACATCATCCACCATCATTATCCTTTTTCCGGAACGTCGCGTGTCGAGGGATCCGAACAGATACCTAATCCACATGGCTACTGACCTGTTTTTTTTTTTTTTTTAACAAGATCAGCAAAGACCAAGAGCCGAGGAACCGTCGCAGGGATAACTACGACGGGGGCTATCGTCATTGGCTTGGGTGCCAACTGAAAGTAAGAAAACTCTTGACTAAAAAGCAAGCTTGAGGGCTAACGTGAGCAAGACCGGAGAACGGATAGTCTCATCAAGGCTCAGACAATTTCTCATGCAGAGCCACTGCACCCAAAAGGAGGCATGGCTCGTATAACTCTTGTGCATAAGTTTCCATGAGGCTGATCGGGTACGGCGCTGCGGAAGTTGAGAGGCAATTATATGGTAGATGGTCCATACATAGTAAACCTGGTGGATTGCTGGGATGGATGCACCGGGCCGTGAGGCCTGCTCTGTATGTTTCAGCCTTCTAATATATATTCATCCTTGGGTCAGGGTTGGATCAGTGCATTCCCACTTGTTGCCCCTTATATTGTTTCTATCTTCTTCTTTTCTTAAAACACTGTCGCCTCCGCCCTTTTAAACGTCGAACCGATCATCACGAACCGGGGGGCCGATCAAGTATAAAAGACCAAGAACCCCCCCCCCTCGCCTGGTTTCGCCTCGAGGAAGAGATTTGTTGTACGAAGACTGACTCGCGACGGGTACAATCCTCCGTTTCCATGTGGACACCCTGAAACAGGAAGTCCTTGGTATCTGCCACTGTGTTGCTCAAGTTGATAATAATAATCCGGGAGGATAAGACGTTTGTTTGGCTCTCCTTAATAACTCCGTTAGCACGGAGTATACAACCCCCACGCTGTTATATATAGGGAGAGTTGCTGTGGAAAATGCGATAGCAAAGAACAAACCCGGAATCCTCCTCTCTCGCCAGTACCGTTGATCTTGACCAAGTTGGCGGTTGCCTGGGCTATATAGAAACACCCTGTTTATCGTTGCTGGCAGCGCTCGTTGTTTGTATCACCGTTTGGAACAACATCACATTCAATCTTATACCTTTTTCGGGGAAACCCCAATGGGGATATTCGCACACCAGAGCCAGACCGACGGATACAACTTCGACTTGAATCCTGGATATTCCTGACCGGCCAATCTGGGGAGAAAAGCGCCTGAAGGGACCCTCATGACTCTCTCTGCTAAGAAATGCAGCTTAATCTAGGGATCACTGCTGACGCTGCTGCTGCGCATCGACACGAGTACTCGACCTCTCCAGATGCGCACCCAGGAGCCTCTGCTTTCTTTCCATCCGCAAGGTCGATACTATCCCTCGGGTTTGCCTCCCTGACGAAGCAGGGAGGCACTACTCCGTCTACCCCAAATCCCGAGAGCCAGACACCAATGGCGCAAAGCACATACAAGAGCATTGTGCCGTCATCATCCGCTATAGATCAAGAGCCTACTTCCATGGAAAAGGCTGCTGGCTACATTGAATCAGGCTCAGATAGCCCTGACACTGCTAGAAATACGGATGATTCTCCTTTCAGCTCTTCAAAGAAGCCTGCACCGCGGTCCAGGACAACACTACGCTTCGCTCATCCTCCGCCAACTACTCGACATAAAAGGCTAAGGATTCGTCCCCGGCTACTATTACAGCTTCAACAGGTCTCAAACACCACTCGTCCCATCTCAGTCCTCGATGTCATCCCATCATCTCTCTTCAAGGGCCGTTCCCCACGCAAGCTATCCGGTTCCTTTGCAGGTAGAGACCGGGTTTGCGCAACCGATCTGATCGTCGTTCCAAGCGACACGTATGGGCCGGTGGGTGTTGGTAACGAGGAGAAGAGCATACAAAACGACTCTTCCAATGAGAACCGTGAACCAATTGCAACTATATCCCAGATTCGCAAGGAGGACACGAAATCAAAGCACAACGTAGAGATCTGCTTTGCCGACGGCCTACGCTGGATATCGGAATCTCTACCCAATGGTGGCTACGAGTTTACGGCCACAGATGAACATGGGATCAAAAAATGTGTACGCTGGGTCGTTCGTGGGAAACGAAATCGCAGCACCTCAATTCAAGGGGATGGTCGACGGTCACCCAGTCTCGATGAAGGAAAGAGGCTTACATTCAGCATTATTGACCCACAAACTCGTCGTCATCCGATCATAGGCTGGCTGTATCGGACCGGAATTGAAGTACTGGATCAAGAGTCGCTCTCAACTGTGTACGCCAACCGCAAAACCGACCGTCCAGGGTCTCCTATGGCCGAAACGATGACGAAACATAGCCCGGTTGAAATCGACGATAAGATCCGACAGCTCATCGCCATTACCGGGATATGGGTAGCGTTTCAAGAAGGCTGGGCAGGAAACCAACACGTTACACATGAAGCTTCCACTAACAGCCTCAGCATCAGCCAGCTGCCGTCTCCGATTGCTGCCTCGGACCGCTCTCCCAGCGCAGGCGTTGGAGATGCGCAAGTAGACGAACTCCCTGATCGCAATAACAACAATAATAACCTGCAGTCTATCGCCTCTCGCATCCGTCAAAAAGGGCGACGCACAACGGCCACCCACACTCGCTCATCATCAATCCAGAAAGCGTCTCCCCGCCGAAGCTGCTCCGACGATGGTGTCAGTAAAGGGAGTGGCCCCTCTACTCCTACGCATGCAAGGTCCTGTAGCATGCTTTGCACAGCAAGCCAGGAATCTTCACCTCCAAACCATCCCCATCGACCCATTGCAACCCATGATCTAACCGACCATGAAACATCCGACAAGATGAATGATCCTACTTATGATAACGATCCTCACTCCTCTCCAGGGCAGGCTCCCGGACACAACAGTAGAAACTCTAGTCCTATATTCGGCTCTGGTTCCCCTGGACGAGACTGGACGTCAACCCCAGACCAATCGACCAGCTCTTCTACATGGAGTAAGGAGAAGAAGAAATGGCGGAAGCTGGGAGGCTTGTTTGGTGCTGTCCGGGCTAAGAAAGGTTCCAAGGTCGCAAAACAGTAAATAGAAACAACTTTACTCTGCAAATGAATGATACCCTCCCCTTTTTTTCACTTTGATTTTTGATGTATATAGCATAGCGTCATTAACAATATTCATGTATATTCAGAATCATGCTTTCAACTTGCATAAAATCGTGCTTTGGTATATTACCTGCATAATATTTGTGACATTTCTAAGTTCCGAGCTACCTCGGCTAACCGGATGTGAGGTACTCCGATACCCGAGTGTATCTATTATTGTTTAGTCATTTAGATAAATCTCGTGACACAGGTTTTCTATGTATACTATCATGTGACCCTGGATTTAGATCATGTGATATCAAATTTGTCCCGTAGAGAAAAACATCGAGATGAACATCAGGAAGATATAAGGTTGTAAAAAGGAATAGCAAGTTATAGGTTGCTATTCTCCATTCTATGGGTACTGGCACCTTGTCCTATCTTGTTGTTTTACATTGATATGATACCAGAACGCGTGATGGCGACTCCAGGCTCCCGTGGTAACAAGTGACCTGGTCTACGAATATAACGACATACACCTTCTGTCTATCGTATTCGCAGGTATCTTGTTTGGCCAGGCATCTTATAGTGTTATAGGGAAGACACAGGAATATACCTTGAAGACAAGCCTGACAACATACTGCCTGGAAACTATGATGTAGACTCAATACCACTAGGAAAACATTTATACCGGAGCCAAAATACACGGTTGAAGTTGTATAATCTACCACACTCGAGACTCTCCAAAACATGTGACCTGATTCTGGCGTCTCCTATACGCGCCTCTTACATTCCGTTGACGCGATCTTATATCAGAACAACAACCTATATAGCCCATCCTAATTGTTAGAGCTGCCAACTAGTCCTATGGCTGTGGCAAAGAGGGCACAAGAGGGCACACCAGCCAAGGGAGACCACAAACTAATACCTAATTCGCGTGATAGATACGCGCCATCTCCTTACAATAAGGCCTCAGAAACTGATATAGACATGCTGCTTGCCGAAGGAAAAGCTGCAGCTGTTTCTAGCTATGCTGCTGGTACCTCTAAACCTGAAAATGCTGCCCATAAATCTCTCCATGACATTCCCAGCAACAATGGTTCCATTACAATACGCGGCACTGCTTCTATGCCACGGGGAGATAACAAGAGCAAAGCAACAGGCAGCCCTAGTAACCCTTCAATTCCTGATGCCCCGATTCGAAATGACACCAATAACAGAATGCCAATTCCCTTGCCTCAAAAACCGCTCGAACCGCGGAAACCCTGTAGCCCAGGGCAAGCAAGGCTACAGCACAACTCTCCCATGGAAGCGGAATTCTCTCCTAATTATCACCAACTGACCCCTCTAACATCACCAAGCCAGAGACCAGAGGCCCTGATAGAAGGCGGGATGACGCCTACTTCTGTTACACCCCCGAATGCGCTACCAAGCAAGTGCATGACCGAGCATGAATTCCAGAATCTTGAACCCCAAGGTCTACAGGATCTTCGCAGCTGGCTATTATTCACCGGGTATTATGATGAAGACTATCGCCAGAAGACAATATCCCGTCATCGGCGCCTGGTTGCTTTGGATGAGGAACGTGCAGAATTGATCAGAGAGGAACAATATGAGAGGCAGGCATTTGCTGATAGATCCAACATTGGACTTCCATCACCATCATTTTCTCACATGGTGATTGCGGGCACGAGGAATACTACACCATGTAGCTCTTCAGCACTACTCTCTCATTCAGAGCCTCAGGGCAACGGAAGTGCACGAAGAGCCTCAACTCCCACAACAGAATTGTCTAAAATTGAAAATGAAAATACCCATAGTATGTCAGCCGCATATTATACCATGTGTCTCTCTATAGCCCATCAAGTCTAATTACTTAAATTTCTCAGAAAATAAAGAAAGTCAACAAAAGATTGTCCGCCCTGACGGCCAGGCCATCCCGAACGATCCTAAAAGTCAAGGTTTGTTTCCCTGGATATTAACTCAGGGAGGCGCTTCTGCATAGTTGCCAATTTACAGGTTCCGTCTAAAGTTGCATAATTCGCACTTATAGGAGCACGAGACCGTCAGCCAAACAACAATTATCCCAGCTCCCTATGTGGAGGTAGGAAACGTAAGATCCAAAATTGAGGATCATACCTGAAAGTTTGCTGACTGTCGAAAAGGTCGCCGGGTTAGAGGTGATAGCTATAGAGGGAGTGGTGATTTTCGTGGGTTGCTCCTCTTATTCCCTCAGCTTCTAAACGACTTGAAATTGACGATAATCAGGGAGAGAGGCAGCCTGGGATTAAATACGCACGGCACCAGATACCCGATACCGAATTTAAGACATATGAATTAGCCCATATACCTCCTGTGGGATTCTCTCTTCGCTCGTCAACTACCCTAGACACAAGTTATTTTCTACCAGAAGTAACTATTGACACGTATTACCTTGTGAGGAGGTAAGTATCTTCCAGCACTACCCAATTATCCTTGTGAGACGCTCTACTTTATGGACCGGAATTAATTGTGCTAATAGGTAGTATAGGAGCAACAGGAGAGAAGAAAGTTCAGACCATCCCAGACGCAACTACGTGACCTTATTTTTATCTACTAGTACTGAAGATACGTCAGTTAAACCCTTACCACTGAACGAGGTTATTCTACGATTTACACCTAACTTGATATCCAGGTCGTGAATATAGTTCATTGCAAGCAAAGAGCAAACTATCAGTGAAAGCTAATAGGATGGCTGTGGTTTGAAACTATGGAATAGTTTAACAGTATCTACAAGGCCTACAAGAGGGCTTCATAGCTGTTATGATTTACAAAGCTGTGTTTGATTTTACTTCCTGCTTCAGTTTATTTCTACCTGATCTTATATCCTTAGCTTAATTCGAATTATAAAGGAGCAGCTAAATCTGAACATCAGTTTAATATCGGTGTTGTTTGATAGTTTTTATTTAATGCGGGTATTTATTTATGGCCCGGAGGTTTAATCAAGTGTGAGAGTCTTATCCGCCAACAAGTTACTCGAAGTCTAGGTTATTTAAAGAGGGCGGTAGAGGTTTGGATAGGGCTTCTTATACTTCCAATGTTAAAACTCTTGTTGAGCTTTGTGATTTTGAAGGTAGTGATAATGGCATCATTTATAACATACATTTTGTATGCATAACTGTATCGTAAGGTCATGGAATGGTATTCATTTGGTCGATAACAGCCTACCAATCTGGTGATGGCTTATTCCGTTGACCCGATCAAGCTAAGGAGTCTTTATCCAATGTTTGTTCCATAAAATGTCGGAGGTTAAGTCATGACGAAAAAAAGAAAAGCATGAGCCAAAAAAAGAAAGAAAAGTGCCCAATATCGATATATGACTTCCCGTGTCAGACCCTTATCGATAAAATCAAAAAAGAAAATAAACTCCACCAGGCCACATCATGCCAGTCGTACAATCAGGCCATATACATATATATATCCCAAGATAATTTGATGAAAGTGGAAAAAGAGGTCCAGACGATGACAACTATTCCTCATTCTTGACTGTCTTGAATGAAGCAATTCTCTTGCTGATGGCATCCATGGACTCGGTAATCTCTAGCTCTCTTAGCTTTCCGCTGCCAACGTCATAGATGACACCGTGCAGCTTGAGTCCTCGTTCCTGGATGGCATCGAGAACCGCACTGTTTTCTCGTAGGACTCGCAGTCCGTTCTCCACATTTATCTCCGCCAACTTGACGGCAGCATCCTTGAGCTCCAGATCTTTTAGGGTGTCCATGTGCTGCTCTCGAAGCCGTCGGAGGGGCATGAGCCAGGTGTCCAATAGTCCGAGCTTCTTGTTGGCCAGTGCAGCGTTAATACCACCGCAGCTGGTATGGCCGCAAAGAATGATGTGTTTGACCTTGAGGTAAACGACGGCGAATTCAATGACAGTAGCCGAGGAGATGTCGTTGTATTGTACGACGTTGGCAATATTGCGGTGAACAAAGACATCGCCAGGCTGAAGTCCCAGAACGGTGGTTTCGGGGCAACGGGAGTCAGCACAGCCAATCCATAGAATCTCGGGTGACTGGCCGGAGGCGAGTTTTGGGAAGAGGTCTGGCTGCTCTTCGTCTAGCTTGGTAGCCCAGAGATTGTTCTTGGCCATGGCCAGCTGGTAGCTGTCTATCATTGAGGTTAGCAAATGGAATGTGGACGACAAGGACGGAGCGGGAGCATACCCGGAGTTGGGTTCTGGTCATTTTGGGGAGCCATGCTGGGAATTGGATGAGACTTGGAATCGTTGCTTGATGACATTTTGAAGCCGGGCTGGGTCGACGAGAAGGGTTTTATCTGTTGTCCTTGAGAGGAGGAATCACGGGGTGCACTTGGCAGATACGCTCGGCGGGTAGCAAGCGATGGAGTCGAGCAGGGAATAGTACGCTGTGAAACAGGTAAGGTTCTGATAGTGGTGGTTAGCAAATAGCCAGAAAAAAAAAGAAAAGATAAAAAAAGATTGAAGCAGACTAGAAACAACGGATGTTTCCCCCTCCAATAGGATGACATTGGCTCTGGGAGGGAATTAAGGCCAAGCAAATATTAACGTGCTGCTGCAGCCTGTGCATGCTGTGGGCGTCTTTCCCCATACATAGTAGAAGCCAAGGTGGGAATTAAAGGGGGGGAAAGACGTATAAAGAGATGCGAAAGGCACATTATCGACGTTTAACAGACGCCAATATGCTTGGGGATGGATGCAGGTAGTCTATGAGATGACAGCGTAACGCAGCCTTCCACCACTCGTTTCTTTTCTTGGGCTGCACGCAGTACGACGGGCGAGAGCGTCTGAAAGGACTCGTGGAGACTGAGAAGGGAAAAGCAAATATCGGGGCAGAGGAACAAGTCATGATGTCGGTGTGTGGGGATATAGCACTCACCTCCAGAGCGAGCCTCGCATGAGGGGAAAAAGATCAGAGGTAATAAGAGACAGGAGAGAGCGGAAAGGAAGCGAATGCACCGCAACTCGTCAAGAGAACTAATTCTTCTTGATTATTATATCCTGGTTGATATGAAAGAAGAAGATTAAAAAGTCGCAAATTTATATAAAAAAAGAAGTTCGTCGTTTTTTTTTTTTTTTGCGCCTTTTTTTTCTTGATTTCGCCTTTTTCGGTCGCCAAAAGCGAAAACCACGTGATATATGCCAAGCTTTCACAACGAACCTTATTTTTATTCTTATTTTTATTTTTTTCTTATTGCAACATCAAAAATGGACGGAGAAGTAGGAGAAGGAAGAAGTAGAGGCAAAGAGAAAAGGTAAGAGAGAGATGAGATAGAAAAGGTACGCTGCAGAATAGAAGGATAGAGTGTCGGGCTCAGTTAAGTGATACAATCTCCAACGCCAATGCCTCCAGATACAGTGTCATAACTCCGTATGTTTCTCATGGCCTGCTTCAGTCAAACAGCGGCCCTCGCCAGCCAAGGGCCCAGTCTACCCTGTCCCTAAAGGTCGCCTTTCGTGCGTCGTTAGCCTTATCCGTCTTGCCACTGCCGATATTTCCCCCTTCATCTGCCGCATCCGCTCCATCAAGGCCGCTCGCTGGCCCATCTGCACCAGGAAGCGCACGGATAGGTGCCGTACCCACGGTCAGCGAGGAGCCGTTTTCCGTGGGTTCCAGGGTTGTCGGTATTGCCCCTCCGGCTTCGTCTCCTTCCCCACGGCCCACTGTAGGCACGGCCCATGTTGCCGTCAACGTTGACTTCCCATCGGTCACCTCTTTTCCGGCGATATCAACCGATTCCCCAAGCCTTACGCCTCCAGCTGCGCCAGGGCAGAGCGAGAGGTCCCTCCCGCAGCAAACCGATGGGTCTTCCTTCTGAGGCACCGGACAAATAACACCAGGCTGTGAACCCACGACCATATTCTGCCACGAATACGGGGACCAGCTTGCAACTCTGAACCCAATCCCAGTGAAAAAGGACACAGTGCCTACGAGTAATGCGAGTCTTATACACTTTGCAATAAAGCGTACCAGGCCCTCTTCCCCACATAAGTTACGCAGCATAGCTCCGAAAGCATGTCCTGCCTTTTTAAATGGCTTGGTCAAGTCAAAATAAGATCGGAGGTTGTGAAGAAGGGCCTGTGCAACGTGAGATCCAATGCTTAATTTATAGGAAACACTGCCCGCCATCGCCATGAGACGGCCTGTGTTTACCAACGGTGAATTTTCACGGTGGTATGAGCAGCATGGGCAGTAGCCAAAATCAGTCTCCTCCACTGATGCCTCCGGCTCGGAGTCGGGGTTTAACTCCACCTCCGGCTTCGTCTCAGGCCTTTTTTCCTCTTCAAGTTCCTCTTCCCCGGCCAAAGGCTGCAACTCTGGCATGTAGCTATCATATTCTTCATCTGTTGTGGAAAATGGTAACATCATGGATAACTTCAATACCCACCCATCAACTTGTGGTGGCTTTAACTTTAGCTCCCATGGGATACTAATGTGACCATCAGTGTCCGGAAGAGATGACTTGAACTCTTCCGAATCATCCTCCAAAGACCCTGTCAGGGTAATTCGTATTGTTGCAATAAGGGAGAGATTGGTTTGCGCAACATTGGGGGTCATTCGCACAACCAGCATGTCACCAGCTGTTTCCAGGGTTGGGTATTCGCCCATGAATTCGAGCATAGCTCCAGGATAGTGCCACATCATGCTTCTCTGTGAAGCTGTCGATGGACTTGGGAGATCTATGCTCTTTTCCTGGCCTTCGTTTGAATAGTTACCCTCAGACCCAGAAATATCGGCATCATCTCCATAAAAGTCATCAATTTCGAAATTCTCCATTTCTGGCTCTTCAGAGTTTTCAGGAGTGATGTATATCTCATCCCTAGAGGGTGCTAGGTGTGACTTCTCGCCAATATCTCCATTTTCGCTCTCTTCATCAAACGATATCAAAGGTTCCGAAACTTGGCTTTCATCAACCGGTTGGATTGCTTCGTCTTCCATGTCAGGCCCTTCAGCTGCACATGTGCCATGACTGTCAAGCATGCTTAGTCCATTGTCTGAAGTACTTCTGGGCAACCGCAGCTTCGTCGGTGTACTTGTTTCTGACTGTGAGGTAGACCAACGGGTAGGCTGCTCGTCATTGACGTGGGTATCAACTTGATCATTGTCCATATCTACGGCTGGAGGGCTAGGGTTTGATAATGCACGAGCCATTATAGCCATCCGTGCAATAGGTGAGTTTCTCTTGTGCATAAACTCTGGAGAATGAACATCATCCTGGGGGCCAACAACGCTTATCGGACCGTGATCTGACTCGTGTGATTCAACTTTGTATATCTTTTTGACTGGTATCCTACTCACAGAGCCCTTTTGTGGGCTTGATCTTGATGTTCTTTTAGTAACAACGACGGAATCACTGGGGAGCTGTGGTAGTGGGGTGGAATTCCCATGGTTGACTATAACGGGCACTTCAATGCTTGGGCTAGGAGTGGAGATGAGGACCGTGGTAGAATCACGTTTGGGAATGATCTCGCCCAGGGGCACTCGAGTGCTTACTCGTTCAGGCCCAACATCGCCTTTTGGAACCTCGTTTTCCTTATCATCAGTATCATCAAGGCCCACAATATCCTTCTGGGAGCCATGGCCAAAATCTGGAAGACCGCCTTGAGATTGCAAAACTCCCGTAATAATAGGGGATTCTTCCGCTCCATCAGCACTGTTTTGGTCCTGTGGCTCGCCCTTATGCTCTGGGATATCAAATATCCCATTATCATCATTTGTAATACCCATCACCTTAGTACTGCTTCCGCTGCTATTGTTATCCTCGTCATCTCTAAAACTGTCATCGCTATTCTCACCCTCATCTATATCTTCACCGGTGTCGGGACTTGGGGGGAACAGTCGCTGTTTGACCGGAGATGGTGATATTCTCATGTCCCGTGTGACCAACTTCCGAGAGGTAGCTTCAATATCTATACTGACGTCATCATCCTGTCTTCCTATTTCCTCTGCAGAGAATTCTTCATTTTCTGTTTCGTCGTCGTATGGCTCTGTATCCAGTTCAGGATCGGGAGTCTGGCTTGGGTCATGTTTGAGTTTGAATACATCTTGGCCAAGGATGTTAACCACAGTGTTGGGCCCTATATCAAGTACTGGAAGTACGGCATCATCATCTCCGGACGTCATCTATATAAATGTTAGACATACCCATCAAAGGACGCTCAATATACCCGTGGCTGTATCCTAGCACCTACACGAAGAGTAAAATCTAAATCAACATAATGCCTGCCTTCGACATCAGCATTCCAAATGCCTGTCAAAGCCACGTCGCACAGGCGGGCAGTCATGCTTTTCAATCAGGAGTCAAAATGTAGCTACAACACGGTGCCAGAGGATGATTAGCTGGTTGAAGCAACCTGGATACTTGAAGGATTCTCTCACATAAGCGAGCAATGTCACCCGTCGTTCGTTATACGCGTTATTGACTTCTCTCCCGAGGGGAGGAGCAACGTAGTGCAGTAATAGGAAGCTCACCCAGAAAATAGTGAAGGATAGCCCGTTAATAGTAAAATATAGTATGTCCATGTAAGAAGACAACAAAATCGATCTGTCGTTGTGGTAGAAGAAAGGAAGAAAGACAGAAAACACAAAAAATTGATGTTATGTTGTTATGCCTTCTTATTTCCCTTTTCGGACAAAGTGAGAGAGTTAAGGGCAACAAGCGCGGTAAGAGCCGCTTTCTCCCTCGCACATCTATAAATTTTGGATCTCCCATTACAGCAGGCATATGGTTAGAGAAGCTACTTTTGCTTCCTGGTTCAACCGGTAAGATTAATTGTTATGGATATTATAATAATAATAATGATAGTAATAATAACCTGCAATTGCAAATCCATCTCCCTTGATGCAAAGAACGAAACATGAAAGAGAGCGAAAAAAAAATAAAAACACCTGATCCGGGCCCATATCACCATCATAATTTTTCTCCGTTCCAATGCCCCGAGACCAACATAGCACCATAAACGCAAGGAAAGGGTGAAATAGGGAAGGGGGAAGCAAAACAGAAGCAATATACAGAGTAACCGGCCCGTAACGCCCAATCCAGAGTAGCAAGGTAATTAACCCGGCAGTTCCTTTCTCGCGAAAGTGTATTCCATCTGCATGCACGTCTGATGAAATCTAAAGATTCAGCCAACAAGTGGCTGGCCAGAGAAGTAAAAGTAATAAAGAAAAAAAACATGATGTATCAGAGAAGGGAATCAACATAAGATGGAAGAGAAGGGCTGAGGATGAGAGAGTGAAAGGGGTTATATGGGGTATAAAGAGGGAGGCCAGATGAAAGATAGTAAGACAACTAGGGACGGAAAAAAAAAAAAAAAAAACCAAGATAACGAAACAAAAGCAGCCTCAGTCAAAGTTACTCCATCTCTTACCATTTTTTCGTTCTTTCGTTCTTTTCACTTTTGTAGGCTGAGTTCCTGATCGTCAATTTTATAATCGAAAAATAAACGCCAACCAGGATAAAACCGTCAGCGAAATCCTTGGGGTAGTAGAAGCCCATTATCATGAAGGCATTGATCATATCACCATGGCCTCACAATGCAAAAACACCCATTGACGCCGAGTATATATATGCTCCATCATTAAAGATAACTTTATCGACCCAAGTACCATGGGGCAGGGATAAGGCCGTTGCCCATAAACTGAGGGACAGGATTGGACGGACTAGCTTGACTTGGATGACCTGCATGCATCTGCTGTCCAATATAGCCTGTTTGCAGGGTGGGATGGTTTGTATAAATTGGAATATGTTGATGATTGGGGCCAGAATGGCCTATGGCCTGGCGCTTTGGAGAGCGAGACTGTTCAACGGCCGAGGTATGATGATATTGATCACTGTGGTTATATTGCCTCTTGGTTGATCTGCTGCATTTGTTAGATAAGGTTAACCTGCTTCACTAATTCATGGATCCAATAACATACAATAGTGTTCGCGGCTCTTTACGAATCCGGAGTTTGACACCTTGGTCAGCAAACGATTTCGACATGAGAGTTGATTCTGCCATCCCCGGAAAGTTTTTAGGAGCAAGCACTAAAGAGCTATTAGATATGCTGCAAATGACTCAATTTGCTAGAAAGGATTCTCACCTTTGAATGGGTTCGAGCTCAAGGTTTTGATGTGAATGGCATGGTTCCGATTGGCACTACACAATTAGCTGTATCCAAGTGCAGCAGAAATCTAAAGGGGACTGTACCCTTTAAGCTCGAACAAGTCAAACATGAGTCTGAATTGGCCTTCTACCCTAACAGAGAGATCACCAAATACGAAAAAACCGCCATCTGAACCACAGAGTAGAAAAGTTAGTGTTTCATCTGGGACCGAATAAGGAAGAGAGTCCTTGAATCTCACCCCGATTATTATGGTCCTTCAGACGGTGTAACGAGGATACCAGTGTGCCCGTCAGAGCACCTGCGGGTACTATCGGACTCGGTTCTTCGCCGTCTGCTGCACTATACAGGGAGCAGCACATGAAGTAGTAAGGGCTTTGAAGGAAATTGCTGTAATATTGTTAGATATTGTGTCGCTCTGTGTTCGCACAACAGAATAGGTCCCTACTTTGATTCCTCACAGTCATCTCTGACATGGAGCTGGATGATAGGGGGTGGATCAATGGGTTTCCGCTCTATAAAACAAGATACAACAGGTGAGCAGAGGAATTCTATAGCAGCTTAAGACAGGCCAGCCTCTAGACGGAGATATGGCACACAGATAGACTCTTCTCTGACCTTTGTCTTTAGTCCCAGCAACTCGGGCACGTAGTGGTTGTTGACAGAACGTTAGTTCATGTTCTTCTGAGAAGCTAGGTATACTACATTTGTGTCAGAATTTCTCCGTTAATTCACTTTGTAAGGTCAGTCAGTGGCTAGGGAGAGCGAACCTTTCAATGGATTCCTCGACTACTGCCGGCTGAACAGCTTGGGAAACGGTCTGTCGTATTTGGTCATCGGTGGGATATGGCGCCGTCGGATACAACATCGTAGAACTCATCGCCATTTTTGACACGGGGCCAGATATTCCCGTGGTTGAAATGGGAATACCCAAGGGTGAACACTCGAAAAAGACGTCACAAAGAGCTTTTTCTCTATTTGCCTCCTTTATCACTAACCAGACTTCAACAGGGCCGTCAAGAAGGGGTTTAAATGGACTAGAAGTAGGAGAATTCAAGCGGAGAATATGTCAGGATCGTAGGAATATCAAGCATGTCACAACTTCTGGAGATTTAGGGGGTGTTTAGGGGAAAATCTTGTGAGGAGGGAAATATTTTAGGAAGAAGAATTTCAAGTCCAGAAGAAATTCCACTAAATTTAGCATTCAACGCCCATAGGCCTCTTAGTTTGGTACGAACTCTCCAGAATATAAGCAGTCTGTCACAGCTTCCGTGCGCCAGAGATGGTGGAGTTGGGAGCAGGGTGTTTCAACCACGGATGGCAAAATGGGAGGAACGGAAGAGAAAAAAAAAACGGTCCTAAGAGGGGGGAGGGGTGTGGACGTCAGAAGCGAGCCCAAGTGGGAAAGGTTTGCGAATTTATTTGGTTAACGGTTCGATATGACGATCAGGCAAAGTCCACTCCGTCAGCGAACCGGATGGAGTCGTCGGATCTGGTTGGTAATTTGCCTTGAGCTAGACTTTAGACCAGCGATTCTAGTCCCCGCCCCGGAGCTTTACGCAGGAACAGGTGGAGGAGAGGAGCCCTTTGAACACTCTGTTCTGACCACCTAGGCAGAGTTTGGCCTTTGTGGGGGGGGGGGGGGGGGGGATATCGGCCAGGCTTGGGAAACTCAAATAGAGTCGAATTCAGACGGTTTCTCCGGATGGGATAGGAAGAAAATGTAGTTTCTCGAATGTGGCGCGTAGAAACTGCGCAGATATCTGGACATCAGCGTCTCCTTATGGTGAGCAGGCGTTGGCTCTGTGTATAAGTGCTGTTATGCTGAGAAGGCTAGAAGTGTGCTTCGTATATCCATATGTCAGCTAATAGTCCTCGTCCGGGGGAGATATTAGGGCAAAGAAGACCGAAACCCCGTATAGGAATCAGATATCAAAGTAGGGCCCCCCATGCAGCATGGATTAAGAAGCAGTATATTATTGTTCTCTGCGGGCTATAAGGTAGAATGAATGGGAGGTGTGCTTACCATGCCTTGGAAGGCGAAACGGCGCAGAAGCAGTCGCAGGGCAAAGGAAGCTCGATATCAAAACATGTTTCGTTTGCGAGGTTGAAGATGGTCCAGGAAGAGGGAGGGAAGAAGAAGCTGTATCCAAAGTATCACTGTGCGGTTGGTGTGTATATTGGAGGTGGAGGTGAGGAGGAAGAGGAGGTTCGTCGAAATATATACTGCCGTATATGGATTTTCCGCCCAATGATCCCGTCAAACTTCTGCGCCACTATACAACAGAAGCAAGACGCGGACAAGTTAACGAGCTTGAAAGAGTATAATCGAGGTAAGTTAAGAGAGAGCGCGTTAAGAATAAGAGGACTTTTATGCTAACAAACGCAGGTTCTCCCCGGTTTCAATAGTTCGCTGCCTGTCCTCGATCTCTCATCGTCTCTCTATAACTTCAGGGTAGACCAGGCAAGCAGCAATGCTCAGCAAAAAAAAAAAAAGGGCAGATCGAAAGGATGATAAAATAACAATCACATACACAAGTCCAAAAGAATAATAAAAACGACGATACTCGCTCGCCTAAAGGAAACTTGAGGTTAGAGAGGGAGAGACCGGGAGAGAAGCTATGGGTCTAGCAGCTGTTATCACGACCAAGTCAATGACCAGTATCGGTTTTGATGGAAGATAATTAAGGTATATATTTTTGTCCAATGGTTCCTTGGGCAATTTGATGAACGGCTCCCTACTTTTATTTTTGTTTTGACAGGATAAAGCAAGCATAGGATGGGTGGGAGCAGCTTAGTGGGAAGCAGAACGGGAAGCCTAGATGCCCTTCCCCCTCCGTACCTACATGTTGTCCCGACAGAAAATGAGGTTGGTCTTCCATTTGCTCATCTTGACGGTTTGCAAGAGGATGGATCGGCCACATGCAGGAAGTCGCCTTCTATTGGACGGGGGGGGGTTTTATTATTTTATTTTCACCACCAAATCGCAAAAAACCATGTTGGTGCGGAGGAGAAAGCGAGGGATATCACACGGAACTTCTGTCCCAGCATCTAAAGGCAGAGAACCTGCCCGCTGATATATCGATCCAATGAACTGCCAGTTCAAAAACCTCTCGTGCAATATGTTTTTGGTGCGGGTTCATCGCACCATTGGTCGAAAAGGCCAAAGAGCGAGAGAGGGAAATGGAAAAAGCAAAGAGCAGACGAGAAGGGGGAAAAAGAAACAAAAGAAACGAATGAGCCGGATTTGAATGGTATTACATTCAAACAAAGGCTACCCGCCGATGACCGAGTGTTGACAAACAGCGAGACATCCGAGTCCTTCAGAGACGCTGAGACATTCCTGCCACATCAAACGACTGCCGATGGAGTTTGCGGGAGGAAGATATCCATTTATCTCAACATCTTTGAGAAAAAAAAATATTATATCCGGATATCGAGGTCTAGAGGCCTTGTTACTGTCACGATCTAGCAAGTTGGTTGATGGATGAGCATTCGAAGCCTGCGTGCAAAGATCATCCTCCACTGGGAAGAAGCGCCTGCTCTGCAGGGATCAGGGATCGAGGGTAGGAAAAGGGTTTAGTGAGATCTCCCTTACATATCACTACGCCTATTTTCTCCACTTACACGCACACCACAGACAAAGTGATGAACTAATCAACCCTGGGCCACCTTCGGTCTCTGCATGTCTATCGATGCGGCATCCTTTGTAATGCGCTTGACGGTATTTAGGATGTAGAAGCTTGCGTTGCGGTATGCCTAAGTGCTGCGCCTCCAAAGATAGCCAAGACAAGCGAGGTTTGAGTGTTTGGTAGTTATAATGAGTTGTACGGGGACTCACTGCGCTTGACGGTAATGTCTCTCACTCTCTTTTAAGAAGTATTTTCTAATTTTTTTCCTATCCATAGCGGATAAAACTTGCAGCTAAGATATTCCTGTTTTAGTCGTTAAGTTTATGCTTTGTAAGTGCTGCAGCGTACAGAGCGTACTCACGTTTTGTCCCCTTTTTTCGCGATATCTAAGTCTAATGGTAATTAGCAAACCGACGGTAAATCCAGGAATGACGGGATTTGCTATGCAGCTTTTTGAACATGGGAGCTTCGGCAAGGTAGAACTCTCTAGCAGCTAATAGTTCGTATCTAGTTCCCCAGCCCATTACTCCAGAGGTAGCCCCGCTGTTACCACCCTTAGCCAGGTCCTTGGTCTCCACGCCAGCCGCTGTGCTGTGTCACCGCGCTTTCCCTGGGCCTGCTGCACCCGAGCTATGGTAGAGAGAAATCCAACAGCACGGAGTGCGGGCTCCCGCATCTCGCTGCATGGGAACTGAAATGCCGGGTACCTACAGCAATAGCTACTCTATTATACAAAGTATCGACGGGGGGTAGTTTCGGGCTTAAATTTGACGAAACGTAAATAAAAGAGCCGCCTGCCCCTCCGGATATAGAATATCGATGTCAAAGAAAGGAAAAATAAAAAAAAAGAAAGGGTGGATCTGGCATTTGGAGAGAGCTCCATTTATCAGCCATGCGCTCTTCTTTTTTTTCTTTTGCAGGTTCTTGACGCCGGCGCTCTCCGACTGCCTAGCCATCATGCCTCGCCTATTAGTTAATGAACTGCTGCCTGGACCTCCATGTCTACCGACCATTCGGATGTTTGATCGTTTAATCTGCACTCTGAAGAGAGTTCTACAACGTGAAGACACCCTCAGCTCAACACTTGAATTTCGGGGAATTGCACATGTCTCAAGCGTGGCGTGCGAAGCAAGTACCAAAGCCAAGAACAAAAAAAAGGAGAATAATCGCAAGGCAATCTAATGTCTAATTCCAAAATCTCGAAGCTCCAAGTGTCTTGCTAGAATACCGAAGACGGTATTTGCTAAGACACGATATAATTAGCCGCTCAGTCTTTTAATTTTTCCAATCTATTCCTTTTGTCATTTTCTTGAAAAAAAAAAGAAAAAGAAAAAGAAATGACGAAGATGGAAGGGAGTCAATTTGTTTGGGCCATCGGCTCCTGATACCATACACACACCCGTAATAGGATTCACGTTCCCTGATTGAAGGGCGCACGAGGATGCGCATCTGCGCTCATCGTTTTCTAACTCTTACTTCTGGAATATTGGACGGCTCTTCTATCCGCAGGTGTTCCAGTTCTTAGACACACAGAATGGTATTAACGAACTTGAAAAAAAATTTTCTTTTGGACCGCAAACGAACTATCGGATGGTATTCATTATTCATCCTCCTGGCGGTCCACCACATTCGGCTCAATGTTAACTGGTATGCCCACCGTGTTACTTGAAGGAGAGACACATTACATCAATTTTAGAACATTGCAACACCTGCTTCTCAATAGCAGGTAGCCTTTCGGGAATTCCTAGAGCTATGTTCATGCCATCGCTTTATTTTGCCCTATTGTTAATATGGTCTTCCTTACGGGTGCTCCCCAATCTGATGTATTACGCCAATGCCAGTGGTTTAGTTACTTCTCCGATATCCATCTTCCTACCTCCAATAACTGGAGGAATCAAGGAGGTGCGGTAGCCTATCATATCCTATGAATAGCCGGATATCACTCATAGGATCACAAGGGATGTCCAGATGGTGAGCCTCTGTGCAGGAATCCATGCAAGATATACAAGCGAGGCCTTGGATACCAGCAGCTTGGTTGATTATAGGGAAGGCCCAGAACTTGTAATGGACATGGATCGACACTCGTAACCCCCCTACTCGAGCTCCTTTTCCACCCGAGATCTCGTCCCCTTCGTCTGGGAGGATGTTACCAAACACTTTACATGGCTCTCAGCTTGTATGATATGGGCGCTATGGCCCCGCGTCACATTTTCCCCGCCATGCTTACATGGTAACCCCAGTGACATTAGAAACATCTATACGAGACATTTTTTCAGCTCGAACGCTCGATCACTAGCCAGGCTGAACATGAAGGACCATTTGACCCCTCCCAAGGGAAGCAGGACCCCATATCTGTCCCTCGAGAGAGCAGCATTGAGCATCGGTGAAACCTCAGAAAAAGAAATAAAATACTACGGGATCACCTCTGGTTTCTGCTTGCCAATGTTGCACAGCTTTCCTGGCCATCACCCGGGCCACCAAACACCTTGCTGCAGGCTGACTATGGTCCTATGCATATGTCCCTGATATCAGTTTAAGGAATAGCAGAAAAGAAACGAGAAGAACCCCATAATAGCCACCACCAGCAGGAGTTCCACTTACTAGACACCTGCCAACACCTGCGCATGTCATCTATTTACTTTTCGGTGTCAGGTGCTTGATTCTGCGAAAGGAAATCTGTGTAAATATTATACTGAGTATGCTTCTAGAGGAGAAGCAGGCAACTATTCACCATCTCACACGAGCATCTCCTCGGCCCGATTAAGCAACGGGATAAACCCATGGATACAAGCGGCAATCCTGCAGGGAAAATCCGGGTTTAATGGATACCCTACCGCACTCCTAATATTTACCATTCCCATCGTGAACCAAGGTACAGATTAAAGAATGTAACCGTGCCCTCCCGGTGATTCCTAACCAAATGTTTGGTACGTATTAACCTACCATTAGCTGCTGACGTCGAAATCCAGGGAACAGTACACATCAAGCCGTGGTAAGCAAAGATAGCTTAATTTAATCGCCGACGTCTTTCTAGGTGGATATTCTATAATGCGGAATATAGATAGCGCATCTGCTCCTTGCCGTGCCAGATAAATAAATCAACCGCAATGCCTCACTTACAATATAACTTCATGCATTTCCAATTCAACTGAAGTCAAACAACTCAGCCGTCCTTTTGCCAATCGTCAGGAGGGATGCATACAACGTGAAGGGAGCCATGTTACTGAGCCCGCTATGACACACAGCCCAGTCGTAATATTGATAGTTAACTGGGAAATGACGCCGATATTCGATATGCATCGTGTGCATCCTTGTATGCCTCGTCTCTCTTGATTGCGCTTGGGACAGAAATCTGATATATCACTTTTATCGGTGCTTGCGAGTGAACGACTGACTATTATGGGTTAAGTCAGGCGCCAAATGTGGCTCAGTTGTCCGTCTTGATCATTCCAATCAGGCCGTTTGGGCGGCTTTGCTTGATGCTGCAGCCCTTTTCCCGTTCAACCATAGGCCCACCTAGCTAGGCCACTGCGCGGGATGGAGTAGTTATCTTCATGGCTATGTTACCCGAAACTGCTAGGTAAACGGGAGCAGAAGAAGAGAGAAAGAAAAAGCATCGAATTCATAACGAGGCGAGGAGAAAAAGAAGAAATATGGCTTTAGTCGCCTCTTGGCCTTCTATTTCTTCTACCAGATATTAGTGCTAACATGAACGTGGCTTTGCTGCGGAACAAAGAAAGCTAACTATAGCAAATGTTTCCTCCTCGGGGAAGAGGAAGACTTAGACACTACCTTGAAAGAAAGGGATGAATGTTACATAGTTAGGTGGCGAGAATTGTAGATTGAAGCAGCTGTTTATAGGAACTAACCAGAAGCCGTTCAAAAACCTGTGGCAAATCCTACCATCCTGCATATCAAATATCCATTAGATAGACTCAAGGTTCTTAGCACTTTTGGGTCGACTATAATGATTAGAAGGATAGTTGGAAGAGATATTATTATAGATGGGCCGTTAGACATAAGGATATGAGGATGCCAATAAGCTTACATGGTGGTAGTAGACAATATCAAGCATTAAACCGGGCTCGGAAAGTAAGGAAATGAATGGAAAGTAAAGTAACAATTCCGTTGAGCAGGTATAATACGTGAAGGTAGATAAATAATAATAATAAGGGAAGTTCTTCAGCTGTATGCGCCGAGCAAGAAAATCGGTTGTTCTCCCACCAATCTTATAAGAGCAAAAGCTAGGCCAATAAGGAGGTAGTTAGGATGCAAAAGTGAGCAAATCGATATGAAAGATAGTACAAGAAAGTGAGGATGATAGGAGCGACAATATGCCGAGGATAAGCCGAGGGGGCAAGATGTGCCCATACCGGAGAAAGTACATGTGACATCATATCGCAAGTTGGCTTTCGTTAGCATTGAACTGGAATGTTTTCTGAACCGGAATCGGGATGCCCGTTTGTGTTGGGTTTGTCAAGATTATCTGCTCCTCTGCGGGTGATGGCGGTTTGCGTGGTGCCATCCATCGGGGGCGTTAGGCCATTCGTGAGCTCCGATACCTTCCTATTCGCATCATTCGGTAGCCTCAGTTCGTGGTTGCGCGCATCGTCTTCAATGCCATTAAGAAGTTGTCGATCGATCTCCATCGACTCTGGTATATCGCTGGTATGGGTCTCCTGGTCCTTCTGCTGGTTTTCAGCAGAACCGTTGATTTCTAGTTGATTTGTAGGGAACAAAGTAGAATCATGGAACCGTTTCGTCCCGCCGGGGCTTTCGGGATCGGTGTCATGCTTCGTATCCGGGTTGTCACTTAATCTGCTACTCCTTGCTCGTCGAACGCTGAACCGTAGCGGTCGAGTCGAAGTGGAAGGAGTACCTAAGCGCAAGGGCTTGTTCTTCTTTGGCGTATTCTGTCCGCTTGTCCTTGCTGGAGATTGAGCAGTGGAGCGGACCTTCTTTCGGGTTCCAAATGGTCGGCCTGGCCGACGTTTCACGGTAGGAGTACCGCTGCTGATCCCCTGAGGTGGCGGGAAAATCTCGAATCTCGTGGCTGGAATACCAAAAGCAGGATTCGAAGGAGTAGAGGACGATTGACGGCCATTGATACTAGGAGCTTGTTTGGCCATGACATCAGCAAAGGATAACGCGCTGGTGGAAGGCGGTCCAGGGGCGTCAAATAATGACGGCGAAACTTTGGAGAAGCCCTGTCCGTTACTATTGGAAGCATCAACACCACTTCCCGTCGCACTGTTAGCTGTATCCACATCACTTGCACTAATCCCAAGGCCGTAGGAGTTGTTGGGCATAGCTCCGCCGTTTACTGGAGCAGTTGGTTCATCGGCCTCCGGATGATCCTCCCGAGGAGCAACGGTATGAATAGGAGCATGATCATAATGAGACTTATTGCTTCGGCCCATTATATACGGTGTCCAGACCAGAGAATTCGGATTTAGCTTAACATAACCCTTCTTCTCCCAAGATTCTATATACTTCTCAAAGAAGTCATAGTCTAAGCGAAGTGCATAGGTCTTTGTAACAGGGTCACGAACAAGAGCACTCAGCCCTTCCAAGGCAGATATAACATCGTCAGGTGTCATACCAGTCTGTTCTGATATTGCTGTGATGCTTGTCGGTGATTTCTGGTTCCGGAATTTATAACATAGAACGAGTCGCCAATAATTGCGATAGGAAACCAGGCCCATGTCGGACAGCGGTTTCTCTGGTGAACCTGTCCTTCCTTCTAGGCGGGTAAGAAGATAGGAAAAGTCAATCAAAAGGTTTCCGTAGCCTTTCCTCTGGTGGATTGGAAGTGTTAGGATACAGGAGACGTTGTTAGAGGAACTAGGCCTCTTCTCCTTGCTGAAATACCCAACAAAATGACAACCCCATTCATCATATTCTGTCATTACGTAGAACAAGAATGGTTCGACATCATAATAGAGTGTTTTTGACCCTAGGAAAAGTTTTGCCAGTAAACAGAGGTTTTGGCAGTAGACGGGGTTTTTCCGCCCGTCCACTTCGAATATCGAGACTGAGCCCTCACGATATATCTCGTCGCCGGGAGGGTGCTTTGCGGGACATTTGAGTTTATGTCGCCATGCAACGAAATCTGAATTCATGTACTTGAGGCAAAATTCGCATATATATAGAACACGGTTCCGGCTGTATTCTTCAGGATATGGCGCTGCATACCATGTTTCAATCTCAAATCCACCGAAATTGATGTATTTGATCTTGCTTGGTGGCCCAGACAGTTTCTGGGAAGAGCGAAGCGCACTATCCGAGTCTTCCTCATTTGAGATCATTTTTTGTCGCCATTCCTCTTCAGCCTTTTGGCGGGCGGCCTCAAACTTATCTCTATCTGTTGAAAGGGGTACGGTTCGAGATGTATCAGCGTCAGCTTCTGATAGAATTCCACCATAAGGTTTTGATTTGAGTTCATCATTTTCTCGGTCGTGGAAAGAATAAAAGGGGGCTGCGTATGGGGTAGGGTTTGTCGGCGCAAAATGTGATACGGGAGGTTCGGGCAGAGTAGCAGGTTTTGGTAAAGGCCTGCGACGCTGGCTCTTCGGCCTTGGTTTGCTGTTGAGTATCTTTTGAAGTTTTTCTTGGTCGAGGTTGAATGACAATATCATTCGACCTTCCTGCTTTTGCACCACACTGCAGTAGTTCTTCTGCGCATTCCTTGTTCTCCTTTGGCGAGATGCCCGGCTATCGTAGGTGGTTGTGACATCGTTGTCAGCAAACTGGTTCTGGCTTGTGGCACGCGAACGACTCCCACTGGCCCTCGTGGTTGTTGGTAACGCATCTCCGTGTGGAGGAGGCGATACTTTCTGTCGTTTCCGTGTGGTTGTGCGTCTATTCTCAGCCTCATCAGATGATGATTTCCTTTTTCTCAAAGAGCGGGAGCCATCTAGTGGATCATCTTCGACAATTAAGGAGCTGAAAACTGAGTGGGAGTTAACATCCTGGGTATCATTGTCCGCTGGGAGCAGGTCTTTTGTAATGCTAGAAACTGCAGATTTTCGACGAGCAGTTGAGGAGTTCCTTGTGTTTGCTGGGGATTCCTTAACTTTACATAGTGGACATCTCCATTTATCAGCGCCTAAAAATACAGCAATCAGTTGTCCATGATCCGAACTAGGCCCTCATGCAGAGCGGCAGGGGTTTAACTTACTCTCATCATCATTAAATAGCCCCTCGTCGCGACCGCATTCCCTATGGCCTTTTGTGGAACCGTTAGCTAAGCCCCCTTGTCATAGTTCTAGCCAAGCCTGTCCCTGCAGAACTTACAATGAACACCACAAATGTCGCATATTAATGGTTCTTCAAACACTTCACTTGGATCGTGTTCTTCGTCTTCTTTACAAACACTGGAGGAAATATTCGTCTATCAGTAAAACATGGTCGTCACGCAAGGCAAATCGATTAACGGAATCGAGTAAAACTCACATGCAATTATTTTCAACAGGGGGATCTGTATCAGCATCTTCCTGTTCGTTGCTCTCAGCTTCCCATTCTTCTTCGACTTCAGAGTCAGTTTCGGAGGACACCTCGCTGCCAACTGCATTGCTTTCGTTTGAAAGCTCTTCGAACTCCGCATCCATTTCGTCTGCGTCACTCGCTGATTTTCCTGCATCGCTGGCACTTTCGGGAGCCGCAGTAAGGTGGTCTAGTTTTTCCTCAGGCTCGTTCTCATCGTCTATTAAGCTGGGATCTTTCTCATCCGCAGGTCCCTCGTTTTCACCTTCCACTTTTCCATGGTATGCTCCATCACCATTCGCATCCAAGTCTTCATTTGTCATGATTATTCCAACGTGCGCAGTCGCATCATAAAATTCGGGGTCCTCGTCTCCTTCAGCATCTTGTTCACTGTCTATTTCCGGTTCCTGCTCTGGATAGCTGTTATCGTAAGCGGCCAGTGGGGTTGCCGCCATGGTGTAAGCCACTACAGTCGCCAGATTGGCGAACTGTTTGCACCATCCGGAATCCCCTGTCTTATCTCCTTTCTTTCTTTCTCTTGTCCGTTTTGTTTTTCCCCTTTATAATAGCCGATGCAAACACGTAGTCTCGTTCAGTTTTTCTTCTGGCAAACTGGCTTTTGGCGGTTCAAGGCTTGATCTTGACAGACCACACTCATTGGAAGGATCTCCAGGCAAACGTATGGAAACACTAACTTTGCGCTGATGCTTCTACGGCGTGATATTCCTTGACGTAGAGACTGTTAGCTGGAAAAAGGATGCAGACGCGACCACCGTCAGTTCGCCACCAGCCACGCCACAAAAATGTAAAGAGACACTAACCGGTAAGCTGCTCTCTGGCAACGCGTAAATCGAGGGAAAAAACCACCGTTATCAAGGGTCGGCGAGTGTCTTTAGGCCGTTTTTACTCGTATCCCCTCCCTTCTTTGACTTGAAGTTCGGGCCATTCAGCGAAATTTGCTGACTTATCAACGCCAAGCTTTATATTGCGCTAGTCCATATTGGGCGTCTAGCGCCTCCTCTCTTCTTTCTTTCCTGGACGTCGTTCGCTTTTTTGCCCTGGAAAGCTGTCGCAGTTATTATCACGGACAAGAGGAAGCAGAACAGGTAGACACTCATTGCGTCGCGGAAATGGGAGTTCCCTTTGAGGCTTTGCTCCCTTATGGGATTATCATTGGTGTAAGTGTTGTGTGTCTTGAGGAGATCGGAGTGGCCCGATGTTGATGTGAAGATACCCGCAGCTGTTTGGTGTGACCGGTGTTGGTCTTTCGACTGTTAAGTACTATTCGAACGGCCGCAAGAACCCAAGAAGAGGCCTTGATGCATGGGATCAGGTAAGTTGATGAACACTATATTCAATTCACCTATTTAATTGAACTCGATCTTAGACTAACTGTTTCAATAGCAAAGTAAGTAACCATGCGGCATCGCCATTCCTCCATCGTCTACGAACCGATTGCTGATACAGTTGCTTAACTTTTTAGTGATGGAACGAGATCTACGGCTTACGGGCCAGATGAGAGGACAAACAAGTAACCACGCCGCACCCCCAGGTTTCGCTTATAGCAACCCATGGAAGGTATGGTTTGCCAATTCTTGGATATCCTACTGAATACCACTACAGTTGACGCTAATTAAACAATCTTGATATAGTTGGAACCAAGAATCAACTAGTCTATTTAGATGTCTGTTTATGGTCCATAATAATTCCGGAAATTATCTATGACACACCCTTCAAGAGGAATCCCCAAAACTCTCGTAGGCTTTCGCGATCTCAGTGCTTTTTCCGCGAATGCCGCGGATCTCCATCGGCTGGAGATGTACATCAAAGAATTCTTTCAGCGCAGCAACGCGTTCTTCCTCACTTCTTAGAGTTTTCAGAATTTCAGCTTTCCCGTTATGGTTTCTTTTGACGATGTTCTTAAGGAGCATCAAGACTCCGTCAATGCCGTCCTCCGCTTTGTTGAGGGTGAATTTCGTAAAGATGAACCCTTGGGTAAAAGGGCTTGTTGGATGCTTGCTAGCCCACCAATTCATCAGGTCATAGTCCTCGGATATAAACTCGATTTCGTAGAAACAATAAGCCATCACCCATTCGCTGTTAGGGTCCTTGCGGAATTGATACACCCATGGCCGCTGCTCAGGATCAGTGTTGATACTGAGTTGCTTCCGAACTAAGCTCATCTGAGCAATGCCAGACAGAACTGGCTCCCCTTCATTCATCACCAAAGGCTGAGTGGGGCCTTGGGGACCGAATCCAACGTCAACCTATCCCCTCACCAGTTAGCCGGCTTTCTCATCTTCCATATGTAACTTGGCATACCATGTACTTGACATCTTTTATAGTAACTATCAAAACCTGGTGAGAACTATATACCAACTCTTTTGTTAGCCTTCATCTCCAACATGGTTGGAATACGTATATCACTCACAACCCGGTAAACTTGGCATTTTCAGGCCCAGGAACCAGATTCTTCGAGACTCTCGCTCCACCACAGTAGAATTTGAATCCAAGAGTCCGGAGCACAATTGCAAGCAACCCCGTGTTTTCAACACAGTAACCGCCCAGCCCCCTTTCCACCATCTTATGGAAAAGCACATCAGGATCCAGCGAGATTGACTGGTGCTGAGAGTAATGGAGAACCAAATTAGAGAATGGAAACGTCGCCAGGTGTCGCCTCTGAAGGCTGAAGAGTGCCTCACGGGGGTCAGATTTGACCAGTTGTTCGATCTCGTTTAGCTTTCTCTCCCCAACATCAGACTGGCATTGATACGTCCGGTTAAAGTACTCGACCAACTGCTCCCTAGTAAAGGTTGGCAGGCCATTCATCCGTGTGTTAGGTATACCCGACATTGTCTAGTTGGGTAAAAGTTCCGGCAGCTGGTGTTCTTCTTGAGTCAATGGGGGGGTATTCAAACATTATCTCTGGGGCTCATCGCGAGGGCTATATTTATAGCTTGACCGCTCCACGGCCCCTGTAGTTAAGCAAGGGCCGCATTGATGTGCGAGCCGCCAAGGGTGGCTGGCAATTATTGACTTTGGTGGAAACTTGATAACTAAGTGGTTTGTTGATGGCCGGCGAACCTCCGAGTAGTGAACGCCTTCTGTGCATATGGGAGGTTGCATGGCTTAATAATAGTTTATTACGTCTGTCGGCCTTAATCGTTATTAAAGATGTCATCATGGCATAATCAATTCTCTGTGGTGGGCCGTAGTTATAACTACCAAACGATATTGCAAGGAATTTCCTTTGAGTGATTAATCATTATGACAAAGACGGACGAAGAGATATTCTCGACTTTGCGGGAGTATTCAGCTTGCGATGTATTGATAACCCACCCACGCTCTATTCAGGGGGTTGATGCTTACGAGTGGTTCTAGGTGTCAGATGCCCTGCTGAAGCTCGAGAAAGCCCCTAAAGGTGCTACTAAATATGCTGGATTTATAGCAGACCTCGGTGAGTTGAACAGAAGGAAGACAGGCTCAGGGATATCCTAACATATCAACTGCACCAAGTACCATTTTCTCCTTCCGATAAGGATACTGAGAAACTGCCAAAGATAATTGGGTATGCGTCAACTGTCAAGTTTATACCCAAAGATGACCCATTGCCTGCCGAGTCTCAGGATGAAAGGCATGGATTCCCGTCTGGGACGCACTGGGTAGATCATATAGACGCAGATACCGTCATCCTACTTGACCAGCCCGTGGGTCAGAGGTGTGCGGTCGTAGGGGGGATTCTGGCCTCCCGAATGAAGGTGAAAGGCGCAAAAGGCGCAATAGTCAACGGCCGGGTGAGAGATCTGGCTGAACTGCGCAACCTACAGTTTCCGGTAAGTCCTCCAGCTAGGAAATATGGCCTCAATTTATTCTATTTCTCCTTTCCATATGCAACCATTAACTATCGGCTCGTAGGTATGGGCTCGGGGCACATCAACGGTAGGAGCAGGTGCTGAGGCCAAAGCTGCTCTCCGTAATGTGCCAATTTCGATTCAAGGAGTGACTATCTCCCCGGTATGGCTAGCTTGGGTCAAATTAAAACTCACAGAGCCATTATGCTAACTTTCACCCTGGCAGGGAGACATCCTATTCTGTGATCCGCTAGAGGGGGTCGTAGTCATACCAAATGGGTTGATTGATGATGTCCTCGAATTGATGCCAAAGCTAGTTGCTGCAGATGAGAAGGCAAAGATGGACGTGTTGAATGGATCAACGGTCTTTGAAGCCTTTAAAAAGCACAGAAGCGGATAGACTGTTATTCATCCTGAGTTTTATCAAGCAATATATCCGATCTACGCTTGTTTACCGTCATAGAAAAGGATATAATAATAAAGGTAATATAAATATATAAATACAGTTAAATCGTATCAAATGACAAGCGGCTTTTATCCTCGCAATCTGTCATTACATGAGCGCAAAAAGAAAATCATGTACGCCGTCTAAATGCTCGCTGTGGGAAGATTTACTCCGCAACCCAAACAGCGGCCATTCCCATTCCAGTTCCAACACACATGCTGGTCACGCCAATCTTCTTATTTGTTCGCTTCAACTCAGTCAACAGTGTGCTGACCTGGCGGGAGCCAGTGCATCCAAGTGGATGGCCAAAGGCAATAGCACCACCTTTGGGGTTGATCTTCTCAAATGGAAGGCCAAGTTCCTTGGAACACCAGAGAGCCTGGGATGCAAAGGCCTCGTTGATCTCGTAAATGTCAACATCTTCCTTGGAGATACCAGCCTTCTCCAGGGCAACAGGAATAGCCTTCCATGGACCCTGTCCCATGAGGAGAGGCTTGACGCCAACAACGCTGGCGGTGACATACTTGCCGATAATTTTCTGACCGAGCTTCTCAGCAGTGGAACGCTTCATCAAAAGAACGGCAGCGGCACCGTCGGAGATCTGAGAGGAGTTTCCGGCGTGGATGGAGCCGTCAGCGGCGAAGGCTGGTCGGATCTTGGAGAGCGATTCAGGAGTGATGCCAGTTCGGACACCGTCGTCACGCGAGACTGTGATGGTCTCCTCCTGCTCGGTTTTGGGGTTGGTGAACTTAACGGTAAGAGGGACAATTTCCTCGTCAAAGAGACCGGCTTCCTGAGCCTTGACGGCCTTCTGGTAGGAAGAGGCAGCGAAAGCATCCTGATCCTTGCGAGTGATATTTAGGTCTTTGGCCATGTCCTCGGATAGAACCCCCATGGGGACCTTGCAGTTTGCAGCTTCCATGTGGTTCTCGAGTAGATCGGAGAACTCTGTGACCGCTCCGGGGCTGGACCTTTCGTTAGCTTGTGATTATATACACTATGGGTGGGCGAATAATGCGGGCAACAACATACCCATACTGAGAAGACATGCTCTCGACACCGGCTCCGATACCAACATCGATGACTCCGGCCTTTATGGCATTGGCAACATCAACGATTGCCTGCAGACCACTGGAGCATTGCCTGTTGAGGGCCTTGACGGCCGAAGTCTCAGGGAAACCGGCAGCCAGAGCAGCAGCACGGAACTCCGTGGCACCACCACCAGGGGGCAACACAGATCCAACAGCAATGTCCTCGACTAGCGAAGGATCAATCTTTGACCTTTCAATCAAGGCCTTGAAAGCGCCAACCAGCAGGTCAGCAGCAGCAGTGTCCTTGAACCCACCCTTGCCGCCCTTCGTTATGGCAGTTCGAAGAGCACAGGTTATAACGATGTCATCTGGCTTCTTCTCAAGGATAGCCGCGCTGCCACCCTTGCTCGGGTTCACTTGCTTGGTGATTTGAGCAAGACGCTGGTATGCTGAAGAGAAGTATCACATGTTAGTATCACTCCTGCCGGCTGTTCTATGACGTAGGCACTTACTTTGAGACATTTTGAGTGAAGCGAAGGGGGTAGTAGGTAGGTGGTAGAAGGCAGCTTTCTAGCGTATGTGGTATAGGTCGGATGTCGAAAAGAAAGGAACAGAATGAGTGTATCTTGGGGCGTTGGTCTCTCTATATATACATCTCCATCCACCGAGCATCTGATTCTCCCTGATTTTTGCCTTTTTTCGAAGGGAAACTTGGGGAAAGTTGCCGAGGCACATGGAATATAGTTTACCCGTTTCCGCGATTACGTTATGGGCCGAGCTCACGTGAAGCGGTTTTCTCGCTGCTTGGAGGGAAAAAAGCCCATGTGAATATTCGACGGCTTATGAGATTATAGATCGCAAGTTGTTCAAGATGTCATTTGCTCCTAGATCGCTCGCTTCGAGCAAAGGCTTGTGGTGCGCGCATAGCCGACTCAGCTTAGCCTCGCGCATAGATATTGAGCTGGTAGATAATCCTCCCCTCAGCTACTCTACAACTCCCTAGGAATTGAATATCAATCTAACAGAAGCCTCAGACACGGTCGTTTCCTCCCCAGTCCTTCAGTCGCAGGCTCTCTACCGCACATTCAAGTCAACCATCTCTCCGTCATGTCTGTTCCATCTACAACTCGCCTTATACCTTGCCACTCCGTTCTCCTATGCGCACAAAGCAAGAAACAGCGAGGCTAGCATCCCGCTCCTTCGTATCCTCCAGTAGCAATGCGGCCTCTTCTACCTCTACGGATCCAGTCGAAGAAGAGTATACCAATCCATACAAGGCCAAACGAAGATGGCCACCAGACATGACCAAGTTGTCGCCGAAACAGCAGTTTAGGCTAGAACGAAAATACAGACGTCGCTCAAAATTAAAATGGGCTAGACCAACGTGGACAAAGTGGACAAAATTGGTACAATGGGGTCTAATTGGATGTATGTGTTCGGCTTTGTTGCTTAGTATATGGAATACCTTTCTTTGGTGGTCTCTTACTTTGTCAAGAGAAGCAAAGCTGACAATTTCCACCTTAGTTGTTTTGGTATACTCAGTCTTATTTATGGAAATGAAGGATGGCGGTACCAATCCATTCCAGGGGGTAAGTAACATTCAATCCTGCTCACCGTGCGAGCCATGCGCTAGAAGGTATGAACTCTATTGGCTAACCATTGTCCAACAGTTCCGTGAGTATATCAAGACGCTCTTTGATGATTCGGTTTTGTCCGCACGCCGACCTGCACTTCGGAACGAGCCTACTTCCCCGATTGAAAAGACCGAACGCCAGTGAGAAATATAACGAGCTCTGGCTACTGTACAAATATATACTGTTGATCCCCTTTCTTCTGGTGTTAGCGGCATTTTCCTTATCCTGTTGTATTCATAGGATTGCACCTCTCTCCCTCGTGTTCAGAGGGGTGGTCCGAGGTATCTAATATTCTACCTATTTCCAGCAACACATTGCCGGAACTGTATGATAGAGTGTATAGTATCGTGGTTATAGGTGATTGGGTATCTATGGAGCCTTATAATGGGGCTTGGTGGGAAGCAATAGGGGGCAACCTAGACATCTTTTCATCATCAAATGGACCAAATGACTCGATATTCCGCTTATTGAACGCTGGAAGTCGACATAACATTTTTTACTTATTAATTTTAAGGTAAGCAACCTTCATTTTTAAACTTACGCGGGGTTGCAGATAAGCTCACAGCCGCAACTTCAGCTCAGCCTCAGCTTTCAGCTCGTTGAAGAAGCTCGTCTGCTTTTTCTGACAGACTGACCGCCGGACATTCGATTATCCTCATCGTTGACTGACTTCATTTCTGCTCCAGGTTAAAAGTGTTACATCTTTGTTCAAAGATGGCGTTTCGCAAAGTAAAGATCGGTATCATTGGGTATGGCAAAGCCTCCATGTCGTGAAACCCTTCTCTTCTATTTACTTAACGTTTGCTTACATTCCTTTTTATTTGATATTTAATACGTAGCTGTGGAGAGGTATCACAGGTGATACATATACCAAACTTCCAGCATCTATCGGATATTTTCACTGTCACTTACCTCTGTGACGTCTCTGCTGGGGCTCTGGAGCATTGCAAGAGCAAAATTTCGAACCCTAACCTATGTACTACTAAGAATGCGGAAGAGCTATGCCAATCTGGAGACGTCGATGTCGTTCTCGTTGCGAGCAACGACGCTTACCATGTACCGCATATCCTCCTCGGCCTGAAATACAACAAGTTTGTTTTCTGCGAGAAACCGATGGCTCTATCACTGAAGGATGCTGAGGTGGTGTTGGAAGCAGAAAGGCTTTCATCGGGCAGGGTAATGGTTGGGTACATGAGACGGTACGCGGGAGCTTTTCTCGACGCCATCAACGAGATAGGTGGGATTGGCGAGATATCTCATGCAACCGTCCGGGATATCCTGGGTCCAAACTCATGTTTTATTTCACAGTCAGGGACTTTCCCAAAGAAGTTCTCGGACCATAGTGAGGATGATGCAGCTGAACTTGCTACGAGGACAAGACAAGCTCTGGAACAGGCGTTGACGGTTGAGCTTGGTATACCAGTTAATCCAACAACTGCTAATATGTGGCAACACCTTACGGGGTTGGCTTCTCATGATTTGAGTGCTATGAGAGAGTGTTTAGGTATGCCAGCTAAGATCCTCGGCGCTTCTATCTGCTCAGATACCGGCCCTCAGTTCTGGAGGTAAGCCTTTCAAGTCTATTCTAAGTTAAAAGAAATAATACTGGATAAATAGCTGATAATCTGTAGTGCCTTGTTTAAGTATACGGGGTTTGCTGTCTGCTACGAGTCAGGATGGGATGAGATACCTCGATTCGATGCAAGCATTGAAGTATTCGGAAAGACGAAGACCGTGAAAATTTGCTATGATACCCCATATGTCAAAGGGCTACCTACGACCATGGTTGTTCGGCAATTAGGTCCCAACGGCGAATATATTGAATCCACCGTTCGAAAGACCTACGAGGATCCGTTCACACTAGAGATGAAGGAGCTATACGAATCTGTTTTGGATAATAAGAAGATTATCAAAACAACCGCGACGGATGCGTTGGCGGATATTAAGATTTTTCAAATGATAATGAAGACTGGGTATACACAGTTGCTATAAGTTTGCCGGATTTTGTCTTATTTTTTTAAGTATCTATTCATGGTATATTGAATATGATGATTCTCTAAACGCCCTATCGGCAGTTGGGCTTGAACCACATCATTCCCTCCAGCCCCCTGTTTATCTGGGCTGTGCTTGAAGATACATTGCATTTCCTTGCAAAGGCATACCATCTCGCCCCACAGCGAACCGAGTGAAGTTCGACAAGGCTTGGTGAAGTACTTTTTGCTCCATAGAGAATATCCCAACCGAGACCCAACAGAATATCCACCAGCGGACCTTGGCCACCAACCCCCAGCTTAAAGGAACACTGAAGTTCTGCATACACACATACTCAAAGTATATAGGATACCAGCCGGATTGGTCCCAGTCCAGGAGCCAGAGACGGAATTTCTCATCGACGATAATATTTCTTGGTGCGAGGTCTTGGTGCGAGAAGGTCAGGGGGGAGTGCCGGTCTGGCTCGAACGTTGACGTGCAGGTTGATGTCCTATAGGCCTTGCGTTTCCGTGACGAGGAGACGTTATACCAGAATCGTACAAAAGCCGTGATAGTTTCGGAGCTGGCGTGAGGTGGGAGACCATAATAGTTCCCTAGCCACATGGACCTGCATTTTCCGTCGGAAAGAGATCCAGCAGTTTTCGACGTCAAGGTTCGCATCCGACGAACAAACCGCCGTAATTGCATAGCGAGAAGTAATGACCTGAGCCAGCTAAGGGAGACCCAGGCCTCCTCCAATGTGTGGCCCCTGACTCGATCCGATATAACATAAATGTTATTATGATGATGACTTTCGACGACTCGTTGGATTCTCGGCACCGAAATCCCTAGCTGCCTTGCCCGTCTAATTGCTAAGAGGGCAGCACTCTCCTCGCCGCGAGGATACCGTTTAGCGACCAGATTTGAGGAAAGGAAGAAAAGGCTAGATGATCCTTGGGATACGTTGGATCTATTAATATGATGGACAAGGGTCTCCTCATCATACTGATAGAGTAAATCTTCTTCAAAGTTGGCACACATTGTAGCTGGGCCTTGTACCCTGCTAGGCCTATGGATGCAAATATGAGAATATCATGTAGCACTTGTGTGCCCTTTTTGGTGAGGAATGCAACGAATCGGGTGCCAAAAGGAGCCCTGTTGGACGTACCGGATACCTCATCACGTGGCTTCAGCTGCGATGGCGCAAAGTGTGTAAAGGTAATAGGTTCTTCGATTTTATTCATTAATAATAGAATAATAATCTGGAGAGAAAAGCTATGGGCAGATATGCTAAACAATAAGCACAATGCGAGGTGCGGTCCAATCTTGCAAGGAAAAATAACTCCAGAACCATAGAACATATACCAAAAAAGTATAAAAGAAGAAAAGAAAAAGTGGTCATAAGGTCATTCCAATAGGAGAGCTTTGGGTCGTTAATCATATCCATCTGATGTTTCTTTGGATAGGTTAGGTGAAGGGTTCACTCTCATCACCTCTATGTGTCCATGTTAGTTATGCACAACCTTAAATGGCCGGCACCCCAAGAAGATAGTATTAAGTAGTTTTCAAAAAATGTTTGAGAGAAGGGGAGCCATAGTGTAGCCATTCAGGGGAAGTAATGTGCATCGATGTAGAGAAAGAATGTGGGAAATAAGGGAAATTTAAAGATAGGATGTCATAGCCAATCATCGCTTGACTTTCTCTGCCCTGGACTTGTAACACCAACGTTCAAGTCCAGACGTGGGGGAGCTTCGCTCACAATTCCTGGCTTCTTCTTTGGGCTCTGGTTACCAGCTGTCTTCAAGGGACTGCTTGGTGGAGCATCTCTTGGGGGTCCTTCACGGACGAACTGATAGTCCCATCCATCCTCCGCAGCGGCAGCAACCCAGACCTTCAAGCCAGCATGAAGGGCGGGATAGAATTGTTCCTTGCATGTGCGGAGACTTCTTCCCATCACCTTCTCAAAACCGGATGCCTTTAGATCTGTCCTGAGTTTGTTGCGCTCCTCAGTCGTTGGCATAGATGCAATAATTCCATTCATAAGGTCTAGATGATTTGCAAGGTAACTTGTGGCCTCCCATTCAACTCCACCAATATATGGGGCAGCAGGGACAGGGGGGTGTGGTGGAGGGAAGTGGCGTTTAGAATAGGGTTGAGAAGGGTCAACTGGGTCATCTTCTAATGTTGTAACGGGGACAACATTGTAGTGATGTAAGAACATCCAGAAAACTTCCTTTGTAACATTAGTTACTTCTTTGCACCAGATTCGGTATGGCCGAGGCTGGTAAATATTGGCAATGAATGAAAGTGGCTGAGCTGTCTCTGGTGGTGCTGGGTCGCGCATATAGGAGAGGATAGTATGAGCGCGAGATGCTTGCTCATCAGGGCCAGCGTTGGATAGGAGGGTGAATAACAAACTGATAATTATTCCGCGAGTGCTGAATTCACTTGGACCTTTCTTGTCGTCATCGAAAAGCATATTTAGTAGGGTTGTGAAAAGGTGGCTCTCTATCGCGCGAAGGCGGTTGAGGGCAGTCGTAGTTGTGCATAAGGCTTTTAAGCAAAGTAAAACTTCGTGCATGAGCGTATCTTCATGTTCCTCCCTGAATATCAAGTTAGTATAGAATTTTTTTTTAAATTAACAGCATTTCTCTAAGCTTACCTCCACTCCACTTTGATAACCCTGTAGAGTAACTGTATGAGCTCGTCCATTCCTCCACAGGACATGAATTCAGTGACCCAGGTTACAGTTTCATTTCGCAGCAAGATTCGAAGTTTGTGAAGTTTGGTAATCTCAACAATTTCTGGTTTTTGCACCTCTTTAAGGTAATGAACAAAATCTGATGGTTCGTCGGCATCCTTGGGGGTGCGTATATACTGGAAAGAGCTAAGCACAGACGCGGATATGCCACGGGAGGAAGAACTAGAAGGTCTGGAAAAGTCCACAGACTTAGGGCGCTTGGAAGGAGTAGTTTCCGCTTTTTTCTTGGATGTAGAGGAATCATTTTTCGTGAACGTACGGCTCCGAGCTCGTGTCTTGGTTGCTGATTTACCGCGGGATCCACCCTCGGGGTTCTTGTCAGCTTCCTTGTCACTGCTGAAGAGTCCAAACCTCTTCTGACTTGAGGAAGATGGGGTAGTTGGCGTCATTTCATGTTTGTTCACGAAGTCTGCTTTGATATTGGTATCCAGTGCCCTCATTTTATCACGCATGTTGAGAGGGATATTTCGAGATTCCTAGAATACTAGTAAGTCACTGTTTGTGGCAAGTGATAAAAGGCCAAACTAACCAATAGCTGCTCGAACGCGTTTTCAATAGCGGTGGATTTAGGGTCATTCTGTCTAGTATCTGTGGTGTGCTGGTCCTTGGCATTGAAAGCTGCAATTGCAGCCATAACCCGGGAGCTTCTACGTCCATTCGAGATTCTTCTTTTCCCTGGGGTCTCGTCGGACTTGGTTGAATTCTGAGAGTTACTGGCAGAGCTGCTTTTCCGTTCAGGAACATTTGAATTGTGCGGACCTAGAGGACTTGGCTTACGACCCGCTGCTAGCATCTCCCTAACGCCGGAAGAAGTAGAAGGGATAGAATCCGATTTACGTCTTGACTTGTCGGAACGTGTGAGACTCGGTCTATGGTGATCATGGAAGTTTCTCTGCTTTGATGGAGAATACCCCTGAGGAGTGTAAAGCGACATTTCCTCAGCCACTGTCCGCCTGTCCTGTGGAACATAACGGGAGACGGGGTTAGGGTCCGGGGCCAAATTTGGGATATAAACACTTGCGGCAGTAGATGTCGTGTCATCGAAAATGTCAGAAGGAGAGAAATTCTCTTTATCCCTGGATCCGGAGTGGTTGTCCTTTTGGCGAGGCTGGTTCTTCCTGAAAAGCGATGATAAGCTGGTGGACGATTTTGTCTTCTTTGGTTTGTTCCTTTTGGGAGCTTCTTGCTTTACTGGTTCCTTCTGGGGCTGGTCCTTGGGGGTTTTATCCTTTAGGAGTGACTTGAGAGACAGAGTACTCTTAGATCTCTTATGAAGTGCGTTTCCAGGAGGGTTTGCATTATCTTGTAATGGAGAACGAGAGTTTGAGGCATTCCGATTAGCCTCACGATCATGATATGGCTGCTGTTGACGGTAGTGGGGGTGGTCGACCGGGAGAAAGCAGTTGGTTGCCAACGGGTTATTGGTAGGGCTGCTAACGAGGGCTTCGAAGGCAGATTTGCTTCTCTTGTGTCCACCAGATGGGAGAATTGACCTGAGAGCTGACACCTTAGATGAGTGAGGGCGTGAATCGCTAAAAATCGACGGGGTCATGGTGATAGTTTGTAGAATTGGCTGTTTTGTTGTTAGCATCTAGTTACAGCAGAAACATAGAGCAATAAACCAACCACGGGGACTCTGTCTTCAATTGAAATGTTTGTCGATGTGGGAGAGATAGTTTAAATGGAGTGTCACCTCTCTCTCTCCCTCTCTTGGTGATTGTTCGAGGAGAGAGATCCGATATTGTTGTCGATGGGCGGTGTTTACGCTGTCCCGGAGAGAAACAACTGGCTGGCGATGCAGGATCGAAGGCGGAGGAAAGCATATAAATACAGATCCAGAAGAGAAGAAGAAAAAAGTACGCCTTGAGGGCCATCCACAAATCATCATGGACCGCTTCACTTCGGTCCTGCGTCGCAGCGCCGTCGATGTTCGTTGTCACAGCAACGGTAAAGGCGATTTGTTAGTGTTTAAGTATCATGTAAGCGCGCAGTTTCTTTGCCTGCAGGACCGTTTTTAACATACATACGGCACTCTTCTTCCATAGTAATATTCCGGGCTATTAATTCTAGGGATCTCTCTGTTTTTCTGTTTATTTTTCGACGGCAGCCTTGTTTATTAGTTATACTGGAGTGTCATCGGTTTGACACCGTGTAACCGGTGATGTCTGGTTACTGACAGGCGCAAACCGGGAAGACGTATACCTACGGACGGGAGATGACAGAAGAGAGAGAGAGAGAGCGCGATCGAGGATAAAGATGAGGTGTGGGAAAGGGTTATATAGATCGTGTGAATCGTGATACATGTTATGCCCCTCTAGATGTTACATTTTCAGCAGTAAGGAGGGTTAAAAGGTAAAAAAGACACAAAAGCGCTACGAGAACGAAACTGAAGAACGCCCTTGTCCAACGCCATTTATTGTTAAAATGAACTGCAGGACAAGAAACCGCAGAGAGAGCACGGGGTTACATCAGCCACCTGCGACCTCCTTCATCTTATTCTGCTCAGGTGGCTCATCAATGAACTGCGGAGGAGCAACCTCATCCTGCATAAAGGACGGGATGGACTCCTCCCCGCCCATGGCTTGTTCGAACATGGCTTCTTCTCCAAGAGCCTCCAGCTCGGCGTCCAGGTCCGCCTCGTCGACGTCCTCGGGCACGTCATACGCGCGACTGATGCTGTCCTGGATCTCGTTTCCAATATCCATCAAGTCCTGCATCTCGTCCTGCATACGCTCAATCTGGTCGATGTCCACCTTGCCGTACTGCTGCTTGAGGGATTTAGTTGTAGTCTTCATTGCATCCACGGTCGTCATGACGTTGCGTAGGTTATCCTGCATCATCCCGGCCTGTTCCATATTCCAGGACTGCTGCGAGAGCTGATCGCGCTGGCCCTCATATCGCTTCCGTTGCTGTAGGACCTTGAGAGCCTTTTGGCGGATGGCAGTCTTGCCTGGGCCGTCGCGCATCTTGGACATCTTTGCCTGGTAGGCCGTCAGTTCGGCGTTTAGGGCAGCCAGCTTGACGTCTATACTTGATATCCGGGAGTCGACCTGCTTCGTATTAGTCGCTCTTCTACTCATCCTTCCATCACACCCTTCTAGAGCACACATACACTTGAAATCGCACCCTCCAGCGTCGGCTTGGGAGCTGTGTTCTTCGTGCCAAAGAGCCGGTTCATCTTGATTAGTCTGCTCTGTATATACTTGACTCTTCAGCTACTGTCGTCTTAATATCTCTTCTCCTGTACTTTCTTCCTCTTCTTCTCTTATTATATCGTGCTTGTCTTATTATTATCGTTGCCTTTTCTTGCTGCTTCTGACATCAGATAAAGTACTCACGTGACGCCTCCTTCTTGTGGGGCGCGAAACTTCAAACTTTCGAAACATCAAAAAAAAAGGCTTGAAGTTGCCGCAGTTGACGCTCTTCTTCTTCTTCCTCTGCCTTTCTTCTGCTCCTCTTCGCTTTTTCCACTGCTAAACGCCTACCTCGGGTTGCCAGCGTGACGTGTTTAGCATCATAGTTCCTTTTTCGCCATCAGATACATGACCAGCTAGCGCCGGAATCGTGCGATCTATTTCCCCGACAACGAGCAGTTGGTTATTATTTTGATAGAAACCACCCACCACACCAACCGGAACGCGAGAACCGGAAGCTTGAAGATCGTACGCAGAGAACCCAAAAGGAAAAGAAAGAAAGGGGGAAAAAGGAACTCCAGTTTCTCGTTTGATTCGGTGTTCGTCTGAATATATAGTGGCCCCCTTTCTCTTTGCCAGGTACGTCATATTACGGTACTCAAACCATCGAGCCTCTTCCTTCTCTTCAGCGGCGGCCTCCCCCCTCCCAATAACACACTCACATTCATACATGCCAGGTTGACCCGGCTATTCCTTCAGTAGACTAACAGCCATCTGTCCGCAGTCTCGACCTGCTAGTGATTACATTCCTTTTCCATTCCCCTCCTCGATCAATGCGAATCTACGAACGATCTTGGACTGTTTTACGAAGCCTCCGGCCTCCGCCCCATCAATAATCAATTCTAGAATATTGTACTGCCGAGTAGACCAATACTACCTGAATTCTGGATTACTTACTTTTCTTTACTTTCTTTTACGCAAAACAAAAACGGTGCAAGTACTTTCGACGATATCCAGATATCGATGCATAACGATTTCCCTATCTTCTACCGGCATTACAAATTTTCATCATGTTCTGGAAATATGGCGGTTACGCGAATGTGTCACCCATCAACTCACTCCTTGATAAGCCCGACGTCAAGGTGGAGGACATTCTCGATGAGTCGGACCTAATGCAAGAGCTTAAGCAGCATAATACACGATTGATAGAGTATTTACGTGAGGACCATGTTTTGAGGAGGCTGTTCGATATCATCGTCTCTCCAAGTCTACTTAACGATGACGACCACAATGATTATGATAATAATGAGGATGGAAATGACGAGACGACTGAAGACAAGAAGGAGCCAGAATCTCCCGAAGCACCCGGTGAAGGCCAGATTCAGCTTTCGGAGTTCCCTAAGATATCGCCAAACACGAGTCGTGAGCCCAAAGACCTGGAAGAAGCCGAGAAAAATAGGTTGAAATACGCATACATCGCTTCGGAGATGCTATCATCACCTTCCTGGTCAGTCATCGAAGCCATGGTGGAAAATAAAGAGGCCCTACGAAGCTTTTGGCAATATATGTTCAGAAAGGGAGACTTGGACTCTGTGCAAACCAGCTACTTTGTGAAAGTCAATGAAGTCCTATTGGACCAGAAAACGGATGCCATGCTTTCTTTCATAATGGGCATAGACAACATCATCCCGATGTTACTGCAGCATGTCGACAACCCGTTGGTTATGGACCTCGTCTTGAAGATAATTACTCTGGACAAAATGGATGGACAGAATGTAACAGAGGTAAGCTCTCATCCATTATCCTACCTATATTTCCCACCCTTTTTCGATTCTAATATGAGACATAGTGGCTCCAAACCCAGAACCTTATCCCCACGTTCTTGTCGTACATCTCAAATGAACATCCACCAGCTACTCAGACTGCTGCAGGTGATTTGCTGAAAGCTATTGTGACCATTTCTGCCAATGCCGCGCAGAATGAGCAGCCGTGCATTGGACCTAATAGCTTAACTCGACAACTGGTATCAGAACCATGCATAAAGACATTAATATCTGCCATGGTTCAAGGCGGTAATCCTCTTACAGTTGGAGTCGGCATCATCATCGATATCATCCGGAAAAACAACCCCGATTATGACCCAGAGATGGCGGAAAACCGCAATGCTACCCCAACCACTCATGACCCCATATACCTAGGTACCATGTTGAAGGAGTTTGCAAGCCACGTTCCCGAATTCATGGAATTAATGAATAAGAAAAGCAGATCAGAGGATTCTAAGCTTGATACTGCCTGGGGAGAATCTATTGAGTCACTTGGCTTTGATAGGTTCAAAACATGCGAACTTATGGCCGAATTACTGCATTGTAGCAACATGTGCCTGCATAATGAACCTGGTAGTCACGGAGATATGCTGGCACGAGACTTGGAGAGGGAGCATCTACGAGCATCCGGATTCTACCGAAATCAAGAAGATGAGTCGGGTTTTGTATACACAGAGAGCACGAATGGTATCCAAAGCTCTGCAATGGACACATCATCTCCAGAGCAATCAAGAAAGGGAGAGCCATCTAATGCTAATGAAGATGAAGCATTTGAAGAGATTACTTCTTCCGGTGTGCTCGTTGATCGAGTCAAGGACTCCGAGAGCTTGGCCCAAGCTGATGCCAAACCTACAGCGGATACATCTGCGAATGCTACAAAATTAGGATTTGGAGATGACTTTGTCGACGAACCATTAACCCCTCCAAAGTTAAACATCAAATCTGATGATGAATCTGCCGTTCAAGAGGCTGTCGCCTCTCCCATGACACCCAAGCTAACGGAAAAGGTAGAAGATATTCATATCAGCAAAGAGGAGGAAGTGGAAGAGCCAGAATCCGTCTCCAAACCATCGGACTCTACCGTAACTGCACCTGCTGCTGGGCAGTCGGACTCTACGGATAAGATAGATACCTCGTCCACGCTACCAACTCCGGAGACCACCCCAACGCTATCGGATGAAGAAAACACCCAGTCACTCCCAAAAATTGAGCCCTCGTTCAAAGAATCCAAGTATGAGTCCGATCCTTATATCCAAAGGGAGTCTGACGGTAAGCCAGTTGTTGGAGATTATATGAAGATTATGTTCTACGAGCACAAAGTTGTGCCAACGGTATTGGTAAGTTATTTAAATTAACATGAAAAATCCTTCTTAGATTTGGTGAATATGGCCCGTTTCCTTTCAGCTAATGGTAATGGTTATAGTCTTATTTCTTCCGCTTCCCTTGGAACAACTTCCTTCATAATGTGGTCTATGACATTGTGCAGCAGCTACTCAATGGCTCGATGGAGCAAGGATTCAACAGAGCTCTAGTTATCGATTTGTTCGAGTCCGCGCAAATAACCACGCAAATCATCGAGGCTCAACGACGTAGTGAAGAATCCGAAGCTAAGCATAAGATGCGCCTTGGTAACATGGGCCATCTTACTCTTATTGCCGAAGAAGTAGTGAAGTTTAGTGAACGCCACCCACGTGAAGTGCTATCACCGCAGGTTATGGAGAAACTAACCCACCCCGACTGGATTGATTATGTTGAACATGCCCTCTCAGATACCAGAGAACGCGAGAACGCTATCCTCGGAGGCGTGAAGCCCGACATCACCATGAGCCACCGTCAAGCGGTTCTAAACGCTATCAGCGCCCCAACATCCGTTCAAGGAACTTCTTCTGCCTTAGCTGATGCCGGTCTCAACGGAGGTTTCTCTACTGGCTTTTCCTTGAACAGTCTCAGTTTCGACAATCAATCCTCAGCTTCCGGCGGTGCGTTCGGCTTCAATAGCAACCTCGGCGGAACTGGACTCGGAACCGGAGTATCGCTATTCAGCGGCTTTGGAAGCTCGAGTGATGACGAGGACGAGGACATGGAAGATCGACAGGATAATCATGAATCCCAGTCAATTGGGGCAGGTCTTGTAAGTCCAAAATTTAGTGACGATGGTTGGTTCGAAGATATTGATATAAGTGATGAATAGTAGAGGCCTCGCTTCTTGCGCAGTCTCCTCTATATACATGACACCTTCCTCAAAATCATTAACTTTCCTTTCTTGATATATATCTATTTATATATCACGAGGCTATTTAGAGATATTATGTTTTGTCTTATGGGGTTGTCTATGGCTTAGGGATTCAGTTTCCTACCACTTTTTTTTCCTGTTGATATCATTTTGTACCTCTCATCTCTATGGCGTTGGTTTCATTTGAGATAGTTTCTCTCTACTTGTTCCACCTACTCTTCTCGTTGACGCGACTATGAGACTTTTTTTACATTTCTTTTTGGCATATATCTTCACTTACTCTCAATGCTGCGAACTGACAGTGATTCATTGAAAAACAGGCAAGCATATTTGACAATTCAGAAACCCAGCCTATTCCAATTCTTCCACCTCCTCCCGCTCCACTGAGCACTGGGCCATCGCGTGCACGACGCCAGCTTGCAGCACGACTCGCTCTTCAAAAACAACAAGCTCTTGATGCGACTTCTGGCTCTGCCGCCAACGAAATTTCAGAGCAGGATGGTGAGAGATTCTATGTAGATACCGATAACCGAAGTTCTGTCACCACTAACGAACCTTTGAAAACAACAGGGGAAAACAGTTCGCAGAACTATAGCTCTATTAATACGCTTCATGATTCATCAGGGAATCCCGGAAACTCTGATCCGCAATCTTCATTTTCTGGCTTTCAGAATGTAAGTGGGTATTCGGACAGCTCCTCTGACGAAGAGGGTAGTCTTCCCATGGAAAGTGTAGAAAGGAAATTCCGCCTACCTGTGGATGCATTTGATGACGATGACGAAATGGGTGATATGGTTGGGCCTTCGACCTCTTATTCTGATGAAGACGACGAGACTATAATACAGGAAGCGCTAGGTTATTCAACTTTCTTGGGTTCCGATCACCATACTCTAGGGGGTTCAGGATACCCAGAGGATAGGGAACTCACCCCAGATTCCGCGAGAGGGCAAGACAATAGCGATGGGGAGGACGATGGTCTCGTGGAGATATTGGTACCTGGGAGGAAATCGGTGACGAAATAAGTTTCAGCCTGATATCCGTCCTTATCTTCATTTGAACGCTTTAGCGAAACTCCATTTGCAAGGCGTCGTGTATCTGAACCTTTATATGGATTTCCACAGTCATATGCCCAATCTTTATTCGGGCATATTCTTCAAATATCTGTGTCTATTCACCCTTCTCTGTACAATACTTATACCCACCTTCGATGCTCTTTTTGAGTACCTTTTTCTATATTACTACTGTGCATACGGACTGCATCGTCTTTACTTTTGTCTTTCAATGCTTTGCTAGCTTTCCATTTTGCGCAATTAGCCGCAAGGTAGTGGTGAATATACGGGGCATATTCATGCATCAAATTACTTGGGTATGAGTGAGGTACTGGTTATTTCAGCAGAAATCGTTCCTCCTTTGAATAATGTTAGAAGGTATCCTTATTTTTTAGCTTCAGCACATGAATAATAGCATCAAGGTCCTAAGTCAAAGGTACAAGACGTGACTAGTTACTGATAGGGAGCTGAGGCACGTAAAAATAGCTATCAGTAACTATCCGAACAGGCTCATTGGCAGGCTCCCTGGAAACCATCTCTAGCGGGTCTCTTAAGACGGTAACCTCCTCCTCTTGGACCACGTAAACCGCCCATCTCAGCATGTCTTCAGATAGCCACCCATCAGAACGTCCCACGACCCCTTCTACTGGTGTGAAAATATGAGGACTTTTCAATCTCGCCTCCTTTATTGCCAAGTATATCGAACTTATCTCGCCTTCCACGTCTTCCTCCAGGTTGTCTAAGATAGCCTGTGAATCAACCACCGGATACCAGTCAATTAACTGGTTAAGGTATTCCTCAACACGCTTAGGGAAAATATCCTCGGATGCGTGTCTCGATGAACCATTCTTCATTTTATTTGCCCCAAAACAGATAAGCAGGAATATGCTGTAGACCACCGTATTCGACCCCAGGTTTCGAGTGGAAGGGTCAATAGCTTCATTGACACAGTCGACCATTTGCTTGATGAAATTCCCAAACAGCACTTTCATATCTGTCGAGTCTAGCAGTTCCAATACATCGTTTGAATGAAATAGCTCACCAGGCCGCTCGACAGTTGATTCCAATTCTGTGATAACTTTTCCAAGATGCTCGCGTGCCACCAATGACGGAATATATGAGAGATGTTTCTGAAATAGTGTTTCCAATTCACGGGGATCCCATGTTCTCGCTCGGGTAATTGCCCATTCACATACTACTAGGCCGGTCATATAGAGAAGCCATTCACTTTCCCGGTATATCTGTGCAAGTTTCTGCTTGTCGTTCTGTGGCTGTCGTTCCAGGTATCCTCCACGTCTAATTTTGATAATCCGAAATGCAAGCTCAACAGAGCCTTGACATAATGCATTAAGGACGACACGAGATCCTGAATGGCGAAAGTTTGCATAGGTACGGCCCTCCGTTACTTCAATATTTAGGGACTCCCTGGTAGTTAATCGGGTCAAGGCAAGGGCGTCAAGCAAATCCTGCGAGAACACACGTTCTTCTACAGTACACACATTTCTAGACAAGGGATAGGATACGTTGAATAGGAAACATTTCTCTTCCAAAGGCTTTCCATGTGGCTCGTGAAATTCTTGGTATCGAAACTGGCGAGCGTTGGCCAGAGGTGTTCCTGGAGGAGCATTCACATTCAAATCTCTAAAGTCGCATGGATTATCAACAATGCAGAATCCATATGTTGCCATTACTACTGCATTTTAGCAAAAGTTCAGTTTTCTCTTGGAATATGGAAGGAAAAGGAGCCGTACATTGTTGGTTATTGAGTGGCCCATAGTTATTATGGATTTCTTCCTTGGCTGAAACGGGATCAATGACCTTCAACCCTATTCTAGTAGCCTCTGCTCGCCATTCGATTTTTGCCAATGGCCTGTGGTTGGAAGAATCGACGAGGGGAAGCATAATTTGAAATTCATCATCTTGCCTGAGCGCCGGGTTTTTGGAAATATAAGCCTCTAATACTCTTGATGTAAATGCACGAGAGGCGATGACTGTGTATGCCCAGCAGAAGATGTTCCTGTGAAGATCAGTTGGCAAACACCCGATCTCTTTAGGTATAATGAATCGGCAGTATGATCTCACCAACTATATGATTCCACTAGTGGACAGCCCTCCTTTCGTAGGATAGATATCGCAGCATCATATTCTGTTTTCACCGCGTCATGGTACATTTGCCGGGCATGATAAAAATTCGTATCTTGCAGCCATTCGAGATCCTCGCCTTGATAGAAGAGAGCCGATGTCAGCTCACCTGCTCTGGGGAGGGTAGCTAGATATGGCCACCAGTGCGAGTCTTTTGCTTTCAGCTGTTGATGTGCTACAAAAAACGCTAGAATAACGGCCTTCCTCACGCTCTGAGACAATCTCTCTGAGCAACGAAAGTCATGAGGCGGTAGTTCGGGGTCCAAGTTCTTCACGTTGATGATAGACATAGTTGCAGAAATTGGGCAACTAGCCACAACAGTAGAAGCATCCAGTGTCTCGTTGTCCCGGACTCGTAGACATGCTCCTTTTTCAGCTTCTCTATAAATTTCAACGGAGGAATTTAACCCTCCACCGAGCTTGGTGATCCAGTTCACTAATTCTTCGTCTGCTTCCAGCTTTTGACGCGGTGAAGCCGGAGGGCTATCGAATTTAAACCTGGCCGGCAATCAGATACGCTTCGATCGAAAAGTCCGTTAAAAGGAACCAATATCATGAAAGGACGATACCTGCTGTCTACCATGTCATTTGCTTCGCCTAAAGACATCCTCAAAGTGGTGCCTGATGGTATCTTAAAGTCTGAAGATGGAGTTTTGTGATCACAGAGACAGACTCAGCTCAACTTTCTAACAGCAGCATCAGCTGTCAATTAATATGCGCATCGAGTATATCTATTCGTTATAGAGAAAGATGTATTGGCTCTCGTTTATATCTTGACATGAGAGTTTTCATAGGCAGTTACATACTCGATGTGGATATAACGCTTCCTCTCTGTTTCTTCATTTCCAGCAGATCCTTTACTACCTTACAACCATCCTATGCTAAAAGAATAAAATCCCCAATCATGCCATCCATTTATATCTTCCTGTCCTTCATCTTCTTCCGCTGCGTCTTCACTCGACGTTGATATCACGTGATGCTGGCCAATCAGACGCTGCGTAAAGGAGCGACTTTCTGACCAACTTCAACCTCACGAAGGCCGCAAAAAAGTCGACGTAGCGACAACCAGCTTCACTGCAACAACAACATCTACCATTGGGCTCAATTGGGGTCGAGCAACGAAGGGTGACCTGCCCATCATGATCTCCAGAGCTGCCGTGGCTCCGTCAGCCCACTCACTTCCCTACATCTCGTCTCGCGCCCTGTCCTCCGCTTCCGCCTCATCTCTATCTCGCTTGACATCTGCACAGCAGCCGGCCGCCAAACAGTCGCCGCAGCCCCAGCAGCAATCTCAGCAATTAACACAGCAGCAGACACAGACACAGCGACGAGGCTTTGCTACCGTCCAGGATGCCGCCACCGCGCACCCACCAAGAGTTTACGGCGGATTGAAAGACCAGGACAGGATATTTCAGAATTTGTATGGACGACATCCTCCGGACCTAAAACATGCGATGAAGAGCGGTGACTGGTACAAGACGAAGGAGATCATTCTCAAGGGCCACGACTGGGTGAGTTTATATCGTTTGGGAATTCGGTACCGGATCATTGATGTTGGATTGGACGACCCCGGGCTAATGTTTTATCTTGATAGATCATTTCTGAGGTCAAAACCTCTGGGCTTAGAGGCCGAGGTGGTGCTGGATTTCCCTCTGGATTAAAATGGGTACGTTTAACTTTCGATTTTGTGATTACCGGACATTCTGAGACATCCATGAAGTTATCTGAGAAATTACTTTGAGCAAGTCCCTGGGTTTCCGTTATCTAACAGTGCCACTTTTTATAGTCCTTTATGAACTTCAAGGATTGGGACAAGGACAACAAACCCAGATACCTCGTCGTGAACGCTGATGAAGGTGAACCTGGCACATGCAAAGACCGTGAAATTATGCGCAAGGACCCCCACAAACTTATCGAAGGTTGCCTTATTTCCGGGCGTGCGATGAACGCTACTGCAGCATATATCTACATCCGAGGTGAATTTTATGAAGAAGCCACAGTTCTACAACAGGCCATCAACGAAGCCTACGCAGCTGGTCTGATCGGTAAGAATGCTTGTGGGTCCGGCTATGACTTCGACGTCTACATTCACCGTGGAATGGGCGCATATATCTGCGGCGAAGAGACTGCTTTGATCGAGTCAATTGAAGGCAAGGCAGGAAAGCCCCGTCTAAAGCCCCCATTCCCCGCTGCCGTCGGTCTTTTCGGCTGCCCTAGCACTGTCACCAATGTCGAAACCGTCGCTGTCGCCCCAACCATTTGCCGTCGTGGTGGTAAATGGTTTGCCGGCTTCGGTCGTGAAAGAAACCAGGGAACAAAACTGTTCTGTATCTCCGGCCATGTCAACAACCCCTGTACCGTTGAGGAAGAAATGTCTATCCCCCTCCGTGAACTGATTGACCGTCACTGTGGTGGTGTACGAGGTGGATGGGATAACCTCCTCGCCGTAATTCCTGGTGGTTCTTCCACCCCTGTCCTCCCAAAACACATCTGTGACGACCAGATGATGGACTTTGACGCCCTCAAAGACTCGCAATCTGGTCTCGGTACCGCCGCCGTCATCGTCATGGACAAGTCCACCGATATTGTCCGTGCAATTTCCCGCCTATCCGCTTTCTACCGCCACGAAAGTTGCGGCCAGTGTACTCCTTGCCGTGAAGGAAGCAAATGGACCCTACAAATGATGGAGCGATTCGAACGTGGCCAGGCTCGTGAGCGCGAAATTGACATGCTCCAGGAACTAACCAAGCAGGTCGAGGGCCACACCATCTGCGCCTTGGGTGAGGCTTTCGCCTGGCCTATCCAGGGATTGATTCGCCACTTCAGACCAGAGCTCGAGGCAAGAATACGCCAGAATACACAAGCACACGGAGGCAAGGAGTTCTTTGCCGGTGGCTGGAACCCAAACACCCGTTTGGACGGTAAACTGATTGCTCCCGGACAATAGACGAAGGACAATATCGGCTCGAAATGGTTTGGGGGAAAGGGTAAACGTGTCTTTTTAGCAAATGTATTAATCATTCCAAGAAGACCACTCATTGTCAGTTTTGCTCTCATGGAGCTCTGTATATTGATTGCGGATAATGGCAACACTTGATTACCCTCGTGTCATCTCTTTTTGTCATCCGTCTGATTCGCATTTGTTCAAAATATTTGTGGTTTGCTCTCTCTTTTTTCATTTTATATGTTTTTGTATGGACTTTAAAGGCACTATTGATACTCTAGAAATTTACTGTTGTCTACGTTAATTTACTCGAAACGAAGAGAGGAAATGTCTGTTTTGGGGGTTCATTCTTCGATTCGGACTACTGACTAGCTAATCTATCTAAAAAATTCGTCGGTTATTGTGTGAAGGGTTGGGGGAGGGGAGGGGGCATATAAGGGACATGTAATAGGACATATTGTAAGGGGGAATAATGTAAAGGGACATAGTGAAATAGTGATTGGGGATAGTAAAACAGGAAGTGGAAGAGTTAACAAAAATTAAGTAGCTTAGAAGCGCCCACATAAGTACTTAAAAACAAGAACAAACGTGATGCTGAAATATTCATGATGCTATAAAACTGTTCAGGTGTTGAAATCAATGGGTATTTGACTGTTCAGCTGCTTCCGCCGGCCATGATAGCATTGTAGTAACGTCTGCTAACTTCTGCGCTGTGAGTGAGCCGAGCATCCCGAGTCAATGGGAGATTAAGAATGGTAGACGACTCGATATTCTGATTGACAAAATGTTAGCTTCACTTTCTCAGTAAGGTATCTCAGACAGAATCTAAACTTACGTTTCCTACATCTCTGGTAGCCCACCCGGCGACCATACGGCTCATTTCTCTGAACGCAATTCGCTCATGCAAACTCGAAGAAGCTGATTTTTCGACTTTCCCGCCAAGGCTCGCAAGCGCCTTTAGCAGTCTCTTCAGCGGTGCTGGGTCTCTCCACCCTCCCTTCGCATTCACCAACTGCAGGAAATCCTGGTAGACCGCACCGCCATCCGCCCAGTCCCTAACCCTTCTCTCGGGACTTTCACCAAATCCATTAAGCAGAGAAGCAAGTGTATCATAATCTCTTTCAATGACCGCCTTAGGAGCAACGACACGATAAAAGGTTCCATGGGCCTCGTTCCAGTGTTTGGCATGAATGAGACAATCCACCTCGCTAGCAATATCACCAACAGCCCGAGCATGCAAAGCCTTGGAAATCCAAAGCCAAGCGGGTGGTATCTGGAGCTCCACAGTGAGATATGTCCATAAGGCGTTTGGAGTCCCATTGTCTGTAGTTGGAGAAGGGATCAAAGCAGCAAACCGGCTCAAAATTTCTTTAACACCCCGCTCACGATCTGCTGGGCGAGAAAGGTGTAATAAGACAAATAAAGCTGGCGCATATTGCTCTGCTGTGGTGAGTTCCCAAGCGAAGTCCCAAGCAAGCTGGTCGGCTCTAGCTTGATCAACTGCAAGTGCATCATAATGCCCAACAACCTTTGATAGCTGGTGGAATAATTGGAACGATAGGCGGTTGTATAACATATGACCAGAAACTGCAGAGGGTGTGATGGCTGCTGGAACTTGAATTGGTGCAATCTCCGGATGAGTTCCATTGTTCACCGCAAGGGTGTAAGTCTTCAATAAAACCCAGAGGGAAGACTCGTGACCAGTCGTCTGGCCATCAGAGGCTTTGGTATTCGCTGTGAGCGGGCGTTGAGGTTCACCTTCGTGATATACATCATGATGGAATAGAGTCACGGCATCCTCTAGTGGGTCATCGTCTGAGATACCATACCATAATCGAAGACCAAATGCCTGGAACCAATCAAGGTCAAAGCGATCTGAAATGTTGAAGGTTGAGATTCGCTCTTCTGGAGGTCCGCTCGGCTTTCCTTCACTGCGAAGGCAGTTTCCAGCGAGAAGTTCATACATTGCTCGGATCGGTTCACTTATCTCACAAGAAATACCACCCTTGCGCCATGACTCAATTTGATCCTGCATGGCATTCCTAGTACCTTCATCACGACCTATCTGAGAAATGAGAGAGGCCAGGTGCGGGTTTCCGGAGTCAATGAGTATCTTGCAAGCTTCCTCGACGCGGTGGCTGCACAGGTAGACAACAGCGCGTTCTTCGGATGTTTTGAGATCTCCAGCTCCGCTGGGATGATGCGTTCGGATTATTGTCTCCCACAATCGGCTAAGACGATCTTTTTTGATTCGATGTTGGTACTTATCACGAAGCCCAACCGGAACGCCATCAGAAATATCGTCTTCTAAATCGTCATTGAACAAGATATTGGCCAATTGCCACAGCCACCTTTCACTATCAGCTTCCTTGGTAGTATCAGTAACAGCCTGGGCCAAGTCTCCAAAATTAGGGAGAGCTAAGCTTGCGAAGGGTACGTTGTCAATTAAGCGAACGACTGATTGCGTTTTTTGCACCTGCAAAGGGTTCTGGGCCTTTATCGCATTAAAAGTCAGTAAAATGGAGTGGCATTTAGTATCATAGAAACATACCTCGGCAGTTTCATGTTCAAATTTACTGACGGCTACCAGCTTTCTCTCCCCATAAGAAGGCGCCTCAGGTCTATTGTTTGGGAGCATAACTTCATCCAGTGCGCCCCATCTTGCCTTTGTCGATTTATGAAATATAACCTCAATTTCTGACATTTCACCCGGCTTGCCTGCAAAGGTCTTGGGTTTCTTGGGATAGGGCCACTATAATATAAAGCTTAGTAAACATCCATCTTCATTCAGGCTAAGTACATATCAAATTATGTAAAATATGATTAAAAAATACAATTTGGGCTCGTATGAAATGAAAAACAATTGGGAATTGAGTACGGAGGGTGAACTGGAAGGAAGTCAAACCTCTAATCCGCTTTTTGCTTTCAATGATTGAGAGGGTGCAGGAGAAGCACCTTGCCGTTGAGGTTGTCGGAATAATGAATTCATGAGATCGATACTAGTAGTAAATTGCGCCGGGCGCTCTTTTGCTCGTTTTGAGCCTGCGGTTGGGCTATCATCCTCGTCCCTATCCATGAAAGCTCTATCTTGGGCTTCTCTCAATGCTTGTCTGTCTTGCTTCCGTGGACTGATAGTTCGTTGAAGTTGTTCAGCCCAGTTACCCTTAAGGTTGAGGTCTGCTGCCTTGGTTGGAGTGCCAAATCGAGGCATGGATTGGAACAAGTTATTTTTCTTCAAGGGGCTAGTCATAGTAAGCTCCACGGTTTGGTCAGGGATTGGGAAAGAACCAGCCATTTCCATATCCTCATCCCTGTCCGATTCAAGTTCTGATGCTGAGGCTGACATGCTTTCCAGCTGTCCTTCACTCTCATTAGTAACTGAACCCGCGGAGCCGTCCTCTAAAAAAGAATCCTGGTTGTCTGCATCTTCGGACTCCATATCTTCTTCCACTACCTGCATTCCATTTGCCGCCCGACGGGTGAAAGCCCCAGTGACAGGCTTTTTCCTCTTGAATTCAAAAGTATCATCCTCCACTCCGCTCACCGAATCACCAAATAGCGAGCCCTCAATACTCATTGAGGCGTCAAAATTGCGCATGCTCGACGACTGCGTTGGGGTCTGATCATTTGAAGCGATAGAGTCAGGAGCAGCGCTTGAAGTGCTTTGATCAAAACTCTCACCTTCATCCTCATCATCATAATCAAGTCCATATGTCGTAAAATGAGGAACCGTGAAAACCCAGGTGCCAGTCTCTTTCTCGTAATCAATAAATTCAGTGTTCGTAACCTCCTTCAGACGTTTGATATGCTTTTCGAAGGTTGGGCCTGATGTGAATGGTGATGGACTTCTCTTATCTCTTCCACGTGGCCAGGAGTTCTCAATGCGGAGAGTAGAGGGCATATTCAAACCCTTACCGCGAGCAGGCTTAGTGGCCTCGTCAGGATAAACGGTGATGGATCGGATTGAGATTTTGGCAATTTTATCAAAGATATCGTCGAGATTGACAGTGGTGAGGTCAACAGGCCGGTCAAAAGTAACGGATCCACAGCGAACACGACCAACTGTAAAATTTGGAACTTGCTTTAGCTGCTCGCGGGTCATCTTGCTGAGTTCTGCACGAGATGGTTTCATCCAGTATTCACCAGGTTTGGGGTCCACATTAGGAACAGCAATGAGGGCCTTGTTGGTTGGAGTGGCGACGGTAGCTTGCTCGCCGCTCTCTGGAACAGAAGCTAGTTCATTGCCACGTACTTGTTCCATTGGCGGGCTACCAGAAGGGGTGGAAGATCCGCTTGAAACACCATTAGTGGCTTCTGGGCTCTTGGTTGCTCCTGTTGGCGTAGCAGAAGGTTGCTTACGAGCAGACCTTAAGAATCCGAGTTCTTCGGGGGTCGGCTCGGAAGTATCAGAGTCAACATGAACAATGGCGCCGTTGGTCTTGTCAAGAGAGTCACCTGGGGAAATAGCGTCATCAAAGCTGACTTTTTTCTTGAGTTTGCTAGACGACGGCGGTGCACTCTCCTCGCCATTAGTCAACGCGGAGCGGGAGAATAGATCAGTACGGAGATTGCGATCTATCGTCAGACGTTTAAGACTACCACTTGAGTGTCGAGAATTTCCAGCTGAGAATGCTCCTGGTGAAAGGATGCTATCAGTCTCAGGGTCCCAAGTCTTTCGAAGGCTGCTGCTGGTCAAGCTCTTGCCAAAGTTACGGCCAAGGCTGCCCCCGTTTCTCAAGCTTCCTCCAAAAAGGCTGCTGCTTCCAGAAGTGCTTGCGGAGCTGGAAGGTGTTCCATAGCTGGAATAGCTAAACCCGTAACCTTGACGGGTGGGAGGAGTGACTAGACGGTTCGCTGCGATTGGTGAAATTTTATACATGGGCAATGGTGTGCGTTGTTTCTGCTTAAGGCTGGCAGAGAGGGGGGTTGCTAAGGGACCTGGAGAGGGTGTATTGGGCGCCGGAAGACCAGAGAAGATAGATTGGCTGCCATACGGGTTGCCATCTAGAAGAGATGCCTGGAATCCAGAGGTAGATGATTGTTGTTGCTGTGGTTGCTGTTGAGATTGGCCGAACAGGCTACTTCCACCGGTTCCTAGTCCGCTAGTCTGCTGTTGCTGGGTACCTTGGGTGGCGTTCCCTAGGCCGAAGAGGCTTGAAGATGCTGGCGCTGAGTTGGTTTGCCCAAAAAGCCCAGTGCTCTGATTAGGGGTTGTGCCGAACAAACTACTAGACTTCTGTTGTGTATTTCCAAACAAGGAGTTACTTTGCTGCGCAGGCTGAGTAGCACCGAGCCCAAACCCGGAGGTTCCTGAAGTTGTGGTGCTATTACCAAGTCCACCAAACAGGCTTCCGGGCTTCTGCTGCTGATTTTGCTGCGTGTTTCCGAAAAGGCCACCACCAGTATTATTCTGGTTCTGCTGACCGAACAAAGACGTTCCTTGCTGTTGGGTATTATTTCCAAACAAAGAGTTAGATCCCGAAGCAGTGGTAGTATTCCCAAAGATCCCTCCACCAGATTGCTGCTGTTGCGGCTGCGTCTGACCAAAGCCTCCGAATGCCGGTTTGTTTTGATTCTGATTCTGACCAAAAGAACCAAATGTGTTGTTCCCTTGTCCAAAAGCGGACGTGGTTGCAGTATTTCCGAATGGTGAAGCGTTACTTGTGTTTGTCTGAGTACCAAATCCGGTTCCTAAGGTAGGAGTGGTGGTCGTGCCAAAGGCATTAGTTTTTTGCTGGGTATTCCCGAATAAACCACCTGTGGTATTGCCACCCCCGAAAGCATTGGTAGTTGAGCCGCCAAAACCCCCGGTAGTCCCAGAAGTTCCAAAGCCGGTAGAAGGAGTGGTAGTGGTTTGGCCAAACAGGCCAGTGCTTGGTTTTGTAGCCCCAAACAATGGGTTAGTCGAGGTATTTGTACCAAAACCAGTGTTCTGGGTCTGATTCTGCGTTCCAAACCCAGAGGTGGCTGTAGTTGGTGCGCCAAATGGAGATGAGCTAGCAGCTGTATTACCAAAGCCACTTGAGCCTTGTTGCCCAAATCCGGTGAAGGATCCAAAGGCTCCTGGCTGACCACTGGCATTACCATATCGTCTGCCCTGTTCGTAATCGGCAACTCGTAATTCCTATTTTATGTTAGTTCCCAGATTTCAAGTCAGAATACAGTTTTAGTAAAGAGATAACTTACTTCGAAAGAGTATTTTTGATATGGTGTCATGAAGCTTATACTTTGATAATTGCTAGTGTTTGAAGAACCGGGATCCTTTTCAGTGAAGGGACTGAACGTTGGGTTGGCAGTTCCTTGGGAGGGGGGAACTTCGCCAGCCAGGGCTGTACCGCTAGCACCAAACCCTGAACCGCTGCTAGCGGCTCCAAAGCCCGTTCCGGTGTTGGCAGCTGGGCTAGAAGTCGAAGCACCTCCAAATATACTGCCAGTCTGATTGCCAGTTGATCCAAAGCCACCAGACGGCTTGCTACCGAAAAGTCCACCACCCGTTCCAGTGCTAGATGCCGTGCCAAACCCACTGTTACCAGTTCCGAAGCCAGATGAACCGAATGCAGAGGTTTGGGTGTTCGAGCCAAATCCACCACCAGTAGTGGTATTAGTGGAGCCGAATGGTCGGTTCTGACCACCGAACAATGAGTTAGAGGTATTGGTATTCGAGCCAAAACCTAATGAAACCACGTATCATGTCAGCATTTCCCCAAATATCTAGATTGTTCAACATAAGTAGAAAAATTTAAAGCCACAGATCCGTCAACGTAACAGCCTCAAGTCTAATAAGGAGAAGTATCGTTAAGATGTCAGATGCGATAGTCATTCATCCAGCGCAATCAGCTAAAATTTTGAGCCTTCTTCACAGAGCGAAATCCAGAGAGTCGCGTGGCTGGAGTGCGTGTATGCAACCAGCAGGCTTGGGTCCGCGGAAAGGAAAAAAAAGCGGCATCAAAATATGCACCGGTAAGGAAATGCCGGTCCCAAGAAAAGAAACGTCGAGAGGGCCAAATTAAACCATTCCCTTCCCTTCGTTTAAAAAAAAGCGACAAGGATAAAACAAGGTCTGTTTTGACGTACCTCCTCCAGTTCCGAATCCACCGGAAGAGCTTCCGAATGCGTTACCTGTATTCGAAGTATTTCCAAAAAGAGGAGTCGATCCAAAGCCTAGATGTACCGAAGGAAAAGAGGGGAGGCAGAAGTTCTTGGTCAGAGGAGGGTTGTTCTCTTTCTTTTTATGTTCGCGTGGTGTCGATATTGTTCCCAGCAGAGTTTGTTCCAGAGCCGCAGAGTTTTCATCGTTTGCGCCTTTTTTTCATTCTTTTTTCTTTATTCTGGCGTGGCAGTTTTGTATATAGGATTTTCGTAGCCCGATGAAATGCATCTCCTGGTTTCAAGCTCATGGTGGAAACAACACGAACCATAAAAAACAATTAAAGTAAAGAAACAAGGGATGGGGGAAGGGGGGGAAGGGATCAAGCAAAGCATAGAAGGCCTACCAGTGTTTCCAGAAGTGTTGCCGAACCCAGTTGATCCGAAACCAGTGTTCTGCTGCTGATTGTTGTTGGAGCCAAAGCCCCCAAAGGAGGAGCCCGTTCCGAATCCTGACATCGCGTCCCGCGTTGTTATGACTGACAGTGAAAGGTAAAGTGGATTATCGAGCCATGAACGGGTATCTTTCAAAGATGCGAACGAAGCCGGAGAGGGCTAAGAGGTAAAAGAAACAGATAGTATCGTCGACTTGCTGCGAGGTTGGGCAGGCAGACGAGGTCGCGACGTGAAGAGGCTACAAAAGCTTTGCGAAATTAACAGAAAGTTCGATTAAACGGTTTTTTCAACAGGAACAAGCAAACTATATGCTCTCCTATGCTAAAGAAGAAGAGATAGTGAAAATAACAGGATGTTTAGACAGCTGTCGCTGAGGAAAACGCGGATGTTGCTTATAAAAAAAAAAAAGCTGAGGTTCGAAGAAGTCGAAGAAACCCAAAAGAGTGTTGGTCAGGTGACGTAGATTAGTCATGCTGTTGCCTAACAAAACTTTAATTTGGGGTCCGCGGAAGCAGTTTTTATTAGATGGCTGGACGGGGACTTGATATATATTACTTGGATAGGCCATTGACAAAGGATAATACGACTACTTGTATATATAGGCTATAAATATTCATCTACGCAAGAAAGACGATACCCACCGCAACCAAATCCCTTGATATACGGAGTTCTATGAGAAAGCTCCTGAGCTACTCAATTCTTCTTCGTAGCCTCATACATCTCGATGATTTTAGGCACCACAGTTGGGTCGGAGAGCTAAGAAAGTCAGTTGTTAGGAGGACAATGTATGACTCAACGAGAATTCACTTACCGTAGAGATATCGCCCAGACTGTCGGCCTCGCCGCTCAGGATCTTCCTGAGAATACGGCGCATGATCTTCCCACTGCGAGTCTTGGGTAGGTCTTCAACGACATAGACAGCCTTGGGAGCCGCAAATGGCCCAATAGACTTGCGGACCTGCAATACCAGCTCCTTGCGGATCTCTTCGCCAATTTCATTACCTGTCTTGAGGGCGACGAAGGCATTGACTGCCTGGCCGGTGAGCTCATCGGTCACTCCAACGACGGCAGCCTCGGCGACAGAATCTATAGTGTGTTAACTCTGGTGATACCATATAATGTTCTGGAAGCGCCGAACTTACGATGTTCGATAAGGGCAGCCTCTATTTCAGCGGTCGAGAGACGATGACCAGAGACGTTTACGACGTCGTCTACTCTGCCTCTGATCCAATAGTATCCATCGTGATCTCGGCCTGCGCCGTCTCCAGTGAACTATTTCCAGAATCAGTATTAAGAAAGCACAGCTTGGTCTTGTGTGTAGTTTTTACTCACATAGAATCCTGGATAGACGTTGAAGTAGGTATCCATATATCTCTTATGAGCACCCCATACTGTGCGCGCCATGCTTGGCCATGGCTGTTTGAACGCCAGCACGCCCTCCACATCGTTACCCGTCAGTTCCTTTCCTGAAACTGGGTCAACAATGGCAGGCTCAATGCCAAAGAATGGCAAGGATGCACTCCCTGGCTTGGTAGGGGTGATCCCACCCAGCGGGGTGATGACATGGGAGCCTGTCTCAGTTTGCCAGTAGGTCTATATTTGCTGCCGTTAGATAGCCGTTGCCGTCAAAAAGAAGCGTTGAATATACTTACGTCGACGACATGGGACCTTTCCTTTCCCACAGCTTCAAAGTACCACTTCCAAATCTCAGCTGCGATAGGCTCACCCACACTTCCCAACACTCGGAGGTCTTTCATCTCATGATGGATGTGTTCGTCACCAGCACGCTTCAAGAGGCGCAAGGCGGTAGGCGCAACATAGAACTGTGTGACTTTATTTTTCTCGATGACGTCCCAGTATCGCGAAAAGTTGGGGTAAGCAGGGGTACTTTCGAAGACAACAGTTGTAGCGCCGAGCAGCAGAGGAGCATAGACAACATAAGTATGTCCAGTAATCCAACCGACATCACCACCACAGAAGAAGCGATCGTCGTCATGGATATCAAAAACGTATTTACCAGTTGCAGCAGCGCCAACCAGGTAACCGGCAGTTGTATGCATCAACCCCTTTGGCTTTCCTGTCGAACCAGAAGTGTACAGCAGGAAAAGAGGGTCCTCTGAGTCCATGGGCTCAGGAGCGAGGTAGTTGGGGTATTTCTCGACTTCCTCGTGCCACCAGAGATCACGGCCTTCTGTCCATGGAACCTGCGCTCCCGTCCTCTTGAACACGATACAACTAGACACTCCTGGGCACTGTTTCAAGGCTTCGTCAACAATCTTCTTGGTTCCGATCACTTTTCCACCTCGCTTTCCCTCGTCCGCAGTAATGACAACCTTGGAGTTGGCATCATTGATACGGTCACGGAGTGAGTCTGACGAGAAGCCAGCAAATACAACTGAATGGACGGCGCCGATGCGAGAACAGGCCAGGAAAGCAACCACTGCCTCTGGAATCATGGGAAGATAGATAGCCACCGTATCACCCTTCTTCACTCCTCGCTGTCTCAGAGTCCATGCAAAGCTGGAGACCTGTCTTAGAAGCTCGCCATAGGTGATGCTGCGGCCCTCGCCGGGCTCATCAGCCTCATAGATGATGGCAACCTTGTCTGGATTCTTTAGCGCATGACGGTCGACGCAGTTGTAAGAAGCATTCAGCCTTCCACCGACAAACCAGGCATTGTCACCACCCTCGAACGAGCCAATATGCGTTGTGGTGAAGTCCTTCTCAAAGGTCAGAAGCTCTCGCGCCAGCCGTGCCCAGAAGGTATCCGAGCTAGAGATGGACTCTGCATAGAGAGTCTTGTATTCTTCAAAGTCCTTGAGGTGCGGCCTGGTCGAATGCTTGTGGTACTCCTCCGGGACATGGAAAGTATCAACCTGGTGGGCTTCCACAACCTATGCGCCTGGTTAAATACAGCCATCCCTTCTCCTGATGACGCAAAAAACAAAACATACCACCGGGGTTTTAGCAGTTTCAGTCTCTGCCATGTTGTTGAGCCTTCAGCGTCGACTTTGTATTTTGTTTCAGCCGCAGCTTGTATCCAGATCGCGGGGTAGCGGGGTCGATGTAACTATTCCAAGGAGCGTCCGGGGACGAACACAACGTCTGCCAGCGGTGCAGCAGGTAAAAGTAAGACGAACGAGAGAGAGAGACAGGGAAAGAGAGAGAGGTGGGAGATGGCTAATATAAGAAGAAGAGGGTTTCGGCGACAGGTTCTTCGACTCGGCTTCTGCAGCTGAGTTTATTTACATGCCCAAATCTCCATCTTAACCATCTCACTAAGTTAACTATATAGTTTTTTCGCCCAAAGATGTCGCCAACTGGTCACACAGCAGCGCCAGGATGCCTCTCGGCTAGGGATAAATGCAGTGTTCCTCTATCGTCCTGCGTCTCTGCATCAGTCTAACAGCACCCATCTCTTCAAGCCGGTATCTCAAAAACTGCTACTATAGGGGAGACTTAACTTCTGTTCAGCCGGGAGGAACACGCAAAACATAACTACAAACAGCATATCCCATAGTTTCTCTTAGAGTATGGAGGAGGACGACAGAGATAACGGAAACCCCGAGATCAGAAGACGAGCAGATACTGACTGCCTGGGCATCCGATGGGCCCAAAAGCCCCTGCTGCAGTGACACAAGCAAGCCACCAGAGGCCAGGTAGCAGCACGGCATGCAGCAGGGTTACATGCTTAATATCGATTTACGAAATTCGCTTCTCACCAGGGGTCTCATAAATGCGCGTCGAATCAATGATGAGGATGCTTGCTCGGCGAAAGCTAGATGGTGATATATGCTTCAGCGGGTTACGGAGACAATCCACCACCCGTTGCAGCACAGCCTACCATATATGATCAGCAAGATACATATATTTTTAAGGGCCTACATAGTAACTCCATATTCGGATATACTCCACTGACCTCCTTGTGCTCAGTGGGCTTTTCGCAGCTTGCTGAGTGGTTGGAGTTGGAATGCAGATATTATATTGATCCTGTCATATGGTGTGTCCGTTCTGGGCCAGTTCGACTTCCAATCCACAATGTGAGCGTTTGCATTGCAGACGGAAAGACAAACACTTACATCGAGATGAACGTTTGCGCAAGATGTACAACTACGGTATATCCATGGAACAAGTGAGAAATTATAATCCCATTTATCTAGAGTAGAAATAGCACATTCAAGCTTCCTTGGCAATAGTTTTGCCCGCTCAAGGCTACGTAGCTCAGGAATTTATACTTGGAGTCCAGCTAAAATATCATGAAGCATTGTCATCGTATATATCATAAAAGTAATCACAGGCTTTATCCCACGGCCGAACCATCTTTTAATCTTATTCTGTTTTAATCTTCCCCCAGTTATTCATCCACAAGGACCCTATCCCCAGCACAAATATCATTATTTTCCCATCCCGAATTACATCGGAGAGCACTCGTTTACCCGTCTTGAGCGCCCCGATAATACCGTTACCCGCTCCATTTCCTTCATTATTCATAAAAATCACCCGCGTGCCAGTAAGGAGGAGCTCACCCATAACCAAAATAAGGAACGGGTTCTGCGCAGTTGCCGGAGGTGGCAGTCGATCGCCTCCGCCATAAAGAGAAACGGTCGATTGCAGGAGCATCAAAAAATATAAACTGGTAGCTGTCGCAAATATGATGTGAATAGCCTTCCATATAGAATTGTTCCGTTGCGCAGACGGGGAGGCGGGCGCAGAGTTGGCTTGCAGGAAGAAGCTGGCCATGGAAGGAGGGACACCTAAAGCAGACGCAATGTCGTTGGGAGAGAGTTCTGGAGTATCACCTGCGGTGGTCGGAAAGGAGGGAGTCCCGCCTGGAGTAGTCATACCAGCCCCAGAAGGAGGCATACCAAGTAGACTGCTGAGTAGTTTGGTTGTGGGGTCCGTGTTATCTTGGGCGGAAGGAGGAGTTTGTTGGGAGCGAAGGAGGGCACGTATGTATTCTTCTTGCTCTTTTATAGACTGGGGAGAGCTCTCTCCCGCGTTCGAAGGCATCCCTACTCCCTGAGGAGGTCCTGGTGGTTGCTGTTGTCGTGGTGGTGATTGTGCCGGTGGTGATGAATATCGTGGAGGACTAGGAGTATTTCTAGCTGATGGAGAATCCTCGCGAACTGTGAAAGTGATGGTTAGCATGTTATAGAAAGATATAATAGCTAATCTCTTGCGAACTTGTCCTCAACATTAACATACATGACATGGAGCGGCCACTTAAACCCGTTATTTTGTCCAGTCGCGCAGTTCCTGTGGCCGCTATCTTTGCCGCTCGTTTCTCTCGCCGTAGGCGAGCAGCACGCTGGGTTTTTGTTTCTTCTATCTCGGCCATCGCGAGTCGTCTTCCCCGGTCTTTTTCACTGTTGATGTTCGATAATCCTTGACCAACAACATATGTTTGATCTACATTTTACTGTGAGTGACGTTAGGGCCAGATTATCATCACGTGACAAGTTTATATGTCGGGTCGGGTTAACTATAATCCCTATTTTTATATATGGTCCGAGCTTCATTATATATAATAGCGATGAACCGAAGATGGAAGAAGATGGAGTTTACCGTTCTTCGTGGTACTGATGAAGGAGATATTCGTTGGTCGCGGGGGTGTAACGATTTTACATGTGCGCCGCCACGCGTAACATAATCCTTAGCAATGTCGATCGATCTCACGAAAACCCTGGAAAGGGAGGGATTACTTCATAGTGCGTACAGACGTGAGAGGCCTTGCCAGGTTTCAAGTCCACATCTATTCTTTCATATGTATATGCCGCTTTGTTGGGCCCGCTAACTCTTATACCTACAGTCCTGGCCAATGCCAGCAACCAGCCGTTTGGCTGCATAGGCTTGCCACCTATGACGTCAGTACCTCTAGGGGCCTTGTCCGAACAATCAATATCAGGGACTTGGAAACCATCTAAAAGGGCTGTCCGAATAGAACATATATTTTACCATAAAATCCCCGAACAAAGTTGAAGAACTACTCTCTTCATTCTTAAAGCCTCTAAATTGTTCAACTGTTCTTATTGATATATCAATTGCTCAAGGGAGGGAGCAGTCTCACACTGTTGAAGATATCTACTTCAAATGAGCTCTTGGAAGCAAGATAAACCCTTGTAATGACGACACAGAAGAAGCCTGGGGGCTATTGGAGTGAATCCAACCCGGTTCCTACTATACAACAATTTATTGCTGAATTAGACGTCGGAAAGGCGGAAAGGGACAAACGAATTGATGAAGAGACCAGGAAGAACGAAAACCCCCCACCGAGTTCGGCTGTTCCCCATCGGAAGCCGGTTCCAACGCATAAATCGAAGGGCCGGGTAGTGACAGATCCAACCACGGGAGCAGAAGTGGAAATTGATGATGTAGGGAAGGAATTTATGAAAGCTGTGAAGGCTCCACAGGTAATTTCCCCCTTACTTTTTCTTACTTTTTCTAGCAACGAATATATGAGTATAGGAGAACCCTAGACTGACTGGAGATATCTTACACTAGCTGTCTGTCCCAAATGCGAACCTTGGATTACCGACTGTGAGCATATCTTCCCCCGACTTGTTTGTCTTGTGAATTTGTCTAACCCAAGTACTAGTCACTTCAAACCAAACCATCACAGCCTCTGGATGAATACAAGCATACTCAGGATATCGTATCGCCACCAGAGCCGATTGCGACCGGCACTACCAGCGATGTGCCCATACACGGCGAGAAAACCAATATTTTATTTCACCCAACGCCCTCAATCAGCTATGAGCCTATGTTCAAAGTGCTAGAGAAGAGTGCTAGCATTTTATGCTCTATTATCTTTGTTGCTATTTTAGTCGTTGGACGTTTTGCTGGAGGTCAGTTGAAATGGATGTTCCCCCTTTCATGTTGTGTCGCAACAGGTGTATGGCTTTGGACCTTCGACGTTATCCGGCGAGGGCGAACTTTTGAGTGGCATTCGGAGAAGGTTCGTGGACAGACGGTATGTTGGACCCTCCAGCTGTTTGGTTTCTTGCAAAGGATTAATTCTAACAATTTTGTTATTACCATTAGGCAACCGCAAATCTTCTTCCTGAATCTGCGGAATGGATGAATTCATTTGTTGAAGTATTCTGGGGCTTGATCAACCCGGAGATGTTTGCAAGCGTTGCTGACACTATCGAAGATGTGATGCATGCTTCTTTACCAGGAGTAATTGAGAACGTCCGAATTGCTGAGATAGACCAAGGGTCAAATCCATTGCGGATACTCAGCTTAAGATCACTGCCAGATGGGCAATGTTCAGATTTGATTAGCGGTTTGCGTTCTTACAATCTGGAAAATAAGGACGAACAGCAGGCTGCTGCCGAAGAGGACGGAAGCCAGCCGTACAACCTCGAATGCTCATTTGCCTATCACGCTAAACCATCCGGAGAAACGGCGTCCGCGAGAGCGCAAAATATGCATATGATGGTTGTTTTCTACCTTGGTGTTAAGGGATTATTCGGAGTCCCCTTCCCCATTTTCGTTGAATTATCGGAGGTTGTTGGCACTGTCAGGCTTCGTTTACAGCTTACCCCCGAAGCACCTTTCGCCAAGAGCTTGACGTTTAGCTTAATGGGTATGCCACACATCCGAGCCGGTTGCGCCCCCATGGTCAAACGAGGTATCAACGTCTTGAACCTCCCATTGATATCCAACTTCGTAAACTACGCCATCAAAGCCGCAGTGAGTATGTATGTGGCTCCAAAATCAATGACACTTGATCTTGGCATGATTCTTGGTGGTGATGATATCCAGAAGGATACTAGCGCACTGGGTGTTTTCTGGGTGAGAATCCATAAAGCCAATGGATTGAGCAAACAGGATAAGAGGGGCAGCAAAGGTGGTGGCAGTGACCCTTACATCAACCTCTCATTCTCAAAGTATGGGAAACCGATGTACTGTACGAGAGTTATCTGTGACGATCTCAACCCGGTGTGGGAAGAGTCCACGGCACTCCTTGTGACTCCTGAGCTTATCAAGGCTGATGAGAAGCTCAGTGTCGAGCTATGGGATTCAGACAGGAGTACTGCTGATGATATTGTCGGCAAAGTTGAGTTGTCTATGCAAAACTTGCTTCAACAGCCCGGGAAAATGTTTCCAATTACTTCAAAGCTTCAGGGTATGGATGCAGGCACTGAAATGCCAGGGGAGCTTCACTGGGAAGTGGGATACTTCCGCAAACCACACTTCCGACATGCACTTCGCACTGATGGAAAAGATGATTCCCTGCCCAAGGATTTGAAGGACCATCCCGCCCTTCAGGATGAGAAAGGAAACGTTCCTCCACCAGTAGATGATGCGGAGGCAGTTACATGCACTCCACCTGACCCTCTTTGGCCAAGCGGTATATGCACTGTTGTCATTCACCAGGTTGTCAACCTGCAAGTCCAGGATATCAAGGGAACACTTAAAAACAGAAAGGGTAACGAATACACGGCAGCAAGGTCATATGGAGAGAGTACTGGGGAAGAAGGGAAGCAATTTCCTACTAGCTACTGCAGTATTCTCTTGAACGATGAACCGGTAAGTATCATTTCTCTTTTCTGGGTGTTTTTTCATCTGTGGATAAGTAATTGAATGGTGGTATAGGTATTCCGCACTCGAGCCAAAGCTGTCTCCAGTAAGCCGATATTCAATGCTGGAACGGAGAGGTTCATTCGGGATTGGAGATCAGCCATGGTTACTATTACCGTTCGAGATCAGAGGCATCGAGAGCATGATCCTATCCTAGGTATTGTGCCTCTCAAACTATCAGATATACTCCAAGCCAGCTCCCAAGTCACCAGATGGTACCCTTTGGATGGAGGTATTGGCTTTGGGCGCATCCGAATTTCTCTCTTGTTCCGTAGTGTTGAACTGAAACTTCCACCCAAGTTACTTGGGTACGATGTCGGTTGCTTCCATCTCACATCCAACAAGATAACGCTGAAAAACTGCACCTCTCGTGGGAAGCTGAAGATGAGAACTAGCGGAGCTCAAATTTCAATCCCGCGTTCCGCATGGACACCTGATTCAACAGAGGAGGGAGGCTCTTACGAACTTACATCAGAATTAAAGGATGAGGCTGTATTGCCAACAAAGCACCGTTATCGATCTGCAGTAATATTCGAGGTACCGCATAGTTCAGGCACTGCCAACGCTCTCATGTGGCTCCAGAATCTAGTTGACAACGAAGAGACGTCCGTGGACATACCTATTTGGGCCGCAAAGAATTCTGCACGGTTAGTTCAAAACTTCCTTACAGAAGAGAGCTGGGAAGAAGCCAAGACTAGTCCAGGTTTGGAAGACCTTCAGATGGTTGGACGAATGCAATTCAGCTGCCGCTTTGCTCCTGGCTTCCATCAATGCCATGAGAAGCTTGTCAACAATAACGATTCTAGAGAGGCCTTTGAGACTTGGGAAGCAAGTGTGGCGGAAGGAGTTCGAGGAGAGATCCAGTCAGAAGTCCCTCCAACGGTGCAGTTATTACATGTGAAGTCTCTTATCCAGGAACGAGATATCCTCCGTCAAGCCAACGCCAAACATGGAGGGCAAATGTCCAATGATGGTGACCTATCTTCAATTGATGATATCATCCGAAAGTCAACGAAAGAAAACGTCAACTCTCGTGTCAAGGACGAGGAAGCATCCAAAGGCCAGGACCAAACTCCCGAAGGATACGAGAACCAGAGTCGGGGTACGCCCTGCCCAACGACTGCGGGAAGTGCAGATGCAAACCAAACGGTTCCAGCACCCATGATGACGGACGGAGATGGGATAGCGAAGGACAACAATCCACAGATGGTAGGCCACGCGGACGGCCGTGCAAGTGGCCCTGCCGCCGAACCGATTGAGGGGCGCACAGAAGAAGAAACTGCAGACAGAGGCCTAGCTTCGCATGGCCATGATGAAGATGACGGAAGTGTAAGTGACTATGGCGATGACAACACCGGCGCAGCGCCAGTTGACGGAGTTCTCTCAGAATCAAGTCACGAAACGACAGAGGAGCGAAGACGACGAATTGGCAACAAGGAAAACCGACGAAGCGAATGGCGGAAGCACCGTGGCGTGATGCAATGGCGCCCAGCTCGTAATGTCGTCTTTGTAAAACACGAAGCTACGTTTGCGATGAAGAAGGTGAAGGACAAGTTTATGGGCGATATGACCGGCCGGGAGCCAGACATTCGTACCGAAGTTGAATAAGTTGGGGGTTCCTTTCCTCCACATTCTCCCGCCATGTGTATTTAGTTTTACCTACGTCCGGGTCTCGAGTACTTTTTTATCGTGTGCTCTCATCCATCTTATTTTCTATAAATAAATGCCCGGGCTCCTCGTATTCTATCCACATCTCGAAGAAATGCCTGCTAACAAGTTAGTGTATCCGATGAGACGTATCAAAGCGTGCTCTTCCAACGAGGCCATCTCTTCACAAATAACACATCAACCTCTCGTCTTCCTTTTTTTTCTTTTCCTAAACGAGAAAGTTGAGCCGTCTGCAATATGACGATTGACAGCCCTTTTAACCGCACAGACTCTGGACAATCAGCAGTTTCAGCCTGTGGCGGCAAATCTGCTCTTGACCCTCTGCCGTTATTTTATTTTTTTCCCTCCCTTTCCTGTCTGATGTTCATGCTTGATGTTCGAATGCTTCATCCCTGGCCTTGCATGGCGTAGGCGCTTATCCCTATACGCCCCTGTCCCTGTCCGTGTAGCAGAAGGCTGAAACGTAACACAGTCACAAGTCAATTCTGCCTGTTTCCAGTCGAAATAACTTCTCACTCCTCAGCTTCGAAGAAGGATTTCCTTCTGAAAAAAAAAAAAAAAAGCAAGCCAGCACACGCCAAGGGGCTTTGCTCTGCCTTCCAGCTGCCAACGGGAACGCTACTCTCGTTTCTTTTCGGCTAAAAAGCAAAGAAACCAGTCAGCTAAAGACGACGTTCATTCTCCATGCCATCGAACAAGGCAGAAGACGAGTGACTTAGCTATGCGTGTTCATAACCCCGAGCATGAGGTCCAACCGGGTTTGCTATTCTTAGAAATATATATGTATAGAAGGGTGGAGCGGTCAGCGTCTAGATGGTTGCAAGGGCCCGAAAGAGCCGTTGCAGCTCCAACATCTTCCTGTCGACCATGAACGGGTCAGAGATGGGGCGGTCAGACAGGTAATATCTCATTCTTCCCTGTCCTTGTCCGTCTCTAAATATATATGTATATATGCAACGGACGAGGCATGACGGTGAGATGGTACATATACATGCATATAAGCAGGCCAGGCGTGACCCCAACGAACATATGCAGTCGGCGAAGGTCCGCCATTGGCCCCCTTGGAGTCCAAGGGAGATGGCCGTTGTACCGACCAGTGAGACACATCAGATGTCGGAAAGGAGAAACAAGTTGGCTGCCCCCGAAGAATGTGCGAAGTGTGCGAAGCTGTGCGAAGCTGTTCGTGTTGGTTGAGTGGCTGCTCTCTTTTTTTTCCTGATGTCCGGCGATGGTTCTTACTTCTCCACACCACCCTGAAGACTCCTTTTTTCATGTATACTTCAGGCGAATGTTAAGTCTAGTAGCCACACTCGGAGAATAGGCGTGAGTATATCGTGCGAAGGCCGTCGAAGTCGGATGGAAGTCGGAATGACCGCGGAAGTTCAGCGGTAAGAGAAGTTAAACGGCTAGGGATACGAGGAGAAAGCAAGAGTCGAGGCGAACTGTTCTTTAATTCTGTTTGTATATATATATATCTAATATACACTTCTATAGATGTATACATGATGTCATGTATATGTGGATGTATTCCAGAGCGCATGTACATGATTAAAACTGACGTATATAGCTTTATTCTCAATATGTCCAGCTATTGAAAATGTAATATTTGGTACTCGAAAGGGAAACGCTACATGGGTATACAAGCCAAAGCTTCGTTTTTGCTCCCAGACTCCCGCCAATGAACAGCAATAGAAACAAGCAAATTGGGTGATATATTTTTGGCAGTCGTGATATAAAGTGCCTCCTCAAGCAGTGTAGAAGCGAAGTGGAAAGGGAAGTAGCCTATCCGCCAAAGTATATATATATAAATGTATGTATGCATAGGTCGTCACGTTCGTTGGTATCGTTAATGGTGACGGTATCTGACTAGTAATGGCTAGGGTCTAGCATCTCAGTCTCAAGCTCGGCTTGACAACCGGACTCGAGCATATCCCCGAGCGTTGTGACGGTGGAGGCGTCATGTCAGTAAACGCTCGACAAGCATCGTCATTTCTTCTCTCAGCCAGAGGTGTTGAAGGCGCTGGAGGTGTTGCACGGTCGGAGCTTGGTGGGCTGGAGGGCTGGACATAGCCATCTTTGATCGGGCCCAGGGTCCACCGCCATTCTCTCTGGACGGTACGTTGGTGAATGGGTGTCTGAGGGGGGAGACTGTCCTCCCGCGAAGGTAGTAGCCCGTCTCGAACGCCGGCAGCGAGTATTTGTCTCTCGCTTCGAAAACTTTTGTGATTTGCCCGAGTCTGTTTCCTCGTTCTCTTGGGAGACTTTTTAATATTCCCTGACTCGTCTTCTGATAGCGTAGATCCGCCAGAAGCAGAGTCACTTGAGTCCGAGTCTTCCTCAGACGAGCTATATGAGTATGTGCCGAGTGGAGAGCTCGCCCGAGAGGGATTCGTTGACTCGATGTCAGAGTGTTTCGCGGTAAACTTGACAGTTTTTATTACCTCGTCAAGTGGGTATCGATATTTTACTCGCTTTTTGGATGGCGCTGAGATACACATGTTTGAGCTTGGGCTCCCAGGGTATGTTCCCGCAGATACACCAGAGGCTGAAAGGGGCTGTTGCTGCTCAGCCTGGGCAGGTGAAGGGATAGGTGAATTTCTTAGAATGCCCCGAATGCCTTTTGGTAGCTTGTAAGGAGGACCAGCAGCATGGATGGTCCCAGATCTGGCAGAAGATGATGAAGGCGCACGTTGGCGAGCTCTGGAGGGCCCCTTTAGCGGCGAGCGACACATTGGAGAGTTGGCGCGGTGAAATGTTTCGTAGGCGTTGTTGAAGGTGTTCCTGTTAGTCGGAGATTGGCAACTATTACTCGTAACAGCTAGAGATAGCGCAGTCGATGATTTCCCAAAGGTGACTGGCACGCATGACGTTTGTAGGGATAGTTTTGGCCTCTTGTTGATATTGGGACCAACTTGGTTCCGCATGGGAGCAATGGTTGTTACAGGCGGTGCTATCATGGGCACGGCTGGGTATACCGCTGGTTGTGTGGCAACTTTCAGCATATTGGTAGGTCGATGGTAATCTTCAGAGGGCGAGGAGGTGACCGGCGAGTATGCAGTTGCTGAAGATTGAGATGAAGAGCAGGACGCCGGTGAGAGAGCGGTGGAGGAGTATGAAGAGGATGATGAGGATAGCGCAGGGGAACTGCTACGGCCAGGAGAGGTGGCTTCTGGTTCCACTGATATGAGATTGATGGGCTTCTCACAAGCCATCGGCATAGTGATCATGTCTAATCCGGGAGAGGGAGGATGTTATAATTCAAATAGCCCCAAAGAAGGAGGAAAGCCAAAAAAAAAAAAAATAACAATCCACGAGAAGTCTCTAAATCCGAGCGACCGGCCTCGAGACCACGCGAGAGGCGAAAAGCCAGGACAAAAATAGACCGCCCCAAAGAGTTCGCTTCCTGCAACGGAGGGACCCGGATAGAGAGCAAGGAGGAAGAGGCACAGTTAGGACAAGAGTATTGTCATGAGTTGGAAGTTGCCTGTAAAGCACGCGAGAGAAATGTTGATATAGCGGCAGGAAAAACAATATATGACAATGCCAGTTCGAGTGGAGCCATGCATGTTGAGAGATGGCGAATATATGGTGGCGGGTAAATTTCTATTCCTGTGGGAGATTCATTGGGATGTTTGATTCAATAATTGTTTCGATACTGCCTAAGCGATGATCAGAGCATGGCAGAGTAGGGGCTCCGTCTGAGGGGGAGAAGTAAGTAAAGTGAGGAAGAGAGAAAAAGAGCAAGAAAAATTTTTTAGAGAGAAGGTAGTGGGGAAGAGGTAGAAGAAGAATGAAAAAGAAGATGAGAAGCATACAGACTGCAAGTTAGTTGGGCGGTTAGCAGAGACGGTCTCTCAACCGTCAAATGAAATGCATATGTAGGAGAACAAGAATCCTGATCAAAATTATCTCGGAAATTCTTTTCTTTTCTTTTTTTTTTCAGTTTGACAAAGTAAAAAATTAAAAATAAAAGCACAAGATGGAAATAGACACAGAGGAAGCGCCCTCACAGACGAAAGGCACTGGGGCAAGGACAGGGGTTGGTCATGGTGAAGGCGCACTTATCTGCCAATCGTAGGCTAGGGGAGCGAACGAATCATGACGATCGCTAGCGGAGCCACCACGCGCTACCTATTTATATATCGGCACCACTTGTGGAGGTATCCCTTTTTTTAGGCCAGCGTTTCAAAGGCTAACTCATTGGTCAAAGTGGTCCTTTTGATAGACTGGGGAGAAGATCGCAGTTTTTCCGGTAGCACAACGCTTGTGTATCTGATAAAAAACCACTATTAGCATACCTAACATTAAGAGACGAAGAATGTAATATCAGTAAATAAGATATACTCCAGAGATACGAGGACGAGGTTATCTTATCCCCGATCCTTCTTCAGAGATACCACACCTTCCACCATGTTGGGTAGCCACTTGCGGTTCCATCCTTGCAAAATACGAACTCCAGACTCTGCTGCGTAAATACGAGAGAGAGCCCTTAGCCATATGCGTCCATACTCCGTCCCTGCTATTAACGCTCCAGACCCCGTGCATATCCAGGAATTTCAGGAATCATTTTTCTTGCCCTCTGTGTGAGAATAAATTAACTGCCGTATCTGATTCTGATTCTGAGACGGCAGGTCGATGATTGAGGATCTGGCGGGAGAGACTTGGGACGGTGGCACAGGGCGGGGCGATCCGTCCCCATCCACTGAGTTACGGCATTCTTCATGAAGAAAACGGGTGTAGAGAAGGATGGCTCAGGTCTACCTTGGCCCTCATGTGGCCTCTCATTCCTCTCCACTGCGATTGTTCGAGTTGTTTTGTCCTCAAGAAACAGCGTCATCGAAAAGGGCGGACCCAGCACTTATGCTGTCAGAATGCATAAAAAGCGTCATCTGTAACAGGAGAAGCGCGAACGCCACCCGTTACTTTTTTATTCTTCCCACCATCTCCTACTCGTCTGTCAGTCCGCGATAACATCTTCCGAACAACCGAGAACTTCACTTTGTACACAGTATATGGTGTTCATCTTGATCCTTGGTGACCAAGTGAGTAAGTTACTTCTGGCGTGGTTCACCACCCCTCCCCCAAAAATCTGGGCAAGGGCCAGGATCTGTGACAGGTGCGTAAGCTTCACGGACTAGAGGCCCTATCAGGTAAAGGCCTTGAGCCTAAAGCTGGTTACCTTTTGATTTATCCTTTCTCTCCCCCGCCATCTGCATATAATTTTCCCGCACTTATATGTATATGCAGAGCGTGTGCATCCATCTTCTTGGTCTGGAGGACAACTTCTCTCTTTCGGAGTCTCTCCACGGCTTGATGTACCAATGAGGTGAAGCAATCTGCGCCAGGGAAGACCCCATACTATGTATATTCGCAGCATGAGCGAACCTGTTAATATACTGTGAGATGCTCCACTTTCACCCCATGCCTGAACGCTTTCTCTCCGATAGACATCACTCAACAGGACATTTTCTCCTTCATTTCCTTTTGCCTAGGGTCAGCCATGGATACAACTACAGATAGAAAATAAGCACTTAGCTGAGGACCAAGAACTGTTTTGGATAACGTAACAGACTCCGCGGTCTCCAATAAGCGCATGCAATGGTGATATGACAAGTGGTGATGTCGATGGACTCGTTCTTTTTCATTTTGCTCGGTCAAAAGAGAATTTATGAAGATGAAGTCTGTGCGTAATCCAAACTAGGAAAGTTTAGATGTTCGATGTTCTTCTGCACCAGAAATTGAAGTTTCAGTATGGCCTTTACTTCTCTTCCTACGTCCACCTGGCCTGTTGTTTCTACATGTTCGACCCCTATAGACTTGTCGCCGGGAGATAAAACTATCCACTTCACCACCCTGACTTAAAGAGAGAGAGACAGATGGACCTGTCCCTGTCTACAGAACTCCCTGCCTGAACTGTTTGCCCCTTATGGAAGAGAGTGTGATTGGAAGCAGCGGATCTAGGATTAAAAATCCCTCTACCAGGGTTAATTATATGCATAAATCTAGGTACCAATTCGGTGGTCTCGAATAGCCAGAATGAACATATATGCCTTAGTATATGTGCTCTGTACCCATTGTTTACGAATTGATGATATCACTAGACAGCAAGCTCTCGGCCACCTTTATGGCGAAAATCCAATTCCATGCCGGCCCGCCCTTCCTCGACGCTGCTGCCTCATAGCTGGTAGGCCTGGCACTCTTCGGCCCCATCCTTGCCCTCCTGTGCATCATTGTGCAGGGCGAAGTTCGTCCAATGTGTGGAGTCAGCAGGAAATATGTATACTATGTATGTGCATAGTATGGAATCAACAAATATCTACTCCGTAAGTTACTTTCATATTATGCAATGCCATGATCTCCACTTTGTGCACAGCATTAGTTGTCGATCATATCAAGGACTGATTTTTCATTCGACGCTGCCAGCCGCTGTTTTTGCATGGATGGCTGTTATAAGTATAGAACTCGAGTTTTCTTCTTTTCTTTTTCTCCCCCTCCTCATTTGCAGATCAGCAATTCAGGGCAGGACGATCGAGACGCTACGCTCTTTTTATTTTGATGGTCCAAGATAAACGTGTTGGATATTATTAGTATTTGACCCGACCTTAATCTCGGCCCAATGCAACCTCTGAGGACTGAAACTTCCTGTCTAAAAAGTGGGGATGAGCAATAGCCAGCCGTTGAGACGTGGTGATGGCCTTCATTTCCGGGCTATATGATATTACTGTATTGTGCACGGAGGAGTCTTAGTCGTGCGAGGGACAAATCAAGGATAATATGTGGAAGAAACCCCAGTTTATGTCGAGCTGTGCGCAGACCTTGGGGCAGAAATCCTCCGGCGCCGTTAGGAATGGACAAGAGTGGTCATTTTGAGAAGTGGGAATTCTTGGGACCGAATATAACTCCCGATGATATACTCCGTTTTTCTTGAGCTCCTCTCACCCTGGCCCTGCTTATGAGCTTAGCTGCTTAAGTAAGATAGCCTTATTAACAGGTTCAGGTCTTGCCTTCGGCTTTCTCCGTCCATCGAAGGTTTTTCGGAGCTCTTCACGTTTCATTCTGGCAGCAGTCTAAGGGCAACTTATATCTCCATTCCTTGCGTGGCGGACGGGACAACATACCTCTCTCGCCGCCGCAGGGTGTCATCGACTTTCTGGGACATGTCGAAATTAGACAATTGATGCACACGAGTCTCGTCACCCGTCTCGGCACTGCATGAGAAGACGAGGGGTAAAAAGGCATGGGAAGATAGGATTGGATCCTAGACAGATTGGTGAGTAGGGTTACTGTTGATGCATGCTCATTCTATACCGTGGCGTACTGCCCTGCATGTACAGCCTGGCTTTCTGGAATGCTTCAGGTTTCCTCTTTACCGTGGTTGCAACCGGGAACTGACAGGCACACGGTAGTGGAGTAGGCTGGGGGAAAACATCATGGCGTTAACTGTGCAGAAGCCAGGGGTTCCACGAACAGATCATAACAGGGTTATCTTACATTTTGTCAGCATTCCTCATCCTATTCCTCTCCTTTCTTTTTCTCTTTTCTTCTACGGCGCCCTCCTCCCCAGTGTGTTGTCATGTTTTGTTTACCCTCTTTACTTAAAGCTATACACCCATATAAAATTAGCCAAGATCAAGGACGTGGTTTGATGTTTTATTCCCCATGTGGTCAGGGGAGTGAGAACAAGACTTTCCTGTCGCTGCAGACGGTGTGGATCTTATATCTTCATACATCCTATGTACCCAGCAGATGCAATTCCCATGCTGCTTCTTCATTCCAGCCTTCCCCATTTGTCCCTCCCTTTTCCCGAGACATATATCTTTTCCGTGGAGTTTTTATATCCTCGCCCCCGAACAACCTTAACGGCTGTTAACATGTTTAAGACAGGACTACGATTGCTTCTATGCCTCTGTATTCGAGGCGGAGAATCCCGCCCTCAAGACAGTACCACTCGCTGTGCAGCAGAAGCAGATTGTCGTGACCTGCAACTACGAAGCGCGGAGAAGAGGGTTACGGAAACTCCAGCTTATCAAGGATGCCAAAAGGATATGTCCTGAAGTCGTCATTGTGCTTGGAGAGGACTTGACCAAATTCCGTGACGTTTCCAAGCGTCTATACTCCTTCTTGAAATCACTCGTCTGGGGTGACAGGGTCGAGAGATTGGGATTTGACGAGGTGTTTCTGGATGTCACCTCTATGATAGATTACAATCTCCAATGGCTAGAGTCTAATGTTACGAACGCATTCTTCCAGCTAGACAAAGATGACTTTAGTGTTGGGTTCGAGTATGACTCAACTGTATATTGTGGTCCAACATATCCTCCACGGGATAATGATCCACGGCCCGAACGTGTATTACACTCTTCAGACCTTGGACAGAGGTTGATTCTTGCTTCACACCTGGGAAAATATCTACGGAAGCAGCTAGAGGAGAAACAGGGCTATACCAGTACCGTGGGGATTTCTACATCCAAACTTCTTTCAAAGCTAGTCGGAAACATTCACAAACCACGGAATCAAACGACACTCATACCGCCCTACCTGCACGATGCAGACCAGAGTGATAATTATATCACTCAATTCATGGATGGCCATGAAATAGGCAAGGTCCCTGGTATTGGATTCAAAATTGCTAGCCGCATAAGAGCGGCGGTACTAGGTCGTGAAAATGATCTAGAGTTGTACGGAGAACTTAGGGAAGATGACAAAGTTACGGTTAGCACTGTGAGGACATTCCCGGGAATGGCCCCGTCGATGCTTGATAGAATATTATCAGGTGGAGGATGGCCCAGGGACATTGGGGCTAAGATATCGGAACTAATCCATGGTGTTGACTGTAGTGAAGTTGCTACTGCCCGGATGGTTCCTACTCAGATTAGTATTGAAGATTCGTTTCGCCAGCTGGATACACTGGATGCTGTGAAGAAGGAAATGTTTCCGCTGGCCTGTAGCTTGATTCGACGAATGCACACTGACCTGACCGATGGAGAAGAGGATGATGCAGGGAAAGATACTACGAATAATCGGGCCTTTGGGGCGTTAGAGAAAAAGAAACGATGGCTAGCACACCCTAGGACACTACGACTCTCTACACGCTCCAGAGTCCAGCCCAGCAGCACAAATCAAACGCAGAGTCTATATAACAACCGCATCTCCCGATCCTGCCCTGTACCACGATTCATATTCTCCTTCAACGAAAACGTGGACGTCACTGCTGAACGGTTGGTACATGAATGTTTAATGCCTACCTTTCGAAAACTTCATCCGGAAAAGTGTGGATGGAGAATCAGGTTGATCAATGTGGCTGTGACCAATATGGTGGATAGTGCAGGGTCAACGAAGAATAGCGCAGGTCGGGATATCGGAAGGATGTTCGAATCGCAAAATCAGGTTCTTCGAGAATGGAGGGTGGCTGATGCTGGCGATCATGCTGAGGTGGAGAACTCAATTGATGATGCGTGGGAGTATGAAGACGACGATCCTGCAATGGATGCAGGCACTGCATGCACTGAATGCCAGATATGTGGTGCTTCTATACCTCATTTTGCGCTGCAAGCACATGAGACCTACCACTCGATCACTGATTGACACCCGGTGTTTGATGTCTTCTTGTTTAACTGTCTGGTATGGTTCAAGCTGGTTAGTTCACGGAAGAATGGTAGGCTGCATGGTTAGATATAGAGCTAATGGCGATGTCAGCCAGTGAAATGGCAGTAATTAATAAATATCTGCCTGTATCCTATTGATGTTGACAAATAGTCAGTGGCGAGATTGGCAAGAAAATGCTGCCACCGTCAACATCGACATGCCCAATTGAACATCTACCAACAGCCCTAATATCGTGTCTTTTTGGTGTAGAGTAACTGTCAAATGAGACCAGCCGAGCAGGAAGACAGCCTATATCGAGGCTTACAAGTGTAGTTTCCACGAGAGCCTAGAGTCTCATCGTCTGCATCGAGTGGGCTGATGATAGTTGTTGTGGCATAATATCTGTTATACCAACATATGGACCCATGCTAAACAATTCCTCTGAAGAGAGAAGAGGGAGAAGATGACATCTCATGCATAGCCTCGTATACCGGATGACGGTGGAAGACGAGGTTCGTCTGGTCGCTGAGATGCCCTTGATCCGAGTGGTTGAGCCACAGAGCAGACGGGACAAGATGGCTATCTGGCTGGGCGGTTCAGGAACGCAGGTTGATTCTCTGGATATTGCATATAACTGAAATGACAGATACACCAGATATCGCATATACCAAAGAGCAACCGACCTGGAATCATCGTCCTCAGCTCGTCGACTCTCTATAATTGCTTTTTTCTTCACTGTGGACGCCATGCGGTGCCACATAAGAAGGCCGCGCATCGCAGCGCATTCACGGACTCAGACCAAGGGCAAAAGAGAGCGAGCTGCGCCTCAAGAGTGACTTCATCCTGCAAGGAATTTCTCGACAAGCATCGTTCTTATCACATATCATCGCTGGGCAGAGAAGGGCGATTCTTCTTGTTTCTGGCTTGTCGAGGTTGGTCGCTTCATCTTCGTCTTCGTCTTGCAGCTGCCGAGATCGATTGATGGCTTGACAGTTAGTTTTATACGACTCTCCTGCTGTCATCGAGGCTGACGGACGGCTGACGATAATTTTTTTTCGACCTTGATAGAAGCATCATCTTTCGCCAACTACGGCTTCGTTTTCTTCTTTGACCGTTGTTAATATCATCTCTACGCTATAGGGACCATACTTTGCCAGGCCTCCCAGGTTAACGCGTCATCATCTTTAAAGGATATCAAAAAAAAAAAAAAAAAAAGTGACTCCTCGAAACTTCGCTCTTCCACGCTGAGCAGACCAAGACAAACCAGGGGCTTTGAGCCTCTATGAATATTGGGGATGAAAGCCCTTAGCTGTTTGCTTGCTGTGATAGCTACTGCAGGTTCACTTTTCCAGCATGTTGATGGTAAGTGACTCTTTTTATCGGTTTGATGAACCGGTGTTAACTGGCTGTTGGTAGCTCGCTCGCATGCAAGAGACAGACTGAACAATATCTCCCGTGTCGAACGGCCGGTTATACATACGCCGTCTCATCGTGTCCATGCCCATTCGCATTTTGATCTCACATTTGACCTCTACCCAAGGAGCAGCCGGATAAAACTACAGCTGGAACCGAACCATGACGTTCTCTCCCACGATGCGCGGGTGGCCTTTCTCGACGGCGAGGGAAATGTAGACCGGATGGAAAGGATAGAACGGAGGGACCATAGGGTGTTCAAGGGATGGGCCTGGGTGCAGAGGAAGTCTGGATCGTGGGAGAGGGTTGGATGGGCTCGCGTGATGATGCAGAGAGACGGGGAGGATCCTCTGTTTGAAGGCGTCTTTACCGTCATGCACGACCACCACCAGATCATCCCAAAGACAAAGTACGTGCACAAAAGGCACCCGCATGATCCGCCGTTGGACGCTACTCCGGGTGAATACATGCTTCTCTTTCGAGGATCGGATATACGGACCCAGACACATGACACCGTCGAGCGGTCGATTACATCTTCGCCTTCTTGCGATGCAGACACTCTCGCATACGGCACCCAGTCTGATTTCATGTTTCCTCCCCTACCGCAGGAGAACAACACCAATCTATGGGGCTCTCTGATGACCAGCATAGGTAGACGCCAGAATTCAGACACCGTTGGTACTGTCCCTGGGTCCCAGAATTTAAGGGACACCATCGGAAACACAGATGGATGTCCCAACACCAGAAGGGTTGCCTTGATAGGCGTGGTTGCGGACTGCACCTACACCAGCACCTTTGCCTCGGAGATGGATGCCAAAACGGACATTATTTCAGTCGTCAATGCTGCCTCTGTCGTGTATGAACATACCTTCAACATATCCCTCACTCTCGGAGAAGTCAACATTCTACCAAAGAACTGCCCGGCAACCGCATCGTCTGCCACTCCTTTCAACCAAATGTGTGGCGAGCGTGTTGGAGACGAGTCCTTCACCCTCGCGGACAGGCTGAATACCTTTTCTGCCTGGCGTGGGAAGAAATCTGATGACTTTGCCTTTTGGACTTTGATGACGGATTGCACTACCGAAAACCAAGTTGGGCTTGCATGGGCGGCTCAGCTATGCGTCAAAGGTGTTCAGGGGGACTCAAACACCCGCAATGCCAGCTCACAGGCCGTTTCGGGTGCTAATGTGGTTTCCAAGACGGATAACACCTGGCAAGTCTTTGCGTAAGTAGAGGCCCTCTCTCGCATGACAAACTTTTGAATTTATGAACATGCTAACTTCCTGCTCAAGTCACGAAGCCGGTCACATATTTGGAGCAGTCCATGACTGTGATAGCGCCCTCTGCCAGGACCCATCTAACCCAGATAACTCCAGATGCTGCCCTTCAACCGCAACCACATGCGATGCGGGCGGCAAGTTTATGATGAATCCCACATCCGGAAGCCAGATCACTGCCTTCTCACCCTGTTCGGTGGGCCAGATATGCTCTCGAATGGCGAAACATAGCATCCTAACCAACTGTCTAACCACAAACCGTGGAGTCGATACAATCTCAGGCCAGCAGTGTGGCAACGGCATCGTCGAAGACGGTGAAGACTGTGACTGCGGCGGTGACGAGAGCTGCAAGGGCAATAAATGCTGCGACCCCAAGACATGCAAGTACACTTCTGGCTCTCAGTGCGATGACGCAAACGAAGAATGCTGCAGAGATTGCAAGTTTGCTTCTAGCTCGACTATCTGTCGGCTGAGCAGCGGTCCCTGTGATCCCGAAGAGAAATGTACTGGGAATTCCGGCGACTGTCCTCGAGATACGCACTCTAAGAACGGCGAGACCTGCGGCACGAATCTGCAGTGTGCCAGTGGCCAATGCACAAGTCGAGACCTACAGTGCCAGATGCACTTGGGGAGCCAGGTTGCTGGATCCAGGACGGTGGCTTTTGATTCCTATGGCTGTCAAGTGGCTTGCAAGGACCCATATAGACCCGATGTGCGCTATGAAGGCAGCCTGACTTTCCTTGATGGAACGCCGTGCGGAGGCGGCGGTACGTGTGAGAACGTAAGTGCTTCCATTCATATATATATTATCTATAGCATATATTAGTACATGGTTAAACGGATTGGCTAACTCGTGTTAAATAGGGCCAATGTACCGGCAGCACATTTGGCAACGAAGTCTCCGACTGGGTTAGTCGTCATAAACCGATTGTCATTGGCGTAGCCGTTGGAGTAGGCTGCCTTCTCCTTCTAGCCATTCTCTCCTGTATATGTGGACGGTCTAAAAAACGTCGTCCCAGGAACAGGAAGATGGCGCCTATCAACATGCGTCCTATGCCCCCTGTTTACAACGGATGGACTGGCCCCCCTCCAAACGCTGAATCACCGGGGGGACATCCTCAATACAACCATGTCCCTCCGCCCATCAATGCTCCTCCCCCTGCATATCCAGGGCGTATGCCGTCCACACGCTATGCCTAACCCTTGCCTTCTATACCCTTGATTTATTACCCTTGATTTTGCTACATATTTCCCTTCTGCCAATGTTTTATCACTCAGCGCTTGCTTTTTCTTCTCTAGTTTAGAGTCCATGGGTGTAATGGACGGGGGAGTGGCATTTGTACGGGTAGAAAAGGCAGAGGTCATACTTGGCTCTCTACCTGTTTCCGCAACTGCTTCCTCCCTAGCCTCCTAACACCATTGCATGAATAACGGCCACATTTGCTATCGGTGTTCTGGGAGGTTTATTCTTTTTCGGACCGCATGTATGTATATTCGCGAGGAGGCAAGAAAAACCTCGGTACATATCACTGATTTAGCAATGATATATTTTTGAATTTCTTATGAGAAGCTATTTCAATATCAGGTAACTAATTAGGTATTCGCTGCAAGAGTACAAGGAACAAAGTCGATGTGGACATCACAGCCACATATATATGAAATCCAACTCCACTCGTTCAAAGTAATCATCTTTTCCTCCCCTCATGCGCCGTGATATAAATTAAAGAAAACCAAAAATATAAACGTAATAATAGTTATACAACATCTCACTGTAGGCATATACCCACGAAGCCTTCCCTAGTCACACCACCAACACCCTCCAAATCAAACTCCTCGATCATAGCTCTCAGCTCGTCTTCTTCCAGGCCGGTCTCACCTAGCTCACGAGCTACCCGTCTTAGATCCTCAAGGTCAATGTATCCTTTCCCTCCCTCGTCAAATAGTTCAAAAGCACGTAGAATTTCTTCTCGTGGGTCTCGCTCCAGGATCTTCCGTGCCGTTATGGTTTGGAATGACGAAAGTGGCATCAAGAGCGAAGATGGATGGGGTGGAGCTTGCTGCTGTCTCGACTGTTGCTGTTGCTGCTGTGCATTCGTTGTTCGCGGGACACCATACGTTGTTAGGAGGGAAATCAGATCTGGTTTCGATAATGTGAAGCCGAGTGCGCGGAAGGCAACGCGGAGTTCATGATAATCAAGGTGACGATCCCGGTCGAGATCGAAGAGTGTGAACTGCCAAAGTGTTAGTAAATGTTTTACATTCAAGCAGGGTAATGTAGTACATACAGCTTCATTAATTTCTTCTCTCTGTTCTTCTGAAAGATCGTTTAATGGGTTATTAGCGTTATTGGCAACGTTATTGTTGCCACCATTTGGACCAACTCCCCCCATTACGCCGCCGCCTTGATGCTGCCCTTGTCCCTGGATCTGCGAATGTGTTTGAGATGGACCTGCTCCGGCACCGGGATGAAGCTGGTGGCCTTGAGATTTGCCTGCGTCTCCGAAGTCTTCTCTTTCACGTCGCGATAGGACTGAGGATCCGAACGGAAGTGGGTTGTTGGTGTTTAGAGGTCGGTCCGCTAGTTTACCTGCGTTGGCATATACGGAACGAGGAGCAAAGGAAGGATGTGAAGATGAGGCCATGGTGTGCCTTGGTTCCCGGGACTTTGTGTGTCTCTCGACCAAGTCTATTTATTAGTTATAACCGGAATAATTCTGGGGGCTGGGTATGTGGATTCGGTGCGATGATTAATGACTAGGGTGCGGAATCCTTCATATAGATAGAGTCAGGGCGAAAAACAGGAGCTGGCAGCGCTGGTATACTTGAGCGTCGTTTTAATCTCGCCAGGATGCGCAAATGCTCATTCATCTGGTCTGAATTTGCTTCTTGATGCTTTCATTATTTGCTTTCTTTTTTCGTGTTTGAAGTTTCGCGGACGCGACGCGGATGACTAAGCGATCCAGCAAGTATAAAGAATCAGATTAGAGATAGTAAAGATATATTCTCTAGATGGATATTTACTGGAGATGGGGCACTCATTGGGTTGTGGGATGGTGTGTAAATATGTTCTATAGTCGCTGTTTCTCCCATTCCCCTTGGATAGGTTTATATATATAGCCTGATATTTGTCCCACCCGTCTACCAAGGAGGTAGCATAATAGTCCGCACATAGAGTGGACAGAGAACGGTTCCTGGAAATATCCATGGTTCGAGACATGGGCCTGATACTGGATAATGGAGTATGCCGTCAACCTTGTCTTATTGGGTAAACGGCGTAGCTATCTGGAAAAGGGTTCATCCACCCCTACCGTACTGACCAATGCGCGGCTCGTGAAATAGAAAACCCCCATGATATACCATTTGCACCAGCCTTAGGTCAAGGATAGAGGAGCAGCGGGACGACGATAAGGAGACCCGAAACTTGAGTGGTTGTCCATAAGAAAGTCAAAGCAAAGACAACATTCATGGTTCTAGTGCAGGATCGATCCGAGTTCCAAGATCGAGGTCTTCAAGAAAGGTCGTTCCAATGAGCTTCTCGGGAAGGTAGTCCTGCACTACCTTTCCATCTTTATAGTCGGGGTTATATTTATATTCCTTACCATAACCAATCTCCTTCATCAGTCTCGTTGGAGCATTTCGTAAGTGAATCGGGATAGGTAGCCCCGCTATCCCTGGCTCTTCTAAGCTTGCCATTGCATTAGCCAGCCCCCTATAAGCTCTGGTGCTTTTCGGGGCCAATGCCAAGGCAACAGTAGCGTGTGCAAGGTTGATTCGCGCTTCTGGGAGACCAATCTTCTCAACAGCTGTGTAAGCTGCTGTAGCTAGTGATAGCATATTGTTATCAGCTAATCCAACATCCTCGGAAGCAACCACGATGAGGCGGCGAGCAATATATAGGGGATCTTCCCCCGACTGAATCATCCGCGCTAGATAATACAGTGATGCGTCGGGGTCGCTTCCGCGTATGGATTTATGGAAGGCAGAGATGGTATCATAATGTTGATCGCCTGCTCGATCATACACCAGAGTCCGAGTTAAAGATTTCTTCAACTCCTCTTTAGTCATGTTTTCTCTCTGGGATAGGTCCATCGCCAGCTCTAATAGATTCAGGGCTGTTCGAGCATCGCCATCAGCAAAGGCAGCAAGGTACTTAACAAGCTCCTCGTCAACCAGTGCGGAGGGTGAGTAATTAGGTCCCTCGACTCTTAATGCACGGTTGAGTATAGCACAGATGTCGTTTTCTGTAAGCTTGGCCAACGTAAAAGTTCGACATCGTGATAGGAGAGCATTCTGGACCTTGAAAGACGGGTTCTCAGTCGTAGCACCTATCAGCGTAACCTGTCCACTCTCAACCGGCCCGAGAAACACGTCCTGTTGAGCCTTGGAGAACCGATGGATTTCGTCACAGAAAATAATTGTCTTTCTCCCCGTTAGGCTGAGCTCATTCCTTGCCTCCGCAAATAACTTCTTGCACTCGGCCACACCGGAGCTCGTACTGTTGATTTCAACGAATCGACTTCCCACCATGTTAGCAATGACCCTAGCAACCGTGGTTTTCCCCGTGCCTGCACTGCCCCAGAGGATCATGCTAGGAACCCTGTCCCGCTCGATCAGACCACGCAACACCCCATTTTTACCGACTAATTCTTGTCCACACACTTCGTCAAGCGTCTGTGGCCGCATGCGTTCCGCCAACGGCGCTGATTTTTGTAATGCATTCGAAGGTTTGACACGCTTCGCTGAATGATCGTTGTTACCGTGCAAAGGTGACGGAGAGGTCGGGGTCTTCAGAGTGCCTCCAGATGTGGGTGTCTCGGGCTCGTCTTGGGAGAAGAGCCTTTTACCTGACCCAACCTTGGAAGGCTGTGCATGATGGGCTACGCCATTCGACCGCTCAACCGACTTTTGTGCTGCGGCTTTCCTAGAGCTAGCGGGCTGGAAGAAGCTGGGTATGGAACTGGATGGGCTGGTTTGAGATTGCGTTAAACCCTCAGCGGGCAAAGTCTGACTACCCTGAGAGGAATCGAGAAACTCTTCGCACCCTGAGTCGATGTGCTCGTTTATTTTGCTTGCTTTGATGGGCTTTGAACAGATCGGGCAGCTTGGTCCCATATCGCCTTGGACTCCTAGTCTCCAAACAGTTACAGTGGCTGGAGCTAGCAATTTTCGGATTATTACTCAGATGAAGGATGTAATACCAAAGCTGCCTCTAAGCACCTTTATTGGCTTTAAAAAACGCGGTCGAGAAGCTGAGTAGTGAGTTGCAAGTCGTGAAGGTGAAGCTGGCAAAGTTCGCTAGGCACAACTAAACATTATTTTAAGCTTAAATATTGGGCTACTTTAACTACCGCGCGTTAGTTAACTAAGTTAGTGCTTTCGACGCGAAGGAGGAGGGAGAAGTTGGGTGTCTTGGTAGAAAGACGGACGGGCGACGTGACAAGGAGAATAGATACTGACTCCTTGCACGTAGTCCCTTCGATAGGAGCAGAGGCTGCGTATCTAGCATCCGTGACAGACAGATAAAATTTGACTAAACTGTTCGTATCAAGAGAATATACAATTAAAAGAAGACATATTGGTTATTGTTGCCCTTAAGAAAGGCCTCGTGATAAGAAATAGATTACAAGAGGGAATGAGGTGGTGAAAAGACAAAGGAGCTAGATAGAAGATAATAAGTGAAAGAGTAAGATATTAGAAGGGCAGAATACCGGAGGAATCCATATATACCGGAGTAATCAGAAGAGTAAAATAGCAGGCAGATGGGGCCGCCAAAGTTCCATCCAAAACCGCCTAAGCCAAGCACCAAGGCCCCAAGGGATAGGATATTAGCCTCTTTAAGTGACCAGACAGCCATTCGCAAACGAACGGACTCCCGCATCTGCGAGGCGTCCTCCATCTATATAGGGAGAGGGTAATAGAGTCGTGACAGGCATAATGCAAAAAGGAGCATGTTCTTCACCCAATGGAGAGACATGAACGTGCATTTCGGTGAGTGAAGATAGCATTTTGAAATTAAGGGCGTAATAGTGTGCCTCTCCCGGAGCACTAGAACTCGCGAGATTAGCTGTATGAGTATTTCACTTTCATGTTCTCCATTCCGTATTCGATGCCCTTTCGCACCCGCTGCTCCTCCTCTAGCCCCCCCTCTCCCATATCCGCAGAGCCCAATAGGGGGCATTGGCCACCAGAAAGAGCCGTAACTCCTTACCTTCGAGACGAGGGACTAGGGACTGCCCGTCCCAAAGTAAGATCCTTCTCACGGGCACCATTAGCCCGCGCCAAACCACCAGCCCGCGCTACCTGAAATTGGTTTGCTCCATTTCTTCAGTCTTGGATCGCCGGATTGATTTCTGTCAGAATCTGCCATTCGACCGAAAAGGTGAGCCCGCACCAATTGGCGGCAAAGAGACTGGTTATACTTTGACAATTTCTCTTATTTTCGACTCAAGGTTGCAAACCTGGACTGGGCTATTATACATTCATCAACTGCCTTTACTCTTTGCGTGAGCCTAGGCGATTGGCTATTGCCATCGGCTGCCAAAGCTCGTTTGATGAAAATAACATGAGTATAGAACAGCGGAGAGTGTCGCAACGGGCAAACGGAACTGCCACTCGTTAACATCACTGCGCTCTCAAGCATTTGCAGTCCCCTGGCGGCTTTCGGCTTAATATACAACGTAGGCATGGTGAGGTCGAACTAACATCAGCCACGACACGTTCGAGCGGACATAACCAAGACATGCTACCAAAATAGACTGACTATAAAGGTAGTTTCAAACTGTTTTCCAACATGGCATTTCACTACAGGGAAAAGGCATATTTAGCAGTTCAACCTCATATTTCGGCCCTTGGTTATTTCTCCGCTGTACTGGTTTCTTAAATATAGTATCTTGGGTTCATTCTCCGTCGGAAAAGCCACAGTGGCCTAGAGGGTATAACTTATGGCTTTAATGATAATGGTTTGACGCTGGTATATTAAGGAAGCAGGAAGAAGAGGAATAAACAAGAAGAGAAACTCTTATATATCTGAGCTGCTCTGTATGAAGTGAAGCTCCTGCGTCACCGCCAGGCGGGTATTTCATTGAATACGGAGACATGCTTTGACAGCCCACACAGAGCAGTGAATCTCCAGCAGTGACGTCCCGTACCCATTCACCGGATGCCAGCATGCATAGCAAGTAGTCACGACAGAAAACGTATAACTCATCGTAAATGTATGTTGACTGTTGGTTAATACTAACTATCCACATTTGGCCGAAGTTGCCGCGGTCTTGGCACTTTTATCACCCTTAAACTGACTACAAACGAAGCATCAACTTTTCTGTCTCGACATCAAAAAGAAAAGTAATAGAAATATCTGCATGCTGCGTTGCCCCGACGGTGTCTTGTCACATCGTCCATGCTCTCTCGTCGTCTTTTCCTGAGAGGAACTGCAGCTATCCGCCGTTCGGTAGCACCATATCCAGGACTAAACCCGCTCTCCCCGTCACAGAGCCGTGCCCCTCATAAGCAAAAAGCCGTCATGTCTTCCACAACTGTTAGCAACGAGCCCTTTAAGCCCGCAAGGAGGGTTGCAGGACAGAGACAGGATGTTTGGTATGTGAGATGTGTGTTTGCTATATATAAAGCTGTTAGCTTTAGATGTCTATGGAGACTTACGCTGCGCCAAACAGGTCAATTGTCAATGAAGCCGCGGCTGCATCTCCGGTTCAGCCAATCGTGAACATGGGACAAGGGTTCTTGTACGTGTTGGTTTCTAACCCTAGTGGTTGAGCGGCGTAATCTTGTCTTTGGGCTTGTTTCTAAATGATGCATTAGTGGTTATAACCCTCCGCAGTATGTTATGGATGCCGCCAAGGAGGCGGTGCAGACGGTTGAATCTAACCAGTATGCTCCGACAAAGGTGGGATCAGTTGTCTTTGTGGATTTTGTAGTGAATGCTCAGTTTCATTGCATTGTATAGGGGCTCCCACGCCTGAAGAAGGCAATTACCGATGCCTACTCTCCGTTTTTCGGAAGGGAACTCAACCCCAACACTGAGATTGTCATCACCAGTGGTGCCAATGAAGGTAAGTCCCGAAGAAGTCTGTCATCGCGTCTCACACTGACACTAGTGACCAGGAATGCTGAGTGCCTTCATGGGCTTCATTGAACCCGGCGATGAGGTTATTATATTTGAACCATTCTTTGACCAGTAAGCAGTAAGCCATTCCAGTGGTATAGGGTAAGCTAACGCGCGCCATAGATATATAAGCAACATTGAGATGCCAGGAGGCAAGATTAGATATGTTCCACTTCATCCCCCGAAGGATGGAGCACAGAAGACATCTTCTGCGTCAGCATGGACCATTGATTTTGATGAGTTGGAAAGAACCATCAACGAAAAGACAAAGATGATTGTATGTATTTTGCCGCGCAAGGTTTCAAGATTCTTGCTAACTTGTAAATAGGTACTCAATACCCCGTGAGTAACCCGATTACTCTATTTCTATTTGACAAATTCTAACTATACCAGCCATAACCCCGTGGGTAAAGTAATGTCTCGTGAGGAGCTCGAAAAGGTAGCCGATCTCTGCGTGAAACACAACCTCATCATCCTCTCCGATGAGGTGTACGATCGACTATTCTACGTCCCTTTTACCCGGATGGCCACGCTTTCACCCGAGGTATCCAAACGAACCCTCACCGTCGGCTCTGCAGGTAAGAACTTTTATGCCACTGGCTGGCGTGTCGGATACCTCATCGGTGAGGAACACCTGATCAAGTATGTTGCTGCCGCCCACACTCGAATCTGCTACAGTAGCGTTGCGCCATTGCAGCTTGCGACTGCCGTTGGATTCGAAAAGGCAGATGAGATGGGCTTCTGGGACGAAAGCCGGAAGGAGATGCGCGGGAAGGTTGAGCGGTTCTGTGAGATATTCGACGAGCTCGGAATTCCTGTACGTGAAGAAAAAAACAATACCTCCTGTTAACCATGTTTGTCTCAGAGCTAACGTGTTCAACCAGTACTCTGATCCCGAGGGTGGCTATTTCGTCCTTGCCAACATGGCAAGCGTCAAGTTCCCAAACGACTACCCCTTCCCTCCTCACGTTGCCAGCCGGCCGCGCGATTTCAAACTGTCCTGGTTCCTTATCAAGGAAGTTGGTGTCGCTGCCATTCCACCTACGGAGTTCTACACTGACGCCAACGCCCACATCGCTGAAGACTATCTCCGATTCGCTGTCTGCAAGCCAGACCATGTTCTGGAAACAGCCAAGGAGCGGCTCCGTGGCCTGAAGAAGTATATCCAGTAGAAACTTACTCCGTAACTATATACGATGTATTTATCTCGTTGTAGGATAGTCACTCTAGAAGCTACACGTAGCATTAGACTTATCAACTCAAACACACAGCACCTAGTGAATAGAATTGGGAATAGACACCAACCTGGTGCTTCGTCCTCTTTACTATTTTGCTATCGAACTACTACCGCGGCTAACTTAGCCCCTTCGAGCTTGGCGGCACGAAGCTTGCTCGAACAACCGCCGGAAAGGAAGAACGTCCTGGTGAAGAAGAAAGAAAGAGAGTGAGAAAAGAAAAAGAAAACACGAAGAGGACGAGCTACTCGCCAGCCTTTCTTTTTCGACTTTGACACCCAGGGGTCTGAGGCTATCATTATCCGTGGTGACTCGAGTTGAACGCCTGCGACGGGTTTGATACGGAAAAAATCAACTTCGAGCACACTTCTTAGGTATCCTTAACTATCTTCCAACGCCACGCAGCCTATCGCAGTAACTACAAATATGGGTGATCAACAGAATATATCACAGATACTGGCAGCTTTAGGTACTTCATCTCCCCATCCAGCTCTGTCTTTCTTTCATTCTGGCATTGCGCTACGCCAGGCTGGGGCTATTTCATATTTTGCTAACCAACTTGAAATTTTTTTTTTCTTCGGTTTTTTTAGCTGCTGTTCGGCCTGCTGTTGGCGCGCAATATACTACTGGAGCCGCACCATCGAGTGCCGCTCCGCCGTCTACGAATGCTGGAGGTTATGCCTTACCACAGCCAGATAGCACTGGCAGCTTGAACATTGGCGGCGCAGCGCCTGTCAATACTAGTTCAGTTAGTATAGCAGATGCGATTGCAAAGGCGCGAGGAATCGCTGCAGAGAAGGGAATTACATATAAACCTACTCAGGGTGAGCGTTTGTTACCCTCTGCCGTTCGGAGAATGTAGCTAACAGCTTCTTTTTAGCACAGACTCGAGACACTGGCCGGTCTCACCGACGCTCGCGATCACCCTCAAGAACTCCTCCACGCACCTCCACCGCTCGAGATGTGTTTAGAGATGGGTACAATCCCTACAGAGACGAACGTCGTGGTGCAGATAGACGTGGCACTGGTGACCGTGGATATGCACGAGAAAGGTCTTCCTCACCCAGACCGGACGCATACTCCCCTTCATCGAACAGACATTACAGAAAGGCTGGCGATAGATCTCCTCCCCCACGTAACCGAGGATCTGGGCCAGAAGATAACTCTGAGACTATCGAGATAGACAACAAATACGTAGGGCTGATAATCGGGCGCCAGGGAGAGAATCTTCGGCGAATTGAAAATGAAACGGGTGCTCGCGTCCAGTTCCTTGACAGTGCCGAACATAACAAGACTATCCGGCTTTACAGATTAACCGGTTCCAAATTAGTTAGAGACAAGGCCAAGGCAGAGATAGACCGTGTCGTCAGTGAAGGAAACCAGTCTCGTGGTGATGGTCGGCCATCCGATCGGTCCGGTCAAGACGGTGGAAGGTCTGGGGACGGGGATGGCTCTGATTCTATGAAGATCATGGTTCCTGATCGAACAGTTGGGCTTGTAATTGGCCGTTCGGGGGAGACTGTCAGAGACCTCGCAGAACGAAGTGGCTGTCGGATTAATATTGCTCGCGATGGAGAGAGCATTAACGGTCTACGGCCAGTTACCTTGACGGGATCCCAGCAGGCTATGCAGCGTGCCAAAGAACTCATAGTAGGTATCGTGGAAAGCGACAATAGACCAGGGAACCAGGGACAACGAGAGCCAAGAGGGCAAGCCATGAGCGCCGATAATGGAGGTGGAGGCGGTGATAAGTTGAATGACAAAATATTCATCCCAAAGGAGGCTGTTGGCATGGTCATTGGCAAGGGTAGGCATCTACTTTGATAGTTTGGTTTAACATTTTTGCTAACATACGACCCAAGGAGGAGAAACCATAAGGGAACTGCAGAGTTTCAGTGGCTGTAAAATCAACATATTGCCACTTGTTGGTCGGGAGCCCGAGAGAGAGGTTACCTTCTATGGCTCCCAGACTGCAATTGATGCTGCAAAGAGGGCTGTAATGGCCAAGGTCGAAGCCGCGGTATGCACTTTGATAACCACAACCCAATTATTTACATATTTATAATACAGAGGTTCTAACGGTATTGATGCACAGCTGAAGAACCGCTCGCAAGGCGCAAGGCGTGATGATTCATACAGCCAACAGCCCCAATATCAACAACAGCAATCATACTCTCAAGATTCCAACTCACAGCAGCACCAACAACAACAACATCAGCAGCAGCAGCAGCAGCAGGCAATGCAAGCCGGTGTTGGTGATGGAACAGACCCATATGCCATGTACGGTGGCTACGAAAACTACATGGCCATGTGGTACGCTGCTATGGCTCAGCAGCAGCAGCAGCAACAGCAACAACAGCAGCAGCAGCAGTATCCGCAGTACCCAGGCGGAGGAGGACCACCTCCATCAGGATCAGACCAGCCAGGGCCTCCCGGAGTATCGTAACCTACTGAATATTTTGGAGTTACTGGGTTCTATTTCACTCTGTTTTGATTTATTCCCTACCGCCACGGATCTGTTCCTTTTGCGTGTTCCTAAAAAAAGCGCACTAAATGGTCGGAAGTAAGATCATTTTTATTATCCATACGATGTGTACGCAGCTGATATGACATCGCTATATATTTCTTCAATGCTACTCTCTAACAAAAATGAAAACTTCGCATACCCTTGATATTTGATATCATCTGATGCCTAATAGAGTCAATATATAGGATATCACGCAGGCTTAGAAGTCGTATGCTAGCATACCGATATATAAATACTCCTTGAGTTATATGCTTTCCCGCCTAACCTTGAGCCCCCCGCCCCTTTAAAATACGTAGTTAACACTGTTTAGTAAGAATAGAGATGGTTTAAGGTGTCCAGCACCTGCAGGAACAAGCAATCAATTCAAAGCAGAAACAACTCTGACATGGCACAAAAGACGAAAAAAAAAACACACACAAAACACAAACATAAATGATAAACAAACATTGACTAGGAAAGTCCACGTAAGGGCCAACAAGTAACCATTGCCATCTCCACTCCAGTATCGCATCTTAAACCCTATTCTTGTTCATCAGGAGGATCTCCCGGATGATCTTTAGAGACTGTACAAAGGCTCCTATCAATAGGTATATGTCACAGGTATTTGAGGCCTTAAAGCCTCTGGAATTTGTTAGTAAAATGGCTATTGCCTTGAGGGCTGGTAATAGAAACTCCAGCGTAATGTTCGGCATCAGTTCTATTTGTGTTTGGTCGGAGTATTGGGGCGCGACCTGATGACCTGTAGGAATATGAATGTTAGCTGGATTGCCGTAATCAGGGATAGATTAGCATGAAACGTGCATTTTCAACAAACACGCTTGGTTTTTTATTCTTCTCTTCCATCATCTGTCTTATCAATTTCCTTCCGATTCTCCACTGTAATTGCGCCGGCTACGAATCCCAGGGCGAAAGCAGCCCAATGTTTGGCATCTTCGGAAGCCTTCACGGCAGGGGGACGACGAAACTCAATGGTACCACAAATATCAGTTATATTTAAAAAGTTCCAGGATACATACCGTTCAGCTTCGCCCAAGACTGCTCGAAGGTGAAAAATGTCCTTGTTTACTTCGTAATGATCGAAGACAGGTGCCCACGTATTCTTAGACACCAGATTAACCATAGACGAACAGTCAGTTAGCTTTTCTACATTAGAAGCAGCCCATGGGTTCTTCTTGCGATCAGCCGGCATCATTCCTTTTAGGGGGGCTTCGTAATAGAGGGCTCCGTTGAGAACGGCTAACGCCTGTTCGATGCTATATTTGCCGTGGGTGGGAGCGATATGAACGTGCATGGCGCATCCGGTGGTGAGCTTTATATCGCAGTGTTCGCGTAACACGCGGAAAACACCGTCGACTTCTTCGGTCCAGTCTGCTTGATCGGTATAAAGGATAGGAGAAACAATCTCACAGGGGCCTAGGTTATTAAGTACTCCATTAGATAATAATCTATTAGATTGTTGGGTCTATATTGCCCCCGTTTAGGCCGTGAGCTTACAATGTCCCCCTCCGATCTTATCGAGTATCTCAGAAGCCACGATCCATTTTCGGAAGTCATGGGTCTTATCTGTTTGTGCTGGGATAAAATTTTTCGTCAGCATAGCAGCAATAACTTTGCGAACAGCTTCGAATTTCTGGGTTTGGTCTATATTCTTCGTGTAGAACCCAGAGGATCCCAGGAGCTGTAATAGTGGTTCGGATGTTGGTTTGAGGTATAACTCCAGTTCAATACCAAAGGAAAGAGTTGGAGTCGTCATGTTGGAAAAGGGTTTATTCGGTGCAGTGGTTTGGGGAGATAATTCAAAGGTATAGTCTGAGGCTGAGGGAGTTGATTGCTTACTGAGATAGTAGTTGATGGTCGAGAAAGCATGGGAATTCGTTCCTGTAGAAAGGACTCTGGGGAGGTTTATATATCTCATCGGAGGCAGTCTAATCTCAGTCTTGGAGATTATTGTAGATCCAGTGAGCAGGACTCCCCTTTGGGGCCCAAAACACCCACTGCATAGTGAGACTGGCCCAGTCTTTCATTCCCTGATAAAACGGCTTTATACATAGCAGAGTGTTGAGCCCACTAGGATATACAGTTGCATATTAATACCTTCATACATTAATGGCCGCAACGTATTAGACAAGACCATTTTCTTAGACTAAAAAGGGGCAGGATGGGGAAATATATATTATTGATTCTCCCTGCACGTAAGCGCTGAGCAGACTGGATATTGGGAGATCCCCATGCTCGATACTTGTTGGGACTCCTATGCTCTGGACTCAGATTTTCAGTAAATATGACATTACCTTAAGCTTGCAAAGTAATGGCGTGGAGGACGACTTAGGTGCCTGTCTCTTGAGTACATCTCAAACTCTCTAGACGCGCAAATCTAAATTTAAATAATAATGTTCCTATAGGTTGAAGCAACTGCATCTAAAATAGTTATTGTATATCTTCTATTGGTTAATGTTAATTTAATCTTATACATTCCAGCAGAGCCGTGTTTTTATTGGTCCATATTTCTAAGCTCTAATCACATGATATACTATTTATAGTGGGCTTCGCGTGTCTAGTCACGTGGTTAGTGTATTTAGCGCTAAGGCTTAGCATCCTTTTATAAAGAATGAATAACTCTTTATATTTAAACTATATCTTTATATTCCTAGCCTAGATACCATTATTTAGTTACTATAAAGCGTAATCCCGTTCTTCCAAGCCTTACAGTCAAGTTACAAGGCTTTTACCTTGCTCTGCATTGTGTTAGTGCTCCTCTTTCATCGAACGTGACTAATGAAAAGGACGCATGTTTCTTTAATGTAATAGGCGGAATTTAGCCAGAGATGCCGGACTCGAGCCGCTGCCAAGAAGAAATCATTTCACAAGCTGATAGATCCCAGGTACTATATATTCCCTTAACTACCACATCGTTAGTGATCGATATTTGCATCTAATTTTGTCGCACAACTTGATCAGCTAGTGCTACATATACTTTATACTGCGTGAATATTATCAGTTAACAACCCTCTCTTTGTGATATTAGAACCGGAACTGGCGCCACACCCTCCCCAAATCAACTCGACCCGAAGCTAGCGACACCATGACAAACCGGAAGGATATGGGATATGGATGGTTCGCGAAGGCGAGGTTTGAGGCAAAGAAGGCATTGGAGGAAGAATACCGGCACCCAAGGGCAGCCGCATGGACAGCATACTGGGAGGATGTTCGCAACGGAACTGTGAAGAAACAGTTATATCCCATTCTTATCACAAAATCAGGCCCATTTACATCACCCCAGGCATTGCAGGAGATTGCTGGTCTTCCATCACCTCCGGAGGTCATCTCTTCTGTAAGACTACGGGATTATGAGATAGTGCCACCGGCTGAGCCCAGAGAAGAGGATAAAGTGCAGTACTGTGTGGTTGAGAATTTCTTTCGGATAAAAAATCTCACTTATGGGTAAGCTGTGCCAATCTGGTTTGATGGAGATAGATTGGGTGCATTGCTAGCCTACTCATTGAAAGCAGATAACAGGGAATGGGAAGATTTTCGCAAGGCATGTCGCACAGGGGCCTTACTCGATACAACCTATCCAATCATTATATCCAGTTCTGGGCCCTTCACATCGCCAGAGAAGATACAGGAGGTCCTCGGACTTTTGGAACTACCAGAAGTGAAAGAGACCACTCGGACATCGCTCTCTGTGCCAGTGAAGACGTTTGAGTCTAACGAGGAGAAAGTACAATACTGTGCTATTGACCTTGGCTACTTAGGTAAGATCGAAGAATACTCCGAAGGAGAGGATATTGTTGTCTGGGTTCAGTTCGAACATAGATGCGCATGGCTTGCTCACTCCGTGAAATCAAAGGTTGAAGACCAAAATATAAAGGATGATAGCGGTGGGGAGGCAAACTAAACAGACGAGTACCTTTATATATTTGTTTTGTTTTGTTCTTTTGTTCTGTCCTTTTCATTATCAGTTGGTTGATTGTTTTTACTATGTATTATTTCTTATATAGTTATATAGCCCAGTTGATATTCAAATTATCCAATACATTTCAGGCCTTCCAAAGAAGATGTTACATGGGCGATCTCCGGGCCCTCTCTGGCATGCTTTGACTTCTAAGTAAGTAAATTAGTTACTGAGGCAGCCTAGCAGCTTATATAAATTCCAGATGTTTTAATTAATTAATGGGTTTTTTATCTTCTTAAACTGATGAATGGAGGCAACATAATCGTATTGCCATCGAAAGGTGAAAAATTGAGAACTTCAATTAGGCGCTAGCTGGTTGGCTCAGTGGAGCGGCCTTGAGATACGTAGATTATTTTCCTTCATTGCACAAATTATGTCACCTGGAGCAACACTGTTAAAAGTCCCAGACTATCCAGCCATTGTTGGGATAATGAACATGGCCACAACTTACATTCGGGTCCTGGCTTAAGTGTAAGGCATTTAGGGTAGGGGCTTTTCAGCTTGCTTAAAACTTTAATATATCTAAAAATCTGATAGCATCTTAGTATTAAAAAACCAGGAATGACTGTAAGAGGATTCAAGAGCAGGCCAGATATGCACATGCATCCTCGAAGTTGATACGTAGTTTTAACCGTACGGTAAGAGAAGGTGTGTCAAGTCTGCCATGCCAAACACTTGGAGGGTCAAGTGCTCGAACATAGCGACTTCATCATGGCCCTGATAGCTAACCGCCGAGGTGTATAGTCGTCGTAGTCGTTGTTTCAACCACAATCATTCATGCTGAACTGCTTTGCTCAGAGCTGCTCATTACGCTGAAACAAACTCCACTTGCCAGGTGAAGCCCTGTCCAGTCGCTGCAGGGCCCTCATACCTTTAGGCCTTTCACATCCTGTCATGTCGTGTCCCAGTTAGCGCCCGTCATCGTCAACCGCTTTTACTTGTTGATGTTTATCAAGTCGTTCCTTTTGACTTTGCTCTGCGAGCCGCCGAGGTTCCCTTTTAGGACTAGTCAGTTGATCACCGACCAATCGCCTGTCTCGGATCTGCTTGCCCCTCAGGGACTTAAAACATCACGTGACAATCTTAATCTTTTCTTTTCTATTTTTGGTTTTTTGACCTTTTGAAAAGCTTCAGCTTCATGAAGTTTGCTCGCGCCGTCATTAGAAGGCTAGACAGGCCGTGATAGATGGACATGAGCTGTTTGTGGACAGCTGTTTACGGTTGCTGCCAGTGGGACGAGGTGGACTCGGGCGCGAAGTGAATCATAGCTTCCGCTTGGCTCGCCCTGATAAAGATGGAAGATGGCATAGGCTTTGTGATGGACTGGTGGAAGCTTACTAGGCCACTGACAATGATAAATACTGCTCAGGTGTTGCTGCAGCACCTAGTTCCTTTTGTCTTCTTCCTCTATTCATATATACCATATGCGTGTTCACTTGATGTGAATTACGCGGAGAGCTTATTTCCTTATTGTTTCCATTGTACTGGTGTTAATCATTTCTTGCATATACAGTGAAGATATCCCTCCCTCTCTTTTGCCCGCTCACTATAGTCCATTTGAATTATTCATTAATACAGGTTTACATTGATTGACAATAACCTATTCTTCCTGAGATTTCTCCCCCACCATATTTCCTTTTACTTCTGGGGTCCTCTTACATCTTCTACTAATACGTTTTATATTATCTCTTTTACAACCTCTTTCTTTCTTGATCTCAGCATCAGATTTTAAACTGCCTGGCCTACGACTTTGAACACGCGCTGGTCGCTTTACCTTCACATTACAAGCATCACACCCGATATCATGCAGTTCTCGCGGTTTATTCCCCGGTCAGGAACCCCTACTCTCCCTCCATATGGGGCTCATGATGCTCCGTCTTCAGGACAGGAATCTCGCGGTGCTGCCCCCCCTGATGCCATCACACCATACCTGGGCCTTAGAGCTCGACTCTCGCAAGTCTGGATCAACAAATGGACGGTTCTCATTCTCCTTGTGCTAGTCAGGCTGCTTATTGCAGTCGGTTCGCTGGATCACAACATGGCTTCTGCGGAGCGAGAAGCTCTATCTGCCTGCACTAGCGTGGAATCTATGGGCAGCGCCATGGCTTCAATGCCTCACTACATGTCTAAAGGCGTTAACGAGCTCACTGCCTCAGGAGTTGAGAAGGCGGTTAACGGACTGATGTCGATGCTGTCCCTCGTTGTCACTGGTGTGGAAGAAATTGTTCTCTTTATCATTCACGTCTTGACCAGTACATACCTCTGCCTTATAACTCTCGTTGTTCGCGGCAGTTTACATGTCGCCTTGAAAGTTATCGAGGATACAACAGAGTTTCTGAACAAGACCCTACATGATATTGGATCCGGTATCAGCAAGGGCGTCGATGGGTTCCAAAAAGATGTGAATGAATTCATAAAGGGAATCAACACGGTTACAAGTATCTTTGGCGATAACAATAAAATTCCTTCGCTAGACATTTCCGGTGAAATCAACAAGTTGAACGATCTGAAACTGCCATCTTCCATCAACGACGGGCTAGACAAAATCAACTCCTCAATTCCTACATTTGACGAGGTCCAAGATATGGCTGATACCGTCATTCGAAAGCCATTCCAACTAGTGAAGAAACTTATCAACGAAACTGTCGTTGACTACCATTTCGATCGCACACTTTTCCCGGTTCCTGAAAGGGAAGTGCTTAATTTCTGCACCAACGATAACGGTATTAGCAATTTTTTCGATGGCCTGAGGGTGGTCATTAGCACCGCACAAAAAATTTTCATTGGCGTTCTTGTTGTTGCTGCAATTGCCGCTTGCGCTCCGATGACATGGAGAGAAATCCGCCGATATCGACGGATGAAGGAACGTTCCCTTTTAGTACGAAAAGACGCCCATGACCCAATGGATGTGGTTTATATTATCTCCCGCCCCTACACATCTACTGGTGGACTGAAGATATCAAGCTGGTTCCAGTCTGGTCGCAAACAGGTTCTCGTCCGATGGATGGTTGCATATGTGACATCTCCCCCAGCTCTTTTCCTTCTCTCTCTTGGAATTGCTGGTCTCTTCGCCTGCCTTTGTCAATACCTTCTCCTCCAAGCGGTTAAGAAGGAGGTTCCCGCACTTACAGGCCAAGTCAGCCAGTTTGCTGACCAAGTGGTTCATTCGCTCAACAATGCATCTAAACAATGGGCAGTCGGTACCAACGGAGCCATCGACCATATGAACAATGATATCAACCAAAAGGTCCTGGGATGGGTCAACCAGACCACAGGCCCTGTAAACGAGACACTCAATGTCTTCGTTGAGAAGACTAGCGATGCACTCGATAAAGCCTTTGGTGGTACAATCCTCCACGACCCAATTCAAGACGTGCTCCACTGTCTTATCGGACTTAAGATCGAAGGCATACAGAAAGCCCTTACCTGGGTCTCTAATCATGCCCATGTTGACTTTCCCCACGTTCGTGAAGACATGTTTTCGCTTGGCGCTATCGAGAGCATCTCCAATGACAATGCAACAAACCCAGATAGCTTCCTCGCAAATCCTGGAGACAAAACTGCTGATAAGATTAGCTCCGCCGTCATCCGTGTCACTGACGCCGTGGAGTCAGGGATTAAAACAGAAGCACTCATATCCACTGCTCTCATTTGTCTTTGGCTATTCCTCCTATTAATTGCCTTCATTCGTGTACTGACTCTGGCCTGGCGTCGAGATAGAGTACGTGGTGATGGTGGTATTGATGCAACATACCACCCTCCCGCCATCGGTACTCGTGCTGTTCCAAATATCGAACTAAACAATTTCCATGACGTTCCACTAAATAGTCCTGCAATTGGAGGTGCGGGTACAGGCATGGCTCTCGGTGCTGCTCCTAAGTACAGTGCCACACCAAATGCCACTGGAACCATATACCCAACGACAACGAGCAATGAGGAAGATTACCAGGCTCAGAAGCTTGGGTATGCAGGCCAAAGAGATTATGAAATGGCTTTGCAGAAAGACATGAGGACAAGCAGCTATGGCCAAGTTGAATATGGGACCGATGTGAAACATGGTTAATATCGAAACTATATGTATAGTTTTTCCTTTGTTTAATTTCTTTGACGGAGCATCGGAGTACGGTAGGTGGGAGTTTACAGGTTAAATATGTAGCTAGACCTAGAGCCTTCAAAGGCAACGGATTAGGCAGAATATACCCATGACCTCATTATCATTCAGCACCTATTTCAATATGTAAATAAAAATATCATTCATTCAATCCAATAGCCATCTTCATATAAGACCTTAAATAGTAATAAAGAATCCATCACCTTTGTCCTCCACCCGACTCCGTTCAACAAGGGGATCACAGCAAGAGATCCTGATTCTCTCTGGAGTAGCGGGACTATTCAAGTGCAGTACATCCTCTGATCCCCACTCCTTCCGGGCTGCTTTAAGCGCATCTCGAATAGCGAAGAAAACTGCACTACCCATAAACAAAGGTGGCTCACCCACTCCTCTTGACCGCTGGATAGTCCGTAGGTCCTTCCATTCCACATCTTTCAGAAGACTAACGTTGAACACCTGTGGGATATCTCTGAATCCTGGTATCTTATAGGTCCCAGGACCACGCGTAAATATCTGCCCAGATGCACGATGCCAAAGGCTTTCTTCGGTTGTGAATAGACCTTGTCCCTGGATGAACGCGCCCTCGATCTGACCATAGTCGATGGATGGGTTGATACTACGACCCACGTCCATTTTTATATCGGCACGTAACGGAGTCCAATCTCCCGTCAGCGCATCTATTTCCACCTCTGCAGCGGTGACACCCTGTGTGAAGTAGTAGAACATCTTGCCTGTATTTTCACCCCATTTATATCCAATCTCGGGCGTCTTGTAGAAGCCTTGTGCTGAAAGATTCACACGGTCGAAGTATGCTGATGTTGCTAATTCTTTCATAGTAGCCTTTGGGTTTGCTTCTCGATACGGACGGAGCCGTTCATTGAGTTGCTCACAAGCATTAAACACTGCATAGCCGTTTAGATCAGAACTTGCAGAAGCGGCGGTGGGGGATGAATTGGCTACGGTGTTGGTGGCGGTCTCTGATATGAAGACGCTTGATTGAGGGACTTTTAGGGCCTCAGCAGCAATCATGACCATTTTGGTATGAAGCCCTTGACCCATCTCCGTGCCCCCATGGGCTAAAAGAATGCTGCCATCACGGTATATGTGTACCAAAGCGCCTGCTTGGTTTAGGAACAATGCTGTGAACGAAAGACCAAACTTAGTGGGTATTATAGCTATCCCCCTCTTCGACCATTTATGGGTTTTGTTATATTCCTCCACGGCTTTTTGGCGGGTATAATAGTTCGACTCCTCGAGAACCTGCTTATACATCAGCGGTACATGCCAATCGGTAAGTGCCTGGTTGTAATGCGTTTCCTCATTGTCTTTGTACATGTTAATCTCCCTCAACTTTTCTACTGGGATATTAAGATGATCTGCAATCTCAGAGACAAAAGTTTCGGCAAAAAACATGCCCTGCGGACCCCCAAATCCTCGGAAGGCAGTATTCGAAACCGTATTTGTACGGCAAAGGTACCCGCGAACGTGAACGTTGGGTATCATATAAACTCCATCAATATGAGAAAGGGCTCTCTGAACAACTCCAAGTGAAAGATCTTGAGAGTGTCCACCATTTGCGTAGACGTCTGCATCAAGTGCCTGGAATTTACCATCCTTGCTTACGCCTACTTTCCAATGGCATAGGAAAGGGTGGCGCTGTCCACTAGTAGCAATATCCTCATCACGGTTAAGCATACAACGGACAGGCTTCTTGGTCTTCTTTGCAGCAAGAGCACATATACCAGCTATCTGCACAGATCGGGACTCTTTACCACCGAACCCTCCTCCAAGTCGTTTTACTCGGCAGACAACCTTGTTCTCTGCGACGCCTGTAATTTTGGCGACGAATGCTTGACTATAATATAAACTGTTAGAAACGAGTAACTTTGTTGGATTCGGAGGGGGTTTAACATACACTTCTGCAGGGTTTTGAGTACTGCTGAAGACTTCAATTTCTTCATCTTCTGGCTTTGGTATGACGACGCAAGCATGAGTTTCAAGGTAAAAGTGCTCTTGGCCTCCCATTCTAGAGACACCGCTGTAGACATGGTCTGAAGAGGCAAAAGCTGCTTCAGTATCTCCCTTTTTAATTTCTGGCGTGACGTTTTTAAAGAATGAGTTCTTTTCAATTGCCTGTTCAATGGTCAGAATAGCAGGAAGAACTTCATATTCAACCTTCACAGCTCTGGACCCTGCCTCAGCCAGCCTAGCAGACGTGGCAAGAATCATCCCAAGAGGTTGACCATCGGTGATAACTTCATCAACTGCAAAGTATACTTCATCCGCAACTGGTGCCCCCCACCAGTTGGATCCGGGATTTAAAAGGTCTTTGGCGCTCACAAAGTCTACAACACCAGGTATATCCAGAGCTGGAGTGAAGTCGACGCTGATGATTTTAGCTCGTGCTTTGTTCGAAAGGACGAGGCATCCAAATAGTTCGTTTTTCTGTACTGGAATGTCGTCCGTATACTGAGCCTCTCCTGTCGTTTGCAGTAATGCGGAGACAGTAGGTGTTGCCTTCCCGAGAACATTTTGAGTGTATGCAACCGTTGCACCATGGTCTTTAACCCCGGATGATAACGCCCGTTCAATCTCTGGTACAGCATCTTCCTCACAGTGGACCTGGACACCTTGTATAGACGAAAGGACATCATGATAAAATCGATAGAAGAAGCTAAAAGCAAGGGTTTTCCGGTAAGTAGGCATGCCGCCTGGTACTGATGATGGAAGGTCAAAATCCTCACTAAGGGCATCTATTACACCTTCAATTGTTGCAGGGTCTGCCCAGTTCTTCCCAACAACGTAGGCTTCTGCGTTCTTTGCAGGTATCGTTGTTGGTGCCATCCCACCATATACTAAATTCGCACTTGTAACAATGTTTAAATCAGATAATGACACGCGCAATGCAGCGTTCACAATGGCAATATCATCATCCTTTCTTTTGGCCTGCTTGTACGCCCGTAGATATTCGCCCCTCTCTTGAGCCAGAGGGATGCGTAACTTTGAAACAACAGCATTAGCGGGTAATGCAGTTGTTCGATATCCTTTGAAAAACTGGCCCATTGGTATTTCTACCTCCCCCTTCAGCGATTTGGCGAAAAGAATCGTGCCAGTTGCGACGAACACCGGGTTTAAATCAGAGATTGGGGAAGCCGTGGCTATATTTCCAGCTGGTGATGCCACATTCCGTATCTGTCGCCCGGCAAAGTATCGAATCTGCTTCTTGATGGCGACGAATGGTTGTGCCTTGACAGGTCCATACCGCTTAACAGCTTCGTCACAAATCTCCTCTAGATCGGTAAGCGAAACATTTGCTCCAAGGTCTAGATAGTCATCGGTGAAAGTGTACTGTTTCAACTCCTGAATATCGCCAACATATATCGAGTGTGTATACTGTCTGGCCTTGAATTTGATTTCAATTTGGGTTTCAGAGCTTCCTGCTATGACCTTGGACTCTGGATATGCATTTTTTATCTCCAGCAGCTGTTGTAGGGTCACAGGTCTATACCACCGTCTCTTTTTGTTACCAAAACTTAATGGTTTGAATTCATGTCTGTGGAGTGGTGGTGGGAATATGAGCTCGGTTTCCGGGCTGTAGGGGATAAAATCTGGGGAGTCGAACGATTTAGCAATAGATTTTTGTATTGTATCGTCATAATCCCCATTCTTTGCACCGCCATTGCAGCTTCCACCGTTCTCCTTGCAGCATCCTGAGCCCCCGTTCGCTCGAGCTTTGGCGCATGATGGAGTGGAAAATGATTGAGCAGAATCGAGGATTGAGCGGTATCCGGTGCATCGGCAAAGGTTACCATCGAATGCTTCTTCGATAGCAAGTTCGGAAGGGGTAGGATTATTTCTTAGTAATGCATATAAGCTCTGCGCATAAAAGTCAGTCTTCCAAGGTTTTAGTACCCTTGCAGCCGCAGCCTGTGCCTACCATGACTATTCCCGGTGTACAGAAGCCACATTGGCTACCATTTCCAACAGCTATTCGTTGTTGGACCGAATGTGGATTTTTAGAGCTTCCTATCCCTTCCACCGTTATAACGTGTTTTCCATCGACACTGACAAGGGGTGCCAGACATGCGTTTACGGAGGCATGGTATATTTTCTTCGTGGTAGGATTGCGGTACGAGACAACCTAGTAAGCATTAATTATTAGCACGAACTCCTAGCAGTATTTAATATGGTGAAGGCTCCCAGACTTACCACTGTGCATGCACCACACCCTCCTTCGGCACATCCCAGCTTTGTGCCCGTAAGTCCTACTCCTCGAAGGTACTCTAGTAAGGTAGCCTCTGGGTCAACAGAGTCAAGTATAATTTTTGTGCCATTTAGATAGAACCGGAGCGTATCGTCATACGACTCTGTCACGGTAGCTAATGAGGCCTTTGTTGCTGCAGGTGGTGGTTGTGGCGTTTCCACTACAGCTGGAGCCATGGCGAATGAAAAGAGAAAGAGAGAAAGGAAGAATAATGGTGTCAAACTGCTTTGTTTAGGGCAGATCTGACAGCAGCAAGACTAACGAGTCGGCTTGTAGGCGAACCTGTATAGCCATGGACAAGGAATTCTTCAGGCCAAAAGTGGTTTTCATCTCTCAGCGCGGTTATCTTAAGCTTATCTGCTTTCGTTAAGCGCTGCGGGGACATGCGGGGAAGCGCGGCCATCGCCACTCTCCGGTATTCGTATTACTTGTATTTATTATCATGTGATATTATTGATACTGGATATTCTTTAATCCATATTCCGAGTGACGGCATATCATTGGCTCATATAAACGACTTAGTCAGTCTTAGTCAGCACCGATACGGCGATGGTGGGTTGAGTCATTTCTAGATAGGGCATAAAAAAAAAAAAGAACAACTTCAACTCCTCAACATAGAGAGACAAAAGGGTTCTGGCAGGTGGATGTTCTGAAGGGCACCTACGATGGGAATTGAGAGCGGTGCTTTGCAAGAGCGCCTCGAGAGGTGGGCTCAACGGCTGAAGAATCTAACCATCTCACCGCTCACGCGAGACTATCCCGAATCCACGTCGACAGGGTCCTCCAAACGAGCAATTGAAGCGTTCGAGTCGTTGAAACTCTCCTCGGACGAGCAGTTAGCTGTGAAGAAACTATGTAAATCCAAGGAGTCGACATTTCTCGTTTTCCTCACTGCTCTCATCGTCATAGTAAGCAGGTTGACCGGGGACGAGGATATTGCCCTGGGAACAAGCTCTGAGAATGATGGCCGGCCATTCGTATTACGGATACCCATCAACCACAGCGAAACTTTCTCCCAATTGCTCGACAGGGTAACCAAGATATATGAAGAGAGTGCTTCGGATATAGTTCCCCTGAGAAGTCTGCGAACTTATATCAGAAACGCTTCCAAGCTTGAGCAGGAACCAGTGCTCTTCCGATTTGCTGCCTACGATGCCCCTGCTGCATCCCAGGAATACCCTGCAAACACCTTCGAGACCACGGATCTACTCTTGAATATTGCCTGTACCGACTTTGAAGTCGGTGGCTACTACAACCAGCGTCTTTTCTCCAGTGTCAGAATAGCCACAATACTGGCACAGATTGTTCGTCTGGTCTACAATGCATCGCTTAACCCAGACGAGACCATTGGAAGGATTGAGTTCCTCACAGAGTCACAAAAAGCCCTCTTACCAGATCCAACAAGCGACCTGCACTGGTCTGACTTTCGAGGAGCAATCCATGACATCTTTTCCCGCAATGCCGAGGCTCATCCTGAGAAGCTTTGCGTTGTCGAGACCAAATCTCGATATAACCCGCATCGGGAATTCACATACCGACAAATCCACGAAGCTTCCAATATCCTTGCGCACCACCTTGTTCAATCTGGTGTGGAGAGAGGCGAAGTGGTTATGGTGTATGCTCATCGGGGTGTAGATCTTGTCATTGCGGTCATGGGTATCTTGAAGGCTGGTGCGACTTTCTCTGTCATTGACCCAGCCTACCCCCCTGAGAGACAGATCATTTATCTCGACGTTGCCAGGCCTCGAGCCTTGATAAACATTGAAAAAGCGACTCAAGACGCCGGAGAGCTGGCTGAATCTGTTCGCGCTTTTATCGACCAGAACTTGGAACTTAGGACGGAAGTGCCAGCTCTCGTTTTACATGATGACGGCACCCTCGATGGAGGCGTAGTTAACGGTGTTTCTGTTTTGGAAAAGCAGACTTCCCTGAAGTCAACTCCTGTTGGTGTCGTCGTCGGGCCTGACTCCGCTCCCACCCTTTCCTTTACATCCGGATCCGAAGGCCGTCCAAAGGGTGTCAAAGGAAGACATTTCTCTCTCGCCTACTACTTCCCATGGATGTCAAAGACATTTAAACTCACACCAGACGACCGCTTTACCCTTCTCAGCGGTATTGCACATGATCCAGTACAACGTGATATCTTCACGCCTCTATTCCTTGGTGCCCAGCTCCTGGTTCCCTCTCGGGAAGATATCCAGAATGAACGTCTGGCTGAATGGATGCGTGAATACAAGGCAACAGTTACCCATTTAACCCCTGCTATGGGCCAGATTCTCGTTGGTGGAGCTACTGCTCAATTTCCATCATTGCATCATGCATTCTTTGTCGGGGACATTTTAATTAAACGAGATTGTCGATCTCTTCAGGGTCTGGCGCCAAACGTTAACATCGTGAACATGTATGGTACCACTGAGACTCAGCGGGCCGTTAGTTATTTTGAAATTCCTTCCGCGGCAGAGCAGGTAGGATATCTCGATACCGTGAAAGATGTCATTCCAGCAGGAAAAGGGATGGTAGACGTCCAATTGCTTGTCGTCAACCGATTTGATCGAACCAAATTATGCGCTATCGGAGAAATCGGAGAGATATACGTACGAGCTGGTGGGCTGGCAGAAGGGTATCTAGGCTCCCCCGAATTGAATGAAAAGAAATTCATCCCGAACTGGTTCGTTGACCCTCAAATCTGGGAAGAGAAAGAAAAAGAACGTGCCTCCTCATCTAATGAGCCCTGGAGGAAATTCTACTTGGGTCCAAGAGATCGTATGTACCGTAGTGGTGACCTGGGTAGGTATACTCCTTCTGGTGATGTTGAATGCTCTGGAAGAGCCGACGATCAGGTTAAAATTCGCGGGTTCCGAATTGAGCTGGGAGAAATTGACACACATCTATCTCGCCATCCTCTTGTTCGAGAAAACATAACACTGGTTAGACGAGACAAGTTTGAGGAACCCACCCTTGTCAGCTACATAGTTCCCCAGATGGGTAAATGGTCATCATGGCTAGAACAGAAAGGCTTAAAGGACGATACTTCAGCTGAAGGAATGGTCGGGATGCTGACTCGCTTCCGACCCCTTCGTGATGATGCGAGGGAATATCTTCGAGGAAAGCTCGCATCTTACGCAGTTCCAACTGTCATTATCCCACTCCGAAGAATGCCATTGAATCCGAATGGTAAAATCGACAAACCAGCCCTCCCATTCCCGGACACTGCTGAGCTCAGTGCGGCTGCTCCTCGTCGTCGTTCTTCAGTTCTCCAGGAACTTTCAGATACTGAGCAAGAGGTAGCAAAGACATGGGCAAAACTCCTTCCAAATATCACCGCAAGAATGATCGGGCCAAATGACTCGTTCTTTGACCTCGGTGGACACAGCATTCTTGCGCAGCAGATGTTCTTCGAGCTCAGGAAGAAATGGAGAAGTGTCGATATCAGCATGAGTGCTATCTTCCGTAACCCAACTCTCAGGGGTTTCTGTAATGAAATCTCGCGTATTCAAGATAACCACTCTTTGACAGACGGTAGTCAAAACCAGGGTGCAGAAGCAACGCAAGTTGAGAAGGCTGTTTCTGACGAATATTCAAGGGATGCAAAGGAACTGGTTGCTAAACTCCCTACCCAATTCGCTGCTTCGGCTGAGTCTGCTTTGAATGAAGGGTCAACAGTATTTTTAACTGGCGCCACCGGTTTCCTTGGAGCATATATCCTTCGTGACCTACTTTCGAGATCCAAGCCATCTCTCAAGGTTATCTGCCTCGTCCGTGCCAAAACCCCCCAGTTGGCTCTTGAGCGGATCCAATCAACCTGCAGGGCTTATGGATTCTGGTCAGACTCGTGGGTTAGCCAGCTTGAGTGCGTTCAGGGAAACCTAGGTGACGAAAACCTTGGGCTCTCTACAGAGTTTTTCAATGACATCGCAGCCCGAGTAGATGTGGTCATCCACAATGGTGCACTTGTTCATTGGGTCTACCCTTATTCTAACCTGAGAGGCCCGAATGTCCTGGGTACAATCGACACTCTACAATTATGTGCAACTGGAAAGCCAAAGCAATATGCCTTCATCAGCTCTACCAGTGTGCTTGATACCGATCACTACGTGCAAGAGTCTGAGAGGATTATTGCTGAAGGTGGGTCGGGTATCAGTGAGTCTGATGACCTTGCTGGAAGTAGTGAGGGACTCGGCACTGGGTATGGACAAAGTAAATGGGCAGGAGAATTCCTTGTCAGAGAGGCTGGTAGGAGAGGTCTACGAGGTGCAATCGTTCGCCCAGGCTATGTAACCGGGGACTCCACATCGGGAAGTAAGTTAAACAGTTCCGTGATGCTTGATAGGAACTTTTGTTCTGACATTTGGTGACATTCTTTTATAGATACGAATACCGATGATTTCTTGATCCGAATGATTAAGGGATGCATCCAGCTCTCATCACGGCCAAATATTCACAATACCATAAACATGGTCCCTGTGGACCACGTAGCACGGGTAGTCGTCGCATCAGCTTTCCATCCTCCAAAGCCGGAGCTCTCCGTCACACATGTAACCAGCCATCCACGTCTCCGATTCAACCAGTTCCTCGGTACTCTACAAACGTACGGTTATGATGTTCCACAAGTTGATTACGTGCCGTGGTCTAGCTCGCTAGAGCAATATGTGAATGATTCTCAGAATTCTGTTTCTCAGCACGCATTGTAAGAACCGCCTTGTCACCCTAAACGCAATCTGCTTTTTATCTAACCAGCAGTCACTTTATCAGGATGCCCCTATACCACTTTGTCACTGCGGATCTGCCATCAAACACAAGAGCGCCAGAGCTTGACGATACCAATGCGTCCACGTCACTCAAATCAGATGCGAAATGGTCTGGAGTTGATGTATCTGCCGGTAGTGGTGTGACTGAGGAACTAATGGGCCTTTATCTCGCATATCTTGTCGCAATTGGATTCCTTTCGTCACCTCCTGCAGCTTCGGCCAAACCACTTCCCGTTGTTAACCTCTCGGATACACAAAAAGCTGCTCTTGCCGGCGTGGGTGGTCGCGGTGGCTCTTCTTAGGCCATTTAACGTGACACCATGTTTTGTTTACAAAGACTTGGTAAAAATAGCTCTCAGATAGAAGCTACGGTTTGGATGTTGATTTTCCCTCCTATATAAAAAAGCGCTTCTCGAATAACAATATTAATCTTCAATACTCAAAAAATAAATATCTAATCATATATTAATATCATTTCTCCATAGAAATAACTTCTTCAATCTTTTTGAAGATCAGATCCACTGCCCAACTTAACAAATGGGGCATGGAGGCTTCACCCTTTTCGGGGGCAACAAAAATCCCTAGGTCTTCTCTAACATTTGCTCCATCTCCAATAAGATCCTTCATTTTAACTAGGTCCATGTTTGCGCTAGAGGCAGTCTCGGGAAGCAAGAGCCACGAACAGTTTGAGATGTATCGTGGCCAAACGATATCGTCAACGTAACCTGGGGGATCCGTCCAGAAGTTTACTGGAGGATCATCTTCACCGTTTTTATCTTCCGTCTGCTCGTTCTCGGACCCCCCTTCCGCATTTTCTGTTTCTCTCAGTACCGGAGTTGGTGCAGGCCCAATTGTTACGTATCCTGTCCTTCCTTCCCGGCGCTGCTTGAGCAGTGGATATGTCACCGGTAAAAATATCGGGAGATCAATCTGATCATGAACAGGACGTAGCGGATGTGTAGACTCGTTCGGTGGAGCATATAGCAAAAAGCCATCAACAAAAACAATAGTTAGCCAGGGCGTTTGCTCCTCTAGTTTTTGCTCTTGACTTGATGATCTTTGTTGTAGTCGTTGAGCTACGCGCTCCTGCAATGCATGTACGGTTGCTTCATCAACGCCGGAATCCGTGGCATCATTCAGATCTTCCTTACTCTTTAACCTGGGAAGAAACTTGCCTGTCTGACGAATATATGACAGACAGGAGACAAAGTGTTTGACATCAAATGCCTCAATCGTATCCCAGTCCTGGACCAGTTTTCCAGCAGATGTAGTCGTAACTGGAATCCTGCAGTTACAAATTCAGCCATTAGAATCACGCATCGCCTCAGATATCCTCGTCAAAGAGCCCGCTTACCGATCATCAGCCTTGTAAAAATCATCTTCGTGGACAAGAATAGCTCTGACATCGACATTCGATTTCTGTTTGGAATTAAAAACTGTTCGTAGCAGCCTTGCAAGCGTCGTTTTGCCGCTTGAGGATGGACCGGAAATCCCAACGACGACGATTTTGCTTGTCATATCGGAATAACTAATAATAATACGGGTATATCCCTAGTCTATTCCAGGCATATAGACCTGGGCATGTTGTTGTTTAATATGTGGAAGTCTCTAGTTTAAACCGTTGACTAACGTGGGGTCAAATGTTGACTTGTTTATTGTTGGAAAATGGAGATAATCAAAAGTTATAGACACGAACTTTGGGAGCTCTTATTCCGTATTCCATCGTTGTAAAGCGTCTAACATTGCTAGGTAACTACAAACCAAGAAGATAAAAAATTCCTTGTCGCATAACCATTCATAATATTCCGTAAAGCCTGTCATTCTCCCGCATTTCCCACGTAAAGCTGACATGAATATTCTAAAAACCGAGTTGGGAAGATTGCAAAAGGCAGTCTCATATTGAACCGCTCATATCTGTACGGAGTTGCCGTTGCTGCTTGTTCCAGGACTGGACAAGAGATTAGATGATGTTCGTCGCCTACGAGGCGTGCTTCGAGGGGATATAAATTTTATCCCATTTTGATTTACATATTCCTCATTGCGCGATTCTTGCCGCCGTTTCGGTGAGTTTTTACCCGGAGAATCTGTAAGCAAGTCGAACTCAAGGAAACTAGTAAGCCTGCGTTTCTTGTCAGGCGTCGGTGAATCGAGAATCAGCTCTGGCATTCTGCCCATGACCTGCTGGACGGGCGAATGAATAGGGATGTCGTAGTCACCAGGTATAGGAAGCTCGTGTCTATCAAATAAACCAAGGGGACTTTTCAAAAAAGCTGGCGAGGGGGATCGCAAGTCGTCTGGGAGGGGAAGAAAGCCTTCATTCTGGATGATATAACTCATTGTATTGTCATCCAGCATGTCCTTCTCGGCATGCTGCATCTCAGTACTGCTCATCTGTTTTCTCCGTTTGAGCATTTTTTCTTCAAGGGTCCCTTTCAGCACAAGCGTTTCCACATAAACGGGACGAGATTGTGAAATACGATGAGCTCGCTTGATGGCTTGACTCTCGATATTTGGATCCCAGATTGGATTCACAATGTATACCCTAGATGCTGCTGCGATATGAAGCCCATGAGCTGCCTGACGGAGGTCCATGAGTAAAACACGAACTGACTCGCCCTCGTTGAAAACAGACAAGTATTCAGACTTTTGAGAAGGCTTTAGCGTACTTGCATAGATTCTGAAATCGGTTCCTAGTAACTCAAGTCCTTCGGCTATCCAAAAGGCCGTGTTCTCACTCTCGTAGAAAATGATAATCTTTTCAGAGTCTTGAAATTCGAGCACCTTTTCCAAGAGATAAGTAAGCTTAGCAGATACGGTCCCGATGACCCTTGCCTTCTTTAGACTAGAGTCTGCAGGTAAGCTCTTTGTCCTTGAAGTTGCTGCGTTGATAGATTTTTCTGGTTTCGACCGATGGACAATACCTTCTTCAGAGTTTCGGCTTGCAGATGATTTATTAACTGTTTCTAGCTTTTTGTATCTCAGTTGCTTTGCTCTGAGGCCAGCTCCTGCGAGGCCTTCTCCAGGATCCATTGAGCAAAGATGCGCAGTAACGAACTTCTGTGCTTCCCGCGCAAGCGACAGCCCAAGCAACAGTGGTTCTTGGTACTCCGCTGATTCATCGATCGCCCAGAATCCCCGTGCATGTTCGGGGAAATTTTCGACAAAGATACCAATCTCCTCTCGTTGGCACAGGGCATTCCGAGGAGAACAACTCAAAATTGTCTCTCCTGTGATGATGGCCTGGCGGAGTAATACCAACTCTTTGTCCGCCATTCGAAACATATTTTTCTCCAGGTACTGTCTCGCAACCTTGAGCGTTGTGCCTTGGATCGTTTCAGTTTCCATAGCCGGCCACCAAAATCCTGCAAGCCTCAGATTGTTCATCAACTGAGATAGGTGTTTTCTGTTTTTCGGGTGGAATAGATAATCTTCATCGGACCTTTCCGACGTTATTGTATTAACAACAATGCGGAGGATGAACAAATTTAGCGATGCCCTGTCGTAAAAGGTTGGTTCAAGATAAACAACTTCATTGTGGAGTTTTGGGAGTGGGAGCTCCCGATGTAAGTCTTCTGACCGATGACGTACGACAAGAGATTGAAGCGTAGAACGTAGAGATGATGACATTATTCGTTTTCCACCAGGCCCAATTGGCGTCATGTACTTTGTCCAATTAGCCGGGTCAGCAGCCCGAGAATTTGCCCAAGGTTTGAGGTTGAGAAAGTCGACCACCATAGACCGCAGGTTTTCTACCCTTTTTAGCTCTTCATGTAGCACATTTTGGGGGTTTTTACGGTCATTCAGTATGTCGCTGGCTTTTGCCTCGTCAGAAGCGGAATCAAAACTACCCTCAGCAGCGAGACTGATTTCGATACCGTAGAGGCCCTTCGACGGGGTACCGGAAACAACCCATCGCCGCTCAACCTGTAGTTTGTCTAGCATATAGACTGAGCTGCTCTTGCCTCCCGTACCGGCAAAATTATGACCTTCATCAACAATTATTCGCAGCCAATGTAGCGCTCTCAAAGGAGAAGAGTAGGTGACTGGTGCTGCCGCGCTGAACCCCCCAGATTCCTTCTTGAACCGAGCCTGCGAAAACAGCACTATATCGTACTTCAGAAGTTCGGCTGCCGGAGGAGTCTTATCATTGATGTCTCTTAACACTAGAACCTTTAACCCCTCAGTATGTTTTGCAATCTCAGCGAGCCAGTGGTCAACCAAGTTAGGAGGCACAACAACTAGTGATGCAGAGGTTATATGTACTGTAATCGAACTGTCTCTTGAACTGGCTGTATTTCGACGGCCATACTTCGGAGTCCGAGTTATAGTATATGAGCCACGGTTTCTGGCGCAAGCAGTGAGGCACTTGCCATAGTGCATACCATCAGCTTCAAGGCGGCCGAAATGATATGCCCAGGGAAGAGAATAAGCACCTGCTGCGGCAGCAGCCATTTCCATTAGAGAACCGGTCTTGCCCCTAACAGGGTGGACGGAGACATACTCCGAGGGGATAGAAGGCATGTGGCCCCGCGTTGCTAAAATCACAGCTAAACATATTAACGTTTTGCCGTAGCCCATAGTTTCCGCGAGGATGCCTAAAAATGGTCAGATTTGATATAATACCAATAAATAAATACGTAAGCTAGAGTGGAGAGAATACTTACCTCCGGTTACATTCGAGTAGAACTTGGGCTCCTGGAATACGGTTCCTTCGGTTCTGTCATAGTAGTATTTACTACCGGTTGGTCCCTGAAGGGCTTGCAGCCGGGGGTCAAGCGACAGTGATGGCTCTACTTCCTTCTGGATCATCAAAGCGGCGGACCGCTGTTGATATGGGTATAATTTCGTGATTAGGCCCTGAACGCCGAAATACTCGTCGTTCTCATCATTAGAATACATAATGCTGGTGATTGCTGCTCGGGCCCAAGAGTCAGCGACACATATTGCCTCTGGGTTTGGGGATTCCAGGGTGTTGAAGATGTAAAAAAGGGTTTCCCCTTCACCATTTGTGTTTCCGGCACCCTTAACTCGATCAAGTTCAATTAGACCATTCCACGCATCAGCAGAGGTATCTAATTTAGCCATGATCTCCCTCAAAGCACGTCGAAGACGCTGATACGATCTGTGCGGTAATGTTGGAATCATCTCCTCAGGCCTTACATAAACCCTGGCGCTCATCCATCCTCCAGCGGCTTCTTCCCCGACCATGAGTTTTATCCACCCCGAATTCTCAAGAATTCGTAGAGAGTCAGCTTCAGGGCAATACATATGTGGCGACCCTGCTTCAGATGTTGAGTTGACAGTTGGAATTCTCCAATAAATAACCCCGACCGGAATAAACTTATTCAGGTCATCATGTTGATTACAGTGTTCCATTTCTGTATCTGTAAGGATAATAGATGCACTGGAAGTTGATGATGTGCATTTTGAGGGCATAGAGCCCTCCGGAGAACTTGAAGCAGGGGAGTAAGATCTTGGGAGGTTTCTCGGGGACATGACGGAGTTACCAACCTTGCGGCGAGTCTTATACGCAGCAAGCGAAATGTATCTGCAACTTTCCGCGCATAGGACACAATGCTTGACTCACAGTGAGCTGTCTAGCATAAGCTACTGAGAACTGGAGTAGCAAAATATGGTTGACAGTGGGAAGAAAATATATGGAAAAAGGCACATTCATCCCCTGGGTAAAAGCCTGGCTTCCCTAATTCATATCCTACTCCGTCTAGTTTCGGCGGTGGCTGTGAAAGTTCTTCTATGTATTATTGTGAGTGTTGTTCAGTGTTACTCCTTGATGTCATTCCAGGAGGCCTAATAAGTTAATATTGCGCTGCCAGCTGGTCAACACATGACCACGGTATTTACCCTTCTCATGTGTTATTAGGTATCAAACATGCAGGATTAGGAAGTTTAGGGAGTCCGAGAAGCTTGAGAAGCTCAAAAGGCTCCAAAGGTCTTCGGAGCTTGAAGAGTTTCAAGAGATTCGAAAAGTTCGAAGTTGATATCTTAGTCAGCAATTTCAGTAAAGTCCAAATAAACATTTAAAGTTAGCTGGTGCTTAGTCATATACTGACTTTATACATAGTTGATCCGCATAATATCGGCGCGGCGTCTGTTTGGCCCATCAGTTATGGAGTATCCGTTAGCGATAACGCATGGGATAGTCGGAGTGGAAGGTTAGTACCTGACCTAATGGCTAATAGAAGTCCAAGAAGTTGAAGAGAATGTAGTTATATTATAATGTAATTGAACACTGGGTAACTTTCAGTATATAGGAACCAGTATCACCTCGTCCTTGAAAATGCATTGAATCATGGCTGAGGAAGAAGTCCTCCCATCTCTGTCCTAAATCGTACATCGTCGATCTATCAAAAAGGGAAAGCTGCAAGGAATGAAAAAAATAAGGAAAAGAATATTTCTATAATAGTATTTCTGAAAGTGAAATAAGTAGTGAAAAGTAGAATAGGGCGAGGGCCAGCTAAGATAAACCGGATAAGAGTGTTGATCGAGCAAGATATGAGGAGTGGAAGAATAAAGCCGGTCATTCCGCCTGGAACAGAAATACTTAACCACAGACGAGACGAAAATTGGCAATATCATTTCATTTGACTGTGAAAATGACATAGTTGCAAAATGTGGTCATCTTATTTCCTGAGAAACTCTTTGACCTCGAATCCAACTCTCCTCAATGCTTTCTCATCGATACCTTCAGTGCTGCCAGTAAGGCGCCTGATTACCAATGTGCGAAGGTCATCAAGACGGTTTTCAACAGAATTTCCAGCACCATACTTACACATCTCGGCTTGGTCGCAATCCCGTATATATACGGTGATATCTGGTCCAACACAGCTGCCCCACTGCACCGCCATACGTTCCCAATGATCTGTAAGATCGTGCGAGCTGTTAGTTGGTATTGAGCATGCATGTGCTTCAGTGGTAGCTAGCTGGTAGTGTGGGACAAGCGCAATGCGGAGTATTGAGCCACTGTTACATGAGGATGATGTAGGTGACGAGACTGTCTCGGCAGATTCAGGAGTAAAGACCATTTCACTAGAAGCCGACCGCTCGGGTGAGCAGATACTCAAATCTTCGGTTTTGGGGATAATTGACTGGAACGATGCATTGGATTCAGACTCCCCGGACAGAGTCTGCCGAACTGCTGGTAAAAGCCGATCATTAAGGAATTCGATTATTGTACCCGATATTTTATACCAGGAAAAAATGGTTTCAAGGAAATTTCCGGCTGCTTCTCGTGTATCCCCTAAGGCTGTTGATGTGCCAGCTTTTGGACCCTTGAAAACCCGGACATTTCCACCATCGTCGCAAGAAAGAGAATTATTCAGGTATTCGGTAACCCACGCAACTGATTCCGAATTCTGGCCCTCGATTGCAATGACAGCGCCCCCTGCATGGCTCGAGCCTGGGGCTGAACAAACAGTATATGGGGAAGAGCCTTTGGATAAGAGGCTTATCTTGTTCAAGAATGAGAGAGTCTTTGGTGGTCGTTCTTCCGCTTTTGTTGGGGTTTGTGGATGCCCGGAGGCCACTATTTTTAATGGCGGGAGAACAAGGCTGGGGTCATGAGGTGACGGAGGTACCGAACTTGAATGCTGTGATTGAGATGCCCATACATAATTCAGCGAATTAACGTTCTGTGCCAATTCCGGGCGATGAAAGGTCGTTACCCTAGATAAGTAAGGGTTTTCTGGGCCCATACTATGGCGAACTGATGGGTACATCTCGTTCTCTTCACTGCGGCGTCGCTTGATACATGGCGATTGAGGCGGTATGTTTTCATCATGGAGCGGGGCTGGACTCCAACTTTCATCATATGCGACTTTAATAGGACTAGGAATATTTTCTAATTTCAGGCGGCGGCTTTGTGTGCTTTGAACCCTTTCAGTATTCGCTTGGGACACTTTCGGGCTATCTGTCTGGTTATTGAAATTTGGGATAAAAGGAGTGGACGGGGTGGAGGGGGCTTTCATGGGCTTCCCACCACACCGACTACAAATTGATGCACCAGCAAAATCAATTTTAATCGTAGGCCCAGCCGTATTTGTATTTCTCCTCTTGCGACCGGGCCGTCGTGGTTGATATCGGTAGCCTGGGTACTTCTGCAGGTGCCTAGCCTTCTCTTCCTATAACTCTCTCTCAGCATATAATCCGCAAAGAACTGAAAAGGGTATGTTTACATCTGCATGCTTCTTCCACGGCTCCTGGTCTTTAAGTGGAAGTCCCTTCCATATCTTTCCGATGATCTTTGATATATCTGGATTCGGCAGCCCCGGGTTCTCTGCAACGACAGAGCTCTGCAAATGCTGCCGGAACAATATGAATGCTAGTAGATGGTAAAGTTAAAATTTAATACATGGTATAAGGTACGGATGGCTATGCATTATGAACCAGGCAAGGAGAGAGGATGATATGCTTAATACCCGATGTTCGAAGTTGTATGGTGGTAAGCCATATAGGTTCTAGAGGGGTATGTATAAGAAATAGTAAACGAACCATTTCTTGGACGGGGAATCTTTGGTTCTGGTCCACATAAACAAAATTGAACGCTGGATTCTCCTGTAAAGTCCGATGTCGAGGAGTTCGGCGATGTAGAACGCTCTTGGAGAACAGTTTCGGATTTGATAACAGGTGCATCTTTTTCCATTGGAGTTGGAGCTATTTCTGCCTGGGTAGCCACCACAGTGGTCGGGAACTTCGATATAAATGAAACGTTATCCCGACAATGAGAGAGTGCAACTTGTGAGATCGCTTCCATTCCCGTCATTGGCATCCCTTTTGGCGAGGCTACATTCTCTTCGATATCAACGCCAGAAGAGAGTCCTTGGGCCATTATCCTATGAGCCAATGGTGTTGTAGTCCCAGCTGCTGGTATATCTCGTCTCGAGTGGTCATAATACAAAGCTGGTTTTGGAAGAAGTCTATCATGAGGCATTGAAGGGGTTCGAATATTATCTGTATTGGACCAGGAAAACATGACAAGCGAGTGAAAGGTTGGCTTGGTAAGGAGAGTTCTTGTTCTTCTTGTTTTCCGTAGGTATCACGATGTAGTTATGTGGCAAAGGACTGCCACCATAACGAAGATACTAGAAGGAAAGAAAGAAGGAAAAGAAGACGGTAGCGAAGGAATAAGAGAAGGAAACGAAAATTTCCTTTGTTAATTTTGTTTCTTAAACAATTCCGTCTTGTTTAAGTAATCTGTTGTATTTTGCATTCTGATTCCACTCTTCTCGGGCTGTTTTCTTTGTTGACTTTGGATGTACAGCAAGCTTCTCCTTGCAAACAATTGCAGCTGTCCGATGCATCTTAGAACGATGCATCAACCGGTTAGGGCTATAAATCTTCAGAGTAGGGGAGAAAACGTGAACTATTGTTTTTGGATTCCTTTGTCATGATGGGCTGACTGAATGCGGCGGGATGCACATATTTCTTTTACCTGAGACACCCAATCAGCAAAATCCTGCAACAATGCGATCGATGGAGCAGGCTTACTGGAGCTTCCGGAGTAGCCGTTTTTTCCCTTTTTTCGGCTTCCCTTTTTTTGGTGTACAACGACCTTAGGCAAACGGAAAGGTTTTGGAGACTCCGGCATGGGAGGGTCTGAGTACTCCTATGTACGTACATAATAAGTAGCTAAAGAGAGGAAAAAGGAAAGAAAGAAAAGCGAATTAGATGCAATGCACAAGGGGAGCACAGCAGGGCCATGCAAAACATTTCCACTCCGCTTACCTACCGCCAACAAAGAGGTTGCTGCCTATCTCTTTGCTGGATAGGCGAGGATTTGGAGAATACTACTTACGACAAGACGGGTACATCCTTCGTTGCTCGCCGTCAGGCGGGCATAAACTCCAACACGCCACAAAGATATCGCACATTAAAAATAGCTCTCCATCACCGACTTTTATTGAACGTGGAGCTTTCCGTAGTGTTAGGGAAGTTTTCTCTTATAGTATATCGAATTCGTAAGGTTGTTGTATATACTCCCTAAGCGATGAAGTGCTTTATTCGTTAACGAATCCTACCATGGGTAAAGTTGCTTTGGCACTGCTCACCAGAGTGTTGGATACTTTAGGAAACTGGAGTTAATGACGCTTATTTATACAGATTATCATCGTAAGACAGTTGCCTAGCTTGAGCGTTAATGGCGTATAGCCAATTGAAATGGTACGGTACCCCAGTAAAATCGGAATTTCTGTGCTTTACCTCCTTTTTCCTTCGTTGAACATGACAACGGTGAAGATATGCGGTAGCAAACGGAAAATGGGCAGTTGCTTTGGGGCTTAGAGACAACACCCCCACCTCTCGAGTTGTTGGAGATGGCAATCGCAATAAACTGACCGATATGTTTGAAAGAGACAAAGTTACCGGTTGTATGCAAACCAGCCCGGGGAGATAGGGGTTATCTGCAGGTGTGTCTCAAGATCCCTGGTGAGTGATTTCTTCTCTGTCTCTTGTACCATGTTGAAATCCAAGTTTGCCGATTTAGGACTGCGTTCATTTGTTCTCGTTTTCTTTTTGAGCACTAGGGCCAACTGATAGGCAATACATTCCCATTTTGGTACTTCGAGTGCGACAAGACTCTTCCATGTCGGGAAAGCAATCCTTTGTAATGCATTGGTGACCTGACGGAGACAAGGGCCTCAGGGAGCATTTTGTGCACGACATAAATAATTATGTGCCCGGTACATGGAATGATATGACAGTAGCCGATGTTCCGATATGTATAGCATCACTCTGTATGTCAAAACGAGCAAACGCATATGGTCATACATATTCAGATAAGGATTCCCCAGTGAGTCCACTAATATTCAGGCCAATTGGATAGATCCATATATTGTTTTGAAGATTGTCAGATAATGACTTTTAACTTTGACATGGAAGTGACCAGTACTATGTAGGTCTGGGGCTGCGGAAACCCCAAGGCCAATCCGTCCATGACTCTCTAGAGCCACAAAGAATGTCTATAAACACTGCTATTCACTGGGGTGTAGATGTTGCATCGGAGTTTAGCAGCGAAAGTGGAGTGCGATCTAACCGTCGTGAGCTCACCATTGCCGCTTCTACCACTGTTGTCGTATTAGACAAGCCTAGTCGGGATTGAAATATAGCCGACTTCAGGCCATTGTAGTTCGCGTGCACGACAATGGGCCATCGGAATATATCTAACCTTGCGTCCGATGTAGATCCATAGGCCATTGACGCCGCCTGTTCTTTGTATTTTCTGTACATACACGCTATAGATGTGCGTTATGCTAATGTAACAGCGCCCGCGGTGCAACCAGGCTGCTTTTCTTGTAGGAGGGATGACGACGTCCATGATGCTGCATTCCCTGACAATAACCTAGTAGAGTACTCTGTATCTCGGTAGAGGTAGAGAAGGAGAAAGACACAGGAGGGAGGCCCCAGCTAGACACCACTCAGCCACAGCTACCATCATCGCCACCGTCATCCTCCCAGTAAGTATTATCGTCGGTCTTGTTGCTGGTGACAAGAAGTTCGACTTGTTTGGTCGAACCAAATGAGAAACTGCTTACCTAATATAGACATCCACGTGACATTGATCACCTGATCAGCTAGGGCTGCTTACATCACCGGTCAGATAACGTGACGCTTAGTCATGGTCCACACAGAAAGTTCGCTACACCAAAAAAATATCAACTAAAATCAAATTTTGAAGACAGCGAAGAGAAAGTCGAACTTCTGCTCCCGCAACCGACCACATCGACAACCGCGCGCCCTTTTTTCTCTCCCTCCCGGCCATCTTGACAGCGAGAGAACTTTGGTCAAGATGAAGCTCAACGTTTCCTACCCGGCCAATGGGTCGCAGAAGCTGATTGAAATCGACGATGACCGCAAGCTGAGACCTTTCATGGAGAAGCGAATGGGAACCGAAGTAAGGCACAACAATCCGTCATCACCAAAAGAGGAGGGACATACAAGGCCATATGGGTCCGCCGTTGCGCTCGTTTGGCGCTGTAATCGATTTCAAGGAGCAAACAACTATTTGTCTTGATGCTGTTGCATGACGGGGGAAGCATGATTGCTGATTCGATGTTTTCCATCTATAGGTCGCCGGTGACTCCCTCGGTGATGAATTCAAGGGATATGTTTTCAGAATCACTGGTGGTAACGATAAGCAAGGTATGTTTTTACAATTTGTGGGCCGAGCATACCTTTTACATGTCAATTCGCTAACAGTCGTGTGATCACAGGTTTCCCCATGAAGCAGGGTGGTATGTACAGCATCATCAAAAGAGGCAGAGGACTCGTTTAGCCACCAGAACCTGACACGTTTCTTTCAATCAGTCCTTCTGCCAAACCGTACCAGACTCCTCCTTTCCGACGGTCACAGCTGCTACCGCCCCCGCCGAACAGGAGAGCGCAAGAGAAAGAGCGTTCGTGGAGGTATATATATACCCTATTGCTTATGGCGATGAAAGACAAAGAAACCTGCGTTCTAACTTGAATTTCTACCCAGCCATCACCGGTCTCGATCTCTCTGTTCTTGCTCTCAGCATCGTTAAGCAGGGTGAGGGCGAGCTCCCCGGTTTGACCGACGTTGTCAACCCCAAGCGCCTCGGCCCCAAGCGTGCCACCAAGATCCGCTCCTTCTTCGGCCTCGACAAGAAGGATGATGTCAGAAAGTTCGTTATCCGCCGTACCGTTACTCCCAAGGGCGAGGGAAAGAAGGAGTACACCAAGGCCCCCAAGATCCAGCGTCTCGTTACCCCCCAGAGACTGCAAAGAAAGCGTCACAGAATGGCCCTCAAGCGCCGCCGCTCTGAGGCCTCCAAGGAAGCTGCGTATGTTTTTACCATTCTCCTTTCAAGCCCCATGTACTAAGTCGAGTATACACTCGGCCTCTTATTTCCTTGCTAACTTGGCCATTATAGCAACGAGTACGCGAAGATGTTGGCTAGCCGTGTCCACGAAGAGAAGGCCAAGCGTGATGAGCTCCGAAAGCGACGAGCTTCGTCGATGCGCAAGTAAGGTCGTTAGGGCGAAGGGGTTGGAGGTTGTGAGACTTGAGCCATTATGGGAACTACACGATACCATGTTAAATCCAGGGGAAAAGTCAAACCCAGCCATGTTTCTTTCCCAACCGTCTCGATGATGAAGTAATGAAAAGGATACTACATCAATGAAAAAGGTATATTCTTTTATTCTCTGCGACCGAGCGAAGGGATGGGGCGTGTGACTTATTACTGTGATAATCTTTCTCATTTGTTTTGTTCCTTTATAACGGGAGGGGAGTCAAATAGGGAAAAATTATACATGGGTTTGCGACATAATCGAGAACCCAAAAAAAAACAATTTAACTATTCCTCCGTCCTTCATGTAATAATCGCAAGCGCTTTTCTTTTGCTGATTTTCAAATGTGAGAGTTCAATTTGATTCCGTTATTCTATCTTGGCTTCTATATGGAGTAGCCCTCGAAAGCTGTATGACTGACAGTATATATTAAATTATAGACTGTTTGCGATGAAGTTACTTGGAAGAAGATATATTGCAAATTACGCACAATCACAGACCTCATAAATCCACAGTGCTTACTAGATAGCGACAGATATCGGAAATAAAAAAGAACCATAGAACGAGAAATAGTAAAGCAACCGGAAAAATTCGTCGGAGTGTTGAATAATTAGGAGACAGCGTGCGAGAACAAAAAGCTAACGGATTCACCGTTGTGAGTTCTCCTACAGGCCTCAGCCAAAACAGGACTGATATCAATAGTCTCAATTTTCGAACATTGGTCCTTCTTTTCGTTGAGGGGAACGGTGTTTGTGACCACGATTCGACTTAGTCGACCATTGTTCAGTGTCTCGATAGCTTTTCCGCTTAAGATACCGTGGGTGACAATGGCAACAACCTCTTTTGCTCCGTGGCCCATTAGGGTGTCGGCAGCCTTGACCAGAGTTCCACACGTATCGGCCATGTCGTCGACAATGATAGCGATTTTACCCTCAACACTCCCAACAAGAACCATACGAGATACCTCATTTGGTCTTGGACGCTCCTTGTGGATCAAGGCAAATTGGAGGTCGAGTCGATCGGCTATGGCTGTTGCTCTCTTTGCGCCACCGGCATCAGGGCTGACAATAACACAGTTCTTGATGTCCAGGTTCTGGCGGATCCATCTGAGCATGCTGGGCTCGGCGTAGAGGTTGTCAACAGGTACGTTGAAGAAACCTTGGATCTGACTTGCGTGGAGGTCCATGGTGATGACATGGTTACAGCCAGCGGTCTGCAGCATGTTGGCCATCAACTTTGCAGTAATTGGCGCACGGCTCTTGTCCTTCTTATCCTGTCGAGCATATGGGAAATTGGGGATGACAGCAGTTATACGTCGTGCCGACGCAGTCTTGCAGGCGTTGATCATGATAAGGAGCTCCATCAAGCCATCATTGATATCATTCGGTTTCGTAGATTGCAGGATAAACACTTGGATGGTATATCATGTTAGCACCTCACATCATGACCTGTAACTGTAAACAGACGATTCAAACAAACAAACATGTGAGGTTACTTTCCAAGGTAGCTGATATCAGGGAAGAATATGCAAAAACAAATATCAACGCTCAAGGGAGAGAAATACCATCTTCATCTCGAACACTCTCGCCGATGGTCACGCTGGTCTCTTGATTGGAATACTGCAAGACCATAATCTTTGTCAACTCAATCCCTAGTCTGTTAACTCGATATCAGCCACAAGTCCCCGGTTAAGTAGACATTCTGGACTATTAAACAGCCCGCTCAACCATCCATTCCTCCCGCCAGCAACTACATGCCCGAAGAAGCCCATCCTCAAAGCTGTGGGAGTCGGATGCCGTACCTGTCTGCGACCAGCTGCGCCAGCTCCGGGTGACTGTTGCCGGTCAACAGCTTGATAGAATTGCTCGCCATCTTCTCGGACCACAGGTGTCTCGTTGACGGCGTGAAAGGTTCAAAATTGATAACTGCGTGGCGGCTGAAAGTGCGAATAGTTGTTGGAGATTCCCGACAGGGAACTAACGCATTATCGTCCCTGAAATCAAGCCGAAGTGATTAAAAAGGCGTTTAGGCAGAGCGAGCTCTTTGTGTGCTGTTTGACTCTCACGTCAAGACACGAAAACGTATCATGCGAGCATGTTTGTTTTTCTCTTCTTCTTCTTTCACTCTTTTTTCTCTCCCGCCAAAAAAACCCGAAAGTTCGTTTTCCGAAAGCTTTTTTGGATTTTTTTTTTGCCTGGAAAAGCTCCGGCGCGCTAAACCCGAAAAGGAAAGTGGCACATCGCTTATCGATAAGTGAAAGATCACGTGGATTTACTCTTACATAATCTTAATCAGCTTTTTAACTGACATCAAAAAGTAGAGAAAAGAAGACTTTGGAAATGTAGAAGAACCGACTGGACGTTCACATAAAAGGAATGTAGCTTTTTATTGGGGACTCAAGTGAGCAGTTGATCTGCACTTCAACTACTCAAAGAGTCCGATATCAACAATCCTATCTAATGGAGGGGAGTAAAACAGTAAATCAGAACCATGAAAAGGCATAAAATCAAGGGGGAAAGGGGGACGACACATAACCACCAGGGAAGTAAGAGCCGCGTCGGCCTCCAGCTGCAAGAACACAGCGTCACAACAATCTGAAATATACATGGGAATCTCGGGAAAAAGGAAACCCTGAGCCTGCGCACGCCGTCTTGATGCCTAATGCTAGAGTTCACATGCAATGTATCACTGGCAGTCAATAGCCATAGGAAGTGGAAGGGGTATGGAAAACAGGGTTACGAAAAGCTGATGAATAGAAAACAGGAAGGGGAAGATTCTGTTGGGTATATCTTTTTTTTTAGGCGAATCCAAAGTATTCGCTGCCTGCGGTCATTGCGGTGTAAAGACATTTACGTAACGATTCATAACTGTCGTACTCGGGTAGATCAAGCTCTATTAAATGACGATGGGTTAGAATGCTGTTTAACTGCTGTATGGTGAAGGTGGAATGGCTACTTACGGTTGAAGCAGGTGTGCGAACTTGGAAGTCGGTCATTGCTTCCATAGTCACGATGGATGTTGAATTTACTAAATCCATTCATGCCTTCAAGTTCTCTGAATCCGTTCAATGGCACTTTGCTTGTACCGGTGACAAACTGAAGTAGCTTGGCCCGCTCTTCTTTATCGAATGATCGAACAGCGCGCCAGAACCATTGAATCTGTGGAGAGGATGCGGAATAGTTGTGGTATTCAGTGTTGTTCTTCCAGTCGTTAACATCAATCTCAGGCAACCCGGAGATGAGAAGTTCCAGCTCCTGTTCATTAAAGATCGAGATAAGGTCGGCTGGTATAATGTCATGGAAACCACGGAGGAAATGGTCTAGTTGCTCCTTGACGGAGCCAGTCAACCGGTGCTCGACAACATGTTGCACGTACTCTTCCTTGTTCTCTTGGGTCACCGGGATATTTCGACCATTCTCTACCAAGTCAATAACTCGGGTTTCGCCGAAATCTTCGACTTCAACTGAAAAGTTTTCGGTTAAGATATCAGTGATATCATTTTCCAACATCCACAGAAGAGACTTGTAGTAGTCGAGGTCTAGAGTTTCCATGTCCTTGATGGAGACTGACTTGCCCAAAATTCGCTTGTAGACTGCTCTGCTAAAATGACAGTCTAGGACTCTGCCTTCATACAGAGCCTTACCAATGATGCGTCCGATAAACTTGAAGAACATCAAATGTTCCTGGTTGACTCCACTAAGGCGGTTGGGGTGGAAAGTTGTCCGATCAGACGCGACTGGAATAAACAGAGCGTAGTCTGGGTTGAACATCCCTCTTGCGAGGACTTGGAACCACTCCCTGCTCACACCACCAGCATCAACACCTTCCTCGCCGTGGAATCGGATGCTCAGCTTGCCATATTTCATCTCATCTGCGGTCTTAAAGTATAGCGATTTGAAGGAATCGAGGAAGACCTGATCACGACGAACAGAAAGCTGTAACGGAGGATGGGGATGGCGAGCCTCAGTACCGCGGGAGTGTATTTTGCGATTGAAGTAGTTACGCTTGTTATCAAACTCCAGAACTTTCGGGTTCTTGACTAGCAGCGAGAATGTGCCACTCATGAGTCGGGGATTCTGTCGCACAAGCTCATTGAGAATCTTCCTATGATCTTCTGTGAAATTGAAGAACAGGCCCTCCATGCCAGAATCAGGAGGCGGGCTGGATACACTGAACTCGCGCCCCTGCTTAGGGAAGAGTGGGACATCTTTGAGTGTAGTATTCTTGCAGACAACCATGAGCGACTCAATGAGCGGGAGAAGTGTTGTTGCAACGTTGAGCATGGATTCTTTGCGTTGGACAGCATGAAGGCAATCGCTTAACTTCGTCCAAAGCGGCCCAAAGGTAACACTTTCATAGAGGGCTTTGAGAGTGTTCGTCTTTTCAGATGCTTCGGCCTCTGATAGTTTCTCCTTTTCTCGGCTGGGATCAAATAGATAGTCAAGAGCGGTCAAAACACGTAATAACTTGGCTTGATCGGAACTTGCTGGTGAGAATTTTGCGAGGGCCATACCCTGTACATCAGTACCAGACTCAGCATTAGTAATATGAGGGATTAGCTCCTCTAAGTCAACGAGTATTGATTTGCTCAAAGTCTGCGCTTGACCGACTAGTTCTTTGCCGATAATTTCTTTTGCACCAGGAATTGACGACAAATTATTGATTGTGGAGAGGGTCTCCCGGAATGTTCTGCCATTGCACTCACGGGCAGAGAGAATATGAACCACAAGTCGTAGATTATACTCTGGAATCACTGGAGGGTCAATTGTGCGTACTTTCTTTTGCTTTCGGTCCTCTTTAGATGATTTTTCGCTCTCAGTATTACCGTCTTCCCTTTGCTCTTGCCGGACGGCACTATCTGAACTTCCAGTGGTTAGATCCGTCATTGCTGTGTCCGGCTGAGTTGTTAAGTCGCGTGTTTGGGCATCGCCCGTATTCTGTGGCTGCGGCTCAGTTTCGGGTTTCTTCTCAGCCCCCTTGCTTTCGGAAGCACCTGGCTTGTCTGCTTCCTTTCGGAGCAATATTGTCAGGGGATGGGTAATGCTGCTAAGCAAGCCGGATAACTGTTCCATACAGTTGGGGCTATCTAAAATGGCTTTTCGATCAAGCAAAGACAGTAGAGAATTTAGAGCAAACTTGTTTGCCCTATTATCCTTAGCTTTTCCTTTGCGTAGAGCCTTCATCTTGAGGGCAGAGACAGTTTCGTGCTCAGTGAGGAAAAACCAAGGGATGTGAGGGTTGTACTGAGTTAGGAACGAAAGAGCGCCTAGGCATTGTTGAATGACAATCAAGGGAGTCACATCATGGTTAGCACCAGGTACAGGAAGTGACAAGGCCCGCTTTACAGGCTGAGGTGTTCGCTGGGAAGTGGGCGTTTTTGCCCGCAGTGACAAATGGGCAAAGCTCCTCTCCACCGCCGAAATATCAGCACTCCCATCTTGGAGGATCAATAAGAGAAGGCTAATCACTTCTGATCTATTCTGGCGGTTCTGGCAAATATTATGGAGGATATCGTTCAAATGATGTCTGGCATTTCCTTGCAGCGGCATGAACATTAGGCGAAGTAAAGTTGCCACACCAGCTTTATCGACCACCTGAACAATTTGTCGACGTTGAGGCTTCTTGGCTTCTTGGTCCTGACGAGCAGATCCAGCAGGAGGGTGAGCGTCCAGAACGCCAGTATCACCAAATCGGGGAAGCCTTCGGCCGCCAGTCAACGCACGGGCTTCAGTCACGAACTCTGGCCCAAGTGATGCTAATATATCATCGGGTTGGTCAGCCAATACGGTTTGTCGAAGTGATGGCTCAAGTGTTGCTATGAAGCTGGCAGGGTCCATATCTTCAGCATGAGGAGCCCCATTCGCTGCCGCTTGGCGACGGGCCGCTTCCCGTTCGCGACGACGGCGATCAGCTGCCTCTTGCTGGAGGAGTTCTTCTCGGATTTCCGCTGGTAACGCTTCGAGAAATTCCGGGTTAATTTCGCTTGGCTCTTCGCCTGCCACGGCTGCTTGAGAGCGCTGTTCTGCAAGCTGTTGCAGGATTACTTCCTCTCGCATCTCTTCTGGAAGCGCCTCAAGGTACTCTGGATCGATTTCCATACCAGTGATATCAAGTTGTCGTCCACGTATGGTAGTGTGGATTCTTTGGGCTGGTTCTGAAGAGCTAGCTTCTGGAGCAGTAGTCTCAGTAGAAGGCTGCTCCGCCGCTGGACCAGCAGCTTCTGTGGGTTGCACGTCTTCCATAGGCTCAGCATTGCCTGCCTGAGCATTTTCTGCAGCACAGCGCTCTTCTTCTAATTTCCTTGCAGCCTCTTCCTCTTCCTCTTTTCGTTTTTTCTCCTTTTCAGCCTCCTCTCGAGCAATGCGTTCTTGCTTTTCTCGCTCAATTTTTTCTTCTTCTAGGCGTTTTCTTTCTTCCTCAAGCTTCTTTTGTCGTTGTTTATCTTCCTCAATGGCCGGAGGTACTAGTAATTTGAGGATGGATTGAACTACTCTTTGTGCCTTTTCCATATAGAGGTTGTTGAAATGAAGTCGAGCCTCTTCTTGCCAACGATTTAGAGTCGAGCCGGTTGGGAAGGCAACAGCTTGGGTAGGATCATCGCGGGAACGAGGTGTAACCACTGGGGCTCTTCCTAGGCCAAAAAGATCCTGAAGACGCCCGGGAAGAACAGAGCCACGCTCTACATGAAGGTGGAATCCATCCGGTCGGGAGACAATACCAAATTCCGGCCCTCCTTGGCCGATTGCTTGCATGATTGCATTCATGAATGTAACTGGACTGTCAATCGAGAGAAGTCTACCGTGGCTATTTGGGTCCATTGCAGTTACCCAGTCGCTAAAAGCCTCTGCATTTGGCCCTCGTCTTTGAGTTGGCTGTTCATGAGCGCGATCACTGCGCCGTAAGAGAGGATTTACGCCATCATCGTTCCTAGGTTGTGCAACCTGCGTCCGATGTGACCGATAGTCAGGCACTGGTATGATACCTTGTCTACTTGCCATTTGACCAGGGAAGAAATTCCACGACGGGATATTCCGTGAAGGGACACGATTTTGGGTCAAAACTGGTTCATCCCAGCTCCAGGGTGAGTTGGAAAGGTCACCATCGTCATCTGAAGTAGAAAAATTAGCACTAGAATGTGAATACATGGCAAATCAACCTACTGTCGTATTCGTGGTACATGGCTTGATCGTCATCAAACTCATCAACTTCCTCCTCAAGCTCATCCACTTCCTCATCCTCGTCTACTAAAATGTCAACTAGATGTGAGTTATATTGTATGAAGGGGCTCATACCTTCTTCCTCATTTAAATCGTCTTCTACGAAATCTTCTGCAAGGTCTCTCATATCCATTCCATGGTCCATCTCACGGTCTAGTCGCTCAACGGAGGCTCCGGTCTCTTCCAGGACCCGGAGAAGGTTTTCTAGGTGAGGTTGACCCGGGCGATTATGTTCTCCCTGTCCCATACCTCCACCTAATTCAAGTTCAAGTTGGTTCATCATGGCTAGTTCGTCGTCTGCTTCCTCGGAACCTTCTTCACTTTCCCATTCATCCTCACCATCTTGAAGACTATTGTTGTCATTATCACCAGTAATTTCTCCTGCGACAATTCTTTCATCTAGATGTCCCGACATTTCGTCGTCGTCATCGTCGTCCTCGTCCTCGTCATCATCATCCTCGTCGTCTTCGTCATCCTCATCTTCATCATCTTCATCCTCGGAGTCGCCGTCGATCAAAACCTCGATATCCATGGGAGTGTCACCGGGTATCCCTTCAATTGGGCCTCGCTCGTCCATTTCTTCTTCATCCTCATCACTGACTACTTCACCGTCATTCTCTGGCATCTCTTCTTCATACTCCATTTCCTCATCAAATTCATCATCGTACATTTCCTCATCCTCTTCATCTTCTTCACTAGAAGTCTCCTCCTCATGTGGCTCAAACATGCCCAAAGTGGAATGACGGAAAAGGTCTGGGGTTTCCTCCCTCGATGACGAAAATTCAGACACTGAGCTTGCTGAGGATATTTCATCGGTATCACTTTGGCTCGGTTTTGCTTCAATAGATCCGCTTTCGCTTAAAAGTACAGCTGTTTCAGAGAGCTTATTAAGAGGTCGTAAAATGTATTTCACGACACGCTTGGATGACGGGAAGTTAAGGTCAATATCAGCAACAGAGGCAGTGAAAGCATTCACGAAATTCTTCTCGAACATCGTTTTCGCGATCTGACGGGTAGCTGATGCAGTGCGTGGGGATCCATCTGGGCTTGCACCACCGCTAAGCATCTTATCGAAAAGATCTGCCATGCACATGAGGCGTGCGTATTTAGAATCAAGAGGTTCCCGGGAAGCAGTAGCATCCTTGTAGGATTTCAAGGCGTGTTCCAAGACAAACTTGCGAACAAAGAGTAGATCAGACTCGACCTCCTCCTCTTGGCCTGGAACCGATCTCCGGCCACCATATTCAATTGTCTTTGTGCATAAAGCGATGATGACCTTCATTGCCCAGCTGGAAGTATTGGCTCGCTTTTTGAAAGGAATTGATTCATCGTGTTCCATCGTTCCGATTGGAATGAGACCATGAAGTAGATAGTTCAAAATACCAGATCGAGGCTTAGATGGAGTCGTGGCCAGGGGGTCTGCCTTGCGGGAAAAGTTGATGAACTCAACTTTCGTCCGATTATATGATGACAGAAGTTCCGTAAGGCAATGGAGGAGGAAACATCTGTAAACATAGATTGGGTGTTCATCGGCCTTGAAGTGAGGTTTCTCTGCCTTCTTGGAAGACGAGTCACGGTTTGTAGCTGCTTGTGATGAGGAAGAACTTTCACCAATTGTCATTTCAACATCTTCAGGCCGATTAACCGGTTTTTCAGCGGGTGGAACCGGGGCGGGCTCTTTGTCGTCTACATCCCTATATGAAAGCAGTTCTGAAAGAAGATAGTGAATAACACCATCGGGATGCTCAACAATTGGAGTCTTTAGCTCCCTATGTTTCTCCTTGCTTTCCTTGGGTTCATGTTGATCTGCCTCTTTCGTTGGTACCGGAGACTGTCCTTGTTCGATTTTAGATTCGTCTGGGTTGTCAACTCCCGCTGATGCCTGCGACAGCTCATTCTTCTTCGGATTCTTCAAAACAAGAGTTTGAGGCCGCTGGTTTGAATCGTATCTTGCAAGTTTTAAAAGCTCATTTGTCACCTCGACGAAGAGCTGGGGAGCCCTTATGACCAGATGGCTGTATTGACGAACAAAGTTAGTTGTATCTGTCTGGCGAGAAGGACGAGAATCGAAGCTTGAAATGATGTCGTTCCTTATGATTTGGCGGATTGTATCTTCATCTTCAACGATATGCCTAAGTATAAGCATAAATGAATTTTGCAGCTTTTCATTTGAGGGGTTGCTCAATTGTTTTATCATGACGAACAAGCGTTGAAGATTTCTTCTTTCACCAAGTCGAGTCGCAAGAGCACGCACTCTAGTAAGCATTACAAGAACTCTAGCCACTGACAAAGCGAGGGACTCATCTTTACCAATCCGTGGTAAAACATCCAAGAGGGCCTCGAATAATTGCGTTTTACCCTCTAAGGAGACAAGAGGCTCCCCTAATTCGGCGATATCGGAATCCTCGGGGGTATCTGCATTTGGTGGATTCCACCGGATGGAGCGAGGCGCGGCATCTTCTGCGAGGACTCTTTCGAGAATAAGCAGGATCTGACCAATCCAAGGACAAGATTCTTCAGTTGATTTATCTGACGTAGCAGGTGGGACTTTGATGAATCCAAGTAGCACGTAGAAGTTGTCCTGGAGAGGCTCAAGTGTAGATTCATAAAACTGTGGCTCCTGAAGAAGTAAGGCAAGAAGACTGGCATGTGCCGCTATCTTCTTTCCCCCGGATAAGAAGTTCTCATCCATCTGAAGAGAAGCTAAGAAATGCAGAAGTGTCTCACCAATCTCTCTCCTAAAATTAAATGGATTGTCCACTTTGGAGGCAGAGTTGATAAGGTCGGCCAAATCAAAGGTAATGTCATGATGGGCATTTAGGACTTCTAAGCATCGCTCTATTAAATTAGAGCGAAGGTTATCTCGCTCTTTGTCCAGGTCATCAATAGTTACAACTTCTCGCTTCTTTGGTGGTACCGTAGGAGTAGCTTCCCCAGTCTGGCCTTCGGTGCCTGTAAAGGCAGCCGAATTTTGAGCCCTAGCATTATTGGTACTCGATGTTGGTGACGCTTCAGAAGATGTATCACCTTCTGCTTCCGCAACTTCCATAGCTTCGGCATGTATCTCTGCCAGAATTGACGCAATTGGGTCTACCAAGTCCTGCGCAGGCCGTGTTGAGGGACCCTGGCTAGTTTCATTACCTCCACGGCTTCCTAAACTTTGTTCTTCCCGTGGAGTAGTACTTGGTTTCGTCGCCCCGGCTTCTACGTCAGACTCTGGGATTGGATTTCTTGGTGGAACACGAACACCTTTTTGGGTATTGCAGTACTCTTCGGCGGCGCTAGGGGAGTTATGACAACGGTACAACGCCTCACGGGCAAGGGATTCATCATATCCCTTATCAATAAGGTGGCCGAGGCGTTCACGTTGAATAGAAAATACCCTAGGCGATACTGCTTGAGGGTTAGGTATATTATCTCCACGGCGGTAGGCGTTGGATTCATGCTCTGCTTCAAGTACTAGGCGAAGAATCTCAATTAAGGACTTAACAATGGAACTTGACGCAGTTTCCACAAAGTCTGACGTCCACATCCCTTTCACCAAGGGTAATGCTTCCATTCGAAGTTCAACTAAGAATTGTTGAGGAAGGAAAAAATCAGCACGCTCTCTGTCACGGTCACTACTGGCCATCGCTAGGGTCTGAGCAGAATCAAGGATATATCGTGCAGACGTCATCTCGGAAAAGAATGTCAAGATTATTTTAATTCCACCATATGCTGATGCGAGCCTAGCTGGACGGTCTGGGGGTGAAGAAGCTGACTGCGCTAATGGCGCTAACGCTTTGACTTCTTGAAAGAATATATCAGCTAATTCCTTCATTTTCTGTATTCCGTTTTGCTTCTTGAACGCAAGAAGAATCATGGTCAAACAGTGCGAGTGGGCCCGTTCAGTGGCTAATAATAAAAGGTTAGAGGTTTGTTAAAAAACATGTTGAAACTCAAGGGATAACTTACAGTCAAATAGTAATCGTGAGAATGATGAGAGAATGACAATGAGGTATGAAAACCGATCCTTTGTGGAAGCACACTCATTTGGTCCCTTCAGCTCTAACTGTTGAATGACCATAGATGCAATGGCGCCGGCAACCATGGCTGCTTTCTGTCGTTGGTAAGTATCCACGCGTCGTTTGCCAACGAGTCCACGGCCAAGGGAATGAAGGAATCCAGTGATACATGTCGGGAGAGTGCCCAACAACCAACGCAGAGTCTTGACATTCTTTACCGCTGCCCCTTTATCTAGTTGGGTGGAGGCAGGGTTGTCCAGTTTAGTGGACTTTTTAGTTCGACTTCCATGGGCCGCAGAGGGTAGATCCCCGACATGCGACTCAGCACCTGCATCGCCTATTTCGGATACGCCGTCTGCTGCAGTAACGGGTGGTGTTTCTTGTCCGTCATTAACCATGTCAAGACCTGTGAATCCTGGAAGTGTAGTAAGATCGTTTAGGGGTTCAGGAATGTTTTTCTGTAGCAGTATCTCCTCCCAAACACAAGCGGCATGCAAACGCCCCAATCTTTCAGCAACCAACGCATACTGGTCAGATAGATTTACTTGGTGGAATGGGAGCGGTTGCTGAGTTGGACGTGTAGGATATATTGGTGGGGTGTAGACTTCACGAAGGATGTTCGTAAGAGTTCCAACTGCGACGAGGTGTTTAACATAATACGTCCCCTTAGCTCGCACCTCTGACGCTTCGAGACCTGTTTTATCTTCCGATAAGGAGCTTGTCAACGGAGAGAAAAAACCCTTTGGGCCAGGGTTACCCGACCAGAATGGCTCTAGCTTGTCGAGGGCAGAGAGCGTGCGGTTAAGTAAGGGCGGAAGTACCAGGTGAGGTTTTGTCTCTGACATGAGATGAATGACCTGAGACAATTGGTGGTTTGCTTCATTGTTATGGAAGCTAAACGGCAGAGACTGAAGCACAGCAAAATCGAGCACATATTCCACTCCACCGCTCTCTATGAAATTGGCGCAGATACCCTGGTTCTCAAAGAAGGCTCCCAGGAATTTCAACACGGGGAATATATAACCCGAAACAGCAAGACCGTCCGCATCAACATCCTTGGTAGTCCACTTGCTAGCATCTAGTTCCCCAAAGAGCTCTCGGTAGGTAGTACTGCTGTTGCCTAGGTTAGGAACTGATGAGCTGGGCCAATGATCTTCACTTGGGGAGAAGTCGGCACAGAGGTCGCCAACGATAGCAGACGGACCACCAGAAATAGATTCTTTCTCATCTTGGTCCTCAAGCCAGAGCTTGGCTCCGAGACCACATTCCCACGCCTTGTACTTGCCGAGGAGGCCGACACGAGCAACCATACGTAGAACGGAGCTCATGACTGCAGCCTTTAAGGCTGGATGATGTCTCACCAGTTCATCAAATGAATTTCCCAGCAGTCGAAGCAAGTTAGAATCATTTTTCATGCATTTCACATGGGCGGGGCTCTCGAAAATATCAAAGAATCTTTCTAGTGCATCTGACGACTGGAATAGCTCTAGACCGGTTGAATTCAAGCAGATTGCTCCAAATGCCAATGGTATACCGACAATAGCTTCCGTAGAAGGTAGAATTCCATCAGAGCCCTTACGTTCAGGGGCTTTCGAAAGGTGGTCAAGGAGAGATTTACTGTCCGAAGAAGCAGATGCTGGGTTAAACAGATTTTGTGGTTTGGCGGGCTTCTTGTTCTCTTCAGTTGGCTCATCCGGAACTTCAAGCGGTTTGCACATAACTGCCTCGAGGAAGCTTTTGCTGAGACCGGCTTCAGCTATGACAGCGTAACTGGTTGGCTCATTGTGAATAAAGTGGCTCATGATGTTTATAGAGCCACTCCAGACATGAGAGCCAAAAGTCTTCGCGTTTTCAATAACAAGGCGAAGTGCATTAAGAAGAGGGGGGGAGTCTATGAAATTCCGGATCAAACGTTCAAAACCACCGCTATTATGTTGCATTACGTGATTGACAAACTTGAACAGCCATCGGATCGCCTGCTGTTGAAAATAAGGAATGGAATAATCGGTAGAAGGAGTTTTATAATCTTCGGATATGCCATTACCTTCGCCCACCATCTCGAATGCGGATTTTGTCTCAGTCGCAATAAGGTCAGAAATAGCGTCGAAGCCCTTCGCCGCAGCCAGGGTTGCCAGGGCATCTCGGACTGAGTGGACGAAGCTGTCAAGGAACTCCAAGACTCTAGGATATACCCTTCGGGCCTTCTCCGTTCGGAGGTTCAACATGTCGACGAACATAGGGATCAAACCAGCTGACACCAATGTTTCTGGAGCTCTTGTTCCAGAGCTAGGAAGGGTCCGAAGAAGTCCAAAAAGGGCATCACGCCAGTCATCTCCCTCAACGTCATCAAACGAGTCGTCCTCCGATGCAAGTTCAGAGACAGTTTTCCGGACCAGAAACATCAAAATTCCATGGTTGACATTCAAATTTAATGCTGCACAGACATCTGCGGATCTAGCCTTATGTTTAGCCAGGGCATCTAAACATGTTAAGGCGAACGACTGATTTAATGTGGATGCACTAATGTCACCAGCAACCCCGAGGTGCACAAACTCAGAAAGTTGGTACGCCAGCTGAAGACGTTTCGGCTCATCAGAATCTTGCTGAAGGATTTTTTGTTGGAATATAGCTTCAGGGTAGATGTAGGCCAAGTTTGTTAGAGCAAGAAGTCTAATGCCAAGTACTTGTCTTCTTGACTCAGGCGACTTTGCGAGAGCAGCTGCTATTCGAAGACGATTCAAAAAATCGTATGCCGAATCTTTTGGTAACTCGATCAAATTCTCCTTCAAAAGTTCTTCAGTACTAGTAGATAATACCTTGGCGCTTGGAATTTCCAGTACTCTCATCCCTCTAGCCGCCTCTTGTCTCACAGCGGGCGACTGAGTCATAGGAATTGGAGAGTCGTCCACACTTGATCCATGGAGCAATCTAGAACTCTGATATTCGGAAGATCTGGTGCGTGATGGTGTTGGTGTCATCTGAACTTGAGAAGTGCCGAATGTGCTGCTAGACGGCTCCACCGCAGTATCGCGCGGGTAATAAGAAAACCGAACAGTCCCCCAGTCTTTCCATTCTGCAGTACCCACCTCGGCTGCTGGGGAGATATCTGTCATAGTAATCCTGTCGGACGGCACCTTGGTCAATGAAATCAGGTCATTAGCATTGCATCTATCACCAGACGCGGCGCTAGGCTGGCCAGCCTTCTCCTTTCCTTTTTCCAATGACGTTGCTTCAGCGGTCTCAATGAACGATGGCGGGCGAGGGAAAGGCGATGCCAGTTTCTGGACACGTTCCAGCTCAATATTATAATGTGCAGCCAATAAACTCTGGTGGAAGTGGGTGCTGCTGGTTGATCGTTGGCGGAAGTAGTATCGCTGTGCCAGACAGAGAGAAAGTCGTAGAGTACATTGAATGAGACTGAGTGAAGTTGTGTTCAGAAAAGCGTTTAGGCGCTCGCTACTACTAAACAAACTTCGGTTGCCGCATTTCTCTAGCAGGAGCCGCGAGAAGTCTAAGATTGACTCTACTAGCTCTCTATCACCCTCTGGTCCTAGTCCCAACTGGTTGAGCTTTTGTTCACAATCCTGTTCATTGGAAACCAGACGCGTGGAAACAGCGTCTTCGACGAGGACGTGCCGACCAAAAGGCGTCGATTGCGGTCCTTCGTCAAGTCCATATTTTGTTGCAACACGCGCCAGCAGCTCATCAAATCGATTCAAGACACCAATCCAGTGATAAAGGTCACCCCGCGGAAACGGCCACTGGCGTGGGAATGTCACGAGGTACGACGGGAGTTCGGCAAGGGGAATCTCAATAGCTTTCTTTGCAAACTGAGCTATCGCCGGCGACTGCAAGAGGGTGGGATATCATATTAGCGCCCGCACGAACCAGGCGGTTAGAAGCCTTGGAGGCCAAATAACTTACAATCGTAGCCTCATGCTTAGAGCTAGCCACCTTCTCAATTCTCCCCATTATGATGGCGTGCCGTACTGGCAACCATGTGAGGTAAAAGAAGGACTATCAGTAGTTCGTTGAGCTCAGGCAAGCGAATTCGGTAACTTCGGTGTCTGGTCACTTTTTTAAGTTGGATGAGAGTATTCCTGGCGTATGATAGAGAAAATATGAAGCTTCTCGAGATAGCAATTTTGATAAATTCTATCAGGCCTCCGATATTGTCTCTGGTAAAATGGTGAAGTGATCTTGATATGAGGGTGTGGTCGTGTCAGGATTGATGATGTAGTGTGGTGATAAGGTGGGTTGAGTAAAAGAGGTTGCTTGACACAACTAATAAAAGCGTTGAGGCAAAGAACAGGAAGACGAGTGCAGGTCGTCGTCCTATAGCTTTGCGTGCAAGCTTCTGTTATGATGTACTTCGTAACTGTGGTGGGAGGGAGCCGAAAATTTAGTTGTTGTTCGCTGTAGTTCTTGTTGTGAAGGGTTGAGAGGGCAAAATAATCGCCATATGCATTAGATAAGCACTAGCTTCGGAGCTTTGGCCTTTTGCCCGCTTCAGCCGGAGCGGCCTTATTTTATGCCGATAGAGCAACGTCCCCCGCGGGCACCACATAGATAAGACTATGAAGTAGAACTTGTTTGTATAAAAAAATAAAGGAAGAATAATACTTATGAATACGGTAGAAAAACTATTTACATAACAAAGACGGCCAGAAGCCTGCTGCCTGTCATGAAATCAACGCTTACACTCGAATATACATCATGCCACCTATCCCATCATCATCATCATCATCATCATTATGTAGGCCCTTACTTACTAGCTGTTGCCTTACCTGTGATAGAAGGCAGGCTCCCGTCCCACATGACTTTCATTGTGAGGGGGAATGGGGAATAATGGCTGTGGTCCTCAGTCATGTATAGCGTCAAACCAGCGGGGCCAGGAACCTTCTTGAGCTCACCTTGTGGCCCGCGCGTGCGACGGAGGTTTTCCAGTTGGCTGATGACCTTGAGCATCATCGTTAAGGATAGATTGCACATATCTGAGCCAAGGCACTTGTGAGGGCCATATCCAAGATGAATGTAAGACCCTAGGTTTCGGGTGAGGTCAACTTTGGTAGGGTTTGGGAAAACAGCGGCATCCATGGATGCAGTAACCTGTGAAGAAAGATGTTAAATGATGGGACTCATATAACCTAGTAAATACGGGGGGGAGGCCTACCAAGTTACATATAACACGCTGGCCAGGTTCTAGGTACAAGGTCTTTTTGCCGTCTTGGATTTCCGTTGCCTTTGCGACATCGCGATACAGAGCTACCACAGACCTCATTCTCGCACCTTCTAAAACACTGGACAAAGTTAACATACGTTCAAAGAAACAAATATCAGGCAATTAACTCACTATCGAAGGAGAATGTCGTCGGCTTCTGGTTTATCGAGTTTTGCTAATCTCCGAATCTCGGGGAGATGCTCTGAGCCCTCGTCAGAGAGGTAGTAATCCAGGCACTGCGAGAATAACTGTCCTTGATTCGCAACCATCCCGCCTGCAGTGGGCAAAACGTGTGTCCAGACAATATCCTGAGTCGGAAGGCCTGTAGCTAGCAAGCGCTCAATCATATGGATGCCATATTCTGCCAGGATATTGTCATGCCTATCAATCCTCTCAATAAGCGGGGCCAAGAATCCAGTCCTACTGATGAGCTCGACGTTTGTCATCACAAGCCGGCCAAGGTTCTGTGTTTTCTCCCGTGCTGCTTCATGGAGAGCGAAGCTCTTGGCAGGATCAGTATTGAAGAATATACATGTAAAAACCAGGGCCATGACATCATAAAGCTCTTTCTCAGTATAGACTCCTCGAGGGTTCTCCTCCGTCTTCAGGGGTAGAGAGAATACTGCTGCGCAGAAATGGACGTGGGCCATATTAATAACGTCACGGACGATATCCACCTGGTTGATAGTGCCAGCCAATTTGTACGCTTTGCCGTGGAGTAATTTGAGTGTAATATCCTTGTAGAAAGCTTTAATTTCCTCACGCCAGCGATCAATGTAGAGGGAATCATGCATCAATTTCCTAGATGCTGAATTCGTGGGCCGGTCTCCAGAAAGCATGAAGTCTCTACCAAAAGGGCGACCGTCTCGCTTCATCAAGAACTCGATGGTTTTACCCCAGGTGACTTTAAAATCCTGCTTATTTTCAAGGATCTGTCGACAAGCAGAGTGTGATGAAATCATTATAGGATAAGTGACTCTTCCAGGCTTATCCCAAGAGTACTTCCGCGCAATTCCTAGGTCAGAGAGTATTTTCAAATTTTCCCATGGGGTGACCAAGGGGAAGTGAGCGTATACGGAATTACCTTTAAAGTGGTGAGGGAAAGCCCTAAAGAGGAGCTTGTGGAACACATGTCCCCCATTAATATTGACATCATAGTTGCATTCGCTCAACCCCCAGTTTGTGAGAGCTCTCGGGGTATAATCGACCGTGTAAAATCGGTCTCCTCGAACTAATGCAATGGCATCAGAGAGGATGGCGCGAGAGATTGTGAAGTTGGTACAAAGACCACTCCCTGGGACAATAGCTTCTTTTGCTTGCTCAATCACCACACCAGGATAAAGCTCGACATTGTCGGGGTGATCATAGAGATGCCTCAGTTGATCGGCAATGTATGGATCCGAGTTAATGTCCTCAAATGTTTCATGAGGCTTGAGATGGAAATACTTCCTGAATTCGTTCAGGGTAGCCAAGTTCCATGATCTAGCCTGCATGATTCCCAATATTTCGATTGGTCTAAGCAGTTTTGGCACCCCTCTAGCACCGAAGGCTCCCGCACAGTCCTCAATTCGCTCCGTGAGCATTTGAACAAGTTCATCATCATTGAACGAGCCGTCTGGTCCACGTTTAAGGCCTCCTAGGCCACGCTCTTGAGGGTCATCTGGTAGAGTCGAGCTGAACTGTGCCAAAACTCGAAGGAATTCCTCCATGGAGACCTTATCAGGTTCTCTGCCTGGAAACATCTTGCGAAACAAACCGTTGGTCCACTCTGCATCACGTTCCGACAGGCAAGCATGCCATCTATAAATGAGGTTAAATTCAGCAGAAATTTGGTTTCCAGTCGCATATGTAATCGGGGGGCCCAGAAATGGCTTCGCGTTGTCTGATCGAGGATCGAGGCTCCAATCACTATCTGTGCGGTTGATATTAAGGATCGTTCGCACATAATCCTTTAGAATGCAGTTAATATACAAACCACAAGTAATTAGACGGCCAGTCTGGAAAAGATCATTGTCATATTTAGCATAAGCCTTCGCATCGTCGTCTTGTGGTTTGAAAAATCGACCACCTTCGTTGATCACAGCCAGATTCTTAACAACGTGATTATGGAATCGATTGAACATTATGAGCAGTAGTCCACTACCAGGGGGTAGACCATGTACTCGTCTCTCAGTAAAGCTGTCGGGTTTCAGCTTCCCATCCCTAAATGTTCGCACACTATCCTGCTCTTCTTGATTCGTTCCATATAAAGGGGACAGATCAAGATAAGATGAAGTGTTTGAAATCGTGTGATCTTTTGGATCCGTCTTGAATAAATCTTTTTATGGTGTGAGCTATATCCAGCACTGTCAAACCGGCCAAGGAGACATACCGTGAACAATAATCGTAGCAAGGTAAAATAACATACTCGATATCTGGCTAGGGTGTGGCTCAAAGCTTTCACGGGCCATGAGGGAGTCGAAGAGGACGCCCGGGTCAGGAAGATTAACCGACTGTATAGATCGAGGTTGCACTGTTTTTGCATATCTCGACCCAGCAGCTCCAAGTTTTGGACACCATATATTCTATATTGAAAGTAAGTTCCCGCAACGGTCAAAGTTTGTATATTTAATGGAATCCACATATATACATACGTTATTAGAACCGTCAGCACTCCGATACATACATTCGTATCCAAGTTGTCTACGAGGTAATTTAGTATCTCGTAGCATGAGCAGATAATGAACATAGATACATACGAGATGGGTGGATGTTTCAAGTCATTCCACAGTTGGGACAGCAAGTCTCCTGTCAACGCCATTCCGTTCTTAGAGGTACTTGGTAGGGACGAGGCCAGCTAATATTCCAATAATTTAGACATGAACATAAGTGAATATGAATTCAATCTGATGCCTGATGGATCTTACCTGGATAACTCTCTCCATGATATAACGTTTATCGTCGACCAGCTCGCCTGTGGCAGCCATTTTGGCAAGTTCCGCCAGAGTTCCAGCATCTCCCAACTTCATGTGCGCAAGGTCATCTAATATACCCGTCGTTTCGACCTTTGGAAGATATGTACCATCTCCAGAGGCGACAGGTAGAGGGCGCAATGAGGCACTGATGGCCCTGCTGACATCTGAAACGCCCTGTCCGATCTCCTCTCGAAGGCTCAAGGGCTCACCAACCTCCCCCATCGCGGCGGCGTACTGTGATGAAAAGCTCTGCCAGATAGGTATATCGAAAGAGAGGGTATGTAGTAGTTAGGTTAAGGAACTAGAGGGGGGGGGATATTGATGACGTGCCTTGGCTTAGGTTGTAGGAGACCTAATAATACAAGCATCGAAAACTTAGGAAATGTAGGGCAAATTTAACGTGATATATATAAGAGAACGCTTATCATAATCTTATACTATCCAGATAGTCGTGAGAATAGCTCGAAATGCGCAGCCAGAGGGGGAAAGTATCCGGAAGGAAGATCCCGTGGACTTGAACCTGGGAAAGGGCAAATGACTGCAAACAAGCTCGTAATCTTAGCCCTCCATCTTTGCTAGGGAGGACGACGAACAACTTCCCACTGCTTCTTTGTTGCGAAGAACTAGAGCAAGGGTGGCTGTCTGATTGCTTTTGCATGCTGGAGTCGTTGGACTGGCAAATGCACCCTTTCCCTTGGTTCGGCTCCTAGAGCGGGCATCTAGCTACATAAATTGAGATAAATTGAGACGATACGGGTGACTAGTGCAAGTGTTTGTTCAACACGGCAAAAAAGCAAAAAAGAAAAGAAAATTGTAGGAACGTTCACAAGCTTTGATGGGCCGATGGGCAGCACCAGATAGGTCCGGGGATGTTGAGGATCGTGTGCAGTGTAGTTTTAGTGGTGCGCTAAAGCCTTTGTAAACATACCCGTCATCCATGCAGCCAAGCTGGGAGCAGACTAGCTGGGAAAAATCGTGAAGAATTCCGTGGTCCATGGTTTTGAATAAAACAGGGCTAGAGTTGCTATCCAGATTGTCCAACTGCGATCGATTTGCTTTGCCTTGCTTGGGAGAACCGACATGAGCGGATAGGAATAAGACGAAAACAAAGGAGGATGGATCATGATGCCCGATCAGGCTTGAACCAACATATCTACATCCACTCTCCTGTGTAGCAGCAGCTTCACCATCTCTGGTCCCCTCCCCCGATGCTCTCTGGCGTATCAACTGCAGACGAGCGACATTACCGGAGTCGTACGGGCAGGTTGGAGGCGCAAGCTCTTCCGTAGAGTTAGCGGCCAATCATGCCCAGTTGATCGAACGCGAGACAGTTGCAGAGCAAAGCGTGACCTATTTTTGTTTGAAGATGACCGGCAACAATGATCCCACGGAGGTTGTCCACGTTCCACATAATATTTAGATAGAAAAAAGAAAAGAAAAGAAACCAGGATACATAGCAAGAGTAAATAAGAAAGCAAACAAAATCACACAAAAATTTGAAGTTGAAGTTGACGATGAACTACTTTCCTAAACAGGAAAGGTTACAATCAAATGTTCACCTTATGTCAGCTTTATGTAAGCATCTGTACATACAGACCGATTTCGAGTCCATAGACAAAAACTCGCAATGAACAGAGAAAGAGAAGCAACTAGACATGTATTAAACGGCGTAACTAGCTAAAAAGCGACCTATAGCTTTTCGGAGCATACATAGAATGTACATAGTAAGATCTTATGTAGCTTAACCTTGGAAAGCTATAAGTCACGTGTATTAAATCTTACATAAGCACATCGTTCCCTGTAGATAATTTTTTTTGGAACTTCACGATAAACAAACTTGCCGTACCCACCTCGATACCTAATAAACAACAAACGAAGGAGACTGAGTAGAGACATGGCAAATCAAACCATTGCGTTGGAGGTGAAGCCTAGAGGTGAGTAGCGCATCCAGAGTTTGTTGCCCTCTCAAATAGTTCCAATGTTTACCTTGGCCTAAATCAAGGTACGGATTCACTAATTTCTCCTGTTTTTCTCCCCACTGGTTAGGTAAACCCATATCAAAACTTCCCGGAACTATCTCAATTGGGCTTGAAGAGAGTCTTGCGGCGCTATATTCCACGATTTCCAGCCGAGCTGGCTTCCCAATTACTAGACTCAGAATCACCAAGGGCAGTGATGGCAGTCTCCTCAAGAACGATGCTAGCGTTACTGTTTCAAGCACCGGAGTTAGAAACCAGAGTGTTATATATGTCAAAGACCTAGGTTCGTTGGCTGCCTCTTATGCACTCACAACGTTAGGGGAAATAGTTGCTAATGGGAATTGGAACAGGAGCACAAATAGGATGGCGTACAGTTTTCATCATCGAATACCTTGGACCGCTCCTTATTCACCCATTAGTCCTCTATGTACTCCGGCCGTACATATACCGAAGCCCTAAGCCACTGCCTCCTGCATCTGACCTGCAAGTGTTGACCTGCACGCTGTTGACACTCCACTTCATCAAGCGCGAACTGGAGACGATTCTCGTCCATCGATTCAGTGTCTCAACGATGCCATTTACCTATGTTTTCCGGAATAGTGCACATTACTGGCTTCTAGGCGGCGTGAATCTTGCATACTGGGTGTTCTCACCTTCATCACCAACAGCCACTTCTGACCCTAACCCTGCGTTACTATATGCAGGTCTTGTTCTATTCATAGTAGGTCAGCTGTCCAACCTCTCTACTCACCTCACCTTGAGAAATCTCAGGAAGCCCGGCAGTACAGAGCGCGTGATACCCACTGGCTTCGGGTTCGACTGGGTGACATGTCCGAATTATCTCTTCGAGGTCATGGCCTGGGTTGGAGTATACCTTGTTAGTGGTCTGAACTGGAGTGTCCTACTCTTCCTTGTCGTGGGAGCTGGTACCATGATGAAGTGGGCTAGCCAAAAAGAGAAAAGGTACCGCCGCGAGTTTGGTGACAAATACAAGAAAAAGCGCTTTGTCATGCTACCCGGTCTGTGGTAATCCGGGTCACACTAGCGTAGCTAGCTCTCTTAATTTCTTTCTTTTTGCGAATCCTACTGGTGATTTGCCGTCCTAGACAAACATCTGCCACCATTGCTATCTCTATATGGAGGTGCATATCGCATGTATCCTGCGGATGTACAACTCCCGGCGTCTGTGAAACCACAAGTCAGCGCTATGCCCACTACGCCGCACGAGAACCAAGGACGTTATTTTAGCCTTACTTGATCATAATCACACATCCTAGGACCTAGTTGCATAAGACAGACAAAAAACCTGCTATTTTTAGTCTACTCTTGAAACTCCATTTGCCGGGCCGAACCGCCCCCTATTCCCCAGGCTTATTTTAGACTAAATCAGCCATGGCCCGGTTCACAACTACAGGTTGATTTAGTGGCAGCGCATCAGCTAGATAATGCTCAGTAATAAAGTCGTAATCAATTGATTAACTCAACCTGTAACTGCCGATAACTTTGATGGTAGCGTAGCAGCTCCTATCGGCGACCAGAGAATCCCGACTTTACCAAGCAAGCATCTGCCTGGTTCACCAACTTATTACTTAGTCTTGTAATTTCCAGTTCTAGATAACAATCAAAACGAGGCGGAGCTACAGCAACAATTCCAATTTATCAGCGCATAAAAGAAGGATTAACAAGAAAGCATAAGATACGTCTATCTCATCCAAAGCTACTAGCCCGCGGGCGAGCTCTCGAGCATAACCATACTGTTACATCAGACCAAAACAAGGGGAAAAGACGGAATTATATAACAAAACCCGACCCGATGAAGTAAATAATTAAAAGGAGAAAGACAAGATATGAAGAAAAAGATAATGTCAAGAAAGATGCGCTCATTAATGCAGATTATCACAGCTGTCTTACCTTAATATTTTGTTTTGCTTTTTTAAACATGGGCGTTTGCCTTTGCCCATTTGCTCCAGTAAGGTTCCATTTCTCTTTCACAGCTTCGTGAAGGTGTAGATTCACACCCGCCTAGACGAACGATGAAATCGCCTTCTGTGTACAGCCCGTTGGCGCCGGGCTTTGGAGCTTCGTGGGAATAAGCATTTATCATCTTCTGAGGGATAAGAGCGAGCCTGGCCAAAATAGTTGGATGCCATTGTACAATATGGTCCTACAAAAGGTTAGTTATCTCTACCAAAAAGAATTTCTTGCGTACGTTGTAGCGGGTTCAAATCGGTGTGCTTACCAGGGCATGATTCTCAGCCTTTGCGAAGTTATAACTCCTATAAAGAGGGTCAAACCACGCGTCTAAAAAGTAATTAGCCCACTGGCCTCTCTTGATGATGAAGCTCCCTGGGCACAGATTCTCTGCGTCTTGTGTGATAACCAAATCAACATCCTTTCCAGAGAGATGGGTAAAGGTCTTTATGACACTGTCTGGTGGGACAACAGGAGCATCCTTGATCATGAGTGACTCCAGTTTCGACTTTTCTAGAACGTGTGACACGAGAGAAATGGATGGATCCATGATGACGGAATGGGGAGAAAGGTGGAAAAAGTATGTGCTTCCAGGATATTTTGTCATGGCATGTCGCATTGCTGGAACGAGTGCCCAACTTCGAGGGACCACAGTTCCGGACGGGAGGTTCATGACGGGGACATAATCCGCTGTATTAGCGAAAAAGTTGATGTATCCTGGAATGTAGATTCCATGTCAGCTCATATTCTCCAAACCGATATACCAATAAACCAAGCAGGAACATCCAGATGTAGGCGAGACATACCATGACGCTTCGCATAGTCCTCCCTATTCTGCTTTATCCGTTGTATATATGTGTCACTGAATAATTCCGTATCAAGGACAGTAACAATAACCACGGGAGGCCCATCCGCTACAGGGGTATCGACTGAAGGGGTGCCCGAAGAGAAAAGGTGAAAGACGAGAAAGAGAATCGAGACGACAATACAGCTAATAACTGCACATGATTTCAGCTGCCTCCGTCGAAGTGCTGTAGGGGATGATCGAGAATAAATAGGAGGACGAGAAGTCTTTCGTGGCGGTAATGCAAATTGCATCTTTCAAGGTAGGGCGATTCTCCCAGCGTGTCCGGTGCCGGGAGACCAACGATATAGATCCTCCACTTCTTCTTCAACGGTTCATAGCCGGTTCGCAACAGAAATCCGTAAACCACCACCTGAGTTTGCTTCTTAGATTTATTTTCCTTTGCGTCTCGATCATGTCGGAAAAAGAGGCTGAGCTGGAGAACCAAATGCGTCTCGGGGTTAAGTTAATCCGGGTTGCTTTTGAGCTCAAGCTTTTCCTGGTTTGCACTTGATAAGGGGAAGAAATTGGACAGTTACGATAATTATAAAGTAGTTATCTGTAAGATGATACTACAACAGCCTCCATAAGCCTTTGGATGGTCATCGTATGGACTGGTAGAACTCATGTTATACAGGTTTTGTTGAAATGCGGTTCTAATATACAAGCAAGAGCAATAAACATAAGGGCCAAAAAACGCTCCGCAAATTAACCCCATTAAACGCAGGATGCAAGGCTATAGATAACTGCTGGATGGGGAAGCATGCATTTTCCTCTGTTCTCCGGTCCGGTAGGTTATAAAGCCCGCATATAAAATCTAAGCAGGATTCGTCCTCATTTCAGGAGTCTTCAGCTCTCTCATCGAATCAGCGGTCATCGGTGTAGCCGCCTCGTGTGCCTCTTGCTGTCGTTTCAAGTTGTGCTCGTTGGCGGCCTCAATCTTCTCCTGATCCGAGTGTCGTGCGAGGAATTGCTCAAAGGTCTCTGGCTCTTGTAAGCCCAGCTCCTGTCTCTCGAGCCGGAACTTCTCCTTCATGGCTAACGAGGTCATCACTCTCCACCGTAGCTTCCAGCCAAACATGCCCAATTCCTTTATCCTAGCAGGTTTGTCGCCAAGCAGGTATTCATCCAGCCCTCCCACTTTATTGATGGTCCTCAAAACACGGTGAGTGACCTTGAGATCCAGCTCCTCGTCCAGGGCTTTGCTGTAGACCTTCTCTTTCCGCACATTGGGCTTCCAGATTCTTCGTGTCTTGCCCTTATTCCGGCCCTTGGAGATCTTGTTACCGAATATTATGGTAGCTCCGCCGTACAAGCCGCTATCGGCCTGCTTGAAGGTACGCCGAGGGCCATATGGATACGGGGGAATATCAGCAGGCAGAGTAGCTGCTCGCTGTGCCGGAAGGGTCGTAGAGAAAGCACGAGCTGATTGTAGGGAGATGTTGTGGAATGAAGCTGTGAGAAGAGAAACGCGAGGGAGCTGTCTGGCGGAACAAACCGCCGCTTGGAGTGTCATGTCGAGTTATAGCAGTAGCATTGCATGAATAAACAAGGTATCAAAAGCCGTCCTCGTCGTCTCTCGTCTGTTCCATTCAATGCTTGTCCTGTTCAATGTTAAGTTCAAGTTTCGTTCTTTTGCTCGTTTTTTTTCTGCGACTCCCGGCTTATTCTGTTTTAGGCTTAGCGGCTTAGTTGCATTTCCTTCTCCAAAAAAGAAAAAAGAGCTTCCAGGCGCAAAACAACGAAAAGAAAACCATCGATTTTCTCTAAGCTACACCACATTCAAAGAACCAGCTGCTCCTGTCGCGTCCAGGCTCGTTAGTTGGGGTAGAGCTGCTGAAGCTTTGGTCCTGTTATTTATCTTGCTATAGACTGCCGCATCGGGATTCCGAACACCCCTACCACAACGCCTCTCCACCATGGTGCACATCAGCGAGGTAAAGGGAAGCTCGCGCGAAAACAGGACCGCCGCGCACACCCATATCAAAGGGCTAGGTTTACGTCCTGATGGCACTGCTGAGGCCTCTGGGAATGGTTTTGTTGGCCAGGTCCCTGCCAGAGAGGTATGAGCTACCCAGCTTTTGGATGAACTGTGACTTATATTATGGTGTTTTTCAGGCATGCGGCGTGATTGTCGATCTGATCAAATCTAGGAAGATGGCTGGTAGAGCGGTGCTTCTTGCTGGAGGGCCGGGAACCGGAAAGACGGCTCTGGCGCTTGCCGTCTCGCAAGAGCTGGGAACAAAAGTCCCTTTCTGTCCGATCGTTGCTAGCGAAATCTTCTCGGCAGAGGTCAAGAAAACAGAAGCATTGATGGAGAACTTCCGTCGTGCCATTGGTATGGAGCCCTGAAACGTCGCTGAAGGTGTTTAAAACACTAAAAGTCTGTAGGACTACGAGTTCGGGAAACAAAGGAAGTGTATGAAGGCGAAGTCACAGAGCTTACACCAGAAGAGGCCGAAAATCCTTTGGGAGGATATGGTAGAACGATAAGTCACCTGGTCATTGGCTTAAAGTCATACAGGGGAACCAAGAAGCTACGGCTCGATCCGAGCATATACGAAGCCATCCAGAAGGAACGGGTGACGGTGGGAGATGTGATATACATAGAAGCCAACACTGGAGCGTGTAAACGTGTCGGACGGTCTGATGCCTATGCGACAGAATTTGATCTGGAGGCTGAAGAATATGTCCCTATACCCAAAGGCGAGGTCCATAAAAAGAAGGAGATAGTTCAGGACGTCACTCTACATGATTTGGATGTCGCTAATGCTAGGCCACAAGGCGGGCAGGACATAATGAGCATGATGGGACAGTTGATGAAGCAGAAAAAGACCGAAATCACCGATAAACTACGGCAGGAAATTAATAAGGTCGTTAACCGATACATCGACCAGGGAGTCGCTGAGCTTGTTCCCGGTGTCTTGTTCATTGACGAGGTATGTTACCTGTCTTCCTTTAGACTTTTTCCCTTTTCTAACATCTTCATCAGGTTCACATGCTCGATATCGAATGTTTTACCTACTTGAATCGAGCCCTCGAATCATCCATTTCTCCAATCGTCATCTTAGCCTCCAATCGTGGCAACACTGTAATTCGCGGCACTGATGACATAGTTGCTGCTCATGGCATACCATCTGATCTTCTTGCCCGTCTCCTAATCATCCCAACACACCCATACAACTCTGAAGAAGTAAAGACCATCATCCGCCTCCGTGCCAAAACAGAAGGTCTACAGATTACAGAAGCCGCCCTTTCCTGCCTCGCAGAGCATGGAAACAAAGTTAGTCTGCGTTATGCCTTGCAGCTACTGACTCCAGCTAGTATCCTTGCACGGGTTAATGGGAGACCAAACGGCATCGAAGAGTCTGATATTGCCGAGTGTCAAGACCTGTTTATTGATGCAAAGCGCAGCGCCAGTATCGTGGCCAATGAGACGGGTGCCTTCATTTCTTAATCTTCTCTTTCGTTTTAATCATGTATGACTGTGTATGCAATAGGTGCTCATAACCCCTTTGGTTTATACCTTTCCTTCTTCACTCTTCTCCAGATTTCAGAGTAGGCTATTAAATTGCACACTTCAGAGTTCAGATCCGATAAAGAAGAGGAAAAGGTAATGAAGACTTTGGAATGTTCTGTGAAAATATGTAAGTTAGTCTTTAGCATTGGTCAGTTGACTAATTAATCTCAAGATATATCATATAGAACTTGCAGTTTATCCTGTCGTAAAATATGCCCATTCATACTACCCCATACTCTTACATGTGCACTTGCTTATACTGGTCTTCAGAGTTATTCAATGATGGTATTTAAGCAATAAAATCAAACTTAGCATCCCATAAATCCCGCCGCTTTCCTTCCTACAAACTCGCACAAAATCCTCTACTACTGCCCGTGTATTTCACTAAATTTGTAACTTGAGCTTCATCCTTATCCTATTTTACTCTATATAGGTACTCTATCTTGTCTATATAATGGTATGGCCCTCTAGCTATTTTCCGTTTTGGGGTCGAAGGGAGGCCTCCTATTATCACTATTACCCCCCAGCCCTTCCTCTCATTATCTCTTATTCCTCTCCTCTATCATTAATTATTAGGTTTATCTGCAATTACATATCCTATCCATTTCTCTAATTTATATTTATTACCCAGATTTACTTGGTCTATATTAACTCTAATACCCGTGATAGTATTGGTCAAACGATATAAGTGTCAATTGCATGAGGTGCATGAGGAATGCTGGGTCTAGAACAGTCTATTAAGCAGCAGTGCGATGGCTACCACGCAAGGTGGGCAAGCGAAATAGCAAGTGCTGATTGCTGATAAGCCCTTTGAGACCGACTTTCTATCCTTTCAATAGGATTACATATCAGTTTTATACCTACGAACAGTCCCGACGGCTTCTGATGTGATATATTGCTTTGGATTCATAACTAGCATGGCACAGCTCGTGACAACACCTAGGGGCGTAAAATGTTCTAAAAAAGAGTGAATGTTAACCTGATACATTATCTCTTAGTTATAATAAAGTAGTAAAAGATTTATAAAACTATAACTATAAACCTATGGGCAAAACCGTTAGATGGTAGAGCTATTGTTCTGATATCAGAATCTACCACTACACTAAAAGGAGTGAGCCCACACTAATAGTAGGCAGATGTTGACGTTTGACATCTGAATAACCCCAGATTTCGGTCTATATTTATTTGCTTGCAACAACACGTGATGCGGAACGGCCCGAACTAGTTTACTTTGTAAAACAACGTCCAGTCAAGCAACTGTTCTGTACACATATGATGTATAGATAAGGCGCAACTGGGATTTTGACATGTGTCCTTCTTCTATTGAGACTGCACCTCGTGTGGTTTTGGGGAATGCCTGCGTATCCTGTTCTACACGCAAGGTAAAATGTGACCGTCAAAATCCATGTGGTGCGTCCCAGACTGCCAGACGCACGAAAGCAGGATGGGCAAGCAACACCTTCTCCGGCTCAGCAATCGGGTAAACTAATTGCATATGATGCCGGTCAGAAATATTACGAGCACCGGTTCCTCGCACACCTGGGCGACGAGGTTAGTTCACAACATGTAGAACGTGGCCTGGTTAGCATTATTAATTCGACTGAAATAATTAGCTGAAGCAAAATCCAGAAGATGACATGTCAGTACAGAAGCCTTCCGCTAGGCTATACCCGTCATTTCTATTTCTGGGGTCTATGGCATCCTGCCCTCCGGCAAAATTCCCATCAGCCTCGGAGATATTCAAGCTATGGCCATTCTTTTGCGAGAATGTTGATCCATTAACTAAGATCCTCCATGTGCCTTCAACAAAGGTGCTTTTGACCCAAACGCTCCAACCTGGGGCAAGCTGTCCAATTCCAAAGAAGATAGAGGGGTTTATCTTTGCGATATGTACATGTGCAGTTATGTCTCTTGGGGACAATGAAAGTCAGAGATTGCCGGGGACACGTGCTTCATTGGAATCCTTCTTCGCAGCCACTGCAACTTCATTAGTGGAAAGTTCGTTTATGCAGTCCCTTGATATCATTACGCTTCAAACCTACGTGCTTTTTCTGGTATATATAAAGTCGTGCCGTGGATCAATAAGGATAGATGTTGATTAACTATCTAAACCGCGATGCAATGCGATTGCGAGTCATCATGCTCCTGGATGATGGTCAGTATTGCTATTCGAATCGCTCAGACTATTGGTATCCACCAGGATGGGACAATATTCTCCATATCCCCTTATGAGACCGAGATACGGCGCCGTCTTTGGTGGTATATTGTTAGCCTCGATATTCGCGCTACTGAAATGGCAGGATCTGGGAAGTCAGTTGTACCCCAATCGTGGAACGCACCGTTGCCCTTGAATATAAATGACGAGGATATCAGTCTCGACATGACCACCTTCTCTTCGGAACATACCAAGGTGACAGAAATGAGTTTCCCTCTTCTTAAATACGAACTGTCCCTGTTCTTACAGGATCCTGGGAATGGAAAGTTCTCCGGTGGCCTTGAAGAAACACGAACAGGGACTAGTCTTCTGCATGCCCGTATTGCAAGGCTAGAGAAATGTTTCGAGGAGCGCTTTCTTTGGTTTTGTGACCCCGTCATCCCCCTACATGTCCTACTAACAGTGACGGCTCGCTCCACTATCTGTAAACTTCAGCGCATTGCTGAAGTTTCTTATGCTGATAAGGATCAACCCCGCATACTAACTAACCCAGAAACAAAGTTCTCATACGGTCTCAAAATGCTAGAGTATGACAAATTAGTGCATTCCACAAAATCTACTCAACGTTTTCGGTGGTATATTATGAATTCGTTCCCCTGGGGCGCAGTAATTGGCCTCCTCAAAGCCATTACAGGCCAGACCACGTGGGACGAAACCAAAGAAGCAGCCTGGCATCATTTAGAAGATATGTATCAGCACCACCCGGAATTCTGTTTCCGCAGCACAGAAATTTGCGGAGTTGCTGGGAAATAAGACTCCAGGCCATTCCTAAAATTCCACATCCGACTGTGCCATCTTTTGTTGAAAATCTATATTTTCAATACAACAGTGTAGCAAACGCGTCACCCTCAACCATCCAGGGATACAACTCGATGTACAACCTACTTTCGATCAATGACAATACATCTACCAATATGGACCCTAATTTAATATTGGGGGTTCAATCACCGCAACACATATGGCCTCTTTCGGAGTCTCAGAGCTTAGACGACTTTTCGTGGGAGTCAGTTTTCCTGCCATTCAATCAAACCGAATACTAAATTACATGACAAGTCAGCAGTAATACCTTGACCACATGAGGCTCACCGATAACGGGGCTTATTCATGAGCTTATGCCAATCCTAGCTACGGCCTCTACAGAACAAACAGACGTTGAGCGGAGGATCGTTATTAAATTTGCTAGATTCAAAAGAAGCCAGAATGGACCAAGGCATTGATACAAAGCAAACTTCGAGCAGATTTGTGTGTGGGAGGGAATGCGCTCGAAACTACCAAAATCATCCAAATATTCTTTATAAAAAAACATCGTGGATCCTAACCTTTGGGCAGCTGATCCTTCACAATACCAGACAGCCTAACTTTCCCAGCTTTGTGCTCTTTTTCAACCTTGATCAAATTCTTCCATTCGACCAGCGACGCACCAGCTAACGAGAGCCCTGAAACAGCCACTACAAGATAGAATACATACCTAAGCGCCTCATTATACGCTTGAAGTAGCTTTACCATATCTAATCCAGATGCAACGTCGCGCAAATCTGAGGTCCCTGAGTTAGAAATCCGGTCGAGATTAACCTCCGGCAGGGAGGTCCGAATATCCCTTGCTAAATAAGCGGTGAGTATATCCCCTCCTATGCGTAGTACTACTGTGCCGCCCAGCTGTTGGCCAAATAAAAGGAACGGGATGGCCTGAGGAGTATCATATTTTGTATCACAGCCTGAATGGCGGCAGCACCGTGCTGCATACCGAGCCCCAGGCCGAGTCGATATAGAACCTGATATCCAACCCATTTGGCAGGCCCGGTGTTCATATCGAAGGTGCTAAGCAGCCCTGTCCCAATTGTCATGATTAATGAACTAGTGATCATAAAAAGGGCTGCATAACCGACAATCTTAGATATAAGCATGCCGGCCAACAGGGTGCCTATCATACTATGTAAGTGATAGTAGTAGAGGAATATTCATCACCCCTGATTTGACAGCACTGGCTCCCTTGATTGCTTGATACCAGATCGGGAGATAATAGGCGATTGTCATCATTGAGGCCCCGACGCAGAAAGAATAAAAAAAGCTGGCGAACATGGTGTGCTGGGTGAATATGCTCATTTTCAACATAGCTCTATCTCGCTGATATATTTCATTAAAAATGAAGGAGATGGACAATATACCTGCCAGAAGAAAGAGGGAGATGATCTACCCGTTACTCCAGGCATAGGTAGACCCACCCTATTGCAGGGCAAGCATGAGGCACCATCCCTGGGACCAGCAGTGAAGAAATTGTACAGCAAAACCAAAGGCAGTTGCAGCACACACCCTGTGAGCATATATGCACTCCCTGCACATGTTAGCTTGATCTCTAAAGAAGCCTTAGCCGACCCTCACTTACCATACCACGCAATGTCATTGATGGAGCGGAAATGGTTCGTGATTGTATGAATTGATGTGACTATAATAGTACGGTCCTGCTTCCCAACCATACCAGCACTTGGTCTATTTGTGAACGTCGTTCTATATATTCCAACTCACCAATGACACGAGGAACATGCTAGAGCAGATCGCTATCATTATGGCACCAAGCGCGGCCAGTTTTGGATATTCCTCCTACTCACTGTGCGATCTGCTATCACTTTCTTCATCCATAACTGAGACTGGCGCCACAGACTCTGTTTTGTTCTTATTTGTTGTATGATGACCTAAGGATAGGTCGTCAATACCATTATCACTAAGATGTGGTGAGAGTTGGCTCATGTTTTATAGGAGTAGAGAATAAGCTCAAGAAAGGAGTTCTCGATATATAATTGAGGCCTAAAGATACAGACTCTTTTTTTATATAATTGCCATGGAATATACAGAGTAATTCTCATCATCTACTTTTTTTGTGCTCGGGCAGGACCCCCCAGCCCATTCTCTCGGGTGTGATATTCGTCGGGCCCAAACTCACAGGGCGTTGAATCGTCATTAGCTAGTACAGACACAGTATCGTGGAGACAGACCGTGCAAACAGGGACCAGGGTGGCTTGACTGTGCTAAGGCGTACCCGATACTCCATAGTTATCGAACATACATAGTAAGTATGCGGTTAAGAAGACACAGATCTGAGGTTGGAGGTAATGCTTAGTAACTCTAGTTTAACGTTGGCTTAAGTAATCTATGACTTGGCGCGCTCTTCGCCGTCATCTGAACTTAACCGACAGGCTTAGCTTGACCAACATCTTCGACATCCTGCGGCAAAGCCAACAATCTTGCATAGCGCAAAACACCTTCATTTAGATCCTTGTTTCACTCATAGTGGCCTGACTCCCCTTGCGATCAACCATCTGGACGGCTAGCAGCTTTACCTGCACCAAAACACCCGGTGTAGCCGTCCGCAGTCCCGCAGCCAGGCAGCAGATACCCGTCAACCATGGCCAATACTCTAGACACCGATGCCGGCTCTGAGCTGTTCAGCAGTTATGAAGCAGAGCTGAAGCTTGTCCAGGCCGATCTCAACCAGAAGCTTGACCAGATCACCGAATCTTCCGGCGAGGAGCGAAAGGCAGCCATCAGACAGGCGGAGAGGGCTCTGGAAGAAGCAAACGAACTTGTAAGGCATTCCGGGGCCCACTGTGCTCTTTACTTCACCACTGCGTAGGGAGTTGCTTTCTTGCTCCTTTATAGCTATTACTAACTGGCTTTTCTATATAGCTTGACCAAATGCGAATGGAGAAGGAAAACATCCCATCGTCAACTCGCTCCAAGATAAACGCCCGCTTTAGAAACTATCTCACAGATGTCGACAATACAAAACGGAAACTCCGCTCATTATCTGATGATCGCAAGGCTCTATTCGGAGAACGCTACACCGATGATCCAAACAGCACCCATGACCAACACCTAGAACAAAGGCAGCAACTGCTCTCTGGTACGGAAAGGCTGGAAAGAAGCTCTGCTCGTCTACAGGATAGTCAGAGGGTGGCACTATCCACAGAGGAGATCGGACGTGATACTCTTGCCGATTTATACCGCCAACGCGAGACTATTGAGCATACTAGAGCTGGATTATTGGAAAGTGAAGGCTATGTTGACCGAAGTGTCAAGACTTTGAGGGGGATGGCTCGTAGGTAGTAACCCCTGGGCTCACGTTGACAACCACAAGGTTAGGCATATACTGACTCATGCTCCTTAAACAGGATGGCTACCAATCGGATAATCACAATTGCCATAATCACTGTGTTGGTTCTGCTTATTGTTGGCGTTATTTATAGCAAGTTCCGTTAAAGACTTTGCTTTTTGATAGTTCATCTCCCAGTTTACGGCGCCAGTGAGAGCTTCTTTATGACTGTTTGTACGAATACATACCCCTAATAAGCCTCCATTTTTTACCCCAAACGTTGGAATACCGTCTTTTAGATTCCAGGCTATTTGACTAATCTCTTGTTGTCGTTACCTGCGTCTTTCTCATGTTAATATTCTAAATATATTATATATTCTTATTTTACAAACGATATTCGGGTATCCTCTATGGCCGCACAAATATTCAGCCGATGAGAAGTCTCATGAGAGTATAATAATACAGTACGAGGAAAGGAAGAGCGAGCCATAGGCGGGTACCTCGTCCATACAATCCACCGTCAACTCAACATCCTAACCGCCCCAAATCCAAAATTCACCACCACCCCTACAAAAACAGCCAGCCCTTTCCTCCAACTCCACACCCCTTCTTCTCTCAGAAGCCATAAGGCACAGCCAACGGGCCAAAAGAACCCCATAACCGAACCCCATAACATATCATCGAGTGCCCGAGAAGTACCAGATCCGAACGGGCCACCTCCGCCCGTATTATCCGTATTGATGTCTCCAAATATATTCGATTCCTCGCCATTACCCCCCAGGCCACCAACACCGCTATCTGCTGGCCCATCATCCATCCATCTTTCTTCTAGCCTTCGCAGCTCCGTGCCAGATGGCAATGTATCCGGGGTATGCGAGAGGGAAAGCAATGCGAGGAACTGAGACCGAAGAGAGGATACCTCTGCAGGCGTGAATCCTGCAGAAAGCAATCTATCGAAGCCCTGGGGTGCGCGTGTAGGAGTTATATTAGACCCATCATCAGGACGTGTATCATTCCGTGTTGGTGTATTGTCTCCATCTGGTAGATGGCTGGGTCCCGCAGACTCGTTCAGACCAGCCGAACCTAAAGAACCATGGCCAGATGTATTTGATTTTAATGCATCCTGACCAGAACGAGCAGCACGAGCTTCTGCATCAAGCTCGGCTGGTGTAAGCGTTATATCACCTATCGAACAGTGTATATATATCCGAGGTTCCCCCGGGTCTCGAGCCGGGGCTTTCCCCTTCCCAGGTGGATCTGGCGGAGCCTGAAATAGGGTTGATGACGAACTCGGTGTCGCATATCCGCCTTTCAGGAAGGGAGAAGATACCCTTGAGTTGGACTCGGATGAGCCCGATGACGATGCTCGATAACTGTTGCTATGATACGCGCGTAGACGGCTATTCTTCCCAATTTTTATCTGTGTTGCTAACGAGGTCGAATCATCTAGAGATTTTCCCGCATGGATAAGACGGAGGCGGCGCGATGTAAGGTCTGGAGGGAGTCTATCGCGAACCAGTCGCTTAAGCCCCGCGACGGTGGTGCTTGTAGGGTCAGGTATGTCGAGGAAGATATCCGGTATGGACGCCGAGAATCGTATGGCGAGAAGTAACTCCAGCTCCAGGGGCAGCCGGTTGAAGTCCTCCATTTCTTGAGCCGAGAAGATCAGATCTGTAATATCTTTAATGGAAGCCCAGAGATGCGGCGAAACCATACCGGAATCGCGCATATTTGTAATATCGTCGGATTACCGATTTTCCGGCATTCAACGTTATTTTAACCTCAAATATATATAACTAGTGGTTATTTGGCCGTGGCGGATTATAACCCACGCTGATATGTAATCGAGGCCATATCGCTAGTCATTCGAAGGTATTTATCACCAACCTTTGTGTTTGTTGACCCAACAGGGCAAAAGTGCGTAATCGACTGTAACAGATTGAATATCCCAACTTCATCATTCCCTCTATCAAAACATGGGAAAGGACTTATCCTGTCTACCGCCCTTCTTTTCCTGCTTGATATGTCTTATCCGGAGGTACATTCACCTAGGGGCCAAGATAGTAGGGGGTGTGATTGATCCAGAACCCCCGGTCATTGGTAAATAATGGTTAAATTATAGTTACATGGTTGGTTGGTTATGAGCAAGGCCAGTCGATATCGAAATTTCCATCCCTCCAGAACTCGTAAATGTCGGGTTACAACAGTTAATGGTACATAGTTAATAGACAGAAGCAAGACCTATCAAGGGTAAGGCTGTAATACTCCGTCTAGAATATCTGTTAAATACGGAGTATTAATTCAGGCCAGAGTCTACACTGAACCAGCCTTCCCGTCTCCACTGCTACCAGGGGTTGAACATTATGGCCCGTTATGCAAGCTAGCTTACCCCCTCCAAAGTGTCCAAAGAAACATTCCTTACAGCTTAATCAAGCCATGTTGAACATGCGAGGCGACTTTAAACTTGGTCAATAGAGGCGGAGCTTTACCCCTTGGCTCAGGATAACATCGTCAAATTCGTGCACAGCCATGGTTGGAGTGCTAGGCAGATCTAGGGGTTGTTTACCCTGCAGAAAGCGTAAAATCGGGGTGAGTGATGAATTTTACAAAACTGATGACCACTTCGCTAAGAGAATTCCAGTGTGGACTGCAGCGACCGGCTTGTACCCAGTGTGTACGGTCAGGGCGAGAGTGTGTTGGCTATCCCGATAAAAACATATTTCTCTTTGTCCAGCCGGGGTCGACCAAAAAGAAACGGGGTGTCCCTAAAGGCAGTGTCGTAGAGAGAGAGAAGCCTTCGACAGAATTGATCGATGATAAACATACCACCCGCACTTTGCTATCGATGGGCACAAAATGGAGCCTGACAACTGCCAACTGTAGAAATCCATTCTCTTACCCCTTCACGGAGAATAGCAACGCCCATAGACTGCTTATAAGGAATGGCGAATGTCACAGCATGGTGGATGCGTTCCTCTCCGACTGTTTCGCTTCGGACCAGCCACACCTTACCGACACCCCTAACGGCGAACCATGGACATTTCTCCTCTCACAGCTACGGACGAAATCCCGGGCCCTTGAATCAGCAAGTGTAGCGCTTGCTGCGGCTGCACTGGGATTCATGCACGATATCCCTCACCTGAAAAGGGAAGGATTAAAATTCTACACCAAAGGTCTCCAGGAACTACAGATTGCTCTGTGGGATAAGAACCTGAGGCTTGAGGATGCGACGCTCACTGCGTGCATGGCACTTATTATGTACGAGGTCGTTGAGTGCCCCGGAAAGGCGAAAGCAGCCTACGATATCCATCATAACGGAGTAATGGCTTTAGTAAGAGCTCGTGGGGTGGCAGCACACACATCGGGAACTGGATTTGCTTTGTTTTCGGCTATACGATACCCTGGTGTACGCATGATAATTTTGCCTACAATTATTTGGACCCGTTGCTAATCTAGACTATAGGTTATACAGGCAGTTCTAAACCGAGAACCGGACTTCTTATCCGAGCCTCTTTGGATGGAAGGACCCTGGGCATTATTCCCCAAGGCACCCATGGACCGTATTAATGACTGTCTAGCCCTTTCTCCAGCGATTCTCCAGAAAGCTTCCCATTTGGTATTTCTCGACCCCAAGCCAAAGGTAGAGCTAGCCCGGCAGCTAGCGCAGGAGTGCTTGGAAATTGATAAATTGCTTGATGATATCTACGTGGACATACAATCGATAGGACCGGGCCCTCTCTATTGGAATGTTGTGGCTAAACTTAGGATCCCTACCGATATCAACGGGCCCCTTTTCCCAGTGGTATATTTCTTCAAAGATCTAAAGGTAGCCTGGCTGGTGATGACATACTGGGCCGCTCGGCTAATGTTATGGGTTGGACTCTGTGACCTATATGATGTTATCGAGCACATTCAACCCGAGGTCATCCGTGATTCTCTGAGTCCTGAATCAACCGATGATGATACTAGGATTGATCAGCCCTGCCCATCCGGTACCTCTACCCTTTTTCCGCAACTAGGCCACCGCAAACACTACCGTTCTATGGCGCACAATGTCTGCCAGTCCATAGAGTATTTCTTACAACCGTGCATGAAGATGGGAGGAGCATTCTCTGTTTCGTCAGTATTAGGAGTCGTACTTGGTAGTATCATAGGACGGCCTAGCTTTACAGAAGAGGCTACTTGGATGCGAGCCGTGCTAGGACTGGTTCAAAGGAAAGGCCATCGGCTTCCTCTCTACAGCAACCCTTAATTCCGCAGAATATATGGAGTACTTCCTACAACCTCAACACATGCTACTCACTCGTTATATAGGGTAATTAGGCGACGGTATACTCATACAAAAGATTCCTAAATATTCCGCCTTATAGTATATAAGACACAACACTCTATAGTTAAGGTATAGATAGTTAAGGTATAGAGAGCAGGCCCAAGATGTAGGCTTGCCCCCTAAGCTTAAGGGAGCATGTAACACTCTGTAGTATATCTATCAGATACCGCTGGACCACCAAGGGACAAAACGGCCTATCATCCAATGAGATCCATTGGATATCTGTGCGAGTCGTGCCACTGGAATATCTATATTCCGACAATATCTATATTTCTACGCCTAACACCTTAAAAGCCCTTCTTTTTCCCTGACCCCCTAGCTTACCTACCTAGACTTACCCCCTACATGTCCTTCAAAGATCGTCTCCCTACACATTATCCACAGAGTGCTATGTCTTGTATACTATAGGGCGGCATACTTAGGAATTTGATAGGGAAAGGGGGATGCATATAACCAAAAATACGTCATAATTAGATATAGTTTCTTTCTTTATTGGGTTTAGCTTGCAAATATCTTGCGGGGGTGCAAATAATTTCGCGCTAGTAAGTAACGAGCTAACTAATACCGAGATACCTTGTTATGAGGGAGGCAAAAGGGTTGGTTACAAGCTACGTTACTACTTCATCCTTAGTCAATTATTTTCAAATATAAATGTCCACTATCACTGAATAATATTACAGCAACGACATTACACAAGTTCTCAACATGTGGTATAATTTAAGCGACAATAATTATGTCATGTATAACGCGGCTAAACCACCTCTTCCTTATTTCCCCGAGCAGGAGTTTACTGTTCGTTCTCACGTTCCTCCACCGCCTACAGATCTAGACTGTTCCCCGGACCGTCCAGCCCGTCAAGAGAGGGAAGAGAATGACCCCCTTGCGCGTTGTTTTCTCCATCCACCTCGACCAGGCTCCGATGGGGACCAGGTTGTCCGTCTCAAAATATCCAAGGAAATACTGTTGGAGGATAACCACAATGCCCAGCTCGGGGTCGTTGACATTTTGGAGGTCTCTAAATCTACAGCCAGAGGACCACAGGAGAATACAACCGTGCTTGCTAAATTCTATGATCCGCTCTACCTCGACCATAGACAAGACGATGTCGACCCTTTTCTCGTTGTTGAGCATAGCTACTCACATGAGACTGCAGCATATGCGACCCTTACAGAATTACAAGGAACTTTTATCCCAGAATACTACGGCTCATTCACCCTTGAACTGCCTGTTGATGGATATCAGGACAAGCGCCTCGTGAGGTTAACTCTCATTGAGCTGGTCCAAGGTGTGCCGATGCGTAAACTCGATCCCAAGGACGTGTCCCAGCAACAGCGACAACAGATTATGAAAGGGATCATTGACGCAGAAACAGCAGTTTTTACACGTGGAATGCTACATTGCGATACCTTCCCACGAAATATCATTATCAATAGTGATCCGGGGTCCAATCGGGGAGTGGTTCTTATAGACTTTGACCTTTCTAGGCCAGTCCTAGAACCTTTTGTTCCAGCTGAATTAATAAGTCTTATTTGTCTTCCAGGCCCAGCTAGTCCGCTCCTCCGCTGGCATCGACTTCAGTGGCCTTATTTACAGCGTGAATTCGACGGTTGGATTGACTGGGACTGGCAAGTTTGGCTTGAAGAAAATTATGAGGACCCCCAAGGCTCCATCACAGACAAGATGAGAGAGTTCTGGCTGCCAGAAAACCCAGAAAGGGTTTTAAGAATGCCAGGCCTGAAAATTTGGTGAGGTCTATTTGCCATACACGGTTCCGACTTTTGGGAGAGAACATTTCCATATCTGCTTTTCGATGGATATGCCAGTTGTTTCTATTTTTCTATATTCACCTCAAATATTCACCCTAATGCCAAGCTGAGTAAAGGAATTTACCGCTCTATCACGTCGCGATATAGGCTTTAATAGAGTAGAAAGGGTACTATGTAGTAAACTAAACTATTCCCGAATACGCCAAACCCGAAGCGGTGAGGGCTAACTAGAAGCGGAGGACGCTAGGCTGGAAGGGGGAAGGCGCGGGAGTGAGAGGCTCCACTTGCTATTGTTTTCTTTACTAATATTAATTAAGTAATAGTCGTAGTATAAATTTATTAGATTAATATTATTCCGCCCTTCTATACGTGACCATTACAGTAAGTTAGCGGTTGATAATCCTATCAAATTCCGGTATAGAACGAAGATAATGTCACATATAGTTATACTTATGGGTGTCTATTATTAGTATCACCTAGCATCTTATTTTCAACGTCAAGCCAACTATTATTACTATTTACACTTGTAAAAATAGCCTCTTTACACTCTATAAGGATTGTCATATATATATAACATGAGTAGACCACCTCGGCTATATCTCATAAGGGCCGGCATCATTGATAATATATATTGAATGAGAATACGGTATAAAGTGTCTGTGCAATATGACAAGCATCTAAATATATACAAAAAGTAATGCAGAAATAATAGACCCAACCCAGGTCATTTAAAGACCTGTCATCATCCAAACGCCAGTCCAACGCTGTAAGGGCAGTAATAGTAGAGAAACGGTTATATATATTGAGCACATATGTCATAGCTATACCATGAACGATTCGCCACAACCGCACTCATCCTCTAAAGAAAGCGGTTAGAATTGCATTTGCTATATGAAGAATGAGAATAGGACTTACTGATATTTGGGTTGTTGAATACAAAGCGGCTACTCAGTGGGTCTTCGTGCCAGTCCATCTCACTACCAATTATGCTGAAAAGAGCCTTAGAGTCAATCAAGACCTTCACACCGTCCTGCTCAACCACTTCATCAAAGGGAGCCGGTTTCTCAACATATTCGAGATGGTAAGATAACCCAGAGCAGCCTCTGTTTTTCACCCCTATCCGGATCAGCTTCGGGTCTGGCTGGGAAACAAGGTCTCGAAGTTTGGATAACGCAGTCGGGGTGAGTGATACGGCTGCCTTCCTTGCACGTAGTTTGCTCTTGCGTGGTTTTGATTTCGTCTGTGAAGCTGGGGTTGTGGATTCACTGCCGGATACGGGTTTAGATTTCTGCGTTTCGCCCTCCGGTAGAGAATAAGACGAAACGGGGAGCTTCCCATCTTCCTTCGATGATGGCGCAGTATTCGGTGGTGGGTATGATGGGGTAGCGCTTAGACCGGGGATTCCATTTGAGATAGATGTTTCTGGAGTACCCGCATTCCGCGGCGGAGGGGAAACGGACTCGGGAAGAGAATATGGGCGGTAAGCGGTTGCCGTCTGGAGTTCACGTTTTGTGGACGAGTATGCCGGATAGGAAGAAGAGAAAAGCCTGATGCTTTGTGTGCATTGCCGTTGTTGTCTAGACCTGAGCACCAAGCGAAGCACTGATGTCACAGGCTTGATAGAAGCTTGACACAGCGACATGATTTAAAAAAAGGATAACGGCCAGGAAAACATTAGTCGGTTGTCTATAAACGCTCAACGCGACAAGAGAAAATTGCTGATATGGCGCTGTTCAGTCCTCCGTCATGAGATGTAAAGATGAACTTTTCTGTTTATCATTTTCGTCGCTTCAAATTGCCGTGATTAATAATAAGCTCTTGCCGGTAAAAACTCGGTGTGATGTCACGGGACGATAATTTTGACCAATCATTAATTTGCAATTATCAGCTCTTGGCAAGATGACTCAGCATTATAATCATGCCACTTTTTAGTACCGAAAAGGGTAATTTGAACGTTTGGATAAAAATATGTGGATAGTTATACAGCAATGGTTCAATTAATAGAATACAAAGTGGTATCCCGTCTGTATCAATTGCTCGGACATGGAATTCCAATCGGCGTTCCTAGTCAGGATACCCCAGAATAAAAAAGACGACAAGCTCCGCCTTAATCCTTGCCACGGCCCGAAGTTTAGCGTACTATGTATTCGCTGTCGTTGTCTCAAGTTTTCTTTACCCGAAGAAAATAGCAGAGAGGGAAGAAATGATGGCATAGAAAACTGGGAGCCTAGGCCAAACCGATCTCCATGGGGCGGGTGAGGTGAGACTTCAATGAATCGAAGGGGTACGAGACGTGACCCTCAACCACTGGCTTTCGAGTGAAAAAAATGAGCATATCTCGGGTAGCTGGTTGGTTTGGGTCGAGGGCTTGGACTGGTGAGAGACTATGCTTCCGTTCATGGTCGACAAAGAGGAGTGTATCCAAGAACTCACGGTGCTGATGCCTCCCTAAGGTGTGTTCGGGATTGACCTCATTCCAGCGAAGAGCGTTCTTTGCGCGCATGTCATGAACAAATGTCGTTGCGCTGTCGCTGGTCATGTTCTCACCGCCCAGAAAAGTCGTCATAGTGAAGTCCACTCCATCACTATGCACACCCTCGAGAGCCGGTTCGCCAAGTATGTCTTGGTTGGTGGTGACTCGCACATTGAATAGGGTACACACGAAGTTCTCGGCCTCGTAATTGAGCTTTGGGCGCCTTTTAAACGTGAGTCCTTGGAACATGAGTGCCTTGAACACTAATAAGGCATGCAGGGTCGAATTGCCCTGGAGGTCATCTTCGACCTCTGCGAAGCTCCTGATCCGGCCTGAGTCAAACCTAACAAAGTCCTCCTCGGCTGTCAGGACGTAGGGCTGAGGCTCGAGGCGGCGCACCTTGGACTGTTCAAAGTCGAAACAGAACCGGGCGCCCTTAGTTTTACGGAAGGGGAGAGTAGGATCATCAACCAGATGATCGCTAACAGCTTTTATCTTCTCCATGTCCTCATCGGTAGCTCCAAGCAGCTTGAGGATTGGGATAATGCGGCTGCTTTCCACGAAAATGAGCCTCTCCTTGATGAATTGTTCTCGAAGCTTGATGATATCTGCAATGGCCGCTCTTCTTTCTTCGCTGATTGATGGGACCGCCATCTTGAATGGATAGGGGGGAAAATATGGATGGACAAAAAGAGGAGCTATGAATCTTGAGATGGAGCGGTCTATCAGTTGATAATCGACGAGATCTATGTCTGTTGATTGAAGCGATTTTATACTCGAAATACGACTCTATCCCTAGAGCAAGGTTCCGCGCAGGATTATTCAGAGCGAAGCTAGTCCAGAACTATTAAATAGGAGTTTCCTCTGTATGTATAGTGCGAGTCGGGAAGTCAAAAGGGCAAACCATATGTAGACATATGTATAGGGCGCATCTCACTTCAAGCTTAACACACCCGTATCGCTGTCCAATTGCAGCCTAGTTAGGGTGGTGATAAAACCCACGCCTATATTAAGGCCAGCCTGAAGGATAAGCGGCAGGAGATAAGGAAGGAGAAAAGGAAGAAAGAAGAAAATAAAGATCAGATTGTTCTGGTCCGAAACCTTGTCTGGACCATATACCTATAATGCACTATCAGTCAAAACCAATACTATGTAATTGAGTATCACTTACCAAGGACCCAGCTTCATAACCGTCACCAAAATATTGATGGAGGGCATACTCGGTGCAGTGCCCTCCAGCAGTCAAAGTGTTCAGCGACCGGAAATGCAGCTAGAAAAAGGAGTGAGTTGGCTATGGAAGAAAACACTCTGGAGCCCACGGCTTGGCCAAATGTAAGCAAATCTCAGCCCTTACAAGCACAAGAACTCGCTTACATTACGAAACAGCAGATGGAATATTTCGTGGTCTTCGTGGGTCTTCTAACGCTCTTCAACAGCGTCTTCGATTCCCAGTGGCGGGATTCGTTCCATCGTCGCGGCCCTTGACGCGCAGAGTGAGACTCAGCTGGTATTGCCAACTTCCGTCCATTTGATCAGATACATATGTGACCGGGCCCCTGGCCTTTGGGCCTATGAGCGAGGTTTCCGGCCGACGGGTGGTTATAGTTAGCACCTTTGTTCTCTTTGCTTTCTTCCCACTTGCGTGCGCCGTAACCCCGAGTTGGTTGGCCCTAAACATCTTTCGATCACTCTGCGGCATTTGCGCATCCAGGGGTATTTTGCATTTATCTATCGCTCTCCCTTGACGCGGGGTCGGATTATGGCTCTTTCAATGGCAGTATGACGCAATCCTTTCTTCACTGATTATGCACGAATCTTATGGGACATCTTAGGTCACTGCTGCTGGCCTGCAATTTGGCCCTGTATTTGCTGGTTCCGTTGCAACGGTAGGATGGAAGTGGGTCTTCGGAGTGTCAGTTATCCTTGCCGGTGTAGCTCTCGTTCCTGTTTTGTTTCTCCCAGAGACATATCAGCCGGCTCTATCGCATCAGCCGGGGCAGCGAGGAGAGGGCATCATTATGAAGGCGTTTGCCCGACCATTTTATGTGCTATTTTCCGAGCCAATCTTATCTTTCAACTTGTCTTTACGTATCCTATGCCAGCGCTATTTTCTGTGGGTATTCCGTTCCATTTGCAAAATTATGGCCGTGACTGATTTACGAGTCATGTATTTCGAGGAGTGCCCGCTGGTTTTCCAAGGAGTGTATGGAATGAGCGACGGCATAGCAGGATTGGCCGCCCTCCCAAGTACGTATTGATATCCAGGTTGAAAACATTGGGCTTCTTGTTAACTCCCCACCAGTCGCAGTAGGAGTCTACTTCTCCGAGCTTATCTGAAAATCGTTCCTCGGAAAAGAGAGACCCGATTCCAATCTCCACCACTGAACAGCAAAGCCGCGGGAATGGGTTAGTTTAACGTCGATGCATTGTTCTAAAAGGTTAACGTAAGCTTCGGTAAAAGGGGTAACGACGACTCTGAGTTAGGGTTCCTGCCAGGGCGGCTTACCCCGACTGAGATTGGTAACTTACAGCTTCTTTCTATGTGGATCCGATAATTTCCCACTCATCTCATTGACACAGCAGCATTCACAATTCTACATTCTACCCATACGGGTTAATGAATGCTTAAGCAAAGGCCTATCACACTTATAGGGGGTTATGGTGATCGTATGCGGAGATCCTCACCAGGAGGCTGAGGGGAGGAGACAAAGGCAATTGGTACACAATGGCCTTAGTTCCAGTCCACCATAGGGGCCCCTTTGGGCCAAGTCTGGATAACGCAACCATCATGGCATCGCTATAAGTCGGATAAAGCCAACAATCCTGTCAACGAACACATTATATGGGGCCTACACAAGAAAATGTCCCCAAGACAAAGGCCAGGGTATACACACCAGATTGGGTCATTCTCAGGCAAGGATCAAATGTCATGTTAATCTCGTATCCTGGGAGTGGGCTATCGGATTCTCGCGCAAATGGGCTACCACATATTTAACCTATGTGACTAAAGAGAGGCAATGCCAAGTAGGTGGTATTTCCCAGAAATTAGAACCTTGTGCATCAGGGTCCGCGAGGATCTAAATTCCGGTTACATTTATTTTGTACCTTAGAATTTCTGATAACAGGACATACCGCGTATCCTAATCGTTGCCTTCTGATAACTCTAGTGAATCTAGGAACAATGCCGACAGTTAAAAAAAGGCCTGCTGATGGCAAGACCCGCAGGGCACGCTAGATAGACGCCATTATCCTCTGTTGTAGGCATATATCGGCTTAACTTCTAATGTCGAGAGCGGGCAAGAACTAGTAACCAAAACTTGATAACTAGAAATATGGAATATTCTACTTCAGGAAAAAAATTGAATAGAGCCATGAGCTCGCAATAGCGTGTCTATGAGGCCAAATACCAGGCATAATATCCGGGTATTTTGGCGTAAAGCAGAAAAAACCGGCACCTACGAATATCTGACCCCTCCGGTCACCGTCGGGGCAACTTGAACCCAGTGTATGAATATAGCGTAGATAATTCAAAAGCAAGCAATGCAGCATAGTTGTATATTTCTTCATGGGGAATATTGTGCAAGGGAGCGCGTCTTGGAGCCATTTCAAATCTCTCAAGGCTATCATCCATACTATCCGATGTTCCATGCCTGGTTCGAGCGTGGTATTAGGTGTATAGCATTTAAGAGGCATAAAACAGACCAAACAGTTGAATATTGATGATGTTGATGAATATTGAACTGTTAGGTCCTTTATAAAATTTTTGAGAGGTGAAATCGTCTGACTAAGCACCCGCTCGGAGAAATGTGACATCTTGATATCTGTAGAATACGGAGTTCGCTTTGTTCAAGTGAGGATTGATACAAATGTCTGTTTATCATGTCCAGAATTCAATAACCAAGCATTAGCTGCATATAAAATCTTTGCCCCTTTTTACTGGCATGATGTTCTATTTTTATAATGCTTACATAGTGCAACTTGCTAAAGCTACTCAGCCAATCACCGTTGATGAGTAAGGTGGACAAAAGACACGATAGCATCGACATCTTCAAGCCCATTCAATCTCGATGAAGAGGTTGATATCCAATAGCTGGAGTTGCGTGTCACTGTGGTGCGGCTCTTCAAGCCTCTCTTACTGATTTAAATAAGCTGCTGGGATTATAATTAGTTGTCCTTAGACAGCGATGCCATCACAACCAGCCAAACCAGATATAACAACACCATGGAATCCTCTCCACTAACTCAGCAGACCAGGCCTGAGACCTTCCAGCCTAAGATAGTAAAGCTCTACGAGTCTCTCCTTTTTGTACGTTATTCTCTCCAATCTTCTGTACCATTTGTCATGGCCATGGTTGTGCTGATGCATGCCCCAGAACTCCGAGTATGCACACCCAACAGAGGGCTTCTGGCGAGAATTTTTTCTGCTTCAGCCAGATAGGGCGCATCTATCGAAAATGATAGCTGGTATTAGCCCCAACGACATCTTACATCTCCAAGTAAGACGCTGTCCTTTATTTATACATACATCCTGGCAGAACTGACGTATCTAGTCCCAAACTCAACAACTTTTCGCTCGTGCTATACGGGAGGCAGCCTGCGATACTGCTCCAACAAATGCACATGCCTTGGAGGTTAGGAGTTAATGATATCCCTACACAGTGGTTAACGACACGCTTAACAACTTATTTTTACAGACGTTGACTGCATTCCTGGCCAGTGCGTTGGCCAAAAAATACACCAACCCAAGTTCTGATATCATTTCAATCCTCGCAGGCCTTGATGAAGTCGACCATATTTGTTCCGAATTTGTATCCGTTCTTGATGGCATTATACGAAATGGAAGTTCTTGTAAGCATTTGAATATCCGCCTTGTTGAACACTAAGACTCCTTGCTGACGTTTAGCTAGTGGACATTCGGTTAAAGGCAATTGACGCGGCCCTGGCAATGGTCAGCGGAGCTTATAAAACAGGCATTATGTCTTATTTTATTCATCGAGATCTTTTCCCGTCACTAATGAGGGTTAGCTTATCTTACTCATCATTACTTTAGCCAGACCTCGCTAACAAATAACTTTCAAGTTCTTACACGATTCTGATACCCATACGCAAGTACTTAAACCCTTCTTATTACTTGGCCTCCTAGCCAACTATAACAAATTCGATTTTCAAAACCCTTATCAGCTGCGGTTGAATGATTTCGTAAACGAAGCCACCATACAGAAGGTGGTTAGGGGAGCCGGTGTTGCATGCTCTTCTCTCAGAAATTCATATATCGCTGTCCAAGATGATCTTCCTGAGGGATGGAATTGGAGTACAACTCTGTCATTTTTCAGCTTTGGATTCTTCTCGGCAGGAGGAAAGCCCCAAAACCAGCCTCTCACCGCAGAAGAGATGAAGGAGCGATTCAAAGCCCTGTAAGTGAATCTAATTACTCTGCCTACTGATCTCCAAGGTTTTAATGTTTCTACAGCCCATCACCTGAGGCAGCGATTTTGCTAGCTATGTATGATTTCATAAATGCGAACAAGCTCTTCAGCCATACTCTGGTGACCACTAGCGCCGAGAAGCGATCCGAAGAGGCACCATTTGCAAGTTTCCTCTCATTAACTTCATACCTACTCCAGCATGCATATCGTTCAACCCGAGTGGCACTGTATGCGGAGGCCAACCTCTTCTCGCTTCGAAACCTAGTCGAAGACCCGGTCATCTGTAAGCAGATCTGTAGCGACGAAAACAATGCACGAGTGAGACTTTGCCGTCAACGAGCTCCGCACCTCCCCTTAGTAAATGGGGAGAGAGTTCTCGCAACAGTCATATTTGACATTTTAATCGATACGATAAACCATAACCTTCGTCGGAGCCTCGATACATACTTATACAGGTGGGATTTTCGGGCCATATAATTCCAATCTCAGTATTAACGTGAAGTGTCTAGCCATACGATTACCGTCCTCTTCCGCCTTCTTACATATGCATCTTCCAATAAAGCTCGTTTCTCATACCACTGGTCCGAGCTTTGGCGAACCCTTCTCACCCTCACCCGCTTCCTTACCACGTATTCCACCGACCTCGTGCATAGCCCGCATATCAAACCCCTCACTTCTGATCTGGTAGATCTTATAATATTCTGCATATCTGCAGGAGATACTTTCCTTCCTGATCCTTCGTCTTATGATGATCTCTTTTACAAAGTTGTCGAAGCAGACTCTGTTCTGACACGTTTCCGTGACGTCTATAAACACCTATCGACTCCTTCATCTCACTCTACCAACTCAACTATCTCTATCAATGCGCTCATCAGCGTTTCAACTCACTTCCATTCTCTGCTATTCGTTTCCGATTCAACGGATGCCTCCCGTCCTAGCAGCAAGAGCGGCGAAGCAGCAAACACCTCGCCTCCTCCAACGGCAAAGAAGAAAAGGCTCAGTCCGAGAGAAGTCCATCAGATTATCAAGGAGGGCTATTCAACGCTTAGTATTCGGGCAAATGATGATTTAACTAATTGGGAAAAATGGCGAGATGCGGACTGGAAACCGCAGCTAAAGCGTATTGTTAGAGCAACAGTGGAGGATGTGACTGCTATAGTATCTCAGCCAGGACAGTCACATGTTTCAATAGAGACTAAGCACAAAGTAAACGTGTAGTTAGTGTTAGCTCGATTTGAGATTGATCATCTATCTACTCGAAGTTTTAGTCTTTAGTATTTTAATTCTACATGCAACACACACTGTGCATGCTTTGCGGCATAATAGAAAAAAGACATTCAGGCAAGAAGCTATTGCTTATTATTTATAATCTGCGGTAAACATGATAAAGACACCCAGCGCCAGCTAACTATAGAACAAGTACTGACCATAAAACGGAAGATAAATTGACAAACAACAATGAATTTAACACAACGAACCATTTAAACCAAGCCTAATCAGATTTCTCCTGCTTGTCCATTTCAAAGAGACGAGCAGTTACTGTACCAGGTACATCCTGACTATTCACACCCTTGGCCTTGTCGATATACTCTTTGCTAGGAGAGTCATACTTGGCAGAAAAGTAACGTTCTGAATGTTTGCTAAGCCACATAGAGAACTTCGACAACTCTTCACGTAACCGCTGTGTAGCCTGCTGGCTTAAGCCAGTTTGTGCAATGAGCTCGGGTAGGGATGCTAAATAATAAATGACAATGCCATTAGTAAACAATGCTAGATGAGAGGTTTCTGAGGAGATGATTACCAAATAGACGTGCAAGGTGCTCGGCACCGTAGATTTCACAATTCATGGCATTGGGGGTTCCGCTCCAGACTCCCATTTATTACTTATGATCTGGTACTGCTGTCTCTCAAACTGGTAAAGTAAAATCTTCGAAAGCGACTTCTCAAAGTACTCCCTGATTCCTGCTACTACCTCCTCTAACACATCAACATCTGAAGGGCTAGCCCTTTTGGGCTTTTCTTCTTCAAAGTATTGATCAAGTATTGTCGAAACAGGTGCCTTCGCTGGAAGCGGAACAAGTTGGTTATTTTTGGTAACGTATTCCCAGTCATCTACGAGGAGTGCTTTGAGATTATCAGGTATAACTATGCGAATAGATGGTCGTGCATTGAATTCATCCTCCTGTTATAAGTAGATTCAGTGTCAACGAAATATGTTAAAGGCAGTAAATGCCACGGGACATCCTTACCTTTTCGATCTCCGTGTCTCTTCCGCGCTTTGTTCCCCTGGCAGGAATAGATGATTGTCTATCATCACTGCCTATGTTGGAACCAGGGTCCGACGCCGCAGGTTTCTTCTTTTTGGATTTCTTGCGAGAAGCAGCTTCTGCCTCACGTCTTAGGGTCGCAGCAAGCTCTTTATTGTCTTCTGTAGCCTTTCGAAGTCGATCTTGAAACACCCAGTCGTCCCATCTACGAGAAATCAGTCAGTTACTACCCATAACCAACCTTCCTCGAAACAAAGAGCATCAGGTCTCGGCCAGCAGTTGCACAACCGCAACCAAAAAAGGCAGGATAGAAATTTGTTTATCTAAACATCTCTACTAGTCTTGTCCTTGTTGAAGAAACCCTGGATAATGGATGGAAGGTCGGAAGAGAAAGAACATACGTATGTTTCCAACCCTTGTAGTGAACTCGATATTCGTAAGGGCTTTTTCGATCTTCTGGGTCACTCAGTCTGAGTGCTATTATCTTTGCTTCATAGAGGATATCATGATGAAAGCATAACACAGTTTCATCCTTGTGGTATATTGGATGGTTGAGAGGCATGTTTGCAAGTGAGGTCACGCCGTAAATCACCGAAGCGTGAGAAAGGGTATACTGCTAGAGACCTTGGCTGGAATCTCGAGTAACTGGTGTAAAATAAGGGCTCAGGAGGAAGCTGACGAAAGGGAACAGAAATCACCAAACGGCAGTATGATGCCTGCAAAACTAGCTCCGGCCCTGTTAAAATGAGGTTGACCTCAAACTGAGAAATAGAAAGTAACTCGAACAGGACAGTGGCCTTTCTCTAAATCACTTGTGGCTTTGAGCTGTCCATATAAAAGACCTGAAAATCTGTTAGCTGCCGAACCATGCAGTTCCCGTCCAACAAACACGGGTAAGAGAGCACACGCGGAGTATACCTAAAATAGAACAGTACTCCACAACTACACCTCAAAAAAAGGGGAGTATAAGGGTATTCGGCTTCGTGATATTTGAATCTTCCAATCGTGTTTTCGCCCCTTTCAAGATGTTGGGGACGGATGAAAATCAGTGAAAATTACATAACATGTTAAGCACTTGAAACAATACCGTAAATATGCCATATTTGCAGTGTAAGTAACGTTCGGCTGTGTATGTGATCACGTGGTACCCGCGACGCGACGTGAACTTCGTAAAAGCACAAAATGTCAAAAGCGATTTCAATATCAAAGCCGGTAGAGAAATCAAGGCCAAACAACCGTTTAGACATAAACAGTGATCTAAAATATACCATCAGAGTGTCCTAGGATATTTATTTATCTGTGGAGAGGGGATAATTTCCGTTGCAGTAACTCATTATTAGACCTATATCATGGCACCGTCTGAGGAGTCCATTCTCACAAACTTTCTACTCTCTCCATCTCCATTGCCAACTGTTATATCTCTTGAACAGTTTACAAAGATGTTTCCTAAGCGGCTGCAGTCTCATCCTCAAATTAGAACGTTGTATCGTGACCTGCAATATCTCCGCGCTCAGGACATCGACCTGGTTCAGGAGAACATCCAAGCAGAAATCAAGAATGGAGAGAAGCAAAAGGAAGAACTAAAGAACGCTCAGCTAAACTCTGGAGTGGCTAGTATGAGCCGTGACGAAAAAACTGAAGCTGACATGGATGTTCAATTATTCGGCCACAAAGACCATTTGGTAACCAGGCCAGAGGACCGTCATACCCTAATTACGCTCTTAATCGATATGGAACGAGCTTGTGCTGCTATGGAATCCAGTATCAAGTCTATTGATACCGAAACATCAGAACTTGATAGTCAGATTAAAGCCACTGTTGGTGAACTGAGTGACCTCCGGTACGGAAAGCTGAATGCCCCTAGAGGAGGGAACACCCTAAGAGATGATGTTATCATGGGGTTGAAAAATCTGGAAGAAAATTGCAATAGTGTTACACCACGCTGATGCAGCTACGAATGCATTATTCTAACCAAACACGGTACTCTCCCTGTCTCTGCTATTCGATCAAGACTTCCCAAAATCTAAGTCGCGAATGAACGATCTACCGATAAACCCAACAGCGTTTCCAATACTTATCTCAGCTGCACCGCTACAGCTCTTGACCATTACCTTCCCAACTTTGTCAAATGGGTATTGCTCGACCGGCTTCCGCTGCTTCCAATTCACGGTATCGTTTGCTATCTCCCTTGGTAGAGGGGGGAATCTCGAGTATCCGGACCTACATCTGTCGTCTCCCTCATGTTTATATTCGTCGTGAGTTGGCCATGATGCATTCCAGCGGCCACTTCCTGGGTCAGACGAGGGCCCCCAAATCGTCTCAGCTGCTAGGACTAGGCCAAGTTGATCTCCCAACTTCTTCCCCCTGAAAACTCTGTCCAGTTTTGTGGCTGCTTTGTTCAGCTTTCTCTGCTTTGTGGCGAGCGACAGGGCCACCCTGTGCCTATCCTCCTCCTTCCTTAATAACTTGAGCGACAACCATTCCTTAAATGTTGTTGGTACAAATGGAGATTTTGGCGCCACATATATCATTGCGTCACGGATTTTCGCCCATGCTTCGAATTCCTTGGTTTCCGCTGAAACCCACGTCTTCGATGTAGTATGGGACATGTCTTATCATACGTAGGAGATCTGTTGCTGCTGCACTTTCTCTCTCTGCAGGATAATGTGGTTGATACAGGCCAGCTTGCCCAAAATCAGGGGAGAGTACTATGCTGGCTATTAATTCCATCTAAATCTTAGTTCGTGCTGTTATATTCCTTGATAAAGAGGCTTACCTCTTTCGTTAGAATGCACTATCCGTTATTTTGGTTGAACTCCTTAACACCGACGCGACTTATATCAAGATACTTTCAGCATGTAAGCTCTAGATAGTTATCTCTCGTTTAAATGATTTAGTTGACGGGGTTGAATGTTCCAGATCATGACTCTCTCTCTCTCTCTCTCTCTCTGGGGGGTTGCTGTGGGAAAGATACTGGTATCAAAATAAGTTTGGTTTATATGGTGGTGTGTCTGGAGGAGCTCCATTTACTAGCTTCACTAGTTAAGGAACTTTCCATCTTGCTAGTTTTAAATATCTTAATTATAATATAAAAGTAATGGTCACGGGAACTACTTAGATATTTGATGAGGACAGTCTCTTTGCTACCTATAAGCTCCTTTCAATTCTCCTGATAGCCTCTTGTTTACCTTTTCTATAGTATAGATCAACAGGCATTTATATGTTACTTCACTTATTCTAAGCACCCTAATAGAAGAAAAGCTATATAAAACTTATTTCTATACAATTTATTGTGAAATATAGACATTCAATTATCTATCAGAACTGCACTGCTTTGTACAAGTCAATATAGATTTATATAGATAGATGAGAGAAGGATCACATGACCTTGTATATTAACGCCTTTTTTGACACAAAAACGACTTTCTCAAACTTAGAAACATAAAATATTCATCAGAACCGATAGCAACATTATAGACATCATGCCAACCGTTCCACTCCATGTTTCTCTCTCTACTGGCAGCAATGGATGCTTAGCGGAGATGTCAGGCAATCCACTCCCGCAGCTCCTCCAGACACCGTCCGGTCTGGCCATATTAGAGCTCCAAGGCACCATAAATCTTCCAGAAAGTGACGACTACTCGATGGTTGAACGTATACCCGATTCTTCTCAGCATATACGCAGTGTTGAAACACAGATTGGCCGGGTCATATTTGCGAACTACAACCCATCCGCCGAACCGTCTGACAAAAGTTGGATGAAGCGTGTATATCTTACCGTTGGTCAGCACCAACGCCTAACAGGCGAAGTACAAAAATTATCGAAACCTTTTGCGGTTATTCGAAGACGGAAGCCGGACTCTCAAGACGCCATGAAAGTACAGAATGTGACGGAAAACAAACATGCCTCTGCCACCTCCCCAGATCAGTTAGAGATCGTGGAGATCATTAGATACAAGATATTGTTCTCCTCGCGACCAGAGCCTATCACTAATAAAGGATTCTGAATTTCAACAGTACGGCAATATTATTTCTTGGGGAAGCTCTCCCGGCGTAATAAAAGTGCTCAATACCGGACTAGGAAAACTTTACAAGAAAGGGCCTGCGGGAGCTATTCCCAGGGTTAGGAGTACAATTGAATGCCCTCTTACAGCACTTGCATGCAGCACAACGAGTCAAATTTGTGTTATGTCCGTGCTCCATGCACCCTTCCCACACTTCGTACGCGAGTACTACGTACAACAACCATCGACCGAGCCTTGTCTCTCGAGAAGCTTGCTTGAGAGGCTCGTCTGGTTGAGTCGCAGTCGCCTTCGAGGGTTCCGAACACAGGGTCACACAACTCGGTAAATTCTCAGATTCAGCCCCAGAAGTATGGTTTATTTCATTTAGACGATGATTTACGTGAGACGCCGAAGCTGAATCTAGCTAAGGCGGACCACTAAAATAAATCGGCTCCTCTCTGTCGAAAATATGTGCTACACAACAAATAAGCCACATGCAATTGATATGATATGATTGAATTGTACCGTCTATACATTTCTCATCTCCCCTCTATTCTACTACTAGCAAGGCCTAAACGAAAGAGAGATAGAGAGATCATGGGCCACTTCATGCCCCTTTTCGAGGTATGCCAGAATCGTGAAACTAATATAGCCCCTGTCCTAACCGATCCTGCCCTAGCCAAATACCGCTGCTTTTAGTCTGCCTTTAAACATGTTAGCTAGATATGCAGTCTTTTGACACTAACACGTATCTATTTAGACAGCGGTATTCGCGTTCCTTGTAGTTATTCAAGGTGAAAAATGGATCGACCTTTCAAAGCCTACTGTTAATCTTGGCGTTTGTTTATGCATGGTGGTGGCAACTTTCTTATATATATTGCCATCAAAATCATCGTTATATATTCATTCTTCTCACACGCTGGCATTGAATTTCCAAAAAAATTTCACTTTTTTTCAACACACTCTTCCAGGCGACAATAAACACTCTTATCATGACTTTCTCTTCTCCTCAAGAAGATATTGTCCCAAGCAAGCTAGGACCAGAGTACTTGGGCTTCGACCATGTCCTCTGGTACGTTAGCAATGCCAAACAGGCGGCATCATATTATATCACACGCTGGGGTTTCAAATCAGTTGCCTATAAAGGACCAGAAAATGGTTCTTGCCACATTGCCGGCCACGTTATAAAGAATGGAGACGTGGTTTTTGTTTTTATTGCTCCAATTATTTCTATCCCTTGTGAAAATTTGGATTACAAGATGTCCTCGGGGGAAAAACAGCAACTCCAAGAAATACAAGATCATCTTACCAAGCATGGGGATGGAGTCAAGGATGTGGCATTCCGAGTCAATGAAGATGTCAAGCCCATATTTGACAAGGCAATTGCTGCAGGGGGCCAGGCTGTGTGTCAACCAACCACCGTGAGAGATGAACTCGACGGTACGATCCAAACATGTACAATTGGCTCATATGGGGATACAACTCATACTCTGGTTAATCGTGTGGCCTACAAGGGTTGTTTTATGCCTGGCTTTTGTCCGGTTTCTGAGATCGACCCCATCGAACGATACCTTCCACAGGTTGACTTCATAAACATTGACCATTGTGTTGGCAATCAACCTTGGGGCGGGCTTGATCCTATTGTTAGCTTGTAAGTACCGTACCACCCTTTTTAACCCCTGACTAATTTCTAGTAACTAATCCAAGGCGAATCGATCAGTTACGAGGACTGTCTTGACTTTCACCGTTACTGGAGCGTGGATGACAAAAATATGTGTTCGGAATATTCTGCCATGCGCTCGGCTGTTATAGCATCACCCAACGAGGTTATCAAAATGCCCCTTAATGAACCTGCTGAGGGGCTGAAAAAATCTCAGATAGAAGAGTTGGTCTTTCCTCCGGCTGCTCAATACGTGTCTAACTTTATATATTAACATCTTCCAACTTCAGGTTTGTGGATTATTATAACGGTGCCGGTGTGCAGCATATTGCTTTTCTAACAAATGATATCCTAAAATCGATTGCCACTCTTCGCGCACGGGGGGTCAAGTTCATTTCTGTCCCGGGTAGATACTACGACACCATGCGCGAACGCCTGGCGAAGGCTGGCATGACTCTCAACGAAGACATTGAAGCTTTGAGAGCACAGAATATCCTAGTCGACTTCGACGAGCGCGGATACCTCCTTCAAATATTCGCGAAACACGTTGTTGATAGACCTACAGTCTTTATCGAGGTTATCCAACGAAATAATTTCGATGGATTCGGGGCTGGCAATTTTAAGGCGCTGTTTGAAGCTTTCGAGCGGGAGCAAGCTTTACGAGGCAACCTTTAATCTTTCTTCTAGGCGTTCATAATTCCCTTTCTCCCTCTCCACTCAAAAATAGAAAAAAACTAAAATGAAAGCACAATTAATTAATACTGCAGAATATATTTTAGAGCGACAGTCCATTTACCTTTCGGGGTATGGTTCACTTTGGTCCGGTTATACGTCAGGGAAGGCTAGGCATCTGGCGTTATCTTGGACGCATGATTAGAAATAGACAATGCATTTGCATATACGATGGCATTTCTAGAATCCCGCTGGGGATATAACCGGGCTATCCGCGACTTAACAAATAAGGTGTAAAGGAGGACGGTCTAAGCAAATCGTTGTACGTATCTCGAGGAGACTCAGAGTATAAATATACTGAATAGATATGTAAATTGCCCCTTGCCGCAGCGTACGGCCCTGTCGATATTGGTCAGGGGGGTCCTTGCTGCTCAATCCCTGGACGGGAACGTAATATATTAAGGGAAGCCGACATGAGACTCGGGTATCCATGTCTTCTCCGCAGTTGCAAGGACGAATATCACTATCTATATTGTATGATAGTATTTCTAGTAAGCTCTAAAGGCATGTCTTACCGACAACACTCATATATGCACAGCTTAAAAAATAAACGACGGAAGATAGTCTAGACAATACCATTAATCCCGATAAGCTAAACTCGGGATACACGGGATGACATGAGGCGGCAAAGCCGTGGAGAATTCTCTATACCATGTGAAAAGTTGTGGAACTGACACGCTAAAGGGCAACCCAACCCATATACATACAAAGATAAAAGACGATACATGCGAAGTAAACATGCCCCGTGGAAGTCCGTGTGGCTGAGGATTAAGAAAGTAGACCAGGCTGTGTTTCCAAATATGCGGTGGAACAATGAATATGCTGTGCATCGCGCGAAGCATGCAAGTATTATACTCCGTACACGTGGTGGAATATGATATCAGCATCGATGGAGTGGAATCGCGCGGAAAGACCTATTATTGATTCAAGGTCTTGCGTAAATCGCCCAGTTTCTGCTGGAGCGTTTCATAGCTCTCCGATAGCTTGACGTTTAAAAGTTAGTACAGGTAACTTATGTTCATCTTTGCTTTTTTTTCTCTCTTTTCTTTTCTTTGTGGTTTCTTTTGCTTTTTTTTTTTGGGAAATGGTGCATAACATACCTCAGCCCATTTCATTTTTGTCTCAACCAAATCCTTCTCCATCTCAGCCATTTGTTCCTCCATTGATCGGTTTTCATTCTGCACTTCAATGTTTCGCTGCATTATACGATCCATCTCGGTTCGGAGCTTCTCTTCGAGCTCTGCGGGTTGTTTATCCACCACTGCCTTTAGCTCAACTACTTCGACCTTCATACTTTCATTCAAATCCTTCAGCTCTTCATTCTCAACTTTGACACGAACAAGTTCAGATGCTATTTGAACGTGTTCTTTATCTGACTTCTCTGCATGCTCTTCCAATGATCGTATGCGACTGGCTTGACTAGAGATAGTATGCTTATAATTCTCTAATTCATCAGCAAGCTCTTTCTCCGCTCGAGTCTTCTGTTCCCATTCAGCGGTGTACGTCTTTATCATTTCAGGCGTGAGAGGAATAGCACAGGCATCCTCAACCATGATATCAGCACGGTAAATCTCTTTATCATTTGCTCCTGAGCTACCGAAGAAACCGGATTCAAGGATTGAGCTCGGAGTTGGCTGCTGATCAATGTATACATCAAAGACCTTTTCTTTCACGAAGTTGGTCAAGGTAGTCATATCATTCATAGCAAGGAGTGTTTCGACATTCCGTTGCATGATAGCGACAGCAAATCGTAAGATGGTGCTTTCAAGGCCCTCTTCGAATATTAAATCGTATATGCGGAGCACGAGCTGGAGTGGGAAGCGGTAAGCAAAGAGAGTGAGAAACCATTGGGTGGCATATAACCCAGGGGAAACACCACGCCGATGCAGATGGCAAGCAAGAGCTGGCTGTAGGTCTTCTAGTAAGCGTTCAAACTGGTACAGGTGGAGATGAAGGCCTGGCATGTCCTGTATGAACATGTTTCGCATTCCATATTTGTTCATAAGCTTTACCATGAGAGTAAATGCTTCACCATCATCCATCTACGTGAGGGTTAGCTTCAGGAACAATCGTAACTAGGGGTAAGAAGCCCACTTACATTAAATAGGAGAGGCATAGCAATGAAGTTCATCCCCTGGGCATAACCAACACCTGAGTCATATAGAGCATAGGCTTTGCAAATATTGAACAAGCCTTCCTGATTGCGCTGAGACATGAAATACTTTGAATAACTGGTGCGAGAGCCAAGGTCTCGGCGAATTTGCTTCTCAAGCTTTTGTAAGGCAGCCGCATCTTCTTTTGATCTTCTCTTACGTTCAGCTTCTAGAGCGGCCTTTGCCTTGGCTATTGATTCGCTATCCTTTTCAGACACGGAGCCGGAAGCGGTTCCATGGACAGAGCCCGTGGCTTGGGTAGAGATATCAGAGCGTATAGAAGAACGAGAAGACGCAATAGATTCCCTTTCTTTTGGACTTCCAGCTGAGCTCCCGTTGATAGATACTATGGAGGTTGAGCTGAGATTTCGGCTTGGATCCTTCTCCGTGCCACGCGCACAAAGCTCCCGATATACATGTTCCAACTCAGGATTCCTACTATCGGCAAGTACCTGCCATATAACCCCACGGATTGTCTGTGGTATACCTCGTTTTATAGCTGCGTTTAATTTCTCCGAGTTCTCTCCAGCCAAGGCTTCTGGGCCATGATTCACAACTTGCTGCCAGAGCTCCCAGTCAACCGGCGTCGAGGCATCAGTAGCGGAGGATGAAAATCCAGATACGGTGCCGGGTGGTAGCTCCGGGTTGACGGTGGAGGGAAGTGGAGATGTTGCTCCGGGGGATGGTAGTGGGGCCGCCGAGGCAGCAGCTTCCCCTGTATCAAGCCCCGGGCTACCAACAGACGAGCGAGAGCCTTTCCCTTCTCTAGACCCGATACTGGCCCGGTCATCAGATCCAGCGGGAGCACCCTCGTCCTGCAACCTTAGCAGCTTGAATTGGTCCTTTAAGCTGTTCCGTACCTGGCCCCGAGAGTCTTGGCTTCCGACTTCCCCGTCACTTCCTTCGTGGAGCCGATTCGGATTTTCAGAGTTGCTCATGATCGTTGACACCGAGGCTCCTGTGTTCCGCCTTGTTCCATTCGTTGGCGCGTTCTTGCTTTCCTTTGTGTTTCCTCTAGACAGCCAGGAGAAGGGGCTTGTCAGCTTTCTCGAAGGAGGGGCGGCAGCATTCGGGGGAACTGGTGGCAGAGACTTGGTCACAGGAGGTGCACCCCAAGGAACAGATGGAATAGCGGCTGACAGGCCTTGTGGACGTGTTTCCTTGGGTGGTGAATCTCTAGCCGGAAGTGGTGGAGGAACGTCCGAGTGTTGGTCAGGAGACAAGGGAGGCCCCGTGCCGATATTCTCGTCCTCCTTTGAATTCGAGAGGTTCACGTCATCTAGGGAGGAAGATGACAGACGATGAGTCGTCAACAGCGGTGACTTTACTCGTCTCTCTTTCCTAGGCGTATCCTCCCCCGCCTGTGATATAGGTGAGGTTATGATAGAGCTCTCCCCATCCTCTTCTCCAGGAGAGGTCAACGGTAGCGGAGGTAGCTCGGTAGCTATAGGAGTAGCGGGAGGCCTTGTAGACCCGTTGGAAGGCCGCCTGTCCGTCAGAGATCGAGGAGCCTTGGACGAGCCCTGGTTATCACTGTCTTGTGCCGTATCTCGTGCGTCTTCAAAGGTGTCCTAGTAATAGTAAGTCCTCCGTGTTCCCAGGCGTTGCAGAGCGAGGAACAGAGAGCACTGAAGAGATGAAGGGGGATGGGGCCTACCGCTTCATAGTCAGTATTCTCCGGACTTGCAACCATAGTTGATAAGTATCGTCATATGGAATCTCTAGAGCAGAAGAATGTCGAATTGCGGAGGATTGCAGTGTCGTTTGGGGGCTCCACGGTCCAACTTTGAAACCACCTTTTTCCCTCCCCAGGTTGGATTAACACGTCACGTTACACTTCCGCAGTATGGAGGGAAACCGGAGGGTTCGATATAGGGCAAGGTTGTAGCAGAATAATGATTTATCAGGGTTGGAGTTGTCGGCCTTTTTTCTCTTCTATTTTTTTTGGTCTGGAGTTGTTGAACTTGTGATGTTTTCCTAAACGGGAAGAAGATGATGATCTTATCTCGAGGTCACGTTTCAAGGTGTTTCTTTATTTTTAGTTCTTTGCCCCTTTTTTGTTTCTTCTCTTCACGTCAGCTCTTTGTCGAACTTGATGGGAATTAATATTAGTATTATCGATGAGTGAAGTGATTACGCACTTGGGACGCACAAGTTATCCTTTTTTAATGATCGATCCCAGTCGGGGGACGGGCTGGTTGGGCCCTCCGGGCCAGTCGAAAGCCCCTTGGCTTGCAGCGAGGCCATCTTCAGGCGTGTTTCACCATCCAACTCAATTTATTCCAGGCAGTGCTTAATGATCCTTGACAGGCTGTCCTTAAGTAAGACAATATATATACTTAGCGAAGAGTCACTCACATCTGGCATTCGTTCGCGTGGGACGTGGGTGAAGACACAGCTCTTCAGGTCCTTTACAGCCCATCAGGGGTCTCTGTCCAGTCCCATTGCGCCAAAGGAATATAACCACGGGTTAACTAATCCATGCTCATGCGGAAGGAGCCGTTAAATTCTAACTACATAGTACTGTCCCGTCGACCGAGACGCTGGTTTTTGCGGCATGACGACCAGGGGGTTGCTGAAGAATATATTTAAATCCATCATTCGACCAGTCGGCAGGCATCTGGGGACTTGTTATCGAAATTAGGAGAGAGCTTGATGGAATTCACTGGCAGACTCTATGAAGAATGAACTTGGGACCAGACCAGCCCGGCAGCCAACAGGATAGTCTATATATAGCATTGCTATTTAAACAAAGATTGTCACCCTTTTTTATCAGCACCAATATCAGACGGTGTATCTCAACCAATGCCCAACTCTTTGCTTTAAATAAGTTAGCAACACCTTTACAAAGTGCCTCGCTTGTTGTTTATTTGACTAAGGGTACCTAAATTCAACTCAGTGGACTAGGCGCGCGCTCTTGTTACACTCTATAACATCAACCAAAGCCTTTCCTCCAAACTCCTGTGTGGAGATGCAAATGGGTGCCGAATGAAAAACTCATGCACAATACTATTGCTAGAAGGACTTTTCAGAGGATACTCTCATTTCTCGAAACTGTTTTTACTGGCATTTATCCACTGCTAATAGCAGATTCTTTCAGCTCCTGCTCCCAGACCTACAATTGAGGCATTTCAATGCGGCTTGACTTCATCGTCTTAGATGCAACTTTCTGGAAACAAAAATAGGAGCTTGCTCTCTTCCTTCCTTGCGGCTACAAGAGATGAAATTAATCAAATATTATCTGACACCAAGGGGATTGCAGAACCAAAGAGTAAAGATGTCTAAGCCTTCTTCCTCCGTGCCCTCTCGCCGTCAATGTGATCTGCCAGACAATTACAACATCTCCATATTACTACCACGTTTCCTCAAATATTACAAAATCGTTGACAGTATGCCCAGAATATCCTTAATATCCGTCTCTCTCATATGATGCCAAACAACCAAAAAGGCCGCCTAACAAATAAAAGAGGACAAGATGAACAAGGATATATACCGGCTAAAACCACCGTTTGGTCTGCAATAAAGCTGGTTACATAGGGAGAAGCTCGCCTTGCGGAGGCTTACCTAGTAGCAAACGTTATATTATGTCCCTTGTCCTTTGATATTCTACTTCTGTTCATGGACAACATCTTGCTCACTAGGGCTCCTTCCGCGATCAACGAAGCGGTAGAGAAACTCGTAGAGGCCGCAGAGGATGAGCTGCTCGACAGAAAAGTTAAGAGAATATATCAACCAACCTCTCGTGAGAGCTCTGACGTATCTAATGGTGTACGTCTGTCCTGATCTCGCATTTAATATGTCAAAACTGTCAAAAATATGCCTCAAAACCAGAAAAATATCATATAGAAGTGGCGAGAAGGACACTCCATTACCTATGCGGAACGTTCGACTTAAGCATCCTTAGAGGATACAACCAACAACTACTTTTACATCCTTCAAAAGGCAGATTGGAATGTGAAATGAGACCCACAGCCCCACCGCCTACTCGACAAGGGACAGCACTCTTAGGAGCGTTGAGCACCAGCTTGAGTACGACGCAATTGGCTTTAGCCTGTAAAGGGATTGCATGAAGCATTAAAGTGATCTATAATCCCGGAATTGAAGATAATATATTCTCATAACCTCCAGTTATTCCGTCGCCTTACACCTAGTCCAATGCTTCGATATCAGTTTATCTGGCTCAGCTAACCATCCTTTCAAATCATCCCATCGGCCTTTCCTCAATGGATCCAGACGCATCAGCTCGGTAAGCCATCCCGATATTCGTTGCTGTTGTACTGTGTCCACTTGTTTGTTTATTTTCGCAACAAGTAACGTGTAAGTAATCAGCGCTTGATATATCCATTTACAATCATTGGTATCCTCCAGTATATCTTCGATGGCTTCAATTTCTTGCCTAAGATACTTAAGCCGGTCACTATCAGCCAAGTTCGGAGCCATCGTCTGGGAGGCAAGCTCCATATCACAGGTGCACATCAAGTTCTGGTGGTAAAACCAAATTGACTGGTCGTATGGGTCAATTAATGCACGATGGACGAGACCCAGCTCTGTAAATGCGAGACACTTTAGTATAACCATGTGGATTGAGTGATAATAAAATGATAAACATACCGCTATCCAGCATACTTTTTCTCTTTTCATCATCAGCTGCACTTTCGTCTAAAACCTTTAGAATTAGTTTAGACCGGCTGTGCCATGCCGAAAAATTAGACAGATTGGTTCCAATCATTTTCATGGTATAATCCAGTTCATCCTGTGTCATGCTTTTTGGAGACTCGCTAACTGAAGGTTCCGATGGCTCATTTGGTATGCTCTCAAGTGCATCAACCACCGCTCGTCTATATCCCCACCCGTGGAAATTCCGCCCATCTCTATTAAGCATCTTACCAACCAGACCAAGTTCGGTTTCCCAAAACTTCCGCGATACTGCTCCCTCTAAGAGTTCAGTCGCTTGTTGTAGAAGCCATAATCTATGGTTCCAGATCCAGTAGCATTTTGGGTTCTTCTGCAGTAATGGTACAAGGAAACCCAGGTCATGTTGGATAAGTTCTCGAACATGGTCTTCGGACTGCGCCTGCGTGGACTCCGGTCGTTCTAAAAACATAGACTGCAATATTATGCGTCTGTAATTCCATATGGTATAGTACTCGGCATTTTTTAAGAGTAGCTCTGAGGTCTTATCAAATGCTCCTTTGGAGAAATCACCCTCCACTTTCTACATGTCGGCATCAGTCTGTCGGTTCCTTAGAGATATATAACGCGGTTATATGCACCTTTTGAAGGACAAGTTTGTCAAGAGCCTGGTATTCTTTTATAGCCTTAAGTTCAGCCTGCCGTTGTGCTTCTGTTCTCTCGTTTGTTGACGCTTGTCGTAAAACTCCGTGCTTGATAGGGGTTATCATCAAGTACATACAAGGATGAGAAAATCAAGGGGAGAGACAGCCACCTACGCTTGACATATCTACGCCAACACATCAGCTAGATGGTTTTTTCCCCTTCTCTTCCAAGATCAACTTGCTCTTTTGTCTTTCTCTTCCTTGCGAGTTTCTCGATGCCTTGACATATCACGTGAATATACACAGTTTAGTCATCACGAGTTTAAAAGGGAGAGCGAAGGTTTCCCTTTTGGGAAAAAAACAACAACATCCCATCGAGAGGAAGGCGAGAAGTGTTAGACATGGCTGCTCAAGATGAAGAGAAGAGACTCTTTCACGCGAGAGACTCTTCATCTCGTCATGGTGAAGCACAGGGAGCCTTTTATTCTTACTTATGTACGTACGACTTTTGTGAAGTGCTGATGTACCTTACGACTGCGCTGTCCAACGGCGATAATGCCATCAAGGGACTATGAAACCGAGGGACCATCATCCTTCGCTGATAGGCCTTCTGTTACCATCTCTACCTCGCACAGAGAACCGGAAGCCCCCAGGCAAACCGCACCAGTCGCTGCTCCGGTTTCTCCTACCGAGACTGAATTCCCTTCTCTATTTTCACCGGCAGATTCTCACCATAGTCAGCGTACCGCTGCCAGCAGTATTCCTAGCAATGATTATTTTTTGATAAGGGGACTTGAAGACCCTTTTGGACTGAAAGAGGATACAGAGGATGTCACAACATCTACTCCAACCTCGTCAAGGCTATCATACAACACCCTAAGATCTCCAGACCGTTTCTTACCAAGTAGAAACCGGAATAGTCCCGCATCTTTGCCGTTTAGGCTGTCTAGAGATCCATGCTTCCTCTCACCTACTGAACGTACGTACCGGCTCAGGGATCCCAGCGCTGATGTTTTTGCTTATCCCCCTTATCGCCATGCCATTGCAGAAAGCATTGAAATTGGGGACTCTAGAATCTTGCCTCGTCACTTACCTCGTTATATAAACCATGGCCTCCTTAGTGAACATCCGTCTAATCCGGGTGAGATTGCACCAACCAGGAGGATTAGAACCCATGCAGTTTGGACATTTCAAGGCATTACAGTAAACCCGCGTGGACCCCGCAATGCAGTTTCCGATGGCCGTGGAGGTCTTCTTGGGAGCGGAACCGTAGCACCCCTTTATATAGCGAACTTCCTCGCAAAACAAACACCAGTCCAGGATGATCTGGCATATGAATCACGTCTTGCATATGCCCTAGATGTTGACCAAGCAGCCAGGGTTCTCGATTTATCGCCACAACAGCCTCTCCAAGACAAGATAGTCCCGTTGATTAGCTCTCCAGTCAGATGGGGCGGTAATGGCTGGGGAAGTGACGATTCGAACTCGTGTAAGTGAACAAGTGGTGCCAAATAGAGGAAACCTTTCCTTTTTGTGGCACACATGTGCCTACATTGCTATCTTGTTAACGCCTCAAACAGCTACTCCTAAGAAATCGTCCAAGAAGTCATCTAAGAAGGCATCTAGGCCAGTGCCTTCAACCCCTTTTCGTGTTCTAGACGCGCCCCTCCTTAGAGATGACTTCTACTGCTCTACACTGGCATATTGCTACACTGCCCGAGTTTTAGCTGTTGGCCTTGGGCACAGGGTGTATATATGGTCCGAAGGGACAGCTGTAAAGCATCCCCCGTTGAAGAACTACCCAGTTTCTAACCACGTTACCTCGCTGTCTTTTTCATCTCAGGTGGGTGGACAGAGTATACTGGCCGTTGCGCGTCATGGCGGCCAGGTTACTCTATGGAGCACATTTGATTCTGAACCTCGGTTTGAATTCAAGATCCCCCATGCTGCATCCAATGTCTGCTTTAAAGGCCGCACCGCTCGTAGATTATCGAGTCGGGATGGTTTGTCTTCTGTGAATGTGGAGGAACTCGTTATAGGCGACGAACGAGGACAAATCTGGTATTATTCTGTGGAGTGGACAAGTGATAAATGGAGGAAACGTTACAAGTGGGATGGTGCAATGACTCTCATTGCAAAGATTGCGGCACACACGCAGCAAATTTGTGGGATGGCTTGGTCTCCTGATGGTAGGTACTTGGCCACGGGTGGAAATGATAACCTTTGCCTCGTTTTTGATACCGTTGAACTTGTCAGGAAGAGGGAAAACTATGGTGTTTGCTCTTCTCAAAAACCAAACTGTCCAGGCGCCGACTCTATACTCTCAAGTAGGCTATGTCTACTTCAGTCCTACTTTCGATGTGGAAATACACAAGCCAGCGCTTTATCTACCCGCAATAGTATTTCAGAGGCAGGTTCTTCTCAGCCTTCTAGAGGGAGGTCACTTAATGACCCACCCTCAAGACAACCGCTCACCATACCGGCAGACTCGCAAAAGCACAAGTTCATGCATGCTGCTGCAGTCAAAGCAATCGCATTTTCACCCTGGCAGCCAACTCTCATAGCAACAGGTGGCGGTACAAACGATCGATGCATTCGATTTTTCCATGCTATTTCCGGCGCGTGTCTAGCTATTATCAACGTTCATGCGCAAGTCACAAGCCTTATATGGAGCAAAACCAGGCGTGAGATAGCTGCAACGTTCGGATACGCCTCTCCCGAACACCCCTATAGGATAGCTGTCTTTGCGTGGCCGAGTTGCCAACAGGTCGTGGCTATCCCATGGTCGGTAGCTACAGGCCATGAACGATATGGTAGCACGGACCCGAGTGACTGCGGCCGCGCACTCTGGGCTATCAGTTATCCGGGCGGTCCCAACGAGATGGTGCATCAGCTTGCTGAGCCTGCGTCCCACAGGCCCCGTGGCAATGGTCATGGCCCTAACAGGAGTGATGCCGGTTCAGAAGACTCTCAGCCTTCCCTTTCTAACAAGGAAGGAGACACATGGTGGTCGCGCACAGCTGAAGAAGGATGCATTATTGTAGCTTCTAGCGATGAGTCCGTGAAGTTCCACGAGGTTTGGAGCGGAACACCCAAGACCATCACTGGTACTAGCGGGATGCTGGGCGGGAGTACAATTCTAGAGAGCCTAGAAGGTATTGAGAAGGAGATAGAGATTATTAGATGATACGGTTGGCTTGTAGCATGGAATCCCTAACTATTTTGGAGTTGGCTCGAAATAAACCCTGAAGGTCTCCATTGACTGTGAATGTGCATGTAACGATATGCATCAACTACAATACCTAAATACACTATATGAAATATCATTATCTGTTCATTGCTTTCGATTTATTGCCCTTAACGAGATATAGCGAGAAGGACATATTTAGTAACCTTCTATCTTATAGTTAACCAAGTCGGGTTTTGTTAGCTACTACATCAAATCTTCGCTGTCTTGCCGTAGCCATTTGTACATAGTGCACGCCATTATCGAATAGAAACACACGAGCTTTACAGGAATATTTGTTATCGAAAGCTCATTCATCCCCATCACAAAATGACAGCAACACGATGAAGGTCGCGACAATACTCCAGCGGCTTTCAGGAGCCTCACCAAGGCTTTATAGGAACGGCCGTCTTTCTCCTTTCTCATCTTTTTCCTCGCAAGGCCAATCGTTCCCAATATCCACCCGGAGTCTCGCAGAACATGACAAGTTCTTCCAATACACCAGCGGCCGCTGGGTTTGGGACGAAGAGAAGCAACTTAAGGATCGATTTGCGCCTTTCAATGTGATGGAACTCCAGCGCATCGCAGCTGAAAGCATTGGAGCAAATAAATGCATTTCTATGACGAAGCTGGCTGAAGGCTCTTATAACAAGACTTTTTATCTTATAATGGACAACGGGTCTACTGTTATTGCAAGGATACCTCATCCTATTGCCGGACCCAAATATTATACCACAGCATCAGAGGTGGCGACAATGGACTTTGTAAGATACCAATTTTATTTATTACCTTCAGCAGATTACCGGACACCTCTGGTTTATACTCTAAGATAGGCCCGTACTGTTCTCCAGATACCTGTGCCGCGGGTTCATGCATGGAGTGCACGCGTTGATAACCCCGTTGGTGCTGAATATATCATCATGGAAGAAGCTTCGGGGGCGAAGCTGGAGGATGTATGGGATGATCTTTCTTTAGAAGACAGAATCGCCATCATGAAAGATCTGGTTTCGATCGAGAGCAAGCTTCTTTCGGTATCTTTCAGCCGGTACGAACAAGTCTGAATTCAATGAAGCGCAACGGACGAAGCTGACAGAATATAAGGTATGGGAACCTGTATTACTCCGGCGAGGCAATTCCCGGAGCTATGGGAGCTGAAGTTGTGAATGATACATCTACAGAAATCAAAAGGGACGTCAAGACGCGGTTCTCCATCGGCCCAGCTATTGAAAGGGATTTTTGGACAAAAGAACGTTCGGTGATGGATATTGATAGGGGTCCATGTAAGCCAATGTGTTGCCAGCCATTCAATGTCTCTGATACTTAAGTTCCTTCAGGGCACCATCCACAGGAGTACGTGGTGGCTTTGGCACGCCGTGAACAGGAATGGATCAAGCGATATGCGATACCCAAGGCTGCGGACGATCCGTTCATAACATCTGCAGCGCAAAATTCCCCTGAAGAACATCTGTCTCTTCTCGAAAATTATTTACGGGTTGCCCCTTATCTATTACCCACAGAGAACCCGGAACTCGTCGCATCTACGATCTGGCATAGCGATCTTCATGCTGGCAACCTCTTCGTAGAAAAAGGCCGTATCACTGGTGTGATTGACTGGCAGGAAGCTTGGGCTGGACCTCTAGTACTACAAGGACGCCATCCACGCCTTGTTGATTACCATGGTGATATCATTTTGAAACCACCGCCTAATTTCAAGGACCTCAAACCGCATGAGAAGATCCTGCTGAGAAGACAGATCGCCAGTTCCATCATTGTTTATCTTTATGAACGGCAAACAGCCAAAGTCAACCCTAGATTAAACAAAGTATTGCGTCTAAAGCTTGGGCGAGTAAGGTGTGAGCCTATATGTTTCATCAGCAACACCTGGGACGGGGATATATTGCCATTGCGCGAATCACTGATAAAAGTGGAGAGGTACGTTTTGTGACATACGTTCGCTCTCAATATGCATTCTAACTCATGATATAGGTATTGGGATGAGCTAGGCTTCAACTTTGCATGTCCAATTCACTTCACACAAGACGAGCTGCAGAGACACGTAGAGGATGGAGAAGGATGGAACGAAGTCCAAGACTTCTGGAGGGATATTGAGGGAATCGTCACGCGTGATGGATGGACTCCGCACGGTACATATGATGAAGCTGCGGCTCTTTTCTCCGAACTAAGAGAAATTGGGCTGAGGAAGCTCATAGGCAAGGAGAGGAGGGACTTTGATGCACAGACGCGGTGTTTGCGGAGCTGGAAAGATGATATTCATGGCTCAGATCCCAAATGACAGCCAGCATCTCTACGTGGTTCTTCATTGCGGTCTATAAGCCCTCCCTTCACCCGGATAGTAGCATTGGGTCTAGAGCCTATCATCTCCGCTCGTACCGTCAATGGCTTTTGGGATGCGCATCTTCAGTTATAGACGGTCAACCGGATCAATCTTTGTGACATTGGAGAGGGACACAGCTTGGTTTCAATTTCATCTCCACACCTTTCAATATGATAACATTCAATTTCCGCCACCCTTGAGCTGTTACGAGGGGTATGAAAGCTCAAACAAAACTGGGCAAGCGGGCCAACCGGGCTTGTGAGCGTATCGGCCGGTTGAATGGAGATGAATTTGACCCTCCAAAGTTGGAAGACACTGATACTTCAAAGTTGGCCAACCTGGCGTAAATGCTGTAACATAACTTTGGGCGAGCGACAAGATAGAAATCAAGACAGATAATCTGATAATGCAAAGTAGTATTTTTTTTTCTGAATAAAACAATAGACACAAACAATAGAATGTCAGACAAGGGCGCGGTATGTAAAGCATTAGAAGTGATTCCTCTCCCATTTTGAAGAATCGCTCAATGAATAAATGCCAAAAAAGAAAAGAAAAAAAAAAGACCATAATAACGAGGCGCAAACAGTGAGGTGATGGTAGTATTTAGGCCTCTTTTGTTCGCTTCATTCCATTCTATATGGGTGTATCACCATTCATTATTTGTAAATTCTTCCTTGCCCTGGCATCTAGCTAGCAGGTTTTCACTTCCTCTTCGGTTTTGTAGCAGGGGTATCAGACACATCGGACTCCGCTTCATCTGAGTGAGCAAGGAATTCTAACAGACTCGCTTCCTCTTCCGGGTTTAGTTCCTCGTCGCTATCCTCTTCATCATCTTCTTCATCGTCACCAGAGACCTCCGCCTCGTCATCAATCAATTCTTCCTCATCATCTTCATCTTCGTTATTTTGTTCTCCTTCCTCATCGTACTCTACGCCATTTGTCATGGGCATATCTTCGTCTCCCTCCTTGTCGGCAAACATGTTATCATCCAATATATCACGAGACTTTTTGTCTTCACCGTCAGCTATGAGTTTCATGGCGTCGTCATCTTCTTCATTTTCGACGATGTCCTCCTGGCCTTCGACGTAGATGACTCGTTCCTCATCTGGATCGATGACACGACCGTCTCGGCCCTGAAGGCTTTGTCTCAATGTAAGTTGTGCATCGAGCATGTCTAACTTCCCCTTTAGGAGTAAGAGGGAAGGTAAACTTGCTGCTCGCTGCTCCATGACTTTGAATAACGAGCTGACTTTCTTAAGGACATCTGGGTTAGAGGCGATGGAGCCACCGTGGGCAATGCATGTCCATTGCACCCACATGAGCAGGTGTCCGTATCTCCCAGGACGCGTGGACAGACGCTCAGCTAGCTTCTGTAGTAAGGTAGCTGCAAGGGATGAGTCGAGACGCTGAACGGTTGTTTTTACAATGGCCATGTCTGTAGTGTGGAAGCAGGATTCTAGTAGAGTGTTGTCGTTTGTTTTAAGGGATTGAGAGAGGACGGTAGCAAGGGAGAGGCCGGGGGGAAGTTGGCGTGCTTGGGTAGGGAGAGTTTTTGATTGGAGAAGGGAGGTTTTATCCATGAAGTCTGCGGAGACACTGATTGTCTGGGGAGCAGAGGCCAGCAGTTCGCCAAACGATGGTTCCGCGGCGTCATCAGCGTCCGTCTGATCGGCCATTTCGACGTCTTCGTTGACCGTCGTTACGGCATTGGAAGCTGGGTCTGCATCATCTAGCTCTTCATCCGAATCGTCATCATTGTTAGAGTCCACAGCATCAGCCTCTTCCACTTCACCGTCTATGCCTTCGGCAAAACCACCTTGTTCAACTATAGCCTGGCTCTCATCGACGTGACTCTTTCCTAGGTCCTTGACACCGTTCATCATAGCATTGCCAATGCTGGAGGAAGACTTGCCGCGCACCAACTCGGTTTCACCACTGTATATCAGCTCCTGCTTTGTTTCATCCAGCCATGGTATCCTATCAAAGACAAGGTCTATTCCTCCCTCAACCCAGGCAACTACAAGGTCCGCGCCATCAAAGCATACAGATATCACGGGCACACGAGTTTGAGCTTTGTCAGGCTTAACCAGCTTTATGATAGCATCTGGTCGACGTGTCATTGACTTGCGCAGTGATTTGAGACTAGCGCCGGCGCTACCTGACGCTGAAACGCCACCGAATTTATGGAATGGGTTCGAGAAGAGCTCGATTGCACCATCGCGGGTGACGACAGCCAGCTGTTGTCTTTGGCTTGGGTCTGCTGTCTCGGTACTTCCCTGGTGAGAGCCAGGGTATAAAGAGACAAGATCGATTTCTTTATCCGCGACCAGCGAACCGAGCAGTTTTTTGTTCTCGGAGTTGAAGACATTTATGTAGCGGTCAGAATCAGAGGCCAGAAAGGGCCCAGATAGATCGGTGTAGTCTGTGTTGGAGGAGATGAGCGAGTGAACTACGTCTTTCATCGAGCTGAAGGATGGCTCCGCATCATCGATTTCATTCTCAGGATCAATCAAGTATGGTGTTTGAGATGCGCATAGCACCGGTGGGCTTGCTGGTACTGGCCGCGCTAACGTAGAGACGGAAGTTGATGGCAACGAAATTATCCTGTAGACAAGTTAGTGTTTCCAGTATCATAGATGCATGCCAAAAGTTGAAACTCTCGTACCGTATCACGTTCCCTTTGCGCAAATTCCACTGCACCAGCTTCCCATCACCGCCGATACTCCATCCTTCCTGCGCAGGCTTCTTGGGCGTGAACTTGAAATCTCTGATTCCCTTCTCGTGTCCACCAGCCAAAACACCAGTGACCTTGTCCTCAGCAGGACAATACATCCTAATCTCAGACGTGTTTGTACCAAACGCAACCACAATAGCACCGGCATCATCCCCGGTTCCAGCAGCAGCACCGTTGACTCCGGAGTGCCGTTTGCGCCTCTTCTTCATGGGCTGGTCACCCCGCAGAGCTTCACCATAGTATCCCCAGTCTAAAGAGGTAACCGACTCCTTGGGGTTGACTGCATGTTCGCACTGTAGTCGCCCTGAAGAGGTGTTGTGTATCCTTATATGATGCGCATCTAGACCCTGGATGACGGACGCAAAGAGGGCCAATTGGAATTCAGAGGGAGAGAAGGCCGATCGAATGATGGACGATTTCTTCACGGTCACCGTCGCAGAGGCTGTGGAAGGGGTAGCGGTGGAGGATATCTTCGACACTGCTCGAGACGAGCTCTTTTTCCCCATCTTGGGCAAGTATATATATTCTAGGATATCTCCGGGCAGAGCTGTACTAAGAAAAGAAACAAAAATACAAGGACTCCCAGGTCCGTCTTCAGCAGTCAATGGGCGGTATAAGCTCTAGATGAAATGAATGTATCCCGCTCCGCAAGACCTGGAAGAGCTTCCGACCTCTTCGTGGGTTTTACAAACTTCCTCACAATGTCTTTTTTCCAGCTTTGGCATTTTTTTTTTCTTTTAAGCAGCGAAAAAAAAAATTAAAGGTGAGCAGCACGTGAGCTTAACCTCTTTCGGCTTAGCTCAGCGGGCGTTCCTTGGCGCTTACCGTCTGTCGGAAATATATAATCCCGCTCTGGCTGACCATCATCTTACTCATCTTCACGTGACTACCTGGCTGAAGGGATAAAAATGGCTTCTTCCCTCCCGCTTTCCTGGGTTTGATTTCATCTTCACATTTTGTGCCATCGACAGCGCACGGCAACATCGCACTGCTCTGCATCATCTACGACCCTTCTATACGTTTTCCTGCTACTGTCATGGCTCGAAGTGACGTGCTACCTTTATAGTTGAGTTCGATAAATAGGATCTACCGGGATAGGTCGTTCGAGAGCATCACCGCTACAGGGCCTCGCTCTTAAGGAGATAGCTTTATATCTTACGGAATATGGAGTCTTGTAGCTTGCCCATCTGTTTTTGCTGTTTCAACGCTGCTTGTTTTATGTGTTGCTTTTCCAGTCGCCCGCAAAATACCCCTCACGTGATATTGAAAAATGAAATCTCACGTGATGAGAAAAATTTCTGACATAAGGGGGGGGACTTTAACCCCCTATGACGAAACGTGTTACGGGAAAATTCAATAGAGTGTGCGACTACATCAAAAAGGCGAGGCGAACGCACACTGCAGATGATATATATGATCTATGGTGCAGGACAAGAAACATGCATCTAGGCCGGTCGAGATGAGCATCTTTGTGGATGGGAGACATCGATGCATGCGACCATCTGCTCTTTTTATGAGCAGAAGAGACAGAGATCAAGGAGAAGGGGGGGAGGGGTTCGAAGGAGGATGTATCGCCATACCGTGTAATATACCCAGGCAACCACGAAAGAACGCCTAGAAGGTCGCGTCGGTACGATACCGTACGGCCTCCTTTCAAGTAGTTCTCCCAAAGGAGACGAGGGTGGGTCCGGCCCAGCCAACCAGAGCACGACGCGTCATCCTGTAGCCAATCAGAAGCCGTCAAGTCTCCACTTCAGGGACCGCCCACATTAGTTCGGCCATCCGAGGTTAGCGGCAGGAGGCTGCGGTGATTTCCTAGCAGCACGAAAGAGGCCCGTACTTATAAGGATTCCTCGCACCCCCCCCCTTCCGACCTTTCACTCTTTTCACGCTTTTTCCTATTTCCTCGCATCGCCGTGTTCCGCCTTTGCACTTGTTGCCACGCACCGCGATAAGCCCACTCCTTCGCCTCTCTCCTCCCACCACCCCTGCGGCCCACTTCGCCACACGCACACGCTGCAAAGACCTCTCTCCCTGCACAGCAATTGAGATACCAACGCCCACGACCTCGTCGCCCTTCGCGCACGCACAGCTCTCTCTTTTTCTTAATACATACTTCAAACCCCCCCTTCGTCTTAGTAAGCTTCACTGCTTATCTAAGCTCTCTCTCTAAAACCAAGTGTAAGCACCTTTTTTCCCTTTGCTTTGCGTTTTAGCCGCGTCGCGGTTAAGCTCCGCGCCAACCACGGTTATCTCCCTCTCTATCCCAACCACAGTACATCAGCCTTTGGTCGTTGTGGTATAAGAAGGCCGGCATCTTCCACTACACCTGCTTTTACAGCCCTTTTTTTTTACGTTAAAGCCAAAAATAAGTACCACCCCCTGAAAACTAGCACTCTATCTACATATCATATATATCTTGATTAAAAAGGTATATACATACATATATACATTGAATAAACGCCTGGTTTGATACCCTCCGCGGGACGAGGACGGGTTTACTTTCCATAAGAGAGTTTTTCGCACTAGGGTTGTCCTATTGTTGTTGACGTGGATTTGATCCCCACCGCAACAGTGGCTTCAACTGCTAGTGAAGAGTTATTGTTCAATATCAAAGTGTCCTCTTGCTGTGTTCTTCTTCCTAATCTATTTCCGCAGTATATTTTTTCCCCCCTCCCTCCCCTTGCTTCTCTCACTTTCTCCCACCTTCTGTTGCTCCTTTATTCTAGCAAAAATTTTACTTTTCCAGAGCTGAATTCCTCTGACTTACCCCATGTCTATTACGTCAACAGTGCTCACTGCTCATCACACACCACCCACAAACCACTGCAGGCAATTTCTCTCCTGTCTATTATTGATTGGAGGCCTATCGTATCCTTCGTCTGCCCTCCGTCGCCTGCCCTGCACGCCTTACTACCGCGGAGCAAAGCGTTCAAGCATCAGGTACACTGGAACCCCGTCGGCTACCACCTGGCATCCACAGCTATGACAACACCGCCAAATGAAGGCGCCGCAGTTGTCCCTGGCCCGGTACAGCCAGCTCCAGAGAACCAGCCGGGGGTGCAGACTGACGTTCACTCAAAGTAAGCTATCCGGTCATGAAGTTACTTCTTTTATCTGTTGTTTTGGCTAACGCGTCGTAGTGAATCTAGCTCGAAAACTTTGCCCAAGACCGAGTCACCTGCTGAACAACCGGAAGCTCCTAGCGCAAATGGGAATTCTCAGCCACAGTTGAATGGCCATTCGTCCATATCGAACGGCGTGGAGCCAAAGCCAGAGCCTTTTGACCAACAGGAACCCCCTCCAACTGATTTGCTTTCCCCCGTTGGTCAGCCAGAGAACCACAAGACTGCAGGCGTGGAATCTGAAACGGCAGCCTTACATTTAGGTTCGAGCACCGGGACTGAAGATGTGAAACGAAAATCCGGGAGTTACGCTCCCGTCAAGGCATCCGCTGAAGCCACCGAAGTCGATAGCAAAATGGAAATGGGGGAAGATAATGCTAACAAGGGCGATACCTCGAATATCAATACCAACATGGGCCAAGATGATGCGCATGATTCTTTATTCTCATCCGCCCCAGCACCAGGCCCTTCAGAGGGACAGAGCGTGGACCATGACATGGGAATCACCCCAGCACCCGTGGCATCGAATATCGCACCATCACAGCAGGAGGAAAAGCCGGAATCTATGGCAACCGAAGTTGATGGCAAGGGCAAAGAGGATTACGTCATGAAGGATGTGCCGGAAGCAAGCCCATCAGCTGGAGAACCAACCACATTCAAGGTCTCTCGAGAACGCGAAGATGATGAAGAAGAACGGGCAGCAAAACGTAAAAAGACTGAAGACCTTGGTCCTGATCAACCGGCTCTCGAAGCTCCTGCTCTTCCGCCGTCGTCGTCTGCTGAGCCCGCTGCCCCGGCTACTCCGGCCCCCGAGACTTCGAACGGTCTCCCAGACGTACTTCGGGACATGACGAAGGCTCAGACTAAGTTCTTTACTCGCACATTCCAGAATCTGAAACGGCTCACCGATGCTCAGATGTTCAAGTTTCCTGTCGATCCGATAAAGCTAAACATACCTACCTACTATGACTTTGTCAAGCATCCAATGGACTTGCAGACTATGGAGGGTAAATTAAAATCGGATCGTATCGTACTCCACAGGAGGTGGTCGACGACTTTAAGCTCATGGTCAACAACTCGAAGACATTCAACGGACCGGGACACGTTGTCTCACAGGCTGGAGACCGCCTATATGAGAATTTCGAAAAGCAGCTTAAAAAGCTGCCTGGCCACGATGAACCCGACGTCACCCCGGCCGAAAAGAAGACCAAGAAGGCTGCAACCCTGCCAACCAAAACACAACCTTCTCGACGGGAGACGCGGCCCGCTGCTCCCCCTCCCCCTCCTCCGGTTGCCGCACCGGCTCCGCGGGCCAGCACCGCAGGGTCGCCTACGTTTGCTCTCGGTCCAGAGGGCCTTCCTCTGATCCGTCGTGACTCGACTACTGTCGATGGTAGACCAAAGCGATCCATCCACCCGCCCAAAAACCGTGATCTTCCCTTCTCCATGAGACCCAAGAAAAAGAAGTTCCAATTAGAACTGAAGTTCTGCCAGGAGGTGCTTGATGAACTACACAAGCAAAAACATTACCCGATCGCGTCATTTTTCTACGTCCCTGTCGACCCAGTTGCCCTCAACATCCCTACCTATCACAATGTAATTAAGAAACCGATGGACTTGCAGACAATGCAAACCAAGCTGTCGACCGGCCAATACGAAAACGCTAAAGAATTCGAAACGGACATGCGCCAGATTTTCAAAAACTGCTATAAATTCAACATCGTCGGTGACCCCGTGTACTCTGCTGGAAAGGCCACTGAGGACCTCTTCGATCGTAAATGGAGCCAAAAGGCGCGATGGCTAGAGGCGCATGAACCGGCCTCGGGCCACCAGTCGGCCGGCTCTTCGGACGAGTCTGACGAGCATGAAGAGGAGGACAGTGATGATGACCAGGAGAAGCTGACGATGCTGCAGAAGCAGATTGCCGAAATGTCCAAGCAGGTTGAGGCAATTACGAAAAAGAAAAAGACACCCCCTGCCTCGAAAAAGTTGACCAAGTCCAAGGGGAAAAAGGATGGGAAGAAAGGTGCTGCCGGAACGGTCAGCAAGAAGGATAAGAAAGGTGGTGGTTCAAAGGCAAAGTCCGAAAAGAACCGCTATATCACTTATCAGGAGAAGACTATGATTTCCAATGGCATCAGCAGCTTGCCTGAACATAAAGTGAGCGAGGCTTTGGCTATCATCCAGAAGGATGTGCCTTCTCTCCGGGTAAGTGGTCTCGACACCTTGATTTTTCTCATGCACGGTATCCTGTACTAACAATTATTGCATAGGGACTTAATGAATCTGAAATCGAGTTGGACATCGACGAGCTTCCTAACAATGTGCTTTTGACGCTCTTAAAGTTTGTTAAACAAAACGCACCGGCTTCCGTCTTGGACGGACTTGATGAGCCAAGCGATGCGGAGCCCCTCCCTTCCTTGCCTCAGCCAAAACCGAAGAAGAGCAAGCCTATGAACAAAACAGAGCAAGAGAAACAGATTCGTTCTCTGCAAAGCAACCTGTCGAAATTCAAAGGCGGTGCTGGTTCAGGATCCGCGGCTGGAGGACACTCCTATGAGCAGGGTAAGTTTACCACCAAAGATATCATTATACTCTTTCCCCGGAGTTGGCTTGACTGAATGCTAATCACATTACTTTTTTTTCAGCTCACATGTCCGAAAGCAGCGGTGACGATGAAGATTCGGAAGAGAGTGAGGAAGAGTAGACGAGTCATCACGACTTCCGGCCCCATTGCCCCATTCAGGAATGATGGGTTGACCAGAATTTGCATGCACTCTGTCGACGTTCTATCCGATTATGGCGGAGGGATAGTGCAAATCTACCTACAGGCTGCCTCACACATCTCATCACTTCATGATCCCATGTTCTCGATCTCTTCTCTTCGTCTCTCCTGTCTAACATGCATACTACATGTATCTATTAGCAGGGATAAGAAGTCCACGCCAATCAAAAAGAGGGTGTCACTCCAAACCGTTATCCAACAATCTTTGCTCCCCTCTTCAGCTTCTCAATGGGTCTACCGTTCTCCTCCACCGACATGGCCCATAGACCAACCGGCTAATGTTCGCGTTATTAGACCTTCTATTCCCGTTTCATCATCTTTTTTGTTTTTTTCTCGCTTCTGCCCTTTTTATCTGCCTTTTTTACATATCAGCGCTGGGAAGGGACTTGGACTTGGAGTTCATTGCATCTGTTCATGGAAAGCGCTCTTACCTACATGTATGTGTCTACGGGATTTTCTTTTCCTTTATTTCTTCTTCTTTTAATTTCTCCCCCTTTTTTAACCATCTGGAGTTTGTGATGTAAGGTTTAGTTTTGTTTTCTTTTGGTTCCTGGCCCTTTTTCCTTATCCTGTTTTCTTTTCACTTCAGGGGTACTGTTGTCTACTATGTAAGGAGAAGGGAACCAAAAAACCACACACTAAAAGATGTATTAAGATGTTGATGTACGATTAATTATGACAAAAATTGACTCTCCTTTTTCATTCTTTATACCTATAATGTCTTTGAATGGATAATAATCAGTTGAAGCTGTTGCATAATATGAAGATTGGTATTCATTTATCGTAGATACTGATATTTCCTTGCAATTCTATTGGCTTAGAATGAAGGTTTCCGTATTAATATGTAATGTTATTACCAAGAATGTGACTAAGCGGTGAATAACCTTAACAGGAAATTTTCCGCTACACATCCACATGACCTGAATATTAATATGAAAATATCATATGACTATTAATCATCATAATGAACGATGACATAATTAAGGAATTTTATCAAAATCGCCACAGGAAATTTCTCGAGATTAAAAGCACGAAAGCAGTCAAATCAACTTTTTCCATTACGATCATTTTATTCGGAGTCTTTTACTGTTAGGATTAAACCGTCATCATGGCTGACTCGCTCTCTATCTATGACGAAATCGAAATCGAAGACATGACCTTCGACCCTGTGCTTCAGATATACCACTATCCATGCCCCTGCGGGGATAGGTTTGAAATCGGTCTTGCAGACCTGCGTGATGGAGAGGAGATCGGGATTTGTCCCAGCTGCAGCCTGATGATCAGAGTCATCTTCGATGAGGTAGGCTATACGAAGTGGGCGGCAGGCGATAAACCGATGAGTTTAGTTGGGCGAATGCTAATATGAGTTTGCGCAGGCTGATCTGCCAAAGGATGACAGCGCTGATAATGGGGGAGTGGCTTCTGCTATTACTGCATGATTTTCGGGAGATAAAGGTTTTATGTTGATGATAAACGCGATGAAAACGATTACTTCGGTCGAAGGCCGGGGGTTGGCGACGGAAGGATACAAAGTCGAACTTGTTCATTCAGGCCTCCCGGTACGAGCCACGTTACGAGTGACGGACGAAATAACAGTCATCGCTCGGCTATAGATCCTTCCGGATGGAAATATACGGCCTCGGAAGAGTATTGTAAGGCCTACTGAAGCCAGGGTCAGGAATCTATAGGTTTCCACGCGATCTTGATAGAAGGAGAAGCCAGGGAGAGACTGAAGTCTCCACCATAATGCTATAGCATTCGGTATTGTTGTCATAAACAAAACAGCATGTACATATACAAGATTGAATTGATCTCTGTTGCAATTCAACAAATGTCTAGTTTGGAAACCAACAGACATATAAAATCTTGAGCATCTTTTTCACTCATAGATCTTTGCCCTCAGCTCCAGGTTCAACTCTGTATTCAAAATATCAGTCAGATTCGTCCCGTCACGAAGGTATATCCACTGTCCGCCGGTATATTCCCTAGTCCCTTCTTTCTCGGCCATCTCGTCACCTTGAATCACCCAGTCGAACCGTTTTGGCCCTGAGATGGGCGAGCTGAGCCAGATCTGCTTGTTTGGGGGCTGCTTGTTGAGAACGTAGGTGCCAATTCCAGGAACTGTAACGTTGAGAACTCCAGCCTGTTTGAACAGTTAATATAATAGCGGACAATTTTCTCCGTAAACGAAGCAGAAAGCGAACTGGGATGGAAAAATTCACGTACGCTATACTCAGCCTCTACCTCTGATCCTGCTTCCTCCTGAGTTCGCTCTATCTCCGCCAGTAATACGTTGAAATATTCCTCAGAACGATCGCGGTAGTCCGATTCAGATATATGTGATGCTTCTGGCGTCTGCTTTACTCCGATCAAGTTGGGCTCCGGGTTTGGCGGAGCAGGGTCCGAGGAGCCTGGTGTGATTCCCTTGAGCACAGCAGGCGAGGAATGGAATAGCCTCTGTTGAATTGGGCAGACGATTGAGGGCGCACGAGATCTTGTGGCTGCTGTGATGCGAGATCGATGGGCACGAGAGGACGAAAGAATGGAACGGAGCGCACCCCGGCTGCCGGCTCTAGATAGCATTGTGGAATTTGTTGGTCTTGAGGTTCAAAAGGTCGATATTGTCTTCGTGAGTTGTAAGTAATTGAGGGTGTTGTTGATGTTGACTTGTTGATGTTTTTGCTGTGGAGAAAAAGACGAAGCTCAAAGTTGCCAAAAATGACGTCGATGCTGCATCAACTTCAACCTTCGTCGTTTTTCTCTTCAACGCAAAAACGACAAGCCGTAACGTCCACACACAACCACGACAACAGGCGGCTGGCTGCTTGGTTTTTATTATTTACGGCGTTGAATCTGTTTATGCTGGCATAGCTACGTATGCTTATGTAAATAAGAACGGGTATTATCAGACCATACTTGCGTCAGGGACCCAGTATAAACACAGCCTAGTCGATGGTAAAACACCGCTTCCGGCAGCAAATATATCATACCACGCGCGTTCAGGGGCGTCGGACATATTTCATCTCATACTACAGCAGGATGGGGAAGAATTACGACTCCAGACCAAGGCATGGTGGAGGAGGCCAAGGAAATGCTGCGACCAGCAAACCACCGTTGACACACTTCCTTTGCATACCTCTGGTTAATAAAGCATCGATATACCAACTGGATAGCTCTTTGGCAGAGTTCAAATCATCAATTCCACTTGTACCCCCATCAGGTTCAGCGGCAGGACATGCCCCAGATACACCACTTGTACCCTATGGAGCCCTCCGGCCGCTTGGGACGCTGCATTTCACTCTAGGCGTTATGAGCCTGACCACACAAGAACGGCTAAGCGAAGCCTTGTCCTTCTTCCGGTCTCTTGACCTGGCCTTGATAATGCAAGAAGCAGAGCTAGAAGCCAAGCCACGCCAAACTTTTCATAAAGATAGCTTAGGCGGACCGTTGTCAATCGATCTAGTTTCACTACATGCTCTTCCAAAAGTTCGAGCTGCCACAATTCTTCATGCTTCGCCGCTTGATAATACAGGCCGTCTGTATCCGTTTTGCGTGAAGCTACGGGATAGGTTTATAGAGGCTGGGTTCATGCATCGTGATATTACCAAGGCCAACCCTCGCAATAAGACGGCTAGTGGCAGAGAAAGTATTGACCGCGGTGAAAGCTCCAGGAATAACGGTCTGTCTACCCAACCAAAAGACACTACGGAGGGAAACGGAGGTCAAGAAGGCGACACTGCTAGCAGCATCCAAGCTGCGGATCCAAGTGTTATAGAGAGTAAACCGCGCCCTCTACTTCTCCATGCAACCATCGCCAATACCATATATCTTGGGAAAAGAAGGGGCACTGCTCAACAGGGTGGCAGAGGGTCCAGAGGAAAAGAAAAGTCAGTATTTACCTTTGACGCAACTGAGCTACTGGAGATGTTTGCGGGAAGCCAGCCAAAGCCACACCATACCATCGTTTCCAAGGATGCCAAGGGCAAAGAGACGCAGACTGCCCATGAACCGTTCAACTGGGCAAAAGACATTCCCATTGACAGAATATGCATTTGCGAGATGGGTGCAAAGACAGTACCTCATGATGAGGAGAAAGGTGGCCCAGTACTTGGACAGGAATATAGAATAATTGAACAGCGAAAACTTGACTTTCAGGTATGATGAGGCCAATTAAGACCTCGGAGTGTATCATATTTATCAAATTGGACGAGCGGGTAACAGGCATTATTTTATTTAAACCTACATTTCACATAAGATATATACTGACACTGTCGAAACCGACTAACTCCATGAATGCTGTTCCATCGAACGCCAGGGCACAGTTGTCACTGAAATGGCGGTTAGATAGATAAATATAAAACATGCTTAAACACAATCTGTGCAGGATATATTCAAATAACCATGGCATCAGGTCCCAACCTACCCTATATATCATTCTCAACCGAGGCGTGCCACCCTCTACCTCACTCTACCCATAAGCGTATCCGGGCCCATCTCAACGGAGAGCTCGGCAGCCTTAGCCTTGATAGCGCTGACCATCGACCTCTCAAAGTCATCTCTGCATCGTAGCACAGCCTCGACCCAAGAGAGTTGTAAATCCCAGTACTCGGTTTTGAAGCCTTCGTACACCACCACGACACCGGCCTTGTCTGCCTCGAGCAAGCGTACAAGCCAGTCAACGAGCCTCCAGCGATCCTTGATACCCCCACCAAAGGACTCGGGGAATTTCTGGAAGAAGCCAAAAACGGTAAGCACATCGTCCTTGAACTTCTCGGTATACGGGTCCTGACGACGGAATTTAGCTCCTCGGTTACGGATGGAGGATAGGTAGTGGACCAGGAGCTCGTCTGAGATTTCTTCAACGAGGATATCTCGTAGACTTGGGTGGAGGACGGAATGGTAGTCGCTGATGTAGTCTTCGAAAGTGGAGATCATGCGCTTCATGGCGAATTCGCCGTACCATTTCTGGGTGAAGAATTCAGGTAAAGTGGTGCGGAAGTCGACGGAGAAGATGAGGTCGATGAAGACGGAGATGCAGTGGGTTCCCAGGTCGACGTAGCCGTCTCGTAGGATCGCTAGTTCGTTGGATGCCTGTGCGGTGAGGTACTTGTCTGTGACGAGCGGTTCGAAGTCACGGTTGAAGCGAGTCAAGTGGCCGAGTTGGCCTGATGCATCGTTGTCGTCAATACATGCGATCTGGTCGTTGGCAACGGCGATAAGCCAGTCCTGGAACTGTTGTAGGCTCTCGGGCTGATCGGTGGTGGGTGACTTGTACTTTGCACACTCTTCGTCCAGCATCGCCTGCCACATCGACTGCCGCGTTCTCAGGGAGCGGAACATGGCGTCCACCACACCCTCGGCCACGTCTGTTCTCTGAGAAGCGCCAGCCGCCTGAAGCTGTTCGTGAATCATCCGCCACATATCTCCCAGAGTCTTGGTGCGGAAGTATCCCTCGGGGTTAGTATCTAGAGAATCCATATCGCGGTCCAGGAATGCCCGTTTGTCGGTATTGAACATGCGGTCCATCCATTCGTCCAGCGCCTTGACGATGAGGTTTCTCCAGTCCTGTACGAGTTCTCCCTCACGGTCATCAAGGACGTTGGGGACAAGTTCGGATGCCTCCCAGCCTAGCTTCTTCATTTTCTTGTAGTATTTCTCTGACCAGTTGATGATGGCAAGCATATTCGCAGCCGGCATCTGCGGGTCATCGACGAACTCGATAAGCCAGTCGTGCATCATCCTGTGGTATATGTCTGTATATGTCTTGAATATCTTCCACTTCTTAGGCACCAGCGTTTGCATTCCTTGCTTGACGGTGAACAGGTCGTTGAAGAACCACTTGAAGCTCTTTTCCAGTCTGTCAGGGTCATCCAAGAACTCTTGCTTCGAGTTTTCAAAGTTCGGCTGCGCATACAGCTCGATACTCTTTAGGAAGTTCTCCTTGTAGCCCCTTATCGTCTTGGGCCCGATATTCATAGACTTGAACCTGCTGGCGAGGTATTCATGGTCCTTCTGGGCGTCTTGTAGAGCCCTGACTTTGGCATCGTTCTTCTCTTCGTTAGCAATGACGACGGCCAGCCTGACCACCATACTACGATTATCAGACTGAATGAGAGGGATGATATTCATGCAGGCCGTCCCCAGATGGTCGTCGAACCACTCAATAGCCGGATCCAGCCCTTCGAACAGTTCAGTCAGAGTCGCCTCGCTGCTCTTATCCTTGGCTCTGCGAATCTGGTCCATGGCTTCATCCCGAAAGTCACGGAGACGGGAGATGGCCATGTGTATGTTGAGCAAGTTAGGCTGATTCTCCATGTCCCCGTCGTCCTCTCTCAACAGCCGCTCGACCTCAGCCACATCATTATGGAAGGTCTCCATGCCCTTCTTCATGAAGAGAACTGCTTCAAAATTCCTCTGTATCTTCGCCAGCTTGTCTATCTGTGCGAAATCGCCCAGCGCAGACTGTGACTCCGCCCAGAGCTTGTCTATCCCCTGGGGCCCCATCTTTGCATCCATGATCTGACGCCGGCCTTCCGCCAGGTCAGCCAGACTCCGCTGCACCAGCTCAAGCTGGTCCCGTAGGCCTTCCCGAAGCTGCGAGTCGACGTCCTCCTTTTTTCTGGTATATTCGGCCTTGAGGACTGTGATCTTCTCCAGGTCTTCGGGGTGGCGCAACAGGTCCTCCAGCCGGGGTACCACCAGGGTACCGTCCGAGCCGTTCTCGTCTGCCATGTTTGCGATCAGTTGGGCTATTCTCGATGAAGAACCACTAGCAGGGGCGGTGATTGTCAATTCTGAGTCTGGTTTGTATGGCCGTTCGGGAGAAGGATCATTGCCGGCTGCTGCCTTGGTCAGGCCAGCAGAGGAAACCGAGTCGGTGCTGCAGTTCGTCAGCGGAGGCGTGAGGGTCGGAGTCGCAGGTGAAGCCGCAGTCACTGTTCGTAGTGCAGACGGTGACCTAAGAACAGCAGCAGCAGCAGCTTTCCATCGAGAGTGCTGGGGAGGAGGGGAATGCGATCTATCACCGCCGCCAAAGTCGAACGGGCTGCTTGGCCTGGCTGTACTGTTTAGACGGCTGAGTATCGTCTGCAGCGACCTTGACGAGCTTCCCGCTGGCTTTGTAGGCTCCTCTATCTGCTCGTTCTCGAGTGCCCTCCGTAGTTCTCCCCGTAGCTCGTCCTGCTGATGCTCTATAGATCGAGTCAATCGGCTGCCCTCGCGACCAGACTCGATGCGCCGTGTCTTCTCGGGACTCTTCTCCTGCTTCTCGCCTGCAGAACCCTTCGCAGCGTCGATGTTCTTCTCAAACGCAGCTCGTCTTTGCGCCACAGACGGAATCGACCCTGGCAAGAGGCTGAGTCGACCCTTGCGACGGTCCATGGTTGCTTTTTTTTTTCTCAGGCGGACAATCGATGTTCCGCTATGATTTTTGAACGAAACAGCTTCGATTCGCGGATGAAGAGAGTCAATTGCACTTTGGTTTAAAACGATCGTTCGATAGAAGGGATATCGTTGCAGTCTGTTGGTTTCCTCGACTGTTGCGGTCTGTTTTATCGTTGCATCTCAACGTCTTCGTCTCGATAGCGACGTGTTGCGAGCCCTTTCGACCGACGAGCACCTGGAATGTCGTGACAGGATATAAATCCGGACGAAACGGGACTGAAGAGCTTAACGAAGGAGACTCTCAAGCTGTTTGTGCGAATCGAGGGACTCAAGCCGGCGAAGCTGCTCTCTTGTCAGGACGGACTTTGACTCGGGCATCAAGATATCGCGGAGAGAACCACCACCGAACGCCTGAAGAGAATAAAGAACGAGCAAGAGCCTTGTGGAAGTGAGATATCAACACTGAAAAGAGGAGATCAAAGAGTAAAGGGCTCGATTGTGTCGTTGGCCTCACTTGCAAGCATCAAAATCAACACTTCGGCTTCAATATCAATATCGACATCGACACCACCATGACCTACTTCCGCATAACGCTCATACGCTCTGCCATCGGCCTACCGCGCCGCACCACAGGCGTCCTGCACGCTCTCGGCCTCAAGAAACGAATGGCTACGGTGTTCTACCCCGTTAGTCGAGATGTAGCAGGTCAGATCATGAAAGTCAAGGAACTCGTCTCGGTCAAGGAGGTTGATCAGCCGTTGACCAAGGAGCAGCTACATCTGGAGAGGAAGCCGGATCCAGGATATTACGTTGAGAAGAGAGGGGAGGATGTCTTTAGAGAGAAGAGGGCGGCTTGACAGATGTTATATGGACTTTAAGGCAGAGGCTTGAAGGAGTTTATATGTGGTCTTTAGAGGCTGATGTATTATAGAAATGCATTTTTTTTTTGTCTTATCTGTTTATACCTTTAATGAAGGCTTTTAGGGGAGCAGAGACATGAACATGTACAGAAGTTGTGTTAACAATAGTTTATAAACACACGTTTGCCTGCGTTATCAGCAAGCAGCACCCGAAGAATATACAATGTCTGGTTTAGAGACTGGTAAGGTTAGATTATAGGTAAAGTTGGTGTTCAGTCCAGAGTTATAGGTCCCAAGAATAAAATGCAGTCCATAATGATAGGCCAGGTCCGAGGATAAAATGCAGTCCAGAGGTATCGGTCCAAGAGTAGATCTCGCCCAGAGTTATAGGTCAAGGGTAGGATCAGTTGACGTAGAGAGTATCCAAGAAGCCCTCGGCCAGACGGCGGACGATGCTCTTGTCTGGAATGCTTCCAGCAACACCGTACAAGGCCGAAGTATCGCCTCGTTTCTTCTCGACCTTGATACCGGCGGCCTTCCTCTCCGCGATCTTAGTCAGTTCTTGCTGTACGACGGTGGTGAGGTCTTCTATTAGCTTGTCGACGGCGTTGGCAGTCGGCAGGGTAAAGGCAACGTGCATTGCTGGCGGCGACTGGAGGGCGTTCAGGTGCCAGCCCATATTGGACATGGCATCCGCAACGTCATAGATGTCGACTTCTGGATTCGTGGAGGTGAATCCGACGACGCTGACCATGGGCCGGCCGACGACCTCAAGCGTGGACGAGAGGCCGGGGTTCTTACGAACGGCAGCCTCGAACTTTCTGGCGGCGCTGATGATCTGGTGGCAGCTGTCGATGTAGCCCGACTCGCCGATGGCCATCATACTGGTCCAGCATCCGGCGATCAACGCTCCAGGACGGGAGCCAGCCATGGAAGGAGACGCGTAAACGCCACCAGGCCAGTTTGGCATGACGAAATACTGATAGGTGCGGTACGAGCGGTTGCGGTACAGGACGACCGAGCTTCCCTTGGGAGCAAACCCATACTTGTGAGTGTCGACACTGATACTGGTGACACCGGGCTGGCGGAAGTCAAAGCCGCCTTGTGCTTCATACGGGGAAGGGAAACCGGCCTTCTTGAGGAACGCAATCACGAAGGAGCCAAGACAACAGTCGACATGCAAGGGGATCTTGTATGTAACTGCCAACCGTGATAGGGCTGGGATATCATCCACCAGGCCGTGGGGGAAGTTAGGCGCCGATCCAACCAGCAGTACGGTGTTTGGGTTGATGAGACGGCGGACCGCCGAGACGTCAACGAGATAGCCCGGGCTTGGGCACGGCACAGAGTGGAACTTGATACCAAAGTACTTTGAGGCCTTGGTGAAGGCCGCATGGGCTGTTTCGGGCACGATCCTATCAAACGATTTAAGATTAGCGATTGACTCTAGGGTTGTTGTTTTTTTTTGCATCTGGGGTATTTTTTTTTCACATACATCTCTGGCTCGGTCACTCCCCGTTCAGCATATGCCTTTTGGCGAGCTGACAGACACGCCATCAGGATGGACTCCGTGCCGCCACTAGTAGTCACACCAGCAGAGCCGTCAGGGCCGTGAAACAAGTCCAAAACCTATGACCATCGTCAGCTATCGTTGATGCAAAAAGAAGAAAAATAAAAACGAAAAACGAAACAAGACTCACCATTGCAACAACCTCAGCCTCCATCTTCCTCACACCTGGGAAGACATCAGGGTGAATCGGGTTGGAAACAGCAAACTGGCCAAAGGCCTCGGTCTGCAGTTTCAACAGGTCCTCTCCGCCATGATACACGGCGCCACTGACCCGTCCATCCTCCCACATCGTATGCTTCATACCACCAAGCTTATCCAGCTCAGCGCGGACCTGATCATGGCTCATCCCTTTCTTAGGCAGACTCATGAACTTTATCATGCCCGGTTCCTGCGGTGCAAGCTTCTGCTCCAGCTTGGTGAGGGCGGTAGAAACCTGCTTGTCGACCTGGCTGCGCACGCCGGGGGCACGCAGGAAGAGGCCATAGAAGATCAGTCGGAGGTGTAGAAAGACATTTCGGATGCTGCCGAATATCCCGTAGCCGCGAATAGTGTAAAAGGACCTGCGTAGTAGACGGAGGAAGAAGACGAAGAAGACGAGGTTGCGGACTCTATTGACCGAGTTAGTAGGGGTCTGAGATGTCTGCCGCCGAAGAGGAGACTCACATGTCGAAATTCGATAGGGAGAAGACTGCGCCTGAGGTCGAGCGAGCGACAGACATCAGTTTAGCCTGCATGGCCATCGCCATGGGCAGAGCCTGAGCCATGACTGTGCTGTATGTGTATATATGTAACGAACGATAGATGGACTGTCTCGATGAGGCTCAGGCCGAGAGAGAAAAGCCGTTAGGGAGAAGAGAAGAAGACAAGCCGGGGCTTCTCCGCCTTATCGAGTTCCCTATGGACCTTCGATCGACTTGTTCACGCCGTCTCCTTGTTGGGGGTTCTTGTTGGCGGGCGAAGGGACGAAAGCTGCAGAAGTTCCGAGGTTCGCCAGAAGTGCTTCTTGCAGACGGGCAAGGGAGAGGAACACCTGGCAGTCGCTTCTTCCACCGCGACAGTAACGAGGGAAGAGAAACAGAGAGGAAGAAAAGCAGGCTCGCTCGGTGGTTAAGAAGGTCGAGCCAGCGCAGAGAAGAAGAAAAAACGTCGAGGTTTGAAAGTTGGTGAAATCGAAGAAGTTGAAGCCGCCAAGAAGGAAAAAAAGCGACAAAAACATGTGATGGACGAAGTTGAATCCTGGCGATTATAAGAAGTAGATATTACAGCGATACGCGGAAGAAGAAGAGTAGAAGTCTAGTTCTATGGAGACATTATAGTATTGTACAGCTTCGGGAGATCAGGATGGGCAAGCAGAATACTAGAAGTGCTCTGGATGGTGGTGGTTAGTAGGTAGAAGACGGGAGAGAGAGATCTAGCCGGTGACCTTGTAGATGCACTCGGCGAGACGCTTGACGTTGGCGGAGGTGATGCCGGCGACAGAGATACGGCCGTCCTTGGTGGCATAGACGGAGTGCTGCTGGCCGTTAGTCGAGTCCGTAGAAGGGGAAGAGAGGGCATCTTACCTCCTTGGAGAGCTTCTCCATCTGCTCTGGCTTGAGGCCGGTGTACGCAAACATTCCAATCTAGTTATTGTCAGATGGATATAGAGAGAAAGGGGCATAGAGAAGAGGGACATACCTGGGAGGTGATGTGGCTCCAGTCGTGCTTGCTGCCGAGCTGCTCGAGGTTGGACTTGAGCAGGGCTCTCATCTCGATGATGCGGTCGGCCATGCCCTTGAGCTCGCCGAGCCACTGCTTGTTGAGCTCCGGGTCGTTCATGATGGTCGAGGCGATGCGGGCTCCGTGGACGGGGGGGTTGGAGTAGAGCGGTCGAACGAGGATCTTGATCTGCGAGTCAACACGCTTCTTCTCCTCTGCGGACTCACACGCAACCGAGAACGCGCCCACACGCTCGCCATACAGTCCCTGCTCTCGTTAGCATCATACACTATACATATATATCCAGAGGCAAACACACCATGTTCTTGGCGAAGCTCTGGCAGAGGAGAAGGGGCATGCCCTGCTCGACAAAGTAGCGGAGAGCGTAGGCGTCCTTGTTGATGTCTCCGCTGGCAAAGCCCTGGTACGCCATGTCGAAGAAGGCAAAGTGGCCCTTGGACTTCATGACTTCGGCAATCTCCCTCCACTGAGGCTGGGTAGGGTCGATACCGGTCGGGTTGTGTGCGCAGGCGTGCAGGAGGAAGACGCTCTTCTCGGGAGCAGCCTTCATGTCCGCGATGAGGCCCTCAAAGTCGAGCCCGATGGTCTCCTTGTTGTAGTATCTGTACTTTTCGACCTGGAGGCCTGCGTCCTTGAAGACGGCGCCGTGGTTGGCCCAGCTCGGGGTAGGGATGTAGATGGTCTTGCCGTGGGGGTAGAAGCGCTCGATGAAGGCGGCGGCGACTCGCAGGGCACCGGTGCCGGAGATGGTCTGGGTGATGGCGATGCGGCCGTCCTTGATGGCGGCGCTGTCCTTGCCGTACGCGAGCTCTGCGGCGGACTTGGTGAAGGCCGGGACACCGGTGATGCCGGCGTACTCTTTGTCCATGCTGGCATTGACCACCTTGGCCTCAGCGGCCTTGACGGACGGCAGCACATATGGCTTTCCCTGGTCGTCCCCTGCTTTCGTCAGCCTCTCTCTCATAGCTGTAGATAGCTATAGCTACAACTGTAGTAGATGTAGAGACAAACATACGGTAAGCTCCTACACCGAGGTTGATCTTCTCCTTGAAAGAATCCGCCTTGAAGGCCTCAGTGATGCCCAAGATAGCGTCCTACAGCATCAATTAGCCATCTCCCGCCCTTCTACCGTCTTCTATACGAGGAGTATACTAACCGGAGGTCCCTGGGGCACAGCTCCCCAGGTCGAGGCCTGTCGAGCCCCAGCAACGAGGAAGCGTCTGCCGGCCACGGATCGACCGGCTATCCGTAGAGAAGAGAGCATTGTGATTGAAGCAGAGCAAAGCAAAGAAGCAACCTAGAGAAGAAGAGGTCGACTGGCTGATAGTCGCTGGCTGTGTCGATGGTCTCGTTTAGTGAAGTTGGTTTTGGACTAAGAGATTTTCCGTTGTAGCCAAAAGGCGCAAAACTTGGCTGGAACATGGAAACGCCGCGCCGAGCATGTTGGTAGATCTGCGTACGCAGTAGATGGTAGAAGATGATGGTAGATGATGGTAGATGACGGTAGATGATGGTGAGTAGAAGAGAGTAAGGTAGAAGACGGTAGACAGCAGAGTAGAGATGAGTGGAGAGTCAACTTCCACTCAACCGCCTTCACCGTGACGTGAAGATCAGAGATACAGACTTCGCCAGGATGCTCTACTCTGAACTATTATTATGTACAGTAAGGATTGGATGCGACGGAGTCTCCCCGCAAAGCATATCGAGCCGTCTCCATGAAACGGCTGCGGTTGAGATACAGAAGATACCACGCAAGCCAGGAGACAGGATACGTCGAAGATACCACGGCAGACAGGAGACGGCAGACAGAAGATGGCAGACAGGATATCGAGACACGGTATGGAGGACGGGGACTGCTTGGATACCATGGATGCCTGTGAATATGGAGAACTCTGTGCTGACAGCTCGACAGTTAGTGGCCTGACCGACGCAGCGATATCCAACGAGCAACCCGTTTCATCGTGCCGGGACATGCTGTGATCGGGGATCAGCCTGTCCTGATCACTGCCTTTGACGCTAGGAATCTTGTCGATGGATGCTACGTCCGGCGCGGAATGCGGGTGCTGGACATGGGAGACATGCTCTGGTCCAGGGCAGGCCTTCATGCTTAATCTCTACTTTATATATATATATATCCAGAGTATAGGCAGGCAAGGGTGGGAAAAGAAGCATTTTCCGGCAGATAAGCCTCATGCTGGTGCCGACGTGTCTTCCATGGATGCGCATATACCGTTATACAGGATATACGGTCAGGATGTCCATTCGATCCTTATATGAAAAAAAAAACAACAGCATGACAACCCCCTAATAGCCAGAACGCGATCAGATCTCCGAAACAAGCCACAGGGACAATCGAAGAAGCAACGAGAGGGAGAGAAACCGCCCACCGCACGAAACTATCACGGTGGCTTTTCCTTCGCCAAATGTTTGCTTGCTGGCAGAGAGAGAGAAGAAAAAGGATGAACATCTCATCCATCCTCCCCGGGGTCTGAGCGCAGGTCTATCGCTGTTATAATTCTTTTTTCCTCTCTGCATCGTCCTGCACTTCCTGCATCATAAGATATATAACTCTCTGGCCCATACGGGTCAAAAAAGGGCTTTAGCGTGCCACGATTGACATCCGATCGATCTTAGCGAAACTTCCATGTCCGGTCGAATAGAGACGGGCCGGCGTTCGGAGTAAGGAGAGGAAAAGTGATATTGATCGATGGCGGTCTGAGAAGGGAATGTGTTCGCTTCCGTAGACGACGCCACCTTGTCCCTTTTTTTTTTTTTTTTTTCGAACCATGGCCATCTCAAATCCGTGTCAGTGTAACGGAAGGGAGAAGTGATATTCAACCAAGAGCCCTTATTTTTGGTCCCTTTTTTCCTAACGCCATGGCAAGCTGGGCTTGATGGTGTGGTGTGGCTCACGGTGGCCCCATGGGCTAGCACCGCTCTAACCATCCCATCACTCCCTATACTATGTACTACTACTCGCCTTCTGGTCAGTTTTCTCCTTCTCCGTCCCTTTCTCGAAGGCTTCTAGAAACAAGCCACGTGTGGACTCCGCAAAAAGGGCTGTCCCTGGCTATAGAGTCGCAGATATATAGCGACTAGTTACTGATAACGGATTACACTCGGAGAACGGAGAAAGGGGGGCAGGAAGATGCTGTGTGTACCGTTGGATAGCGACTGGGAGCAGCCGGCCACGTTCGGCGAATGCGTCCATCGAACGACACTCTTCTACTGGCAGGCACTTTCGTCTGGTGTGATGCTATAGCAGGACGATAATAACATGGCCAGGCAGGGATCTGCCGTTGGCTTGAACACCCAGGGAGACAAGGACCCCCTTCTGGCGCACAGGGCTAGCGCTGAGGGGGGGGGATGTGGGAGAAGAACCAGAAGACGAGGAGGAAAAAGCAAGGAGAAGGGGTGGGGGGTCCAAAAAGAAGGATGAACGAAGATCACAGGCAGTGTGTGTCCTCTCTTTGCTTCTTTTATGAAACGGGCGTCTTTCTTTACACGTATACTTTACGCTCCGGCCGTGAAACAATGGCGCAAATTAGATGGAATTGGGCAAGCTCAGCCACATGAAGACAAGACGGAAAAAGAAAAGAGAACGAAGGGGAGAAGAGAAGGGCTAGACAGGACAGGACAGTCGGAGGCGTTGCGTGAGTTTTGGGGAGAGGCAGAAGAGACAGTTGCTTCGTATCTCCGACCTTACTGCGGTGGCGAGCAGAGCATGAGTGAAGGTGGACTTGGCTGATCAAGGCGTCTCTCCATAACGCTGGAGTCTTTTCTTCTTCTTCCTCCATCGACCTTTTTGCGTCTCTATGGACGGAGCTGATGGAAGAGGAAGGTCGAACGAGCAGGGTCCCAACCCGAACGACTTTATACATGGTATGCTCCGTCCATACTGTGTAGAGCCAGCAGAGAGAGACGAGGAGATGGGCTTGGAGAAATAAGCATCGTATGCATGCCGTTGGACCTAGTGGGCACCAGCGTTTCAACACATCCATGTCCTCCTCGTCCTCGACTCTCTCTCTCGTGCCCTTATCCCCTCTCTCTTCCACCCCCCTTGCCCAAGCGGGTTGAACGAACAACGAACAACGCACTGCATGGATGGAACCGTCCCTCGGGGGGAAGGGGGGGGGGCCTGGCGTGGCCATCCACCGACATAGTATATCTGCAGCTGCCCTGATCGCAGCATCGAAGCACTAGAGAGAAGCGCTAGAAGGCGTCCGTCATCTGACGCTAGCTAGTTGAGCGGTACCTGGGGGGGGAGAAACACGACCACCGCTCAACAAGACAGTCCATATACTATGTACTTTCCTTACCGTCCGTCCATCAGTCGGGCGTTTCACCATCATCGGCAACGGGGGATGAAGGTGATCCTGATCCAGATTCGTCTGCCTTCTCCATCGACCGTTTACTCCATACATTATTACGCTGCTGTTGGGTGACCTGCCCGGACTATCAAATCTCCCTGGTGGTCTTCTGTCTTCTTCCCCCTTCCCCATCGAGATCCCAAAAAGCAAAGAGGCAGACAGACAGATACTCGAGTGGTTCAAGTGGAAGAAGGAAAAAGCAAGCATCATGTTTATCCTTTTCGTAACTCTTCTTGACTGTGTTGTACCATCGTCTGTGGTGAATACGGTGGCCTTCGTAGCTCAACTCCTTTCTTTTTCTCTCTCTCCTTTTTCTTCTTCTTCTTCTTTCGACTTCTTCGACTTCTTCTTCTCTTCTAGAAGGTTTCTCTTGCAGTCTAATGGTTGTCAATAACTACTTTTTTTTTTCTTTTCTTTTCTTCCCGTAACCAGGCCAGGGAGTCAGTCTTACGGGTTTATTTTCAAAAGAGAAAACGAGCCCACAGTTTCATCTTCGTCTTCTTCTTGCTCGAACGTCTTAGCAGCCTTTTTTTTAGGGTTAATTCCTTATCTTGCAGGGAAGAAGAAGCAGAAGCAGAAGAAGAAAAAAAGCAAGCAGAAGAAGAAGAATATCAAATATACAAAATAAAATAAAATAAAAAAAAAAAGCATTGATGCCCACTTTTTATTAATCATCAACTTTCCATCGCTTTTTCTTCCTTTCTTCATCGTCATCTTTTTTTTTTCTTTTCTTCTTCTTTATTACTTCTCGAATTCCTCCCTCTTTGAACCTCGAACCCGTCAACTTCTTTCGTCTGGTTGGAACAATTTACGGCTCGAAGAGATCTTTTGTCGGTCTTGCTCTGTCTTCAGGTTGGTACCTCGTCCCGTCCCGTCTCGTTCTCGTCTCACCGTCTTTCGCGGCTGAATGGTTGCTCGACTTCCTCTGTCTGCTGCCCGTCTCTTCATTGCTGTCTAAGATGCTGTCTGTCTGCTCTACAATGGTATAAGCCGCGATATGCTGCTATACCTCAGCGGGTGGCGGACGGTGCATAGTGACTGCTGGGCATTGGATGCGTTCAGATCTCGCATTGCACCCTCAGCAGGTCGATTGGCATCAAATACCAGCTAGACATCTCTCTCTCTCTCCATCTGACTTGAATTCACCCATGTTCACACTTGACACCCTGATATACATCTGTTTAGCTATATATCGTGTACTGACACGGCCCAGCAGTCCCTTTCGCCACCTTCTCCCCTCACCAGCATCTCGAAAGGCCGCACAGAAACCAACCACCAACCAACAACTTTCCCCAGACAGAGAACGAAGAAACGAATAACGAGACAGCTCGACGTAGCACGATAAGGACTTCTATTTCACGTGTATCAAGAGAGACGAACGGACGAACGGACAGACGCGAAGAAAAAAAAAAAATAATACACGCGAGAAAATAGTAATAGACGCACGCTGGATGATTTAATCGATAGTCATACAATATAGCCTGTCGAGAGCCTGTAGCCAGCCGTCCACTAGGTCAGGAACACCACTATCGGGCCCGAGACGCATCTTCCCGTCTGGTCGAAAACAAAAAGAAAAAGGAGAAGTTCCAAGGTCGTTCTTGTGCCATCTACTTTGACTCGTGCTCCCATAGCACAGCATACGATTTCTGCATACCACAACAGCAAGCAGAGTACCCGTCGTGTTCTGCACTCTCTGAATAGGTGGTGCTCCCTGCCCTGTTCTAGCCATTCCCCCCTGCCGTGTCAAACCTGCATTTCGCCGGCTTCCCTCATTCGACGTCGGACAGCTTTCTCTGCTTCTGCTTCGATAAGCCCTTTCTAGTCTCCTGCAATTGAAAGATATTGTTCGGGAGGTTACGAACGAAACGACTAATCGACAGTCCAGAAGAAGATAAATAACAGAGGTATGTTCTTAGTCAGTTCTAGCGATTTTTATTTCCCCCCCCCCCAGCTAACTTGAACTCCCTGCTTAGGGTCGCAGTATATGATCCGAGACGACTTGAAAGCTGCGCAACCACTCGACCAACTACTACCCGGTCCCTACTCCAACCTTCTGGGTAGTCCAGGCACACACCATATCATGGACATAACAACAATATTAAACAAGAAGGCCTCCGTCTCCGTGGTTGCCGCAGAGGTACAGCAGCTCCAACAACATCTCGCCCAGGCCCAGGCGGCCGACGATGCAAAGTCGCGGTCTCCCTCAGAGATGGGCTCAGAGCATGGCTCTGCCTCTGCGCCACCCAGCGAGCACCAGCAAACTTACCCGTCTTCAACCCAATCTCTGCCTCAGATGGCTCACCTAGCTCAGTACCATGTCCAGGCACAGGCTACCCATAACAACTACGCTCACAGCGCGCATGGGTCTGATTATGGCAGGAATGGCAGTGGAAACATGAGGCCCAGCGGTCTTCCTGCCCTAAAGACCTTCCACTGTCAGACATGTAGCAAGGGATTTGCTCGACGGAGCGATCTGGCTAGGCACGGTATGTCTCTCCGCTTATTACTGTTTTATCGTGTTGATGCTAATATATACTGTAGAACGCATTCATAGTGGTATCAGACCCCATGCTTGCGACTGGCCAGGCTGTGGTAAACAGTTCATTCAGCGTTCGGCCCTGACTGTTCACACGCGTGTCCACACTGGTGAAAAGCCTCACATGTGCGATCGATGCGGCAAGGTACAATAGACTCCTGGTCTTTATAACAGTTATAATATAACTAACTCTTAAACAGCCATTCAGCGACTCCAGCTCCCTAGCCAGGCATCGCAGGATCCATTCTGGCAAAAGACCGTACAAGTGTCCCTACGCCAACTGCCAAAAGACATTCACCCGCCGCACAACCCTTACCCGCCACCAGAACCACCACACCGGAACTATCGAAGAGGCCGCTGCTGAGACAGAAGCCAACCTCCGTCACAGCAAAGACCGAGTCAGTAGACCATCCGACTACTCGGAAGCAGGCTCTGCACACTCTACCCCATCTCCAGCGCAACGACCCTCTCTCTCCCCCGGCAATGAACTTCCCCCGCTAAACCTATCTCGTCCATCGGGCGACTATTACACCTCGCTACCACCACATTTACGAACAGACTTCCAACAATCAAGTCCCCGCGCCTCGCCAACCTCCCCCTCACCAACACTAACCAGCCTAAGTGGGCCTGCATCTTACCACAACAGACCGTCCCTCACCTCTCACCCGTCCGGTTACGGGCCTCCCCAGCCCCTCGAGCCCCCGGCCAACAGTGACCCGCGACCTAACAGCGTCGCAGGAAGTCCTCACCTCTCATCCGTCGGCTGGGCATCTCCAACCCTAAGCAGCATGCCGTCTCCCAGCTCCGCTTCTGCCCCAGAATATTCCTACCCCGAGCCATCCAGCCACCAATACCCAGGCGGAATAACGCCGCACATGTTCTTCTCCGGACAGGGGTTGCGGCGTCCCCAGAGCTCGGAGCCAGAAAACTACGAGATGAAGCCAAAGCTCGAAATGAGCTGACCTGGAGCTAAACCAAAGATGAATACCACTACATTCTCAAGCAGCAAAAACTGGCTCATCATCATCTCTGGCCATTTTTCCTATTGTTAACAGATTTCCTTTGTTCTCCCCCTATTAGAGATACCCTCCTACTCTTCATTGAGTGCATCATGTTTGTTTCCCCATCCGTTTATTCATATGTAATAGCATCTCGTACCCATCTCCTCTTGTTCCTGTTGACATATTTCCTTGTTTCCTTTGTCTTCTTTTATTTTCCATTAATCTCATTTCCTACCTGTTTTTTTCCTGTTTTGATGTCTTTCCTATTTCCATCTACGGCTCTACATCTTTACATGAGTTATAGCTTTATCTATTACTAGCATTATATTACGTTAAGCAGGAGCAGCGGCATCGTCTTGTTATTCATTTACATCTCTATATCATAATGAAGATTATTACTCATACTACCTTCTACCGTCTAAAGTTCCAACTACGAGTAATAAAATAGAGTAGCCTCGCCCATCCAGATGTAGATGTAATTTAGAAGTAATAGAAGACAAATTCCATTCATAGCTTGATTCCAGTAAAAGTGCCGTGTGAATGCTTCTATTTGACGACAAATAAACTCCAGCCGGAGTAGGATTTCCCGCAAAGCACACAAAATCTCACATTGGCATCGCATCCCCACCTCTTACCGCAAACAGGACACCGATACACAGGACACCGATACTTCGCCATGGATTCCGAGCTTGCTCCCAGCCTAACAAGATCAGCCGCAAAGCATGAACAGCTATCCAGAACCCTTATAAATTCCTCCTTTACCAACAACTTAGAGCGAAACTCATAGCTAATTCCAGCTACTAAATCCCGAAGATCCCGAACCGCAGCAGGGGTAGAAGAATAGACCTCCTCAATCACAAGGGGGAAATCATCCATATCCCAACATGCACGAATGGATTTGGAAAATTTATCCTTGACGTGCTTCTTTAAGCTTGGAATGCCATATCTATCTGCGAGGCCGTAGATCTGGGCATCGAATAAGATGGGAGATGTACGAGTGTTGCCGCCACTACTACTACCGTAGTTGAATCCATATAGGAAACGGATGATAGTTGCGATAGCATCGGGTTCCGCCTCCTTGAGCTCAACTTCATTGCTAAAGGCCTCCTGCATAACGGCCGTATGTTAGTAGGGTTTTCAACATATGGCAGATATTAATGTAGGTGTATATTAGTATACCTCCCATTTACCGCTAAACATGCGGGAGAAATATTCGGGTTGGCCGCAGACAACTAGTTTATGGACCTTGAATATCGTACCGTCCACCTGGATGGTAAGATCGGTGAATTAACCGCAGGAAAAGTATTTAGAAGAGTTAGTCTATACGGCTAAATATAACTCGTCGTCTCATACCTTTTGACACTACTAGACAATGTGAAGGCATTATCCGTCTCTGTCGAATTCTCCATCTTGCACCGTAGGATAGCAGTCTTTATATAATGATCAAGTACATTCCCCTTCCCTAAGTTAAAGATTAGTTAAGAGCACTTTCAACTTATTGAATTCTAGCTTGCTATGATGGTAAATGACGGAGCTAGATCGTAAGTTCTGTTCCGAACAAGAGCGTGAGAACGTTCTTCTTAGCTATCATAATAATATCACTTGAAGTGCAAAAAGATGTTGCTGGGCGGATGTGTCGGAGTTCGTTCTGGGGTTATATCGTTTAATTTAACTGAGGAAGATATAAAAAGGTATAAACTTCAACATCAATGACGTAGGACACCCGCTCTCAACGTATCCAGAAAACTCTGACAGCGAACTGCCAAAGAGATCGATAATGGCTTATTGAGTACCGGCTGATGAGCCTAAAAGCTATATAGGAGAGGTTCTTTACATGCTTAACATCAAGCTATGTTATGTGGAGCGGTGTTCTATATGATTGGTGATGGACCAGAGAACATTTTATATATACACTGCATCCACCGGGTATATATCTATTGGTTCACTGATAGACAGAAAATCCAGGTAGTTAACGAATGGAAGTCCCATTTAATTTCATAATTCTCCTTTGGCGTCTTAAATTTGTCCCACTTGCGGTTAGAGATCTCCTCTAGAGTTGCGAATTCTATCCCGGTTATATCAGCCATGGCATATCAATTGTATATAACCACAGTTATAAGTATAATCGGGGATAGTTTGGTGAAGGATTATTTCAACAGGTGTTGAAGTTCATATAAACAAATGTAGGAGGCTCTAACAACCTTTTTAATATATTATGTAATTATTCACGTGACATACAAGGATAAACATAATTCCGTTAAATCCGCATGTGATAAACTTTATTAGTAATAAGCGCCAGTTCCACCTGAGTTCGTCCTATATGAGGTTGAAGAGATAGTCAGTGAACATGAAAGCGTAATTATACAAGAGAATCTTAGTTGAATAGGCATATTACTATAGGCCAACTTGGATATGGTAACAATTAAATGATGGTATAGGTATTTGCATTTTTAGCAACTGGTACTGTACATCCATAGACTCCATCGATATCAGATCCAAAACTCCCATAATCAAACAGCATCTATATTTCAGAAGCATATCATATCATAGCTTCCTTATACCCCAGAAGTAGTTGCCCCATTGCTCCGAGCCAGGGACCATCTTCCATCCCAAGCCAGGAGCATACATGGCGCCAACACACCTCCATTCTATGTTCGACGAGCCTTCTATCTCCGCCCACTGACGTAATTCTTCTGGATTAACAAATTTACTCCATTCATGAGTGCCCTTTGGCACAACGCCAATGGGCCACGGAGCTTCAGCAATGACCTGGTTGATAACGTACGAAGGCCATGTGCGCGCAATTGTCGAACCAACAAGCCACCCGCCTGGTTTCAGTAAACGAAGACAGTTCCGTAGGAAGGCCTGTGGTGAGGAAGTTAATGGGTCAACATGTTCAAGAACTTCAAAGAGCGTTATCATGTCGAATGATGGGGTATTTGTAGCTGCAGCATTGACATCAGCGGTAGGTGCTGAGGTAGAGTCTATCAGGTCTTCGAGAGAGGTATTTTTATATTGGAATTTACCGGTCTGGATGTGGGTGTATAATGTCGGGTCTTTGCGTGCGTGGGAGAGAGCAATTTCGATCATCACCGGGGATGGGTCGATGGCCAGGAGGGAAGATGCATTGGTGTTGGTTGAAGATCCGGATGGTGTGAGTGGGATGGTTCTGGCGAGTGATTCTGCAAATATTCCCCCGCCACAGCCTATATCCAGATAACTTAGCCCTGTGCTGCCACTTATTGATCCCCCCCCCGACCCTCCTGGCTGATTTTCTTGCTGACGGTGTGTGTGCGATTGGGAGAGGCATGATGCGATGAATTCATGACGGAGCGGATTCATTAAATGTAGGATGCGTGAAGGCCCAAGAGGGTCCCACCAACTGTTTGCTAGAGTCGCAAAATGGTTCATTTCTGCGGATGACACGGAGGAGGACGATGGAGAGGATGCTGTTGTTGAATGATTCCGGCGTCGTATGGAAATAGGAAAGCTCCCCGTCCTGAGGCCTGAGCCATTGTGAATCGTGCAAAGGAGAACCGAGTCCTTCTTTAATATGCAGCTTCGTAGCCGACTAACTGGTCTCATATTGCGAAAGACGACTGGGCTTCTCATGTTGTCTATTCAATGGCCCAAGGTTTGCCTGCTGCTTTTATATTGAATGTCGATTTTATCTTTTTAAGTTGCTAGGGAGCTGCAAACAATGCAAACAGAAACTAACTTTGTTTATCTAAATAAAATTGTCCTTGATGTGAAGAGAAAAGTAAGCAAAAGACAAAAGAAAAGAAAGTCCGTTGCTCGTCCTTGACAAACAGACAAATCCTACTCGTTAAACGAAATGATTAACCCCGGCGTACAACCCACTTCCTCTCAAGCGCTCGGAGCAAGAATCCCAACAGCAGCACCCGGAACGTTTCACCTAACCCGACATTAGTTGCGTTCTCCTGAAAAAATGTGCCTTTGGCTAAAGCTGGCGTTTGAGAATCGTAATTAGCGTCAGTCAAATCGAATATAAACATGGCAGACCAGTCAAACACCGCCAAGTCGGTAACCGCAGCGTCTTTCGCATACTTATTTAATTGTTGTGAGATAGGCACTGCGTTATTGCGCAGATGTGTACGATATATCTGACTCCTGGCTGTGTCTACCACCTTCATTGCCCCTTCTGGCAAGGTAATACCCGGCAGGAAATCGTTTGCGTGAATAACTTTAGTGTTTTTGAATTCCAGAACCGCAAAGTTGATAGGCTGAGGTTGACCATCAAGTTGGTATGACCACATTAAATCGGTACGGCTGCGGCCAATGGTCGTTTCCCCTCTACAGTAGATCTTTTCCCGCTCGTTCAGGATTTGGCAAAGTGCTTTGTTCACAGGATATATTAGGTCCAGGCAGCTCGCCCGAAGAACATCTGCCTCAGTGTGCATATATATAGTGTCGTCCTTTGACGGCATCATTGAATTGAGTGGGGAGAACGGTAAGTTTCGAATGGCTGATAGGTAGGCATTTGCTCGGGCTGTGAGTACCTGGGGCACTTCCACGATAAATGCAGGGGTTGCCCTGGTTCTGGCAGTAGACATACTACTAGGTCCGATTTGTCGATAGTTGTTATCCACCTCCTTTTCAGGATATACCGGTAGATTTTTTCTAAATGATTCTATGATCGTTACAGGGGCCATGTTTAAATGAAAAAGTGTAACCTGGTAAAACCTGATAATATTGAAAAGCGGGAGGTGCTAAAATGGTACATAGATTGTGGGTAATAATGGCCTGTTGACGAACTAGGTAGTGGACGAGCTATCTATTTAAGCAGATGACGAAAGATAAATGACACAAATAAACGTACTCTAAGTGAGCTATGGCGGTGAATGGAGACGGGTATTCACCATACACGCTTCTAAGCATGGCTGTTATGCTTTTTTTGTTTATTTAACAGAGAAGAGTAGACTGTCTCTATAGGCACAGCCTATGCAGATAGCATTTCCTCATGTAAAGTTTCTATTTTGTAGTGACAATAATAAACCAAGGCTTATTGTTCGGATGTAAAATGCATTTTTGACGCCTACTGAAGGAAGATACGAGGGTGAGGTGAGGACCATAAAAGAGTAAGATAGAGCCCTCCAGCATTCTACATCCGCATATTTCATCTCCCGACATGTTTCCTCCCTTGTATTAGCAAAATAGCAATTCCCGTCTCTATTTCGGGATGCAGGATGTATTAGCCCGAAGAATATTAACGCCCGCTTATTTTGTACAATGGTAGGTCCGTGGTTTTCTGCTGCCTGTATGAAAAACATTGTCGTAGAACTACTGATGTTTGCTGCTGCCTACTATACATACTTACCCTCGCAGCTTTTTGTAGCCTCACAAAGTTAGTGATGCGCTAATTAACTTTAATTTTAAAAGAGACCCGAGGCTAGCTATATACGGTAACCATTGGACACCACGCTTCTTCCGGTTGATCCTACTGGTCATTATCCGCGATAGCGTTTACCCGAGCACACAATTGATCGATTACGTAATTATTAATACAGCTATAAAAAGGCCGAAGTGCTCCTTTGATGGCCCACAAAGCAACCACTGAACTAAAATTTTATTGCAGTATGTCGGATTATTATGAAATAAAAGAAAGCTACTGCACCCGATTCAACATTGGCAAACCTCCCTTGCCGTATTTTGTGGGAAAGGAATTCACTGTGCGCTCCCATATTCCTCCGGCGCTGGTTAGAAAATATTATGAAGGGTTTTCTTTGGAACCCGATGGTCGCCTCGAGAGATGCCAGAAACACCCGCTTGAACGTTGTCTTCTGCACCCTCCTTCTCCGGGGCATGCTGGGGACCAGGTTGTCCGCTTCAGAATATCTAGGGAAGTTCGGTTCGGAGACAAGCATCGCTCACAAATCGCAGCCGTCGATATTTTAGATGTAAAACCAACCAAAGACCAAGGACCACATCCGAACATGACTTTGATTGCGAAATTCTACGACCCTCTTTACAACGATCACGATACAGACCTTACAGATATTTTCACCCTAGTCGATTTCAGCTATTCGGACGAAGCTGCAGCGTATTTAGCGCTGGAACCACTACAGGGAAATGCTATACCCAAATATTATGGGTCGTTCACACTAGAACTACCTGTCCCGGAACATAAGACGAACCGCCTTGTCAGACTGAGTCTCTTGGAAATAGTTCCCGGCCAGGCTATGTCGACGCTCAACCCAGAGGACTTCTCCCAGCGTGACCGTCAAATGATTATGAAAAATATCATCGACACGGAAACTTTACTACATACCCATGGTGTTATGCACGAAGATTTATGGCCGCGAAACATCATGATAAATAGTAAAGCCAAGGTTAATCGGCAGGTTGTTGTAATAGACTTTGAAGACTACAGATTCATGACATCATCACAATTTCATGGCATCACTATCAGCCCTTTGCTTCGGTGGAATAAAAAAAGCGGCCGTACGTTCGAGTTTGAAGGTTGGATTGATTGGGACTGGCAGTCATGGCTCGAACTTACCTATGAAGACACTCGTGATTCAATCACAGAAGAGATGAGGGCTTTTTGGATGCCGCGGGAAGTTGAGTGGCCAGGATGGGGCTAGTCTTCTTTCCGATTTTTATATTTACAACTACGGATTCTTTTATCCTCCTTATTTTTGCCATCCACCGAACACATTAAGCCATGCAATTGACCCTATGTTGGTGCGGCATTCTATCCTGGTATACTATGCTTGCAATAGCTTGGCTGGCATTAGCTATACTTGGACATCAACAAATATATAGCGCTCTTTAAATAATCTTACTTTGATATTAATTAAATATCACATTCTCATTGACTCCTTGAATATGAAGTACCTGGAAAACTGTATTAAACTAAACACAATAGAACTATTTACCCAGGCAAAGTTCAACTAAGCCCATTCTCCTTTGTTCATTGATTATCATCCACTTTCGACATATCCTCAGATAGTCTCACAAGTCATGTCTTCGTCATATCTATATAATTCAATGGCTTTATCTCTAGATCGCCAGGCTCCTTTTCGTTTTAAGGGTTTAAGGTCAGTTAACGGGGTTTAGCCTACCCATCGCCTACTACTCAAACCGTTTCTTTCGCTCTACCGCCATCATCAAGACGGCGAGGGTTATCTCTACCCATAACACTTGATCTGGAGCTTTCGGGGCCCACAGGCATACTCCTTTCACTGCCTTTGGTAAGAGATTTTGCGAAGGTGAAGAAGCCTTGACGCAGACCAAGTTCGTGGCTTGGCCATCTTCTTCGGAAGCCAATAGCTGCGACGCCACCATAATCTTCGCCCTCTGCAAACCATCCGGTACGGCGTTTGATGAACTTCCAGGCCTCAATACCAAGAACAAATATCACTACCGAACCAAAAGCCAGACCCCATTCCCAGCTGATACCCTGGTGTTTGAAAACCTTGGTATTCAGGCCGGGAATGTAGACAGCTGGGAAAACGGAGAGTGCTCCAATAACCACAGCCCAGAAGAGGAACTGGTTCTCCCAAATATCGTGGAAGAAGGGGAAGAAAGGTACGGTATCGTCACTGTGATCGCGGTATGGTTCAAGGTTGAACATGCTGTTGCGAAGGTGCTTGAATTCCCAAGCTGAGATGAGAATGAGCCAAGTGAGTTCGGCAAAGACTACCGCTCGAGCACGGAAAACGACGTTGCAGCTATCGCTGGCTGCATGATTACAGTCGAATCCCAGATCTTCCATGCCGTTCCCGACACCGTAAACCACGATGACAAAGGTTAACAGCGTGCAAGCTCCCATTATCACGCCATAGACCATCATATCAACGACTATTTGCCAGGTGAAAACACCCTTCTTGGTATCATGTGGAGGACGATGCATTACCGCAGCGGAAACCTTTTCACGACCAAGACCAAAGGCAGGGAACGAAGAGGTCAACATGTTGATCCATAGGATTTGCAGTGGCGAAAGAGGGAAGACCGAAAAACCTCTTTGATCTTTGAATCCCAGGCCCATAATAAGGAGCACTACCTCACCAATGTTTGATGTTAAAAGATGAAGGACGAATTTTTGAATGTTTTCAAACATGCGTCGTCCTTCCTCAATAGCATTGACGATACTAGCAAAGTTATCATCAGTAAGGACAATATCAGATGCTGATTTCGCAACATCTGAGCCACCCATGCCCATGGCAATTCCAACGTCAGCAGCTTGGAGTGAAGGTGCATCGTTGACTCCGTCTCCGGTCATTGCACAAAACCTGCCGCGGCGGTGGAGAGCAGCAATCATTCGAGTCTTTGTGTCTGGAGCACAACGAGCAATGACGAGTGGTAGAGACGGTAATGCATCAATCTCTTCGTCAGTCAATCTATCAAACTCGGCAGCCGTTTTGACAAGGGATTCTGACTCGGCCGCAGATAAAGTGCTCGCATTGCGTGGGATTATTCCTACTTCTTTTGCTATGGCAGTTGCTGTTGAAGGGTGGTCACCCGTCAACATATGGACACGGATTCCGGCCATAGTACATTCTACATTCAAAGGCTGTTAGCATTATGAAACCAGTTTTCATTTTCTTTTTGTATTGGGCTGGAGGGCCATTGGTACGTACCTTTTACTGCATCTTTGGTTTCCAACCTAGGCGGATCGTATAAACCAGCTAATCCTAATAATGTCAGGTCAGATTCAACTTGGTCTCTTGGGATTTCCATATTCTTCTCGAACTCTGAAGGGCCCGACTTCTGAGCAATTGCTAAGACTCGGAGCCCTTGCTCAGCAAGGAATCCCATTTGGTCGAGCACTCGTTCCTTCAATTCAGGGGTCATCGGTTCCCGCTTTTCGCCGAATCCAACAGAGGTGCAGAGATCCAAGATCCTTTCAACTGCTCCTTTTGTGAAAATCACAGTGCCGGCCTCCTGGCCATGTCTGTAGATAACAGACATGCGCTTTACGGTGCTATCAAAGGGATATTCGGCCAAAGATTTCCAGCCAGATTCAGCTTCGAGTGTTTTCTTGCCGAATCCAAACCTATGGGCAAACACTTGCAAGGCAACTTCGGTCGGATCACCCATAGTTTGCCAGGAGTTCGCCGATTCGTCATAACGGACTGTTGCTAGATTACACAATGCAGCAGATTCGAGGAAGGCGGCCAATTCGGGGGTAATTTCAGGGAGGCTTCCGCCTTCAGATCCTTCGTCCTCCTCTTCTGCCTCCTTTTCATTGCGAACCTCCTCCTTTCGCCGTTGGTCCCGCTCTTCTTTTTCGGCAGGAACATCAAATTTTAAACCTGCTGCACTACGAAGTGCGTCCTGCTCTGCTCGTTTCCGCTCACGCTCTTGTTCTGCCTCCTGTTTAGTCGCAGGCGGTTTCCCAAGGGAAATAGTCCCACGAGTTGGGTTCGTGGCATCGTTAGACTTTGTTAAAGAGTAAATACCAACACCGGGCAGCCATGCTTTGCGAGTTACCATTTGTCCCTGAGTCAATGTTCCAGTTTTATCGGAGCAAATATTCGTGACGCCCCCTAGAGCTTCGAGAGCGCTAAGTTGTCGAACAACCACTCTTCGCTTTCGCATCTGGGTCATACCAACAACCATTGTGATTGTAAGGACAGCAATCAAAGACTCTGGAATGATAGCAATTCCTATATCAATGTTAGTCGAATCAAAACATTTATTGGAATAAAATGTGGCTTACCAGTGGAGATTGCATATATAGCAACTTCATCCGTTACGTTGAACTTGTTAACCCCGAACACAATGATGGCTAGCAAAATCGCACACCCGAAAAGGGAATATGCAAGTTTGCTCAGTTTAATTTGTAATGGAGTGCCTTCTGTAAGGCCAAGGAACTTCCCGATTGCATCCCAGATGCGCAAGGCACCCCCTTTCACTGGCTGAAAGGTACCGTACTTGGAAGACATGGAGCGACCGGCTTTTCTTTTCTTCCCTTGCATAGACTGCGCAATTTTGCCAATCTCTGTGTACATTCCTGTAAAAACAATGATTCCACGACCACGGCCCTTGGTGACAGTAGAGGAAGAGTACGCCATGTTGAGCCGGTCACCTACACCTATGGTCATCTCATCACCACTAGTTTCGAATTCAATATCTTTGGCAACGGGAGCGGCCTCTCCAGTTAATATCTTCTCGTCACATTCAAGGTTCATGGCTTCAAACAGCCTCAAATCGGCAGGGACTGTGTCTCCTGTTTTGATCTGAACAATGTCACCGGGGACAACTTCCCCTGAAGGGACGGTGATTGCGTTGCCATTTCTAATAACATTTGCTGATGGGGATGATAGGGATCGCAAAGAGTCCATTTTCTTCTCCGCTTTAAACTCCTGATAGAACCCGATGAGGACGTTTATGACAATGACAGCAGTGATGACACCGCCTTCGATGTAATCGGAGACACCATACGAGAGGGCCATCGCTAGGACAAGGACCTGGAGAAAGGATATTGTTACTATGTGATTTCCGGTATGTGGTGGCAGGGCAGCAATATGTCATAAAGAGTGAATTTACATGGGATCTCTTTCAACCAATCTTCAAGAATGATTCTACCATACAAATTCAAGCCCCAGCAGGAAAAACTCCAGGGGTTGCCAAGGCCTTCTCACTGAGCAGGTGAAGGATGAAAGTGAAAGAAGGGAAATAATAAGAGTATAAACTCACCAATATCATAGCATTTGAGACCTGTTTTCCTAGGAGGGTATACCACTTGACGCCCCCTTCTCCGGACAAGCGATTGGCACCATACCTTTCTTGAAGCTGGCTAACCTGTGCATCATTTAGACCGGTGTCGAGGTTGGTCCCCAGCTCCTGAGAGAGGCGGTTGATAGAGAGCAAAAAGGGATGCTGCTCATATTCTTGCTTTGTGCCATCCTTATTGGAAGGCATCACGAGACGTCACCTACTCCTATTCTTGTTTGCTGGGATGGGTTGTCCTTGAAAGATATATTGTAAAGGGTTGTTTGATTTCGCCGGGCTGTTAATGTGAGATGGGAGTGAGTAGATCAAAAGTCACTCAAAGCCCAAGCCTATCGAGGATTCTGGGTAACCCTTGCTCCAAAGATATACTTGAACAAGAGGTTGGTAAACGATTGGATAAATAAATACCTCTAGCAAAGCGGTATAAAACAATCTTGTATAATTTAGTAGAGAAGAAGCTTCATAGATTGCGGGGGAATAGAGTGCACTTTATATATCCAAGAACTGCCCGCTCCATCCTCGGAAATTGTTGTATATGCCAAGAATACAGAAGAGATACCAGGGCGAGATTGGTTCCCAGTGACGTCAAAAACGAGGATGTAACTCGGAGCTGGTAGTTGATGCCATGGACGGGGACCAGGGTAAGCGGTGGGTCAAGCCAGAAATAGGATCCTATTAGGAGGCAAAAACCGATGAACTGACTTTCCTGCTGAGCTTGGAACGTTTCTAGACGGAGGCTCTTTAATAGAAGCGACTGCTTGGCGTTCAAGGATTGAGAGAACCGTCTCATAATACCCTTACGTGGTTGGGGCGTACTATGTAAAGAGAATGCCGATATTTCCGCCATGTTCCTCCGCCTTTCGACTCTCAGCAAGGGAACCTCGATCGTATAAGGTGATTTAGCCTTTTCTACGAACCGGGTAAACTGCCTTATCACTTTTTCTTTCACCAAGGTCCGAGAAAAGCGCGGAAAAAGCAAAGTAAAGGCCAAGTGCAAGGATAATACGGGTGGACAACTGTATAAGTGTGCATTATAACAAAGCTTCCCTCCCTACAGCATGGAAAAGACTTGGCCCGCCACTTCCTCTCATCCCGCTACCTGCATTCCCATTGGTTTGATCCGTCGCCACGTGAGCGCCCGCCCAGCCTCCACCCACCAACTGTAAATTTCAACCAATAGAAACTTGGTAAGTGGAGTATTCCGTGCATGGCGCCAACCTTGGCGGAACGCAGGGGCCCCCTCACGTTTTGGCCAAGAATTTCCGAGCACTTGGCACGCTCAAACGCTCGCTTGTTCCGCGGCGGCGATGTTGTGCCAGCTATTTCTCGGTGGTCGGCACTCGGAGATCCGCGGTCCGTCTATATACAGATAGATTTATGATAACATGAGATTTTTGGGAATATCTTGCCTTTGAAACAGAAGGAAGATACTCATGACAAAGAAAGCCGGTTGGGGGCAGAGAAAAAGCAACCATAGAGCGTTGCGGGTGTTCCTGCAATAGGAACCAATGGTATCCGACTTGATGCGATGCGTCGGACCAGGAGCCAACAAGAAAAAGAGGTTGTCCACTCCGTAGCGGAAAGCGGTGAGAAGCTCATAGTTCAAACACGGGAGCTAGATACGAATACAGCCAACTCTACAGGAGCAGAACGGCATTGCAGAGAAAATCCAGGTTTGCATTCAACAAACAAGCTTCCTAAGACATTGCATCGCACAACGGCCGCGCTATCCTTGTCCTACGGTAAACACCTAGACATACATCTGTGCATGGGCATACCTCCATCCTCTTCTCACGATGCATATTGGACATGCAATACTACCCCATACCCCATACTCCTAGCTTTCCGATACCATCCTAACCACGCGAAATCGTTGGGCGGAATCCGAACAGCGGTATCGGGGGCACCCTAGACGAATCACCGAGATCGTTAAAAGCACCAAAATTTCAGCACTCCGAAGTGGCGTAGAGCTAAAATAATCCCAAACGTGAAGGGCCTGCGCGCGGCCAGCTTTACAACTCACAGAATGCCACAACAGCATAATCTTCTTTTCTTAGCTTCCGGGATCGTATATTGCTTGTTTCCTTCCCGACCGTTCCAATTGAAGCAAGGATGGACGTATAGGCTGGCTGCGGGAACTAGTGTTCGTGCTGTTCATTCGTCGGGAAGGAGAAGACAACAAATGGTGCTGGGCCATGTGATGCTGCATCTGCTTTACGAATGTTTCTGCAGCTTATTAACTTCTTTTTTTTTTAGTTGGAAAGGAGTATGCGTTTCAGAAGCAATTGATTATTTATCGGCAAACTCGGAATGGGGGATTATCATCTTCCCAGTAAATGGGGGTCTTCTATTTTCGTCACAGAGGTTCACGCATAGCTTGTTTTTGCTTATTCGGATAGATACCTTGCTTGCTCCCTTGCTGATGATCAATTATCTTCTCAATCAGAACGAAAATAAAAGCGTGTGATTTGCGTGGAAGATGGGAAGCATACAGTTCTTCCCTTCATCTCTTGCATCCCGCGATTCCTATTGGATTTCATTTCGGGATTTGGCACCTGGGTAGTTTGGAGTGGAAGCTGAATTTTCAGCTTGTCAAGTGCATTCATTCCATTTTCCCTCCAATTCGTTTTAACCATAGAATCATATCGTCCACGTAGCGTACACTATAATACAAGCGCTGTGTGCTGTCCCCTGCACATGAGAATTAACTGTTTTCGGAATCCGTCTCCAGCACGGAAGCTAGTCAGCAAGTAACCAATGCGCGATGCAGGCCATCGGGAGGTTAAATCGGAGTCTGATCGCCAAACGAACGTAGTGAAGCTGGTGATCCGTAAAGAGAAAAAAAAGATAACCATGACTCATTTTTTTGCCTTGCGTTTCCCCTTTCGCTTTGAGCTCGAGGTAGGCGGGTCTGGAACGCTGAGTGTTCCCTCCACGATATCTTCACCCTGGTCCTTGAGTCGTTCAGTCCCGCTGATGAAAAAGGTGAGATCCCGATTCTGCTCTGCCAAATCTTCATTGGCAGCTTTTAATTTATTCACCTCTGCGTCAAGGAATGCGACACGTTCCATTAAGCTTGTGTTTATCGTCTTTTCTTCACGCCATTGCTTCTCCATTGTTCGAGACATGGATTCGAACTTCTCTGCCCGACGCTCGGCGCGGGCCTTGTCACGCTCAAGGGACGGGATAGTCTCTTGAGTCAGGCTATCATACCGAGCTTGTAGATTATCCATACTTTTGGCCAGGCGGTCTGCTGCTTCCTGGGCAGAGATGGCACTTGCGCTGGCCTGGGAGGCTTTATCAGCCGCACGCTCAACCTGTTCTTCAAAGTAGACGCGTTGGCTCTCGAGCTGGCTGGTGAGTAGGTGGGTATATTCTACGCTGATGTTTTCGAACTTCTCTCTGGGTACGGCGTCGCTCCAGTCCGGAGGATCTAAGGCGCTATCGCCCCTTGCTGGAAGCTCGAGGAGTTTACCATCGGATTTACCCTGGATGATACGATGTACGTAGCCGTCTCCCAGATAATCCCAGACACGCTGGGAGGCGATGTCCATGGCGAACGAGTGGGAGGTCTGCTTGTAGTGGTCGAATGCGTGAGCGCCGTCGTAACGTCCGCATCCAATGTTGCCGCATATCAAACAGATCCAGAGGTTGGCCTCTGAATGACAGACGCTACATTCACTCGGACACTCGTCCACAGCTAAGTTGACGTTGCGTTTCCCCAGATCATCCTGTGTATATCGACAAACCGGACAGCCGCTGCCTTTCCATCTCTGTAGACAGGTACAGTGGAAGACATGCTGGCAGAGGATCGTCAGAAGGCCTGAAGTTTCGTCCATGCGTTCAAGACAGACAGGACATGTAGGCAGCTCTATCAGCGAAGGCGTCGGCGGCGCCAGGGGCTTAGTTGACATCGTGGAGGAACCAAGGTGTCCGGACTGTGCATCCGAGAAAGTAAACGGATCATTCTTCATATCAGGGAACTTCGACTCAGCTCCAGAAGAGCCAATCTGTATCTCCACGTCTTTCACAAACACCACATGGCACGCTTCAGGCTATTAAGACTCAGCACCAGCGTAGTTTTTCAAAAAGACACATAAACAACAACATACCTCCATACTATTATATAACTTCCCATTCCAACACTGCTGCCACTCCTTCGCCTTCTTGCCGCTCCGAAACTTCATTAAAACCATATACCTATTCGCACGCGCGGTCCTGATCATTCGAAAATGACTAACTTCCTCCCTCGTCTGCTCACCTACATACCCCAAAAAGTCCGACGGAGACAAATACGACGGCACAGCTAAAATGCATAACGTCGTGCAATCCTCCAACGATACGCCGTCCTCACACGCCGCACGAGGCACGGAGGTAGCAGCATACGACGACAACGACGACGACGACGCCGCTACGCCGCTCCTGCTCGACTGCGCCGTTCCCATCGATTTCCTCGCCGTAGCTGAGGATCCTGATCCCTGGAGGTAGAACAGGTCCTGGTCATGATGGTCCCCCTGGCTCAGGGAAGGTGATTCCTCCGCATCACGGTATAAATGGACGATTCCATACACGCTATCTGTCAAGCCTAGGTCGAGAGGAACGTATTTGCCCTTGGTAGCTAGGCCGCTTATCACGTTTGAGCCGATGCCCTTTGTTATTTCGTTATGGACCATGTCGACGCCCTGGATGGATAATGAGTCGATTCGTTCGTCGGTGTGCGCGTAGGTGTCTTGTAAGAAGGTGGAGGCAAGTTGCGCGCCGAGCTCGGTGTCGTGGTATGTTCTTGTCCGCTGCGCATGCACCTTGCCGACGCCTGATTCCGTCTTGGTCTTCCACTTCTTCCTTCGAAACGGCCGTATAGATTCACGCAGCGCTTTTAGCGTCAGGGCGTACTGTTCAAGGGCACAGCTTATGTCCGTGTCTTCGTTTCCGGTATGCGCAGCCGCAGTGCTCTGTTGGTGGGATAAGAGTTCGAGAGTGATGTGATAAAAGTAGGAGGGCATACCGCCTGTCCTGTACCTTGCCCTTGTCCCTCTCGCCCGTCCTGCAGCTTGTCACTCGAATCAGTCAGTTATAAAATTTTCAGTGACGGGATATTCCTGCAAGCTTGTATAATGTTTAGTTGCTTTTCGATCGTTCCGGGATGAAGCTTTTTAAGTTATGATGTTATCAGTAACTATATCACGTGATGCTATACACGCTAAGCTCGTTTGGGAATAGAGCATACAAGGTGTCTATGAGGGTGTCTACGAGTTACAGTGGAAGAGATGGATGCTCCAAAAGTATTGTGTATTTTGAAGGAGTAGGTAGCTAGTTTAATCTAGTGCAGGTGTAAAGAATGGACGTGCCAGTCCCAAAATCGTGTCAAAAAGCTTCAAGGAATGAGGTCCCCAAACGCCATAACCGGGTGTAAAAAAACAGCTCATCCCAAGAAGATAAAAGAGGTATGTAGGAGGTGAAAGAGGTACAGCAGTCAAGTTAGGTCATGAAAGTAGGAAAAAGCATAAGAGGAAACAGGACTCTAGTTGCCACCACGCAACCGCAGCACCAAGTGGAGGGTGCTCTCCTTCTGTATGTTGTAGTCTGACAGTGTTCGACCATCTTCGAGCTGCTTTCCAGCAAAGATGAGACGTTGCTGGTCTGGTGGGATTCCTTCCTTGTCCTGGATCTTTGTCTTCACGTTGTCGATGGTGTCTGACGACTCCACTTCCAGCGTGATTGTCTTGCCGGTAAGTGTCTTGACGAAGATCTGCATGCCACCACGCAGACGAAGAACAAGGTGGAGTGTGGACTCCTTCTGGATGTTGTAGTCTGACAACGTTCGGCCGTCTTCAAGTTGCTTTCCGGCGAAGATCAATCGCTGCTGGTCTGGTGGGATTCCCTCCTTGTCTTGGATCTTTGTCTTGACGTTGTCGATGGTATCTGAGGACTCGACCTCAAGTGTGATAGTCTTTCCGGTAAGCGTCTTGACGAATATCTGCATACCACCACGCAGACGAAGGACGAGATGAAGGGTAGATTCCTTTTGGATGTTGTAGTCAGAGAGGGTGCGGCCATCCTCGAGCTGCTTGCCAGCGAAGATGAGTCGCTGCTGGTCTGGAGGGATGCCCTCCTTGTCCTGGATCTTGGTCTTGACGTTGTCAATGGTATCGCTAGACTCCACCTCAAGGGTGATGGTCTTGCCGGTCAAAGTTTTCACAACTGGTGGTACAAGTTAGCTGTGTCTCGGCGAGTGGCTGAGTGAGGTGGCGAGGTCAACTTACAGATCTGCATGCCACCACGGAGGCGAAGGACGAGATGGAGGGTAGATTCCTTTTGGATGTTGTAGTCAGAGAGGGTGCGGCCATCCTCGAGCTGCTTGCCAGCGAAGATGAGTCGCTGCTGGTCTGGAGGGATGCCCTCCTTGTCCTGGATCTTGGTCTTGACGTTGTCGATAGTGTCGCTCGACTCCACCTCGAGGGTGATAGTCTTGCCGGTGACTAGAACAACATGTCAGTCAGCACGTAGCCTGACAGAAGGTCGAGCAGGAGACGACGGGGAGAGGGCCAACTTACGGGTCTTGACGAAAATTTGCATGATGGGCTTCTCTTATGCTAAGTAAGGGCGGGGACGGACAGACGGACACAGGGTGGATGGCTTGGATGTTATTGCAATGGCTGGAGAGCGGGAGTTGTAAGAAGGAAGAAAGAGTCAGAGCGAAAAGAGCGGCAGGGCGGGTCTTAAATAGGCAGCCGAGGGGAGGGCGGTGACTGGGAAACTGCCCGCGCTAACGCCGAAAGAGGTAGTGGCAGAAAGAACCCCGGCTTATGTAAATGGAGAAGCTGCTGGAAGATGCGAGAGCCAATCAGAGAGTGATTATTGATGAGTAAGCGCAAAGCCACCTCAGCCCTCGCGTGATGACGTATAGTCACGTGGATAGTGCTTACATAATGATGTTGATTTGGTATAAAAGGGTTCTAAACGGACATTTGAGATGTAACAACTTTTGACTCCGACATGCAACCCGTTTGACCAGAACCAGGACAAAGGAAAGGAGAGAAAAGTAGCCCGAAAATAGAGTGCAGTGCGACGCGCACCTACATTGAAAGAAGAGAAAGACGGCAGCCAAATGCATTCGACACGACACAACACCTTGACTGAAAAGTCATGCCATGCCTGGATGAATATGAAAGAGAAAAAAAAAAAAACAGAGAGAACAGCTTGATATGCGTTATATATACGCACAATTTGAACTGGACACTAGATACATAGACGGCTATATCATTATAAATAGCGGATTCAAAAAAAACAACATTGGGGACGAGCAAACAAAAATCAAAAAACTTCTTTCATCTCATAGATCGTAGATCGTAGATCCTCGCTTGGAGCAGATCATATCATGTCTTCGTCAAACTTGCGGAGAACACGGCGAACAAACGCGAAAGGGAATAAAAAACACGGCAGAAGAATCGAAAAATAGAGCAGAAAAACCAGCATTAAAACTATCAGAGCAGATTTGGGGGTTCCACTCGACCCGGCCAGTCAACCAAGCGGTCCGGTGCGAGCAAGGTAGGATATATACCGCGTGGTTGCAGCGTGACATGACGATGGGACGGCAATGGGGAGCGGAAACGAAGTAAGAACCAGAGAGCCGATGGAAACACAAAACGGGGACTAACAGTACAAAAAACACATCCCAGACAAGGACAGGCCAGTAGATGATGGATATGGGTAACAACAGTTGACATTGACGTTGACTGCCAACAACGTAGGAAAAGGAACGATGAGATAGGTCGTTAAAGGAATGACGGATTAAATCGTGAAAAAACATAAAAGCGTAAGAATTAAAAAAAAAAACCGTTGACCAGCCTCTCGGGGTCAACGAGGTAAGCGAAAAAAAAAAAAAAGGGGGAAGCGCAGGTAGATGCAACATGCAAAAGGGTTTCATCTAGGGACATGAATAAACTCAATGGGGGCACGGAGGGGGGCGGGACAACGGAACGGAACGCAGCGGAACGGAACTCAAGGGCGCTTGTTTCATCATGTCATTAGTTCGTTTATCGTGTCTTGTATGCGATATGGAGTGTTTGTCGGTATAAGGAAAACCCCGGACGGTTGTTTTTATCTTGGTGGATGTCAGGAAACGAGGACCCCCCTCCTCATTTCGGCCATCTTCATCTTCTTTACCTTGGCGGGCCGCTCGCCAACCCATCCCCACTTCCGCCTTCTCTCTCTGCGATCTCGGGGCCCGCCGTCGTCAGAGCCGGCTAGTCAATTGGCCCTTATCACCAGCCGGCTGACGAACTTGTTGGAGAGGCAGTCAAAGTCCTCGCGGTCGAAGGTGGAGGACTCGCCTCGGCCACGGAGGTACTGCTCGTACTGCCGTACGTGGCCGCGGACCTCCGTCATGGCGGCGCAGACGTCCGAGTTGAAGTTGAAGATCTGCTGGTGCTGGGCGGTGTCCCAGTCGGTGAGGGCGGGCAGTTTCTGGGAAATGGCCTGGAAGAGGCCGACGATGACGCCGACGGGGATGGTCTCCATGTCGTTGCAGAACTTGGTCACGGCGACGGGGTCCTGGACGCGGTAGTGGCAGTCGAACTGCATCTCCTCCCAGACGGCGAGGAGGATGGTGGCGAGCATGAAGATGATGGGCCAGTTCTTGAGCTTCTCGCCGCTGTAGACGCTGGAGTAGAGGGCGGAGAGCTCCTCGAGGACGTCCTTCTGCAGCTCTCTCCACATGTTGGCCATGGCACACTTGACCTGGAAGTTTATCATGACGGGGGCCATGACCTTGCCCTTGTAGTGGCTGTCGGAGTCCTCGACCTTGCCGGAGAAGGCTTCTTCTTCGAGCTCGCCGAGGCCCTCGACCATGGTGACGTGCATGGTCAGGTTGTAGGCGAGGGTGAGCTTGAGGGCCTTGCGGATGACGGGCAGCTTGGTGCGGAAGTAGAAGCGGTAGGCCGTCTTGAGCATCTGGGTGATGAAGGGGGTTCCGGCAAAGTACTCGTCGACGAAGCTTTCGTAGGTGCCGTTGCCGTCGATGTGGCGGTCGAGGTAGTCCGAGAGCATGGCGGTGGAGATTCCCTCCATGCCGGCCGAGAGCTTGGCGGTCTTGAGGTCGAAGTGGTTGGCCGGGCGGTTCATGGACTCCACCCAGTCGAGGTTGAAGCACTCTTCGTCGTGGACGTAGACCTCTCTGGCCTTGACGGGCAGGACCTGGCCGTAGCCGTGGGTGATGAAGAGGGTGCGCTCCGAGTCGGAGAAGCCGGTGATGTTACCGACCGAGAAGCCCAGGGTGACGTGGCGCTCGTAGTCGGCCTTCCAGTCTTTCATGAAGTAGCCGATCTCTTTGATGTCGATGCGGGTGCACGGGACCTGCCAGAGACGGGCGTGCGAGGGCTGGCACCCGGTACACGGCTCTCCTTTGTCGCACTATTCGCCATGTGTCAGTTGTGGCGAAAACATTAGTTGGGGGGATGAACTTACGGTCTTCTTGAGGAACTTGCAGCGGAGACAGGCTCTGAGCTTGCGTATCTCGCTGGGCCTGCTTCCTCTGGTCTGGG